GAATGAGTGTACAGTATATAGTCTTAATGTCCATTCATTATCACCCAAAGTGATGTATATACACCCAGACTGGGTCCCAGCTGCAGCCACTAACCCCTCTGACACTGACACCTACCTCCCCCTCATTTATCACACCTCAACCCTCCTCGCTGTACTTTCACCCTGCATCCATCATCCCCTCTCTGCATGCACCACCCTGTGCTACACACACAGAGACACACACTGTCACTGGAAGAGTAAAAATAGCTCCATAAGTGCAGAGTTCCCTTTACTTCCACACAAGGGCCGCAATAACAGCAGCGGATGTATCGCTCTCCTTTCTCACAAAGGGGGGAGGTAAAAGGATGCTAAAAGTAGATGCGACCATTTAGTGGGGCTTTGTGTGGTGGGTCGCAATTGTGGGCTCATACGCTACGTCATCAACATCCATCTGAGTTTTAACAAGTATCACAGAGCGGCTGAATCTGCTCATCGAGCTGAATAAACATAGATCCACTCTTTTTGTTTTGCATTATTTATTTTGAGATTTGTCGACTTTGTCTGTCAGAAGTGTCGCAGCCATGCTACCGCTGCTGCCGTGCGTGATACGCTTTAATATCAGCGCACATTCAGACACATGACAGCCCCGAGCAGAGCTGCACACTGACGCTGATGACCTCCAGTGTGCTCGCTTAGGGTTAGCTTCTAATCTAATTACAGCTTCTGCCTGGCTTCACACACTACCCTCCCTCTAGGACTGTTGTCGAGCTTTCTAATAAAAGAAGAAGCCACTGGAAACCAAAGTACAGCTCTTTTTTTAGGTTAAATTTCTAAGAACATGGTCAGCTAACTTTCTCTGTGGGCGGGGCTAGGGATCTGCCACGCCCCCAAGATCGTCAGAGCTGCCATGTTTTGTCTCTTTTTCTTTTTTGACATGTTTAATGCCGCGTTCCAGTTGGAAGTCAGATGTCCTAGCTGGGAATGACGTTACAGCCGAGTTGACGGTGTTCCAGTTAACAAGTCGGAAAACCAAGATGGACTCAGTTAGCTGTTGTTAGCTGCGTTCAAGTCCAAGCTGAAAAATGACGCCACACCTGAGTTACCAGTGTTTCAGTTACCAAGTTGGAAAAAAGCTAAATATATATATTATATTCAGACAAAGCAAGCGATAAAATAACTTAAATAGTTGTAGCCATCTTGTTTCCGCCTTCGTTTTTGCTTTTTTCCGACTTGCTAACTAAAACGCTGGTTACTCGGATGTGGCGTCACTTTCAGCTTAGACTTCTGACTTCTGAGGTAACTCGAACGCAGCATAAATTTCTCAAAAACAAAACAGAAGCGCCAATAAATAATACATTATGAGAGCTTTCACTGTTACTCTTTACTGTTGATGCATCTTTGATTATGACGCTGTCGACAAGTCGGGGTTGGCGAGGTGCGACCGACTTTCCGAGTCAGAAATCCGACATTGCAGAGGGGGGCAAATTCCAACTTCCAAGTACAACTTGAACGCAGCATAAGTACATCTCTTTTTTGAGGTTAAATACCAAAGAAGATGGTTGGCTAACTTTCTCTGTGGGCGGGGCTAGAGATCTGCCACGCCCCCCAGATTATCAGAGCTCCCCTGCTATGCCAGTTCTTTTTTGCGTGTTTGAGTGCAGACCTTTAAATAACAGCTGATTCTCATATTTGTCCAAATCTCTTCCAGTGTGGCAAAGGAGCCGAAAACTTTGACAAGTTCTTCACGCGTACGCAGCCCGTGCTGACCCCTCCCGACCAGCTCGTCATCGCCAACATCGACCAGAGCGAGTTCGCCGGCTTCTCCTACATCAACCCTCAGTTCATCCACCCGTCCCTGCACAGCGTAGTATGAAGGGAGAGAGAGAGAGTGTTAAAGCATGGACTACGGGATCCTTCCAAACTCCGACAAAAACACCCCGCTGTCAAAAGACTCGTATCATCCTCTACAGTATTCTGTCTCCTCGTTATCGATGTGTGTGTGCGCAGAAATGACTGAGGAGAGGGCTGCGAAGGGTTCGAAATCATGTCTGTTTGCTGGAGAGGGTACACAGCACTGATATTTTACATCATTCTTTTAATATGTTCCCTGTTTTCTTGTAAATGAATGTGTCTCTCACTTATTTAGGTATTAAATATTAAAGATGTTTTTCCTTTTTGTCCCGAAAACCTATATTCCCTGTCCTACTCCACGAAAAAGCTGCAATGCAGGACAGGAATGGACGGTGTTTTTTTTAGCTGTCTGTCTGAATTGCTGCAGATTTATTTTATTTAACACAACTATAAGAGGTAGTATACTGTTACATGAGTGCCAAAGTAACATCTCCAGTTCTTGTGATTTTTTTCCCTCCTTCTGTTTGCATCAGTTATTTTTTAAGACCGACAGTTGATACAGTGACACGAAAGCACAGTATGCTAACAGTAACAAGCTGTGAGGCTTTTCCAGTGCAGAGGGAAGGATGCATGTTGAGTTCAGGGTCAGAAAAAGAGGCGTTGTTTCAAAGTACGAAGATGCTTTCTCCATATGCACAAGCAGATCTCTGTTGCATGCTTATTTTCTGACTCTGTATGAGCAGTAGACTCTAGGACGCAGTAAAGTTTAGTATTAATGATATAAACTATGTTAATATATAACTGTTGTATGTTTTGAGGAGAAACGGTTTCGTTCCTGTTTTACGTTCTGCTTTACTCAGAGAGCGACGTCCGACCCTCGATTCTTCGTCGACCTTTTCTTTTGTAAATACGTTTCGAGAAGAGAAGTTACTCGCGGATTTTATACAACAAACTGAATGTGCTTTTACTACCATAGACCGTCGGGACATTTGTATGTTTAGGTTTCTCCTGAGAAGTGAAACGTTTGGCTGAATCTTTGGTAGCTTTGGTATCAGCAAAACCTTGTTACGTGTATTTCCACTATTTATCCGTTGTTTTCTACTACTCAGTGTCATGGCAAATATGCAGCAACTCCAGTGTGTGAAAACGTTCGAATGCCCTCTTGCCTTGGTCGCCTCAGGACCGACTCCTTCTGTAAGAAAATGAATCAAAAGCTGAGTAACAGTTCGAGGGTTTTTCGAGCTGTCTTTTCTTTCTTGCATATATCGTGTGCATGCGTGAGGCGAGGCCTGATCTAAGCATGAGAAAGACTTCCCCCTGCATGATACAGAGACCCCTCTCTCCTGGTGTGGAGCATGGAGTTTCCCCACATATAGTCACGCAGAACGAGACAAACTCGCCTAATGAGAACCGTGCGCTTCTCCCGCTCATCGTCTCCTCTTATTCGCTGTCATGTAGCCTAACCCGTTTGGCTTTCAAGCTGAATTATTAACGGAGAAATATCTGTACAATGCTTCTGTTTCGTTTTGTTTTTTGTTCTCTGGTGCCAAACTCTTTCTTTCCAGTCAGGTGTGTCGAGCAGTGTTTATCTTCCTGAGGCACACGAAGCTACAACAGTGAGGTTTCACAAAAACTGCCAAATTTACAAAAACCTGCAGCTCTATAAATTGTAACTTTACACAGAGACTGAAGTCGCAGCTGAAGTCACATCTGGACCAAAATGGGGTTTTTAACGGTTTTAGAGAAAAGTGAATGTTTACATGTCTCACATTGAGAAGCTTTATTGGAGGAGAGGAAACTAACAAACAAACAAAAAAAAAAAAAAAAAGAGAGAAAAACCTCCAGACACCCGTGACAGAGGTATCGAACGTCAGGCCAGTCAGGGTACAGAACCACTACAGGCTACAATCAGAGCCACAGGGATGTTTGTATGCGTTTCCTTTCTGTGCCCCTGCTTTTGTTTACCTGATTCTTCTTGTTCCTCTGTTCATTGTGGTATGATGAATACAGTGTATAAATAAAGTATGAAAAATATCCATGTGATGTCTTATTTTGGTGGGAAAGTGGGCTTTTTCTGAACGTTACAGACCTTTGTCATTACTTTATAAAGATGCAGATAACTGGGCCACAAAGCTAAAGAAGTTGTACCAAACTTTAGATTTTGTTTATGTACTTTTAGGAATATTTTTGGAGTTAAACAAAAAGGGACAGAGACAGACACACAATGAACCAACAAGACAGAGGGGAAGACAGAGACTATATCCACACTGGGAAACGAGAAACAGGTGAGGTTAACAAGACACAGGTGAAACTCAGGAGTGATTAACAAAGGAGGAAAACTAGTGAAGTAAAACCAGACTAGAAACACAAGGAATCAACTCCTACAAAATAAAACAGGAAACACTGAAAACTGATATAAAGAATAAAACACAGAGAACAACCACCACGTAAATGTATGACACTAAATTCCGAAATATTTGGAGGCGAGTTTTGACGATTCACATCAAGCGCAATGCGATTTTGGAAAAAAAGACGCATCCCGTGTGGAAGCGAGAAGACTGACACAACAGCAGTAAAAAATCAGCCGGTCGGCCATGTTGGATATACCGGTGAATCAGACGTCGCAACAACACGAAATCTGATTGGTTAAAAGTGGACACACAGTATGCGAAACTTTTGAAAAATCGACCGTGATATGAAAGAATAATTGCTACTATATCGGAGGACGGGAAAACGTCACTGATGTGAACACCTGTATTGACACGATACGGGTTCGAAAAAAATGTTGACGTCCGAAATAATCGCACGAAAGAACCGCTCCCGGTGTGAAAGGACCTCAACCCTAACCCCAACCCCACAGATGATGATGTTTCACAGCTATTAAGAATAACCAATCGGAGTCCAGCACTTCTAGCCAAAAAAAATCGCGCCCCGGTCTCCCCTATTCATAGTTACAGGTGACTCTACAGACATTAGCCTGTGTGAAATATGAGCTGAGGGTGTTCCCACTTTATTTAAGGACACGGAGTCATTTATTTCTAAGTTCCTGTTTGTTTGTTTTTTTGTTTTTCTGCGCACGTAAAATACGACACTTTATCTGCACGCTCTCTCACTTCCTGTTAGAGCAGAGCTGTCCATGGTCCTCTCTCTCTCTCTCTCTCTCTCTCTCTCTCTCTTTCTCTCTCTCTCTGTTTGGTTGATGTGCACGAGCCTCTGACTCGCCTCGTGCCGTCACACTGTTATTCTCACGCGCTGTTGCTGCTCACTGTTGCACTTTTTTAATGCTGATATCGACACCGATATTCAGTCTCAGCATCAATTTTTGGACTTAATCATTTTTCCTCCGTATCGTCTTTTAAGGAGAGGACGGGTTCGAGTCCACGAGTAGGAGAAAGAGCGGGAAACACAGCTGAGACTGGAACAAACTACTACAAACAGTGAGTATTATGGTCATTCATTAAAAATGAAGTTTAGATAAAAAACTGTTGCTTATTGTTTGCTTGGTTGATTTGAAGGTGGTGTCTGAGCTCTGAAGGATTGTTGAGACCTGATGTGGAGTATTTTAAAGATACTGTAAGGAGTTTTTTGATGGTTATGAAGCAGACTGAATCAACACTGATGACTCTAAACGGGGCAAACACTCAAAGATAATAAAGCTGTTTTTGTCCTGATTTCCCCCCTCCCGACCAAGGACAACAATCGGAAGATTATCTTACGTCTTCTGAGATTATCATCTAAGATTATCCTGTGGTCTGAGGTGTATTAAGAGTGAATTTACCACGATAATTGGGTCTGAAACGGGCCGACAATCTTAATTATTAAACTTGTTCAATATTTACGACCCAAATCCTTTACGTGTGTCGGGAAAGCCGAGGACTTCTGAGTCATGACTCTGTGAATTGTCACGTGAAAAGGAATCTAGCCAATCAAGAAGCCTGCTCTGTCATTTATCTGTCAACATAATACAAACGAATGGCTTAAACACAATTTAATGTGCACAATGTCTCTTTCTTGATGGCTGCCAGATTAATTCGTTTACTGGGATAATCACACCAGCCATTAGCTTAATTCGAGAACAACTCACCTCTAGCTCGCTCAGTAGACTATAAACGACTAATTATGTTGCGCTTTGTGTTTCCCAGTTGTTGCTACATTTCTTCTTCTTCGTTTTTGTTAGATCATGTTTTATCACGCAAGATTTCTATCTTGGAGGACTAGATTCTAGATCTAGGTGCTGATTCGGTAGTTGATAACCAAACAGTGATAGTGTAAATTTAGAGGAGTGGTCCTGGTTCTGCTGGTTACCACGGCCTAAAAACAGCAGATATACGATGAAGAAGTGGCCTAACAGGAGCTCCCTGGAGATGGTAAACTACCTTAGCAGGCTGCCAGTTTGCGCCTACAGCCTTGCCGACCACCACCACACAACACTCACAATCATACACCAGTGGAGGACACACACTGGGAGCAAGGCGGGTTAAGTGTCTTGCCCAAGGACACAATGGACAGACTCGGGATAGGGGGGGAATCAAACCGCCAACCTTCCAGTTATTGAACGACCGCTCTATTGGCCTTATTTCAGTGGTTCTCAACAATTTAAGACATGACCCCAAGAGTGACATCGTAGGTGTTTGCATCATCAACTCCTATACTTGAAGCACAGGGGATTACTCTGTGACTTTGGAGCCAGGACCAGAAATCTTGGATCGCATCCCTAGGACCCTTGAGTTGTTGAAGCTGCCAGGGTTAGAGTTTCAGTTCATCTATAAAAAGGCAGATCTTGGTAATCCATGTAAATATAATCTTAATACATCTTTCTTCTCTCAACAACAACCTGGCGACCCCAAATAAGGGCAAGACCAAAGGTTGAGACTATAAACTCCATCCATAAAAATGTTTCCCTGAGCTGATGGATCTAAATCATCCGTTTCCAGTCCAAATGAGTTCATACTTTCTGATCTCTCTTGTACATTTCCTAATAAATGATTTTAAATCTAACGTCCAACCTTTTTCAAGAATCTTGTCCTGATTCCAGTAGGAGTTTGAGGCTGTTTCAGAAACATTAGGCTTGAGTTTTCTCTCCTCCTCTCCAGATTTCTCCTGATTTTAACCTCAGACTCCCAGACCTTTTCCCCCCGCCGTCACCATGAGTGCATGCAGCAGGAAGGCTTTGACTTTGCTGAGCAGCGTCTTCGCAATCAGCGGGCTGGGGCTGCTGGGAGTGGCGGTCAGCACCGACTACTGGCTGTACCTGGAGGAGGGCGTCATCATGCCCTTAAACCAGAGCACCGACATCAAGACCTCGCTGCACTCCGGCCTCTGGAGAGTCTGCTTCCTCGTCGGTAACCAGACGTGTGAATGTGGTTTCTCTGAGCTCCTGCAGTTTGACAGTCAGTGTGTGAATCGGTTTGTGTCACATGACGAAGAAAGATAGTCAGTTTTTCTGACACAAGTACTGAGTGAGCATGAGAGTGAATGTGTGTGTGTGAGAGAGAGAGAGTGACTGTGATTTGTGTGGAATACAAGAGGCAGAGAGCGCCAGAGAAATGCAAATTGTCTCTTTATTTTTATCCTTTCTTGGCGTAATAGTCTTCGGTTTTTGCTCGCTTACTCTTGGCTCTGTTATTTGGTTCATTTTCACATTTTCTGCTCATTCTGAGCCGAGTTTTACCCTTTTTTTCCTGCCATATATCAGCCTGACTGTACCCTCCCACTGCCAAAGAAGTTTGGATGCAGTGTAAAATGTGACAGTTTGCAAATCCTTAAAACCCTATAATTAACCGTAAGTAGAGTAAAGACAGCATATCAGTGTCAAAACCAAACAAATTTGTTAATTTTGTGAAAAATTTTAACTTATTTTAAAATTTGGTGCCAGCAATCACCGTGTAAAAGTTTAGGAGAAACTCAGGAGAGCAGTTCTGAACTTTTACGAATGATTCATCAGACCAAACGACGGTTTTCCACTTCATCTCTGTCGGTCTTAAAAAGGCACAGGGCCGGAGAAGTTTCTAGATCATGGTTCAATTTTTTTAAGATATATCTTTGGGTATTTTTTTTTATTTTTTAGAAATCAAAGCAAAGGGATTGAGGGTGGAAATCAAACATGCAATCGCTGCAGAGGACTACAACCTCTAAATGTGGGTCCTGTGAGCCGCTAGACCATGAGCAAGCGACAAAGTGTGCTTTCTCATGCAGTGATTTCCACTACAGAGTCACTTTTTCACAGTTTCATGTTTCTGAAACAATCAAAATTCGTATAGGTAATTTACACAGCATGGTTTTCTGAATGGAGTTGTTGTATCTGTGTCACAGTCCAGAGTTAAACAAAAAGGGAAAGGACCCAAGATGCAGAACAGAAAAATGTTTTTATTTTAAAATGAATGAAATAAAAAAGACAACAAAAAGAGGCGTACGCTCACAGACAGACATACAATGAACCAACCAGGACAGAGGGGAAGACGGGGACGATATACACAGAGGGAAACGAGCAACATGTGAGGCAGACGAGACACAGGTGAGACTCATGAGTGATTAACGAAGGAGGGAAACTAGGGAAGTAAAACCAGAATCAACTACTACAAAATAAAACAGGAAACACTGAAAACTGATCTAAAGAATAAAACACAGAGAAGAGGAGGGAAAAAGGGTCAAAGACAAACTGAAAACTCACAAGACTGGACTACAGGAGAACAGAAACAACACAGAAAATAAACTCAAATAACAAAACCAGTGAAAAACTACATCAGAAGAACAGATCATGACAGTCTGACTCCTTCTTAGTGCCTCTGTGTCCTCTTTCTTCAGGTGAGGAGTCCGGTCGCTGCTTCACCATCGCGTACATCATGCCCATGAACGTCCAGCTGACGTCAGAGTCCACCGTGAACATGCTCAGTGAGTATCAGCGAAAAAGCAGCCGGTTGTATCTTTACGGCCGAAACCCTTTTTTCTCTGATAATAACGAGGAATGTTATCTGAACGTAACCAGACAGTGGAGTCTGACTCATCGGAGCCCTCGTGTTGTTGTCCCGCTCCTCTCCAGAATACTTATAGCCCTCTCACAGCCGGTTCACCTCAGAAGTCCTTCAGAGTGGCTGAGAGACCTCGCTTTACTACAGGATGAGTCAGTGTAATAAGCGCTGATATTTAACTCCATTCACCGATTGGATGACGTTCAAGTGTTTCAGTTTTATCTTTGTCCCAAGGTTAATCGACTGTAGCTCTAAACAAAACCAACAAAAGGCCTCATAGTTCCTCTTATTTCATCGTTTCAGAGATGATCCGCTCAGCCACTCCGTTCCCGCTGGTCAGCCTCTTCTTCATGTTCATCGGCTTCATCCTCAACAACATCGGACACGTACGACCTCACCGCACCATCCTGGCGTTTGTCTCTGGGATCTTCTTCATCCTCTCGGGTACATCAAAATTTCCCCTCCTTTATCTCTCGTCTCTGCATCTGTCTTTTCTCTCATACTTCCTATCATTTTTCCCTCCGTCTGTCAGGTCTGGCTCTGGTGGTGGGTCTGGTGCTGTACATCTCCAGTATAAATGACGAAATGCTGAACAGGACGAAGAGCAGTGAAGCTTATGTGAGCTACAAGTACGGCTGGTCCTTTGCCTTCGCTGCCATCTCCTTCCTTCTCACTGAGGTAAGACGGCAACAAATTCTGCAAGTTACAGCTACTAAGATCTGAAGAATTGTATTAGCCTACAGAGAAATATCTGATCTAGCATTATTGAAGTTGAAGCGCCAAAAAGGTTCTTAGGTGGGTAGTTGGGGTTCCTTCTGGGAGGAACTTTTGAGGTAGGGACTTGCAGCGAGCGTGCACGCATTCAGAGGACTCTTCGGCCCAGTCCCAAACTCGCCCTTCACTACCGAGTGTCACTCATAATGAAGTTACACTCCAAGCTGTGGAGTGTGTCTCAATTTAAATAGGAGGGTATAAACAAGTTGGGCAGGTATGGGACGACCTCCTCACTCCACTGGAAAATGGAAAGATCCATCGCCATAGCAACACAAAGACGCATCCTGTGCATGGCAGCGTTTCTTTTCTTAGTAACGGGCATCATGTTCAGTTCTGAGCCGCACATTCAAATCATAAATCCAGTAACCGTTACAGTGACAGGAGCTTTGGACCCCTTTACTATTTGACATGTGACCCTAAATTAATTTAACGCTGGAATATCCCTTTAAATGACGCATATATGGGTGTTTATTTCTTTTATACATATCAATCTGTTGTTTTTAGAAGTTGTCATGGTGAAGAACCGAAGCGCATTGGACTGAAAGGCTTATTAATTCATTATTGAGTGTGTGTTTGTGTTTTAATTGAATTCACCTGAGTACATCAGGAAAAGTGAGTGTCCAGCACCCTCTAGTGGTCAAAGTGCTGAAATGCAAATGTCATTGTTTAAATCTTACAAAAACCAAATGTTGCTGTCCTGCAGTACAGTATAAATATTTTACTTTGATATATATTCTCATGTGTGTCTGTATTCTCTCCGCAGAGTGCAGGCGTCATGTCTGTCTACCTGTTCATGAAGCGTTACACAGCGGAGGAGATCTACCAGCCTCAACACCCCAGCTTCTACCGCCCCCGCCTCAGCAACTGCTCCGACCACTCGAGTCAGTTCCTCCACCCGGAGGCCTGGTCACGCGGGCGAAGTCCCTCTGACATCTCCAGCGACGCTTCTCTCCAAATGAGCACCAGCTACCCCGCTCTCCTCAAATGTCCCGACTACGATCAGGTGTCCTCCTCGCCCTGCTGAGGGGTCAGGGAGGTCGCCAAGGATGGCCTGCTGAGGACAGAGTTTATTATCTAATGAAAGAAAAAATGGCGGACATATGTGCAGCTGTGGCCTCACTGAGGCCCACTGACTCTGAAAATAAGACCTGCTGAGCTGCCTGTGGAGGTTCGGGGTCAGAGATGCTTTTGGGGAATTTGTTATCCTTGTAGATCCTGCATTTTTTCTAGATCAAGACGAGGTTTTAAAATGTACAGGGTTATCGTATTTTTCCGATGATTATAAAATCAGGGAGACAGTAGCTCACCTCTGAACTTCATCTCTTTTTTGTGTTTATCTGTATCACTGCAGTCTGTGCTCTAGCGCCTCATAGATGTTTCTGTCTGTGGATCATTTTGCGTTTTCAGTGAAAAAATAAATAAACGCTTCTTACGGGACAGACGTTCAAATATGACCTTGTCAGTCTCAGTGAGGTTAAAAACAAGACTATAACACTGCGGCGTGGTGTGGTGTGGTGTGGTGTGGTGTGGTGTGGGCATGGTATGCAGTGACATGGTGTGGTTTGGGAGGTTGGACATGGTATTACATGGTGGGACATGGCTTGGAGTAGAAAGACAAGACTTGACATGGAGCACTGTGGTGTTGCATGGAGTTGCAGGCATGGCATGGCGTGGACATGGTATGTAGTGACATGGTGTGATGCGGGGGGCTGGGCATGGTATGTTGTGGTGGGACACAGCTTGGAGCACAATAACAAGACAAGACTTGACATGGAGCGCTGTGGTGTTGCATGGAGTTGCACAGCATTGCGTGGTGTGTGGAGTGGCATTGCGTGACATGTAAAGTGGCATGGAGTGGTCTGGTGATCTTGGAGTGTCAGGTAGCAGTGCTGTGGTGTTGCATGGAGTTGCATTGCGTGGCATTCCACGGCAATGCGTGACGTGACCTGACCTGGGGGCACATGACGGACCTCACGCAAGGTTTTGCTGTCAGGCATGATGTGAATTAGTTAATGCCATTACATATAACGATGTAACATAATGTAACATAGGACCTTACCTATTATAACATGACATGTTTTAGGGTCATGTGATGTTACTTACTGTAAATCACCTGATGTGACGTATCCTGCTGTGATGTAACAGCACGTCTAATAAAGTAACATGACATCCTGTAACACACTGTAACGTTACATGAAGTCACACAGTGTAAAGTAACGTCAAGTGGTGTGATGTGATTGGTCAAACAGCATCATTTCATAATGTCACGTTACTCTACATACGGTGAGGTGGAGTGATGTCCCAGCCATAGTACTAGACACCAAACATCTTTTTAACTTTGCCTAATTTCTTTAGCAAAGAAACTAAACACAACTCACCCACTCTCTTCCAGCAGTTGTTTGTTTGTATAGAGACCTCAGGGCGAGTCCATCACGGACAACGGCGGGGTGACGCAGCTCAAGGAAGAACATTAATGGTTTTTACTTAATGAAAATACAATCAAGGCAATCAAGGCTAAGGCAGAAGAAGTACTGCATCTGCAGTGTAAAACGATTAATATGATGATTATTACTTCAAGGAGATGATAAAGAAATGATCATAAATGTTCTTAATTTTACGCCGGAATATCCCTTTAAAGCAGGAGGCAGGTTATAATCAGCCTCTTCTCTCTGATTGGCTCTTAGATGCTTCTGCACCATAAATGAAGTTTATATTTAATAGTCTTGAAGCACGTTTTTTTTTTTTCTACTCTTCAAAAATGTAAAAACAGTTCAAGTGTTTGACGATAAAGACATTTTGTGAATCAATCAGACACAATTCAGGCAGAAATTCAAACTAAACCTAAAAGTAACTGTCTCTCATTATTGGACAGACTGATTAATCCAGGTGTGACTGATCATTGTGATGACTCAGACACACCTGGATTAATCAGTTTGTCCAACAATGTCAGACAGGATATAAAGGAGCAGCCTTATAGTCAGGAAGTAGTGGATCGGTGCACAGAGCCCATTGATTTGGCTTATATTTAAGTGCCAGCAGAGGGCGCTCCCTTCGCACTTTTCCTGCTCGCCATCCTCCCACCTCCTTCCTTCAACTTTCCTGCTCTTCCTCACATCCTCCAAGTTCACCTCGTCCTCGGCATTAAACCCAGATTCTCCACATGGTTCAGGATCTCACAACATACATTTAAACGCTCGTAACAGCACGTCTACAAGAAGTTTCTCCATAATTCATTAATGAAAGCTCATTACTTATGCAAATATGTAGGTCAAGACCAGCATCAATAATGAATACGCCATGCCTAGCTTTATGTATACTTTATATAGATACACGTAATGTACAACGTGACCAAGAGCTTTTACAGAGAATATAAAAGTTAATATGAGAAGATAATATTCAGCCCTGACCACAAGGCTTTTTAAATTCATTTCAAAATCACATAGAAAACTACTGGTTTTATAATTTTTTGACATCATCATCATCATCATTATTATTATTATTATAATTATTATTATTATCACTGATAAAACTTCACTGTAATCATCATCATTAACATCAAACATCATAATCTTTATAATCTGTATCATCACTGAAAATACAACCATCATTCTCTCACTAGTCATGGCTTTTGAACGGCAACATCACAGTTATTGATCGCTGTTATAATCTTCATCTTCATCATTATCTGTTTGTTTTTTGTTTTTCATGATTATGTTTAAGGCTTTTGCAAAGAAGACCCCAAACGTCAGCTGATGCAAACTTCCGCCCGTCGGCTCAAACATGTTACACAGAGTGTGCATACCACATCAAAGAGACCAGAGAACCTATACAGTATATATACACATACATAACTTAAGCATACGTCGTTGAACATTTACAGAGTGTAGTAAAACCGGTTCACAAATGAAAATAAATACAAAATGAAGAGTCGGTTATATTCATATGTACTTGGAAAGGAGAACACAAAAGCAAGCAAGGATTCTTAGGATTACAAACCAAACAGGATCACGGCAACACATGGACCTTCACTGACAGACTGTAGGTCATGGACGTAAAACGAAAAGCTCAATAGGACTGGTTCCCTACTGGACCGATGCACAGACATAAATAAGAAGACTGAAAGGACTTTTCATAAAGAAAGTGTCTTTTTTCTCAATTATAATCCTTAAGATTTGTTTGATCTGAAAAGAAATTAATTATGGATCAGCGGGAGGAAGGTGGGACGTCTAACTGTGTAAATATGCACCGATATTTCATACTATGGCTTTTATTTTGAAGGAGTCACTCTCTATAAATATTTAGGTATGCTTTGCCTTTGCTTTAAAAACATTAAAGGTCCTTACACACAAACCGGAATATTTTTTCATGAGATTTTTTCGGATGAATGGTAGGGGAAGGTCCCGCCCTCCTTTGCCTCTGGTTGGCTAGAAGTGCTGGGCTCTGATTGGTTATTCCTAATAGCTGTGAAACATAATCGTCCGTTGGTTGAGGGTTAGGGTTAAGGTCCTTTCGCACCAGGAGCATTTTTTTCATGCGATTATTTTGGACATCAATATTTTTTTTGAACCCGTATCCTGTCAATATAAGCGTTCACATCAGCGACGTTTTCCCGTCCTGCAATGTTGCGGCATTTATTTTTTCAGATCACAGTTGAATTTCCTAAAGTTTTGCATACTGTGTGTCCACTTCTGACCAATCAGACTGCGTGTTGTTGCGACGTCTGATTCAAGTCAAAATTCGCCTCCAAATATTTCTGAATTTCGTGTCATACATTTACGTCATTCCTGGTGTGTAAGGACCTTAAAGGTCCTCAGTGGTGGAAACAGGAGAAAGATGGCGACCCTCTACCTGTGAAGAACTTTCACTTGGTGCAGATTTTGGCGCCAAAATCTTGTCCTCTTGATATGAGGATTATTTGGCGTCGAATTCATAGCGGTGTGCAGCCACTCGTTGGAGATAACCTTCAGAGTCTCCATACTTACACTTAAGTAACGACAGTGTCTGCTTCATTGCAACCATGTAAATCTGATTGGCTGCAGAGCAAACAGCTGCAGATTCAGGCCCCATCTGCTGTGAGCTCCAGTTAACACAAAAACTGACTAATCAACCCAGATGTGAAATCTTAAGGATTATAACTTTGAGTCCAAAAAGCAAGTTTCATCTGAAGCCTCGAGTAAAGCTTCTCTTCTGCTCAACTCAAACAAAAACAAAAAAAAGAAGTATGCACGTTTCCGAAACTCTCTGCTCCACACAGATCAGCGAAATCAGCCCAGCTGACTTCAGGAACCGTCGTGTAAGCCGGCGCTGTTTTCTGAGGTTACTCTGAGCGGGGCTTCAGTCATGGCACCTGTAGAGAAGTATTCAGCATCAGAGTGAGATGGTGGAGTCATCCAGGTGAGGTGTCCACACACGATTGAGTCCTCTTCTGAAACTGCACTCACACATCTGAACTCTTGACTTTTTTTCCGTAAAGCACAGTGGAGGGAACGCTAGCTTAACTTTTGCACCCATACTGCAAAATGTGTGTGCACTGATAGCATGCACACAGCTGCATACACACACATACAAACACAAACATATTGGTCTATAGTAACCCACATGCATGCATGTGCACCTGAAACATGGCAGTTGTGCTTTAAAAAGACCTAGAAACATGTTCTGAGTATGAGAGGGGGAGGTAGGGGGTGTGTGTGAGATGACAGGAGAACAAACCAGCTGATTGGTCGTTCACGTTTCGCTTCATGCAAGTCCACATATCCGAGCTTCCTGAAGCTGCGCTGTCACCCCTAGCGGAGAACTGAAGTTTGTGAAGTCTTTTCTGGGGTCGACAGTCATTTCTGCGGTCGAACAGAAACACGGTGTGTAGTTTCTGAGTTCATGAGCTGAAGGAGAGAAAGATGGCGGGGCTGGAGGTCGAGAAGATTGTCCCTTTTCACTTCTTGTTGGCGATGCGTCTCTTCCTGGTGGCCAGCATGTCGTAGAAGGGGTCTCTGCTGATGCTCGCCCTGGAGAAGAAGCCAATCAAAGGACGGCGATGAAATAAATAACGAGGCCACATGAGAGGACAGTCTTGAGCATCTTTGATATGGAAATGTGGGCACATTTATACAAACCCCTGCCTAACTAGATCAAAAAAAAAGAACAAAGTTTGTGCGGTGACCTAGTTTGGTTTCCATGGTTTCTGAAGAGGAACCCCCTCCCCTCCCCTCCCACCTCTAAGTTTTTACTCCACTTTGCAGGAACCTCCTCAAACAAGAGTAAAACACACAAACATGCTAACTCTCCACCTGCTCCTCTACACGCCTGTAAACCTGGAGGAGAGCGAACAATGTCGCTGGAGATTATCGAGTCGAGAGCATTCTCCCGCTCCCCTCCCGTACAATGAGAGCGCGTGAGTCAGGAAGCCATTCGGGCTCTACCGAGGAGCCCAGTTTCACGGCTGCTAAATCCTGTTAGCACCAGCACAAAGCAAGAAGAGGCTCAACCCCCCACTGCGGATATCTCTGATTCCCTTTACAACGCCACACGCCGAAGAATGAGGCACTGTATGATGACTATCCGGCTCTTTGTCGTTTTGCACAACCCAATTTCAAGAGACAAAAACTCTATTGTGGAGGGATCCAATCCACACCCAGCTAGAATGACTTACTCAGAATAACGTTTCCACAATTATGTCTAAAACCTGATCTATTTTAAAAGATTCAGAAGTAACAAACACGCAGACACGTGTTTTTCTCTCTGCAGGAACTCATCAGGAAAACTGCTCTACTTCCTGCTCTGGCCCCCTTTAGTCCACAATCATCTGGATCTGTGTGTTTGTGACTGAAGATCAGAAGAAAGAGCGCTGCCTCTCTGATCATCTCCACTTTAGAAGAAGGGGGAAATCAGGATTTCCATAAAGCGCCTTTTATCTCCCCAGACCTTCAGTCCTCTTGGACCCCTCTGGTGAAGCACAAGCTGTGGCTCGTTAGCCTCCCTGGCTGCAAACGCATCGGCCCAGTTTGGAGCTTCCTCTCCTGGATGGGTTTGCTGGGTTTGCTGGCTCACCTCAGGGTGCTATAAGCGGTGACTAATCCTCCATCATTCCCCCGGTGAATACTCTCAGAGAGTATGAGTAGAGGAGGAGGAGGAGGTGGAGGAGGGGGAGGGGATTGCACTATATTACAGTATACAAGTGTTCTGTTCTGCTGAGCCAACTCTCTTTGACATTGCACCATCTTTACGCCGGCGATTACAGAGCAACATTTAGGTCACCGACAGAAACGCTGCTATTACTGAGAGCTACAGTGTGGAGTGATTCAAACAGCATCAAAAACACACATTTGTTCTCTGCTGTGCTATCAAAATTAATATTGTACAAGCAAAAAGGAGAGATTTGGTTTGCTTTTGAACCCACAGCAGTCGAAGTTTGCTCTACGCTGTTTTCAGTTTTTATAGACAAGATAACGAAGGAGGAAAAATGTGGACTTTGAATTAAATGAGCTGAAGTTATTGAAATAAAACATTTAAATGCTGGTTCATATCCTTGTGGGGAAAGTTTGGCACCAAAGGAAGTCGCCTTTTTCAACAAGAAGGAAGACCTGATTACAGCGGCACAGAAACTCCACTATCAGTATTAACTATCCAGCTTTATTACTCATAAACCGGCTGTGAGAGACACTTGATTCTGATTGGTTATCAACGCTAAATCACAAAGGGAACACTTATCCCTGGACAGGACTCACAGTACATCTGATTCCACTGAGACATCAACCAAAGTGAAGAAAACAAATACAAAGTAACCTCAATTGAATTTTGAATTTTCCTAACTGACTACATTGAAAAAAATATATATATATTTTTTCAAATATTTCTTTAATATTTTTATTATTAAAAAAAAAAAAATATATCATTGAATATTCTTTAAAAATACATATTTTTAAAAATTGTATTTTTTAATATCTATATTTTTTCCTAACAGACAATATTGAATTTTCCTTCGGGGATCAATAAAGTTATTGTTATTCTCATTAAAAAGGGCAAAACTGGACTGGCTAAGAGGACAAAATCTCTACAGACTTAAAGTTAGGTCGAAGGAGCATTTATATTTACTTTTATTTTCTGAATCATTTCAAAATGCCGATGGAAAAACAAAAAAATTACAGTGGCTAAATAAAGTTCAGTAAGATGGAACTTAAAGGGATATTTCGGCATAAATCTAAGTTATGGTCAAACACACCATAACAGCCCTGATGAGTCGATCACCGAATACAGCGGAGTTTCGCAGCTCAAGGCGTTTTGGTTGAGGTGTGCATGTGGAGACGTAGACCGCTGTGTACTGCTATCGTGCGCTCGTTACTAAAGTTACTAAGTTGGTATAACTGGAGAAGCAAGCGGTCGGCAACATTCATCTCTCAACGGGGTGTCTAACTTGGTGTTACGGTGTCTTTGACCATAACTTAAATTCATGCCGGAATATCCCTTTCAGGACAAGTGAAAATCCAGGGAGAATGTATTTAAAGGGGCATTTCAAGATTTCTGGAAACTCAAGCAGACTTGTGATGGAAATGTTCTTGTCTGTTGAATGTGAAGACGGAAAAACTACCTCAGCATACAGACTGGAAACAACGGAAACTGCTGGCTGTACTTTATAAACCGCTCTGATTTATGTCTCCATCAGTCGGCGGAAAACAGAGTTTTTTAACTGAAGATTTGCAAAACATTAGGATGACAAAGAAAAAGAAACTTTCTCCGCTAACTGCCGGGATAAAAGTGTAAAAACACGTCAAACTTTCTCTTTGAGTGTGCTTGTGAGGAGTCTTACTTTATGGATTTAATCCACTCCTCTTTCTCCTCCGGCGTGGGCGCTGATATCCTGTACACCACATGGTTTCCCTCAACAACACGACCGTCCGCCTCGGTCTTGCAGGCTTTGATCACCTGGCCTTTGTGATTGGGGTTATAGAGCTCGAAACAGTTCTGGAGGACAAACAGAAAGAGCGGATCGGTTATACCGCGACGTAAATAGATGCCAAGTCGTCTTTGACACATGAACACAGGGGAGAGGGTGCTTGTTGTGTGAGCCGAGGGTGAGGTCTATAATGAGGCAACACTCACTGGTTTCCTGGGCTCCTCTACCTCCCTGATGCTGAGATTCTCCAGAGGGATAATCCCACGAGGCTCCTTGTCCTAAAGGAGAGAGGGGGAAAAAAAACACGAGAGATGAGAGAAAAACAACCGAGGGAGCTGAAATAGAGTGAAAGAGAGAGTGAAGGGTGGCAAGGTAAGAGACAAACAAGACAGAAAACAGGCAAAGAGAAAGCGTCCTTCCTCCCCCTCACCGCTCTTTAACAGAACAGATAATGTGTTTGTGGAGCAGTGAGACCAGAGGACAGGACATAATGATAGTGTCCTGGAGGATAATTCTAGGGCTGGGAGAGGACATTGCTGATGTAGCAGATAAAGAGGACACAGAGGCCCTGAAAATAAAATAAAAAACCCTCAACAAACATTCAGACATCGACCTAATGAGAGTGACACCATTAGAAAAACACGAAAACACATCTGGACGCCAACTGTCACTGAAGAAAATGAGCCGAGGAGGAGGAGAAGGAGGATTTTATCTCGTTTTCTTAGTAGGACACTCACCGTTGTGTATTCAAAGTAGTAGAGGCAGTTGTCGGTCAGGATGAACCACCTCCTCTTCCAGGTTTTCACTCGCCCCCCTGACAGGAAGAGACAGAGGAGACAGGAAGTGTCACAAAAGGTCGCATCGACAGACCGGCTGTCTCCCACCAGGAAAAAGAGCCGGGATGTGACACTCGTTTACAAAGCCTGCCCACATCCACAGGATTACCCCACTCTACTGAACCTTAACACGCAAATGTGTAAAGTTAAAGAAAGACAAAAAAAAAGACCCCTTCAGTTACATCCACACGCCATCAGTTTCTGTTCGTCTTGTAACAGAGCTGCTAAATACTGCACACTCCAGTGTTTCCAATCGATTTATGATTACAGTCCGAGACGAGCTGGTTGTGGATTTGTTTCTTTTTGTGTTCTCAGTGGATTTACAAGCAGAGTGTTTCTGCTGAGAACGGCCTTATTATTATCTTCCGCCTGAGTAAATGATTCTGTACGAGCGCTCTCTAAAAACAGTATGAGATCTCTGCATCTCTGCTGATCTGATAACAAAAAAAAACAGAAGATGCAAAAAACACGAGGGAAGGAAAAAGCTTCAAATCTGCACTTCAAGTTAAAGGATATTCCGGCGTAAAATTAATGTAGGGTCAAACACACCATAACACCGAGTTAGACACCCCCTCCAGAGATGAATGTTGTCGACCGCTTGCTTCTCTAGTTATACCAACTTTAGTAACAACCGCACAATAGCAATACACAGCAGTCTGAGGAGCCATAAACAAACCTCAACCAAAACACCACTCTATAGCCACAAATAATGCTCAGAACAGCACCTAACTTCATCAACAGGACATGTAGGGTCCCAGCTACCAAACATCTTTTTAACTTTACCTAATTTCTTTAACAAAGAGACTAAACACAACTCACCTACTCTCTTCCAGCAGCCGCTTGTTTGTAGCGAGACCTCAGGCCAGTCCATTACGGACAGCAGCGGGGTGCCGCAGCTCAAGGAAGAACATTTATGATAATTTCTTCATGGAAATACATTTAGACTGAGACGCTAAGACAGAAGAACTACCGTGAAAAATGATTAATATGGTGATTATTACTTCAAGGAAATTATAAAAAAACGATCATGAATGTTCTACCTAAGGTTTGTCCACAGCTCCATAAGCTTTGCTGGCGAAAGCGGGATTTATGACCTACACTGCAGCCCATCAACAGAGGGTGCTGTTCTCGGAGTGGCTTCACCCAGCAAGGAGGCAGACTCTGTCCATTCTATATACAGTCTATGGTTTGACCCAATTAATTTTACGCCGGAATATCCCTTTAAAGTGATCCATATGCAGGCCTTTGAGACAAAAGAAACCCCAGATTGTGATTCTAATGAACCTCCTAACTTTGAGCTTCGTTAACTTAAGTGATGACTCACGCCGCTGATGAATTATTCCTGACTTTGCTTATTCATTTTTAAAGGTAACAGGATAAAACGCTCTGAAGAGAGGCGAGAACAGCGCTTGATAAGAACCCAACCTGGCATCCAAAGTCCCCCTCCCCTAAAGCTACACACATGTAGACGGGGACATTAACGCACAACACACATATACACACACTTAACCCCAGAGCGAGTTCAACTCCTCACGTGTTAACTACAAGCAAAAAAAAAGAAAAGAAAAGACAGTCAGACGAGTTTGTTTGAGGCAGAAAGAGTCGCTCCAGAGACGCTGAGGAGGCTCTTTTTTTGTGTAAGAAGTGTGCACACATGAGGGAAGCATGCTCAAAAGTGCAAACATGAAGACGGCGTTTTCTGTTTGTGCTCCGACCTCGCATTCCCGATTAGTTCCTCTCAGCACTAACCATCCCTTAAGGTCACAGCTCTTCTTTTTTTAGTGCTGCAACACTTCCCCGCTTCTCATACAGGCCGCACATTATTACAAGTGCTCAGGGTTCCCTTACATTTTAATAGATGCCGGCTATTGAATTAGCGTGGCCAAATTTCCGCTCGGCGTACAGAGAGATTTGCTAAAGAAGGCATTTATTCCTTCACATCCTCCAGGGTTTATTTTGGGAGAGTTAAATTAGAAATATTACGGTGCGAGGAAAGGCTCCGGGGAGGAAGCGTACTGGAATGTAATCATGTTAGGTCTGTGAGCCACAATGGGGCTATTTGCATTCATACGCACTGGTTTGATGAGACAACAGAGACGCTGCCCAGAGTTGGAGGAATGTGCAGGTCAGAGCCGCCGCCGCCGCTGTGCGTGTGTGTGTGAACATGGTCATAAACCTGATCACCTGCAGAGAGTTTGACCTTTGACAAACTACGTTAGAGCTTCTAAACAGGTTTACGCCCGACAATAAATCAACTATTTATCAACTGGGATAAACGGCGTTAAGTAAAAGCTGCTGAGACGCGGCGTAGGTGAGTAAAGTCTTGCCCGAGCGGCAGGAGGAGACGTTTTTAACGTGGTGTGAATTACAGAGCGAGGGAGCGAGGGGCCAAATCAGAAACACGTGTAAATAAACAGGAACAAATGGTGTAACAGCAGAATTAGGACTAAAACTGGATTACCTCACTGGGAAGGCATACGAAACTATCCCATCCCTGGAGCTCACACACACACGCACACACTCAGACACACACACACACACACACACACACCAACTCACAAATAATTACAGAGTGTGTTTCTATCCAAACTGCATTAAGGGGATTTTCACAAGTCAGAGTCTGGATGTGTTAACTTTGTACACACACGCACAAACAACTGGCCTGCACCTTTTAGGCTGTAACACGTCATGGTAACATATTATTGTGACCTTACTTATCACGATCTAGTTCTACTAACACCATGGGGTGAGTGAACATGTGCTTCTTTTTTGTTTTGGTGGTGCTACAAGTTAGCATGGCGTCATAACCTCTACTAAAAAAAAAGAGGTGTATGTTTCCTCCAAGCTGTATGTGCATTTATGATCAAAACTAAAACGGCAAAAACAATAACACTTTCGTTGTTGTTGTAATGTGAGTAATCACAATAATGCTGCAAAAGTCTAAATTTGACACATTTTCATGCAAACATGCCACTTTCATCAAAAGTTCATCTAAACATAATTTTAATGCAGCAATATACAACTCAAGCTGCCCTCAAAGTATCTGGAGACAGTTAAAGCTCCTGTGAGCAACTTTTGGTTTGTGCCAAGTTTGGCGCCCCCTGTGGACAAAGCAGTATTTGCTTTTCTTGCCCTCTACATACTCAGGTAGTGATTTTTAACCCCAGAAATCTCATCCTGTTACCTTTTGAGAGTAAAATGTGTCATTTTAATGACAATATTTCAAATTCTTCTTACGTTCTTATGTGGTTCTATTTTGTTTTATGTTGTTGCTTCTATCTTGTTTTTTAAGATTATATTTATCTTTAATAATTGTATTTGTTTTACCAATTATTGGTACCATTTTATTTATTATCTTACGTATTTTTATCCTTTTAAATTGTTCACTTTTTAAACTTTTTTAATCCTATTTTATGCTTTTAGTTTTTCGCTTTAACTCCAGTGTCTTTTTAGGGGGGTCCTCCACACTGGGAGCTGTGTCTTGGCTGCTGCTGGGGGCGCTGCCACTGGGTCCCTTTGGCCCAGCTAGCTGTCGTCAGTCAGGGTCAGGGGGCCTGGGCGCTGGTGCCCCCGGTGTCACAGCCTGCGACTCCTCCCATTGTGGATGGCCTCAAAAGTGGTGCTTCCTCAATCCTCAGTGCCTATAAGACTGTCGTGCATCTGGCCACTTAACTTTTTACACACCGATCTTAAGTAGACATAAAAAAGATCTGCTTTTTACTCCTTCCTCCTTCTCATGAGACACCGACTCTCTCTCAAGTCCTCACTCAGCCGTGAGAATAAAGTCCCCGTTCAGGAAAGTAAGGAAGTAACCGAATCAAGTCATCATCCAGGATGTCTTGCGTTCCCTCAGCAGGGGAGACGCACACTAACCTAATTTCAGCAGCCAGCCTTCTCTGTCTGGGTTGAAGAACGTGTGCGTCAGGTCGTTCCCATCATCCTCTGGGATCTTGAAGGGTTCGCTTTTGATGCTGTCGTATAGATTCTGCACAGACAGAGGGAACGAAAACGTGTGAAGACACTTCTTTTTACATCTCCAAACAGCTTCAGATTAAGAGCGGGTTAAATAAGACTCTGTTTTCAGTGAGAGACTATGATTCATTCTTTAGTGACTCTGAGCTTTGGTACAAGTGTGTTGTAAAGCTCAGCTAAGGGCACTTTGGTGCAGACTGCAGAATACGGGTCCATGAACTTGTTTTTTTATGTGTTTGTCACGAGAGATCACAGAGGATCATTAGCGATGGCATCTGGGGAGGAGATTTCAATCTGCTGAGCTGCAGATGTCTCAATTAGTGACGCGTGACTCCGCTCTGCATGGAGGGAAATAATCCTACAGGTTTCTTTTTGGGGGGTAAATCATAAAACAGCGTTTATTTAAAGCAGCACTTTCATCTTTCAGTCGTCAAAGAGGCGCTCGGATATGTTTCTCGCCCACAATCCTTCAAACGCGGCTGATACATTTGTCACTCCTAACAAACTAATAAAGTCGGAGCTCTCACCCTGAGTAGCTCCTCTGGGAGGTCTCCCCCCTCGTTGATCCCTCTGTTCATGGAGATGAAGCGCTCCACGGGGGGCTTGTCTCTGACGTTGGGATTGTGCAGACTCGTGTTCAGCATGATGATGGCGAAGGATAAGACGTAGCAGGTATCTGTGGAGGCAGTTACACAGTCAGGGTGTCGCATAAAACACAGAAGCTTTGAGAGCGAGCGGGGGAACATGTTTCCTTCTTAAAGCCCGTATCAGTGACGTCTATTAGCTTGCCTCTAATGCAAGTTTTGTTTTTGTTTTTATCATGATTTAGTTGCATTTGTAAAGGTATAGGGCTTGAAGATGGAGATATATGGGGAAAGTTTAATTCTTTTCTATCTAAAGGAACCCTATTATTGCATTTTTCATCAAGTTTAAATCAGTCCCAGAGGTCCCACGATAGTCAATTTAAAGTTTGTTGTCCAAAACACCGGTAATTTGTGGATATCAGCCAGCCTGTCCTCCTCTCTTTTTGAGCTCCACCGAGAACGGGCTGATTCTGCGCCTGTACCTTTAAATAATAATGAGCTGTGTGTAACCACGCCCCTCTCTGAAAGGGTCTGCGGCTTGACTCCTGAAGGAAGTCAAACTCTGCGACATTTCTGAATAGTTTGTTACGAATATTGTGCGTCTTTAAATTTGTCTTTTTACTCTGTTAGTGTTATGTTACACTGCTAAATGGGTTAGCTTATCTGACGGCTACGTCTCCGCTGTCTCGTCGTTATTTTGGAGCTCTTCTGGTTATAGTTCTCTCTCGTGACCAACGTCGTTTTGGCGTCACGCAAAAAGACGGACGGAACGATAGGTTAGGACGGACAAAATGCTCCATCCATCTCCGTTTCTGAGCTTATTCAGTTATGTCGTCATAACCGCACAGTTTTTCCATTCGCTCATTTGCGCTCATGTTTTCAGAAAGGAGGGGAAAGCAAGAGAGGGAGAGAATGAAATTGCTTCGAGGAGATGAATATGATTGGTAGAAAACAACCCAAAAGTGGATTTTTCATTATAGGGGACCTTTAACAACAACCAACTTCTTCTTTTCCGTCCAAATGGTGCATTTCTTGCAGCCGCTCACAAACTGCAAACACACCAAAGCCTGTCACTAGTTTGTCTAGGAAACAGGCCTCTAAAAATAACAAAATCTAAACTTCTTTTAAAGCTCATAAGGGAAACTTTCTGTTTGTGTAGTTGTTGGCGCCCCCTGTGGACAAAGCAGGCTTTACTTATCTCCTTCAGGGTTACTGTATCTTTAAACTATAATGGCTTTACGTCGAAGCCTATTTGTTGATCTGTGTATCACACACTCACTCTCTTCTGCAGTTATGAACCCACACACGCTCACAGATCCATGATTCACTGCTGCATCATAACTCCAGCTAACCGTCCTCCACCAGCTCCAGTCTGAGTCCTCTGCGCCGTGATTTATGACCCTGAGCGCTCCGGTCCTGAGAGGTGACCAATAACTGGGTGTGTCACCGCTGCGCCACATCAATATTCATGACCTGAGCTGTCACCTGTGTCCTCCTCTACGCCCGCTCAGTTCACACAGGAGACCGCACTAATGACCACCATTGAGCGCTGATCAATTTCATTATCGCTGCTGGAGACGGGTGGAGGGATTACTCAGTGATTAGCAAGCAGGCTGCTGCTGACCAGGGCTGGAGGAGTACACAGACTGTTGGTCCAGTCGAGTCCAGCAAAGATCAAACCTTCAAATCCTCTGAAAAGAAATCACAGAGCTCATGTTGTGAATTCTGCAGAAATCTGCTCACAAGGGGAAGATCTACAGACCCCGAGCAGGTCCGACAGACAGTCAGAGGCATCGATCTGGTCTGGCTGGCCCAAAGTGTCTGACCTGGACTGCCTTGCTGAGTCAGACTGAGAAATACACTGCTGTGTGTGTGTGTGTGTGTGTGTGTGTGTGTGTGTGTGTGCGGTTGTGGTACCTGTGGACTGGAAGACGCCGGGATTGCACTGGCAGTACCTGGAGGCGAAGGCCTCCATCATTCGATCAATCTTCTGAGCCTCACCAGGAAGTCTGAAGCTCCACAGAAACTGCCTACAACGACACAGACACAGGAAACAGGCCTGATGAGGACTGTGGAGCTCCATGGAAATGAACTTCGATATCTGCAGGACATTTAAACCCCTAAAGAACCAGCTGACTTTAACGATGGGGTACCTGTTACAGACACGCTGACTCACTGACGATTTTTACATGTTTTTCCTGCTTTTAAGGTGGAGTAGGCAGGATTCTGTTAAAGAAGCATCTTTTTTTGTGGAGTATTTACAAAAAAGCTTTTGATATCAGTCAATAGTTATTAGTTATTGATGATATTTGGGAATATAACAATATCGCTGTGTTTTGTTACGTTTGTGTAGTCAACATTTTAAAATTTTTGAGCGGCCCGCTTTTTCTGATCGTAAACAAAGCCAATTTCTGCCTCCCCCCAACCTGATTGGTTTTGAGGCGGACGCTGCTCCTTAGTGCTGATTGGTTGTGGTGCACGCTCCATGTCCTCGAATAATGTTCACGAGCCCAAACAAAGTTAGCGTGATACAAAGTTAGCATGCTACAACATTGGACAGTAGAAACCAACCAGAAAGTCCAGAAAACTCAAGCAATAAAACAGAGTAAATACCAGAGATTCTGGCGGAACAACGGGCGCTTAAAACAGAGGTGGACCTCCAGGACAAGAGCTTAGAAGCTGGATCAACATCAGCATAAATGATTCAGGGACGCTTCCGGATCTTACAGACCCTGTAACCTTTCTGCTGGACAGGTAAACCGTTTTAACAAAGTAAGACAAGTGTCTGTAACAGAAGTGTTTCTTGTCAAACGGACCTGCTGTAGCGTGTTGTAGCGCCATCGCTAAACTGTTGACCTCGGGTCCTGGACTATGTCACTTTATCCTCGTTTCTACAGAAGCACCAATGCTGTTTACTTTCACGTTGACTGGGCCCCATTTGTAATTTTCTGAAGTATTTATCTGCATTATATCTGAATTTAATTGGAACGATACGAGCGAGCAGGAGCATCTGTTTGTGGGCGGGGCTTACTGGAGCAGAGAGGGAGGGAAGAGGAGGAGCTGAGGGGAAAACTGTTTCCCAAAAACTGGCACTTCTTCAGATCATACCTACCCCATCTTTAATTTGTCTCAATTTTTCCAACAATCGTGAAACAGAGTCATAAAACATAATCTTTTAATTCAGTGTTAGTTCTGGTTGTTATCTCACCTTAAGGCTTGTACAAGGTTGAGGTCTGCGAACTCGTGTAGCTCCACAAACGCCTGGAGGACCTTGATGTTGAAGTCATCTCTGGAGGACAGAGGAGGGGTTCAATGTCACACATGTTTACGCATTTACAATGTTACACTTAAAATGATGAAATAGGTTGTTTCAGACATGCAAATAAATGTTTTTCAAGGTCGAGGGTCGAGCTCCGGCTTCATAAAGAAAGTCCCTGTGTTGGCAGAGCCGGGCAGCATGAAAACCTCTGTTGTTCTGACAGTCATATCCTCTTTGATTCCCCTTCGATAAGAACCACATGTCCACTCGCTCGTTTCACCGGCACGGTCTCCTGTCGCTGCTTCGCTACATAAATCCAGACCAGCAATTTCCTGAGGCTTTGCGCCCTCGTCTGAGCGTGTGTGGTGCAGATCTGACTCAGAGATTGGGGCGAGAGAGAAAGAAAGAAAGAAAGGTGGAGGTGGTGGAGAGCTCACCGTTCCCCTAAGTAGTCCCCTATGACCGTCTTGTTGAGCCCTTCGCCTTTGTAGAGGAACTGAGCGATGTCCTCGGGGGTGTTCTGGAGAAGATCGTTCTCCAGAAGAAACTGGATCCCCTGTTTGGAGAAAAAGACGCACGTACACTTTTATCTCTGTCAGTTTCATTAAACCTGACGGATGATTTCAGTCAAGGAGCTCGATCCAATCCAGTTTCACTCAGCTGCGTGAGTCTGATCAGGCCTGACGTTGAACCAGTTCAGGGCAAATCTGACCTTCTTAGGGTCCATGTTGAACTTCTTCCTCCCCATGGCGATCTGTTTGTTTCTTTGCGTTGTTTTGCTGCAATTAAGAAGGAAACAAAACAGAAATCATGTGACAGTTAGGGGCGCGGTGCGGTTTCCAGGCCGCCGTGTTTGTTCTGTAAGTCACTTTGTGTTGAGTTCATCCAGGATGTCGCATGACTTTGTTTATTTTCACGGCGGCGACCTGAGACTGAGCATACACTGAGGTTCACCTGAAAAAACTCGGTGGTATCACCTGTGGCGTGCACGAGCGCATCGGGTCGCCTCAGTTTAACGCGCCCTGCAGACATTTTTAACGCCACTCTCCTTCGAAACGCATTTTGCATTCGCCCCACAGGGAAATCTCCACCTTTGTGTCTGTTCACGCTCCCTACGCTTCCTGCGAGCCCAAAATAGACCAGACCCCTTTGCCAGCTGCACCTGAGACACACACACACACACACACACACACACACACACACACACACACAAAACCTGACACGGCCTCCTCACTCCACCTCATCAACCAATCAAACGACAGCGTCTGAATACAGACTGTTTGGCTAATGTTTAGTCAAGGGACCGTCCTCAAACAGAGGGGGATTAACCCACACACACACACACACACGTATAGACACACACACACACACTCTCAGGTTGACAGGTGTGCAGCTCAAGGTGACAGCAGCTCCACGGTGAGGAGATATAAAAGCAGAAGTGGTGAAAGAAGTCGTAAAAAGAGACTTCATCGATTCACAATTTGTAAAAAAGTTATTCTGCAAATCAGATCTCCTTCAGAATAAAAGATAACATGAACTTGAGTCCTCGTATTCGACTCAGGCATTATGAGGCGGCGTTAAGGTCACAGCTTAACCGTTTGGCCTCAGGTCATTTTACAGCAGATAGTTGAAGAAGAAGAAGAAGCAGCAGACTGCTAGTGAACCAGCTGTAATTGAGAGGTGAATCCAAAAACAACGTCAAAGCCTGGGCCTCCTCTTCGGGTCTAAAATTCACACTTTCTGACTCTTCTGTTACATTTCTTTTTTTCTGTTCTGTAACTTGCAATCTAGAAAACTAGTAAACTTCAAAATTAGGGGTGTGAATCACTAGTGGCCATAAAATTGTCATAATTTTTATCATTTTGCAATACAGTGAGTATTTCAATACAATAAGTTGTGATTCATACCGTTTAGCTGATTTAGTATTTGTCTTTCCTTTATGTTTGTCTTATTTACACTGTATTTTTTTTTCATGTAGCACATCTTGCAAACCTTATATACATATTTGTTGTACTAACTTTCTCCTGCTCTATGATGTCACCTCTGTTAACCTCACTGGACAAACAGTTGATTTTATTTTTCCATTATCATAGATTTGACTTCACATCACATTATAGCAATTAATTTGAAAATAAAGACAAAGTTTGACAATGAAAGGTTTGAAGTAAAGTCGAAGCGAGGCAGAAATAATTTCAAAATAAAAGCATGATGAACGATCGTTTAATCAGGCAACATCTCCTCTAAAGAAGTTTCTATCACCAGATCACAAATGGACCTCTTGATGCAAACTTTGCCTTATTTTCTTTCAGTTTGTCTGATTGTGTTTTTTCCATAAATAAAACTACAAGTCAACTAGTACGGTGTTTTACTGGCTATTATCTACAGAGCAGGATCAGCTGATGGCTGATATCCAACGCCAATATCAGGCTGTTGTTGTTGTTGTCATAAATATTTTGAAAAATACAGATTTTAAAACTATTATTACTTCACATTGCAAGTATATATTTGTTAAAATCCTGGCTAGAGAGATAATAAACAGCCTGGCATCTGAATCAGGGTATCTCAAGTTCAACTTAAGCCGAAACAGGAATTAGAGGCTAAAGGACAAACTGACAGATGACTCAGCTGCAGAGGTCAGTGTGCAGCCAGTCTTCTTTGATTTGGTTTTTTCTGATTTATTCTTCTATAACTATTCATAAACTGTGTGTATAAACATTTTTTACACATTAGTCACCTTTCTCCCACACAGGTTAGCTGCTCGATCTCCGTCATCACCTCTGCGATCTCAAACTTCAGCCGCTGCAGACAAGGAGACAGAGAAATTGAACTTGTTTGACCTCCTGAGCTCTGAGGAATTCATGTGCAATCTGAGACTGCAGGTGCATGCACAAACATCACACATACAATGCCCAGTGGTATTAACATTGTTCAGCGTCGCACCCAATCATGTTGTAACTCAAACAATCACAAAAAAAACAACATCTCTCTCTGCACCGTCACTCACTTCAATATCATCCAGAAGCTCTTTTTTCCTGCGCCGTATGTTCGACAGCTCATCTCTTTCCTCCAAAGACAGGTCTTCAGGTACTGCAAAAACACAGAGAGAGGAGAAAATGAAAGAGCGTGAGTGTGTGTGAGAGAGGGAGAGAGAGGGAGGGAGGGGCAGAGTTATGAGGATGGATTAAATTAATTCACCTTCCAACCAGCCAGTCAGAGTCACAGGGATTAAGTCTGACGGAGCATACCTCTTCAATGAATCCGGCCTGAGCACATTACTCATGACCTACATTAGTACGCTAACAGACAGATGCTGGAATATTCTGAGATGGGGTACAAAACGTTCTGAGATCAGAGATAAACGTTGGTCTTTTCTGCAGGTTTTTGATGTATTTTTAACAGAGTGAAACCACAGTATGTAGCTGTTTCTACGGAGGTGGTCCTGATTCATGGACTGGGGAACACGTGTTGCATCTGTGCTAAAACAAAGCGGCTGTCTCACTGCAAAACACAGCACATACATTCATCCTGATAGACCCAAACAGAAAACCTGAATATGTGCATCAGATTCTGTTGAAAATAGCTTAAAGGGATATTCCAGCGTAAAGTTAATTTAACCGAGTTAGACACCCTCTCGAGAGATGGATGTTGTAGTTACACCAACTTTAGTAACGACCGCAGATAGCAATACAGAGAGCCACGCGCTCAACCAAAACACCACTCTACAGTCACAAATAATGCTCAGAACAGCACCTAACTTCATCAACAGGACATATAGGGTCACAGACATAGTACTAGACACCAAACATCTTTTTAACTTTGACTCATTTCTTGAGCAAAGAGACTAAACACAACTCACCTACTCTCTTCTAGCAGCCGCTTGTTTGTAGCGAGACCTCAGGCCAGTCCATTACGGACTGCTGCGGGGTGTCGCAGCTTAAGGAAGAACATTTATGAACATTTCTTCATGGAAATACAATTAGACTGAGACGCTAAGGCAGAAGAACGACCGCGTCTGCAGAGCAAAATGATTAATATGATAATTATTACTTCATGGAAATGATAAAGAAATTATCATAAATGTTATTCCTTGAGCTGCGACACCCCACTGCAGTTGGAGATGGACTGGCCTGAGGTCTCGCTCCAAACAAGTGGCTGCTAGAAGAGAGTAGGTGAGTTGTGTTTAGTCTCTTTGCTAAAGAAATTAGGCAAAGTTAAAAAGATGTTTGGTGGCTAGTACTATGTCTGTGACCCTATATGTCCTGTTGATGAAGTTAGGTGCTGTTCTGAGCATTATTTGTGGCTATAGAGTGGTGTTTTGGTTGAGGTTTGTTTATGGCTCCTCAGACCGCTGTGTATTGCTATCCTGTTGTTGTTGCTAAAGTTGGTAAAACTAGAGAAGCAAGCAGTCGGCAACATTCATCTCTCAAGGGGGTGTCTAACTCTGTGTTATGGTGTGTTTGACCCTACATTAATTTTACACTGGAATATCCCTTTAACTACATGTTAGAGCTAGTCTCTCTCTGCAACAGTTCATAGTTCAGCTTCTGTGCAGGTCCAAGCACATCAGGGTCGACTCACTATTGACAGCCACACTTTTAAAAAACCCCGAACTATCCCTTTAAACTACAGAGGAAGTTTCTGATTAGACCGAAGCCACATCGGAGGAAGAGGTTTCCCATGAGAACTTTCTTCAAACTGAATGAAAACCACAGAAACATCCCCGTTTAAGAGCAGATCACAGCCGTAAATAACATCCTGCGTGTTTGACACACACACACGCACACACACTCCGACCGCTGAGCATCTGCTGAGGCCAACCCCCTCAAATATTGGCTCTGATAGTCAACCCTCATAAGGCCCTCGTTTGGTGTAATTAACACTGCAGAGGCGGGGAGAGAGCGGCGCATCACGCAGCTGCAGACATGTTTACAACTCTGCATGCACAGGTGGACACACACCTCATTGACACGCCTTGCATGCAGAGTTTACACTTCACACACATGATATTCATCTTCGTCTCCGCTGTGGGTCACCCCCAACGCCACCTCCTTATCCTTCATTTAACCGTGCCACGTCAACTTCTTCTCCCCCCAGACCCCTCGGAGGACCTCCCCCCTCTCTCTCCTCCAACATCAGAAAACAGCAATCCAATAGAGAGTGGGCTGACGGGAAGTAGGTCATTTTCACATGGAGCTATACCAGATTGTGCTTCTCCTACGCTGTTCCTCACACACACACATGCACACACACTCCCCCTCTATCTCTCTTTGTCCGCCTCCGCCACACTGCTTGAAGTGGGGGTGAGCGCAGAGTCAAATCCCCCAACTGAATCACAGCGCTAAGCAGCTTTGCAATTCCGCCGTTTTTACTCTTCCCGTTGTTTCCCCCTCTGACTGTAAATAATGGAGGGAGAAAAAGTAAAGTTATTTCCTCTCCTTTTGATCTCCATCTCTCACTCTCTCTCTCTCAATCCTCTCTTCTTCTCCGTCCTGCTCTGTGAGACAAAGTGACAGAAGCAGCATGGACCATTAGGTTATTAGGTTCTGAGGGCTTTGAGCTCATGTTATCACAGGCGAGCAGCCAGTCAAGAGAGCAGGGATCCAGATGGGTGTAGATGGCTTTTTTAACTGCGTGATCTCCTGTCTATCACACACACAAACACAGAGGCGTACACACTCACGCGAGAAGAAGAGACTTAAAAGGAGAGACAGAAGTTTTTTTGATCATGATAGGAAGGTAAAACTGGGTTAGATGCAAACGGTGGAGGAAACGGTGCCAACCAGCTCTGTAAATGAATGATGGCATGTACTAAATATGTCAGGATATGAAAGCTCCTTCGGTTTCTGTTAGCGCAGACAAAGCGGTACTTGTCTATTTTGCTGATCTTGTTCTGTATATGTGAAAGTATTTTTTTTTATTCTGACAAAAGACCTCTCTCTGCTTTCTGTTAATAGTCACACTTATCACTCAGCGGGGATCAGTGTGGTGGAAAACGTTAATGTTTCAGCGACAGGCCTAACAGCAAATCATCTCAACTACCTTTCATGTATTTAAAGAGCTTCACAATACAGCAGAGAGAATATAAGAGTGATAGGTGAGAAAGAAAAGACAGAGAGAGTTAGAAAAGACGAGGTAAAGGGGACGGTTTAAACCAGTACAGTAAAATCAAAATAACTTGTAAGAATAAAATAATAAAGGGTTAAAAAAGTTTTTAAAAAGGTATCACTGTGGCTTTAAAAATGTTTATTCTTCTAATCTACTTGCACTACAGTGTTTAAGAAAAGGTATGGATCTTTACAAGAATACAGTCTCAGCATTACTTAGTAAAAACGTATTTATATGAACCAGAATAGAAAAGAGTAGAATAGAATAGAATGGAGTAGAAGTTGTGATAAATTAGAATTAACAGAATAGAATAGAACAGATTAATTAAGTCCAATATAAGATAGAACATAATAAATCAGGAGAGAATATAATAGAAGTTTTGATATAATAGAATAAACAGAATAGAACACAATAATTAAGTACAATGTAAACCAAAACACAATAAATTAGAATACAATAGAGTAAGTTAAAGTAAGATAGTATAGGATAGAATAGAATAGAATAGAGTAGAATAATTGAGTCTAACACCAGATAGAACATGATAACGTACAATAAATTCAAATATAACTAGTTAGAATAAAATAGAAAAGAATAGAAAAAGTAATGATAGAATGAAAAAAAGAACAGAATTTGGACTAATATAAGCTAGAATACAATAGAATAGAATAGAACTGAATAGCTAGAACACAATAAATTAGAATACAAAAGTCAAACTAGAATAAATTGACAGAACAGAGTAGAATAGAAAAAGTTATAATAGAATAAATTAGCATAAAACAGAATAGAGTAAGTTATGATAAAATAGTATAAAATAGAATAATTTAGATAAATATTAGTGAGAACAAAATGAATTAGGATACAATAGAGTAAAAAAGCCAAAGTAGAATAAATTCACATAGAACAGAATAGAAAAAGATAGAATAGAATACTTGTATTGTAACTGCACCCTGTACTCAGACATGTGCTGCGCTTCTCTTTAACAGTTTTAAAAAAGAGTAACGGGAAACAAGAATTAACAATCATTAACTTCTTGTGTTTGTTTATTTTTTACACACATTTTCATCCCAGAAGTCCCAAAAAGTGAAGACAAAAATAAGAATATTAGGCAGAGATGCGTTCAGTCGTCAGTGCAGTAAGACTTTATATGAATGCTGAAGACTAGCGGTGCTAGCTCTGCTACTGTTAGCTACACCAAACAACTAATTTAACCCTCTCTGACTCTGAGATCCAGTGTTAACTCATATAAAAATACAATTTCCGACTGTATTTTTAGACCAGTATGAATTTCCATTCAGCCCCATTTAACTAAATAATCAATTAGTCGCTCTCTTTGTAAGGAACAACTCTGGTGGAAGCCCAGCCTGGAGGGACCTGCTCTGTATGGATAAGGGGAAGTAATTCAAACTGGCAGAGAGGCTGAGGTTGTCTGATCCTCAAAGTTATCGTCTCTGTTTGGCTGTAATGGGTTCTTGATAGTTTACGCTACAACGGGCCAAAGTTTTGAGCTTTGTTTCCTTTTCTAACTGGCAGCAGTATTCGGCGTTTCCTTGTTGTCTGTTTGCCTGCAGTCAATATTGCTATAAGATCTTTTAATGTCTGGTTTGATGATGGTATTTTGGTTTTTTAATAATTGGATTAAGGCCCTGCAGTCGGCCTCCAACAGATTGCCTGAGACATCTGCCAGGGACCAATATGTTTACAGGGGACTGCCTGTCTGGTTTGATAAGTTTCAGTGTTTTCCTCTCCAACTAGGACATCAGAGATCGTACAAGAGTCTGCAACACAAACCTACTTTGCAGATTCTGGAGGCTGATGGTGACAAAGACAATGAGTGTAACCGCAAAGACGACGCACAGTGGGGGTTACTGACGCGTTTAAGTGGAAAAAGTTGAAAAGAGTTTGAAGCGTATGAGTAGAAAAGAAACAAAAGCACAATAGGACGCTGTCAATGCCACGCAGAAAAGGATGGCAAAGACTAAAGAGTGATGTAGGAACAGATACCAGCCCACCAGAGAGCTTCACACTCTCTGCCTCCGCTTGCTCCCTCTCTTTGGCTTCAGCGGAGCAGCCTCATAAAGCTGTAATTGTGGAGCAAAGAGACCCTGCAGGCAGCCTACGTCTGTAATGCGCAAAAAAGTCCTCATCCCTCCTACTCAGGCTGAAAGAGCCGGCCTGGACCGGAGAATGGGCCGGATTGTCTGAGGAGGCAGAATCTGTTTTGGATAACAATTCCCCTGCTGTGTGTGTTTTGCTGCGAGTGGAAATCTGATATCATTATGATGACAAGTACTATTGTACGTCCAGGACTGGACCTCTAATGCATAAAACATGAAAGTCCAGAAATGTGAGTGTTTATATGTGTGTGTTTATTCCCACAGGAAGCAGCCCACCTGAAAGAATAATCCATATTAGGTTATATACAAACACGCCGGGCTTCACCCCCGGCACAGCCACATAGATTTCCAATGCTGCACCACTCTGCCTTTTCTTTTAATAACTTGAGGGCTGCTGTTTCAAAAACAATCAATACATCATCATAATAGTTCAAACTTGCACGCTTAGGCGTTTTTCCTCCGGCGGTCTTCATTCATGCGTGGATGAATGAGCGCCACTGTGCCCAAGATTTCTCAGACTGATTCTTAGTCCAAAATTATTCCAAAGGAAAGGTCGATAAGTCAGCTGATTTCCCTTTTTGAATCTCACTCCAATCACTTTCAGATCTCTTCAGCCCTGATTGGACACGTCGGGCAGGTCAACACCTCAGAGAGATCGAGTAAAATGAGGTTAGTGATGATAAAAAGAAAGTTGTAATAGGATCAATCTGCAGAATTAGACGTGGTTATGATTACTAAGTGTATCCTCAGAGATTTTTATCAGCAACAATTCATCTTGGTGAATTCATCTTCATCTTTTTATATACTTAATATAATCATGAGCAACTGACCCCTGATGATTCAGTCAGCACGTTAACATGTTGTTTAAAATAATCGATTTACTGCCTCAGTCTAAAAACTCGAAACTGGACTTTTAACCCTTTAATGCCTGAAACCACAAAATATGGCCAGAAAATTCAGATTTTTTTGGAGCTGAAATGTTTATTTCACTTACTACTGACAACCAAAAAAATCAAAATGTCCTTAAAATTTAATAAATATATTTATCTTGTTTGCTACGTCAGATTTTTTTTGGAAACTGATAAACTGCAAGAGGACATTTTTATCATTTATAGGGCTGTACTCAAGTGATTTTTAAGTAATTTGTTGATCATCTTGATTTGATAGAAGTAGATAAAAGTATGTATCAAATATGATACAAAAGGCTTAAAACACATTAGTCTGACTTAAAATCACAATAAATTGAACTTCTCATAGGCTAGGGTGACCTTATTCTGACTTCCCGAAAAGAGGACACGACTATGCGGGGGGCGGAGTCACAGAGCCGCACAAAGTTAATTTTGAGAGTTTTTCAGGTCGGTTCGAGTGTCATTTACGTGTTTCTAACTCAGTAAGTCCACATGGCACAAACTCGAATCTTATGTACAAAACTGTGGACATTTGAAAGATTTTATAAACTTCTGGACAGCCTGGACAGCCCCCCAAAATAGAGGACATGACTGGGTAAAAGAGGACGTATGGTCACCCTATCATAGGCGAACTGACATGCCTAGATAAAATGGTTGGGGACCGACTTCCTCTTCACGACTCAATCGAGCTCAAAGTGCACCCTTTATACAACCCAAAACATGCAAAAATTGGGCATTCACATGGAGATGTTGAGTTTCACCTCAAGAGAGCTTTTTGTAGGTCTTAGCATGATATTGAGATTTTCATTCGCATAAGTAGAACGCAGTGGTGGGGCTGAGCTCTTACAGGTTCTGGTGGCGCTAGTGAGTCAGCTCAGGCAATACAAACATTTTCACCAGACGTGATGTTTCTGTGTGATATTTTGAGGTAAAAGCCTCCAAATTTGCACTTAATTTGACACTGAAAGAATAACAAACACTGTGGTTCTCACACAGTGTATCCGAGTCCAGGCCTCAGAAGATCGTAAGATTTCAGGCTGCAGGAAAAACCCAGTTATCATGTTGATTCTTCATTTCCTCTCCGTTTTGAATGTCATAACTGGTGCATACTTTTTAATCAGATATAATCAGCGGTAACATCTCATGACTCTGTTTTAACTGAATCTGATGACTTCTGCTGCTGCGGACGGTCTGCGATCACATGCTAATTATGCATGCCGCTGATAACAGAGGCTGCATGTTGTTCTCTCCAGGATATCATCTTGATTTTCATCTTTAGCGTGCTGCCAGTCACCGAGCTGAAAATCCTGTAACATCAGCCTGAGCTGCGCAAGAGTCGTTGTACGAGCTCCACTTCGGGTCTTGAATAAAACATCACGTCCCGTTTCTCTTTCAAGTCCAGGTCCAGACTGGAGGACCTCAGTCCTGAGACAGTCGTGGAGATAGTGGAGCGATTGTGATCTGATTCTGGTGGCTGACGCGCTTTTATTGGCAGATCACAAAGTCAAACAGCTAAACGCCTTTGACAGTCCCCTTTCCTGTATCCTTGGCATCAAGGGCAGAGGAGAGGGTTGGTTTGCATACTGATACCCCCTCCCTGACCGTGTGATGTTTATGGAACAGTAAACTGAGACCATGATGTGTGACTATAAAGATGCTATTTCTGTCTTCCCTGTTTTTGAACATAATCTGAATTTTGCAACTAAATCTGGTCTGGTTTATAGATCAGATTTCCACTGACCTCCAATTTTCTCCAAAAGGTTTGATTCAAACAACATGACCGACTCAAAAAGCTAAAAGAAAAAGGATTAATGTACAGCTCTAATGATGTTTAAACAAGATCTTCATATCCTTAGCCAGCAGCTCTCTTGGAAACTCAGTAGCAGAAAAGCTCAAGACAGCCAAAATTTGAGGCGAGACAGAAGTCCATCTGATCGCCCATCCCACGGTCAGACTGTCAAGAGTTTGAGCATTTGTTCGGTCGTCAGTGACCTCCAACAAACTGAAAGTGAAATTTCAATCAGGCTTCGTTTATACGCCGTCGGACCAGATTATGAACCATGACAACGAGTTATAAAGCCAAACCTAAGAGAATGAACACAACATCCATCATCTCTCGAATCAACATAGTCATTACATCAGTGTCTTTTTCACATGTATACTGGTCACACTGGGGGCTAATATGACATTATGGGTCCTGTGGTTATGTTAGGCATACTGAAGCTCTTTTGAGGTTTGACTGGATGGAGAGTGGAGCTGTAAACTTCATCTGTGAGAGTATCTATGAGTTCTACACTACTAGATCTTTATTCAGATCCCAAATACGGCTATTAATGCATCAGATCTTATTGTATCATATCAAGTCATATCATATCATAATGTACAGTACTGTATCGTATCATAACGTATCAGCTGTATCATATTATATTGTGTCATATTGTGTCTTATTATATTATATGATATATTGTATTATAACATTTTGTATTAAATCGTATTAAATCATTTTCTATCATATCATATCGTACCATATTGTATCAAGTCATACTGTATTGTAACATATCATATCATGACATATCATATGCTAACATATGATATGTCATGATATTATATGTCACAATACAATATGTTACGATATGACATAATATGATAGGATATGTTATGATACGATATTTTATGATTCGATATGTTACGATAAGAAATGTTATGATACGATAAGTTATGATATATGTCATGTGATACGAATATATGATATGATATTGTATTGTATCGTTTTGTATCATAACATATATCAAAACATACCTTATCGTAACATATCACATCATAACCTCTTGTACCGTAACATATCCTATCCAAACGTCGTATCGTGACATATATCATACGCTAACGTATTGTATCCTTACGTATTGTATCACATGATATTGTTTCCCATTTCAGTGTGATCACTGCGTTCACATAAGTCCAAATGATCCCAGCCTCTGTTTCAGAACAACACCTCCGAATTATCCTGGTTTCAGTCTAAATATCTTGTAGATTCAGGGTACTACAGAAAAAAAACTGAATGGGTATGAACCCTTTTGATAAATCCTCACAGTAAATAGTTCTGTGTAAGCATTATGACCTCATACAGGCTGACGAATACAATGTGCACTCATGGTACAAATTCTTTGCATATATGAGCTCTTACAATAACTATGCCATGAAAGGGAGCCAACTATGCACGGCGCTTTCTCTTTAAAGGAAAACCAAAACAAACCTAACATTAACATCAACTTGCAGGCCGTAATCTAAAGCTTTAAGTTGCTTTAAAACCCCTATACCAATAATGTTATATAAAAATGTCTTCCACTTTAACTCTTCCCTAAATGTTTTTCTATTTTGCCATTTCTTAGAGTAATACTGTTGGGTGGAAATGATGAACAGAGCTGGTGAAACGTTTCCTGATTTTCAGCGGGCTCTGCAGTGAAACAATAGATGGGATATGTGCAGAGATTAGGACTGCTGGGCTGGTCCGTCTGTTACAATGGCAACCCGGTAAACACAACAAGGAGGGCAGAGAGCGTTCCCACTACAGGGCTGATCACAATTTACTTACACAAGCTCACTCAAGCCGACACTAGACTGTGGTGTGTAAGTATGTGGCTGAATTAAGAGTGATGTAAGAGAGCGGGGTGAGTGTGTCAGCGTCTGTGACACGTCTGCCCACTAAAGAAACAAGAACCTAAAGAGCCACAGGTGAGAAAGAGTCCAACGTCTGATCAAACCTTACTTTTTTGATCTTCTGAGTTAAAAAAAAAAAACATACCACATCGCCTTTTCCTTTCTCCAGTTCCAACAATGACAGACATGCCATCAGCTGAGCGGTCTCGGTCTCTGCGATGGTCAGTGCTCCAAGTGTCAGAGCTCTTACCGGCTGCTTTTGGCACCTTTTCCCCTGCTAAAAGCCGCACTTGTATCTGGCAGGTGAGGTGTTCCCCCTCGGCATTACTCCTACCTACAGCTCTGAAGCATGTACACACAAAGGAAAAACACACGCACTGACAGGCTCTTTGACAGCTCCTCTCACCTGACAGATGACGGCAGAGCTGTGGAAATAGTCCACATTCCTCCTACTGCAACCGCCCAGTCTGGTCTAACCAGCTCTCCACATACCTGGAGTCTCATTCCACTCAGCGCTCCATCTGCTCCTCTCTGCATTATATCTGAGGGACAAACTACTCCAACGCTAGACCTCAAACTGCCAACAGGCACATCTTAATCTTTCAAAGGTTCCTGGTTCTAAGAGTGCAACAACAGACAACAGAGTTTAGGATATCAGCTACAAGCTTCTTAAATCTGGAGAAGCATTCTTGTCTTTTCAAAGTATACAGGGTACGATCTATTTATCATGCAGCAACCTCAAAGGTCTTTGAATGAACTGGAGGTGCCAAAAACAGCAGTTCCACAGCAGGCCACTAGGAGCTGGAGCCAAAAGTGAGCCGATCCTGATTAGGACCCGAATTTGCAGTAGAAATAAGATACGAGTGACTCATGCACAAAGATGCATTTTTACAAAGTCTAGCCGTTTGGAAATTTGGTAAAATCTTGCATGTCAGTACAAGAGTCTGTCTACTGCAATCAGTTAAGTCCATAATGTGCAGTTTCCATACAGCTGAATATACAATTAAACTGCTTATTGGCATCTTACTAGCAGACTAGCCCATTAACTTATATGCCATCCTGTTGTTTTGTGAGCTCTGGTTTTCTGTCACTGAGAATTCTGGCGGGGTTTAAAGTGTCCCCCCTCGATTTGCAGTTTTCTTTCATCTTTTGCGCACAGGTTTTGATAAGTCAGGGTTAGGGGGCTCTATAAGCAAAATTAAACAGTCCCACAGGAGACTCCTGCAGCTGATTTAGCTCACCAGGAGGTACTCCTTCAGAAGATAACTCGGTGTTGTTGTGGTAGTGGACATGTTGGGGAAGAGGCATTGCTTTTCCCTTTCCAAGTAGAAGCCAAGATGTCTTTTTTTTTAACTGATACTGTCGCATTAAACCTTTTACCCCCAATTTCCACTGCATCCGGAACAGCTGCAAAAAGGCCGTAACCGCTGATCACAGCTGATCGTTTCCATTCAAGTTAATGTGTCAATTTCCACCGGCTTCGCAGCTGATCGCAAGAGTTCTATTTATTCCGGATGCCGAAGCATACCGCATAAATTGAGCACAGAGTAGTCCATGCTGGAAAGGAAGTCGGGCACAGACACAAAATAAAACATCTGGCTTGTTTTCAAAATATCAAATCGTATTTCACACCATGCACGTGGGCAGGGACGAAAAAGTCAAAGGTTTTCAGACTTCGTTTTACCCAGTTGACACCATGGATGAGGAGATGCTGATTCTAGAGGTCAAGAAGTGGATTTCGTCCTCTGGAAGGACACAGTCTTATATGGTTATGTGGCTGTCTTTATAGAGACAACTCGTAATCACGCAATTGCACATGAATCTGCGGGTTCTTGTGAGTTCTCGCCATTCGCCACGAAATTCACCTCACAAACGGATCCGGTGGGAATTGTCAGTTCGTGAAAATCGCAGCCGTTCCAGATGCGGTGGAAATTGGGGGTTACTGTTAAGAATCAAAAGTATTAAAGAAGGACAAAATTTTTGGTATCCCACTCTAAACACAAGTACGTGTGAGGCGGTTGATGTTACGCAGGTTTACTATGCTCATGATCTGATCTTCTTTGTTGAAACCGCCTCGGAGAAGCTCCAGAGAAGATCCTCTTCAGCTACGAAATATTTGATGAACGCAGAGAAAAATAAACAAGATTTTAAAAAACATCCGGGTCGTAATTTAGTAATGAGCTGGCCTGTCCTCAGAATCTCTTTCAACTGTTTGTTCGCTCTAAAGAAGAGATTTCTTTCAAAGTCGGCCGCAGTCGCTCGCTGTCAGCTCTCAGCTCCGAGGAGACATCCACAACACACCCCCTTTATGAAAATTAGATTACAACCAAAAAAAAATCAGAGGTTACATCAAACACAACACAGCCGTTTGATTCTTCAAAGCCGCTAACACCCTCTAACACAATCCCTTGAAGCGAGACAGTGTCTTCACAGAACCCACTAGTCACAGTCACTTATTCATGAACAAGTTCTGTGTTCGCCAAATTTCACTCCAAAAGAAACACTTCCTCTTCCCTCTGGTTGGTTTATTTTTAGGCCACCTTGGGTCACGATCCTCAGACTAATTATTTGAGTGGTTTTAGCAGCAGGGTCTCTTGTTTTTATCTCTGCTCAATTACATGCAAAGACGTTTCAATGCTGCTGCTGCTGTTGTTCTTGCTTCATGTGTCATTTCCTCACCCTGGATTACTCCGACTAAAAGCATTTTTACTGCAGCTGATGTCAACACAGTTTTGCATGTTTTACAACTGATAAAGGATCAGGCCATCTGTCTGTCTACCATCTGTCTCCTGCACAAACTGAGACATTTTCTTATCTTATCCTTCGGTGGGCATCCTGCCGCCGTCACAAAGAAATGTTAACTAAAGATGCTCATCTTGACAAGCGGTATTTACACCAATCGGGACAATCTGTAACCGATACGGCGAATCATTCTGCTTCTTTGTTTTGACTCTGATGTTATACAAGTACCGTCCTTTATTATCTCTTAATTGAACAGGATTCAGCTCTTACACAACGCCACACCTACGAAGAAAGCCTGCATGTGTGAGGTTGAACTAAACCCTGATCTCTCTGCATGACAGCAATCCTCCCTATCGCTGTAATGATCACACAATGTCACCTTTCTCCGCCAGCATGCACCGCTGATCACAGTACAGCCTAATCACCAGACATAAAACTCTTCTGACAGACCTGGTAGTATATCATGAGCCAGTGAAAGTCACAAATAACTCCCAGTTATTATTTACAACGCTGGTTTTCCCTGCAGAGGCGATGGTTCGCAGTCCACCTCCTTGCACGATTCCTGCAAGAAGCAAAGTGAGCAAACCCACAAACGCAGTCGTGTTTAACTCTGAGTAACAATGTAGAATCAAATCTTTCCTCTTATTTGGGTTGTAGCCTCAGCAAGAGACTCAGGATGTGACTGCAGCATCTCCCCGACCCACAGTCCTGTACAGAGACGATGGAGGAGACAGCAGCTCAGACTGTTTATGTTAAAGTTTGGCCCAAAATTTCAACGAGATCGAAGCGGAGTTACTCTGTAAACAAAGAGGGAGTGGAAAAATGATGCAGAGACGATCCGGCTGACTCCACTTCTGCTTTAGAGATTCAAAGACCGCCGGAAGCTGAAGAGGCGTACGAGGAGGAGGAGAGGAGAGAGGAAAGGAGTTCATAACAGAGTTAAACCCGAGCCAGGGTTCCTTTATTGCACTAAATGTGTGGGTGGTTCAGGTCGGACCAGGAGTCTTAGCAGGGCTCTGAGTAAAGGGGTTTTCCAGATAAAGAGCGTCTGCACACAGGAGTCCGTTTCTTGAGTCTCACATGTTGAGCCCTGATTCAAAGTAGGCATTCGTTTGGATTTGTGTTCCATCGCCACAGCGGAAAAATCTCTTTTCCCTGAAAAGGTTGATAAACTCAGACTGGAAAACACGTTGGAATAAAAAGAAAACAGTTTTTATACCATTAAATTTAAGGCTGTGAAATGAATCACTCAATCCCTAACCCCTAACCCCCATATGTGTTGCAATGCTCTATGGGAAATTTTAAGTTTTTGGGGCACTGAAAATGATCACTCAGGTTTTGGACACCCCTCAAAATGGCGCTAACCCCCATATAGTCGCCCTTATAGGGGTTAGGGATCCATTTCGGACACATCCTAAGTTCACATTTGAGTTTCATTAAAATGAGAATTTTAATATAGTGTCTAATGGAGTCTACTTGACTTTTGCAGTCAGCCCCAAGTGGACGCTCAAGGAACTGCAGTTTTATGGACTTCCACAAGGACTCAGTTTTACTTGAATAGTTTAGACTTTAAATGCATCGCTGCTCTTTTCGAAACTTGAGGTAACGTTTTGATATAATTGGACGTATTTTAGCACAGTATAGAAACAATTCAAGAGAGATACTGCTAATGAATAACTGAGGTTTGAAATCAGCTAAAATAATACAGCATCAATACTCGGTCAATACCCAATTATTTCAGACTAGTTTGAACTGAAGATCAATTTGGTACGGGTCAAAAATCAGCAGAACACCTTCAGCTCCCTAAGAAGCATCTAAAATCAATATTATAATCCACGCCATGTCAAAGGTGTCTTCAGTCGACAGAAGTGTGACCTTTCAGCTCATTAATAGACTTTCATTCTCACAATTATTCAGTTTTATTCTCAGCGTTAACAGGGCGTCATTTCTGCGAGTAAACCTTCAGGGCCTGTGTCCACTGAGGGCGTTTTCTACACTGTTCGCACCATTTTACCATTAAAAATCACTCAGTTTAATGTCAAATATGTCAACAAAAACTGTTAATATGGAGGCCATAATATTGGTCACAAATTTTTGGTGAGGAGCTGCTTTTTCAATTTTCTTTCTCTTCTTGCAAAATTTCTTTAAATAATAATTAATCATAAATATGCATACAGAGTCATTTTAAAAAGGACTTAAAGGTCATAACAAACAGGAGCTGAAGTGCAGTATACAGCTATAGTGAAACAGGTGAGAAGTGTGATTAAATTAAGATCATAGTGGACACAGGCCCTAACAGTCAGATATTCCTCTAAGAAGTCGAGTTTAGTTTGAACGTGCGTACTCTAACTCATCTGAACCTTCACTCTTACTGAACAATAATGTTGCTCTCTAACTGGATGCAAAATATCAGCGTTTGCACATTAGTCTTTCAAAATTGATGGACAATATAATCAAAAGTTTGCCTAGTCAAAGTTAAAAAAAGAAAACTCTGCTGAGAACATAAAGAGGACGGAGAAAAGTTCATGGAAAAACTGCTTAATCACAAAGTGCTGAGCCTCATAATCACTTCATGTTTGGAAATATTTAGAAACTCTCTTGTTACTGAACGCAATCTACAATCTTGCCAGGAGGTTTTCAGCCGGGAGTAGACCCGCTCATTATTTCATTATTACAACATGAAATTCTTCATTTAATCCCACAGCTGATGGGGATATTACAGCCGGGAAACAGGAGAAAAATCTGCGGAGGATGAGATGTGAAACTGAACACTAATCCTCCTTTTCTGCTTCTTCACATGAATTTAGATAAAACTTGGGAGTGTTTTCAACAAAGTTTAGGAGTAAACTCATCTGTCCAAAGAGCAGGGGTGAGTCCAGACTTGTTTCAACGAGGTGTCAAAACTGGATCACTGAAGGAGGATCATGAAGTATCTTAGCATGTACTCATATGTCTTACCGACATTACTTATTAAGTATTACACAGATGTGAGTTTCCTATACTGTCAATTTTAGAGAAGTTTCACTCAGATCTTTATTTTTTTTACAACCTAAAATGTTCTCACTGGTCTTTAAACTGTAATTATGAAGTTTTTAGCCAAAATCACGTAGCCTGTGTCATTTTTAAGAGCTTTTCTTCTGCAGAGCTCCAGTAGATCATTAGCAATTTGCGGAGACAGTGCCTAACATTGCTGGTGAAGTAGAAGAAACAGGTAACATAGGAGCTTTTCGACTCTCGGACACAATTGTCTTTAGGGACTTGATGACTGCTAATATCATAATTAACTTTCTTACGAGCATTTCAATTGGCTAACGCACACGCTTATTCCAAGATCATCCTCTCTACTCCTCTGAGCCTGGCCTGCATAGCGGGGCTCTGAGGGCGGAGTTTGGATTTGTGACATAGGAAGTCTCACTGTGTCTGAACCTGCCGTTTCGGTCTGCCAGATATTAACAGCGATTTGAACGCAGAAATACTCAGAAATGTAATCTCGCACCTATTTTTCTCATGATATGTCCTGTGCCATATGAATATGTAAAAACAAGAAAAACATGATTTTCATCAGAGTGGGTCTTTAAGTAGATAACCAAACAAACTGGTAGCATGCAAGTCATTTCTGTTAAGTTCTTAAGTGACTCAAAAAAGACGGATCTACAAACGTCAGAGTATAAAACACCAACTTTCTTTAAAGGTAATTGAAACCTTTAATTGTACAAAGTTGAAGGAGGTGCCTCCACTTCTTCCTACTGCACAAAAGTAAAGCCAAAATCCCCTCTGACTGATCCTGCAGTGAGCATTAGCTTGTGGAGCTGCAGTGCTAACGCCTTTGACTTTGGACTCATCCCCAAAATAGGAGGAATTCAGGCACATTATCCACTCCACATTCAGTCATCGGTGTTAGTTTGAGTTTTAAAACCATCTCTGAGTGGAAACATAGAAAATTGTACTTAAGGAATATGAGGTGGCCATAAGAGGGAACGGGGAGTCAACCCTGTCAAAAACTAGCAGATTGGTTCACGCTTTCTCTAAGACTTCTATAGGGAAAGTGCTAAAAGTGCGATATTTCAACCATCAGACAGAGCGCATGTATGAGCTTTTGACAGCCTGTGAGCGTGTGCAGATCTCCTGGGAGCTCCAGGAGTTGGCGGACTGCTGCTGGTTCAATATTATTGACTGATATTTCCCCAAGGAGGACACAAGAAACACATACTTTAGTTTAGGTAGTCCATCATATAAAGGAACTTAACAAAAATAGCACTTTCTTAAGGTTAGCTGCAGTTCACACACTGACTGTGTGACACTAATCCAGCCTGACAGAGGTCAACGAAGAGATTAAATACATGTGTGAAGGAACCTGCGCCCCAGAGCCACTGTAAATCACCCTCCCTCTGAGATACCCTCAGGCTACTTCATACGTGGGTGTGTATGCGCGGTCACGACCCACTCAAAGTCACACAATCATCATCTGTGGGAGCTCTGACACTGATGCATAAGGAGGTGTGAGTTGTCGAGGAGAGAGAAAGCGTGTGCACAAAGTTCTCGTGAGTGACTCTGGCGCCATCCCGGTCGACTCTTTTTTGTGTTTCACAGCAGAGAGACATATCTCTGAAACAAATTTACAAAATCCAGGGTCAGAGCAGAAGGAAAAGAGGCTAAAAATAACAACAATGTGGAGCGAGGGGAAGAAAATCCCGGCGACACACTAACTATAACAGATGGTTCCAGTGTCAGAAATAGAAAACACAAGTGAGGTTATCTCTTTTTTCTTCTGTGGCTGCCTTTTTGTTGTGATTGAATCCTGTTTATACGCGCTGTGTGAGTGTGTGTGAGTTTGTGTGTGAGTGCGTAACTCCGGTTGTAAAGTGACAGTGAGCAGCCCTAGCCCCTGACCTATAATCCACTAACTGTCATCCATATCCCTCCCTACTTGATCTCCTCCATTTGTCTTCCCATGGAGAGGGCTCGCTAATCCTCTTCGGCACACCATATAAAGAGATGCACACACTCACAGTCATGCGTGCACATTTACACACACACACACACACAGGCCTCTACAAGTGATAGAGTGGAAGCAGAGACGATGAGGTACACACAGCTGGGCCGAGCGCTGCACCACTAACCTACTTTGAGAATCTGAATGCAGCATCCGTTTTCCCTCCGAGTCTGAATCTGTGTCACCGCCGCACGTCTCCTCCTCCGTCTCCTTCCTCTAAACATACACAAACTGACTCACGGTACAAACACAAGCGCACGCATGTGGGATAAACACAATGACAGGTTGCACGAGAGCCGCTGTGTCACGCGGTCATTCCTCGCTGCGCTCTTTGCGGTGACAAACAGAGAGCGGCTGTCATTCTGGAAAGCGGCGAGCCGGTGTATGAGGGAGAGAGGAGGACGGCTGCAAACACCTCCACCTTCATCATCACAGCGCCAGGCGGCCGCAGCTGTGAAAGGAGGGATGAATTTTGCATGATGCAGCAGCAAAAAAGAGAGTGGGAGGAGGCGGTGGAAACATGCCCACTTTGCAAAAAAAAAAGAAAGAAATCTGGCAAAGAGTGTGCGGCGGTAGTTTACTGACACGTTGACCCCCTGAGTAAGTGTTACAAATCCCTTCTTAAAAGCAGGGCTGGCGTTGCAGTGGCAGTGCCACGAGCCCCCCGGGGGGGGAGACAAAAGGGCTGTAAGAGGCTGGAGGCGGGCCAGATGTTCTCAACACACACAAACACACACAGATCGGCCTGGGACAGAGCAGAGCGGGGATGTCCACTACAGAGCCAGACACAGAAGTGCGCTTAAAGTGTTTAGCAAGGCGAGACAGACCTGAATCAGAATATCTGAGTCTGTGTCACAAGTGTCGACTATTTACTGAAATTCACATTGATGCTTTATCACGATAGACAAGAGCAAATAAGACCATGAACGACAACATTATGGAGTTTATACTGTGATTTTAACCTTCCTCCTCGGTTTTGACCCGTGTCTTAAATCAGCTGTAAATGACACTAAAAAAAATTCTCTATCATCCAGTTTGGTTCTCATCTCTAGGTTAACTTGTTAGACAACGTCATTATCCAAGATGGCAGCGCAGTGCATCAACAGTAAAGAGTAACAGTAAAAGCTCTTGTAATGTATTATGTGGTACATGTTGTACTGTCCAGAGTCTAACTGTGAACACGGTGCTATGGTGTTTGTAAGAGTAAAATACTGTGTTGTGCGTTGTTTACAAGTGGTATAACTAACAAAAACTAACAACAGCGGAGGTCCCGCCCTCCTTTGCCTCTGATTGGGTAGAAGTGCTGGGCTCCGATTGGTTATTCCTAATGGCTGTGAAACATCATTGTCTGTTGGGTTAGGATGAAGGTTAGCTTTAGGAGATTCAGAAGTGCGATAATGTTTTTTGTATTTCTGTTCGATGTACAGAGCTGACAGCTCACGTTTAGCTTGAGCGTTTAATGACGTTTCCAGCTTTTCTAGCCAATCAATCAAGGAGGCGGGACTTTCCTCTACAAAAATCAATTGCAACCTGGGCGTAACGTCACTCCCAGCTCCGACATCCGACTTCATTGGAATGCAGCATTAGAACACTGCTTAACCACTGGCCAATCAGAATCAAGAAGGGGCGGGGCTTGTGGACAACAATATCTGGGGTCCACACAGAAGAGATGGTACTTGTTTTTCTCTAAGAGGCAGAATTATGATTTCTTTCCACGGTTTTGAAGTTTTCTTTGTAAAATGATTTGGAGAGAAAAAAATGAAGCAATTTTCAATGATTAAGTGATTTAATGATCGCATTTTCCCTATCACACTGCTTCTCTGAGTTCATTTCCAAAAGAAGCTGAGCTAAGGAAAGGTCGAGTCACGCTCAAAATAAACTAAGAGAAAAGCCAGACAGACAGACGAGCAAAATAAAAACCTGTTTCTGTTTGTTTCTGGTCAAAATCAGAGTTGTGTAACGACGCCGCCTGCCAAAAAACTAGACCGTTAAAGTGTGTGTTGTGTTTTCCTGGGTGTGAAAAACTGGATGTACTGGCGGTCAGAGGGGGATACACCTTTTTCCTGCATCTTCAGCAGGTCAAACAATCTGTGTGAGCTTACATAATTGTTCCAGCTCTCCTTTTTCCTGTCCACTCTGCACGGCCTTCTCTTTCCTGAACCACACACACACACACACACACACACACACACACACACACACACACACACGCTCTAAAGGAAGCCCTGAACCCTGACTCCCCGAAAGGCTTGAGTGGAGCAGGACGTTCTTTACCCAAAAACTCACTCCAGAACACGGCCTCAGACTCCTCCTGGGACCTTTAGCACGCTCTGATTTCTCCTTCCAGAGGAGAAAAAAGGTGAATTTCGCCTCCTGTCTCCTCTCAGTGGCCCTAATTCAAAAAAGACAGATCCAAATCCAGGACTCTGCTGAGCAGCAGGCCTTCGCCAGTCAGCCCTGTCTGTCAGATCGAGACGAAACTGGATCCTTTCTTTAAAAACTCCAGACTGAAATTAAGTCTTGCCATGAGCCACTTAGAAAAAGAACTTCAAACCGGTTTTCTTAGGCAGGGAAAACAGAGCAGAGGTCCAGGAGGATTTGAACACACTCCTCGAGTTCACTTTAAACTTTTATTGATGCAAGTAGATCACGCACCGGAGCCAAACCCAGAGAGCGGACTTCCATATGGGGGTTAGTCTGTCTTAATGTCTGCAGAGTCCGACTTAAACCGTGTAGGGGATGTCGTGGTGCTATCTGATATTCTCTGAGGCCAAACTCAACAAAGACCCTCAGTGTTCGCTGACCTTTTCGTCCGAGATGAAACGCAGACTTTAGTCTACACAGGAAAACGTCGAGCAGCGTGTAGGAGTCAGAGGTCTCCTCTTAAAGCAGCTACTGAGCCGTGCTGGGCTGGACTGCTGGTGCGTGGCCAACCGAGTGAGCGAGCGAGCGAGTGGTGAGGAAACACGGCAGAGAGACAAAGAGGCTGTACAGGAGGGTCCTCAGATCCTACCTACCCCACCAAGAATATGATCTGAAACTGTTGCAAGACTAAAATTTAGCTCTTCAGTTGATTCTCAGTCGCTGTAATTTCCAGAGCTTTACAAATTCACCTTTTTTGTGAGTTCAGAGACTCTGATTTGGAAAATATCTCGCACAGAACCTTTTAGAGCCGGACGCCTCGAACCCAACATCCCATCTTTCACCGTCTCCCTGCAGACGGACCCTCACAGCCCGCCAGAGCATCCTCAGGCTCGACGTGAACATCCACTGCCTTCCACTCTCTCTGTCGATATCTGCAGCAGCTAACTCTTCCCTAAAGTGAAAATATGGACAGGGAAGATATTCAGTCGGAGAAGTGTTTACTTTGAAAGCACAATTTGTTCCTAGACTTAATGAATACTTTGAGACGCTCCTCTCTTATCCTCCTGACAGCGTGTGGGCTGAAGGGGAGAAGACAACAGCTGCAAATCTACTCCACAGACAAAAAACGCCGATCCTGAATGAAGCAGAAAACTCTTGGCACCGTTCTGCGGCGGGCAGATGAACGACTCGGAGATCTCAAAGCTCGCCCTCCGCTTGGGTTGGGCTGCAGTGTGCCATAACCCCACAGACCACACACTGATGCACACACACTCACTCGCCGAGCCGCCAAGTTTAAATGGCCTTTTTTTTCACAGTGTGTAAACAGAGCGGTCTGAAGCGGCGCTCGTGCGGGTCAGTGTTAAAGCATAAATGCTCTGATTCATACCATATGTCCGTCACTCGTCAACTCTCCATCGAGGACTGCGTGCACGCAGCTCGCACAGAAACAAAGCCTCCACTCTGTACCCGGGGAAGAGGACGCAGAGATACCGAACATTTAATACACTGTCAGACTCAGTCATGCAAAAACAGACAGGCTGGACGGGCTTTACTGTAGAGGAGCTATGTGGGCTTCGGTCGCTCCATTGTGCTTTCAGAGACTATTGTAGCAGAAGGCATTGTGTTGTGGACTGTTATGCATGTCAGCTGGATTGTGATGGTCCCATTTTCTCTGAGTCCTTACAGGCAGGACAACCATCGGAGAAGAAAAACAAGTTCTGGTTTTTAGGATTTTTAGTGGGGGACGGGTTCGAACTTAAAGGGATATTCCGGCGTAAAATTAAGTTAGGGTCAAACACACAGTAACACCGAGTTAGACACCCTGTTGAGAGATTAATGTTGCCGACCGTTTGCTTTTCTAGTTATACCAACTTTAGTAACGACCGTAAGATAGCGATACACAGCGGTGTACGTCTCCACGCACAAACTGCAACCAAGACGCCACTCTATAACCACAAATAATGATCAGAACAGCACCTAACTTCATCAACAGGACATATAGGGTCACAGCCACCAAACATCTTTTTAACTTTGACTTATTTCTTTAACAAAGAGACTAAACACAACTCACCTACTCTCTTCCAGCAGACGCTTGTTTGTAGCAAGACCTCAGGCCAGTCCATTACCGACTGCTGAGGGGTTTCGCAGCTCAAGGAAGAACATATATGATCATTTCTTTATCATTTCCAAGAAGTAATAATCCCTGCATTAATCATTTTGCACTGCAGACGTTTTCTGCCTTAGTGTCTCGGTCTGATTGTATTTCCATGAAGAAATGATCATAAATGTTCTTCCTTGAGTTCCGTAATGGCCTGGCCCGAGGTCTCCGTACAAACAAGCGGCTGCTGGAAGAGAGTAGGTGAGTTGTGTTTAGTCTCTTTGCTAAAAAAATCAGGCAAAGCTAAAAAGTTTTGGTTGAGGTTTGTTCATGGCTCCTCAGACTTCTCTGTATTTCTATCCTGCGGTCGTTACTAAAGTTGGTATAACTAGAGAAGCAAGCGGTCGGCAACATTGGGGTGTCTAACTTGGTGTTGTGGTGTGCTTGACCCTTAATCAATTTTACACCAGAATATCCCTTTAACCATGAGACCGATTTCTGTTTGTGGAAATGACCTTCATAACCAAGAAATGTGAGCTCCGGGTTGACATTGGAGGAAAGTCTAAGGAGTCATCCTCTGAGGGTCATGAATTTCTGCACAAGAGCGGCGCAACTGTTGAGATAATCCAGTCTAGACTCCACCAACCCTGACACCTTCAGAGTGTGTGAGAGGGATAAGAAATGAAAACTCCTTAAGAAGTATGACCTGGTAGAGCAGGTGGTTATAGACGGCCACTTCTTCTTCTTCATTGGGTTAATTATGGCAGAACAGACGGGCTTTTACTGGGAGACTCTACTGTAATCCTCCAGGGAATCGATCCAGTTGGAATATCGAGCCCACCACCAATATTCCTCAGTCTTTCCCTCTTCTGGCACTCCACACTTCTTTGGACTATTTCCAGCTTTGCTCTAGCACTTCATCCCACCTCCCTGATTCTGTCTGCACACACACACACACACACACACACACACACACGTCTCCTGTCTGGCTCTCTCATTTTTTGTTTCACAGACATTTCTCTACCCATTGCTGCGTCTCACCGTCGCTCTTTTCGCAGTCACATGCTCTTTCCCTCCTCTCGTTCATGTCGCTGTCTGCTCTCCATCTGAGAGCCCGGTCGCTCATTCTGTCCGTCACTTTCTGTCCTCCCCCCTCCGACGACTTGTTGCCTGGCAAAGAGCGCATGCATCTCTTTATTAGGAACGAGTCTGTTGCGAGATTTCCAACCAACCTGCCACCTTCATTACATCCAATCAGCGCAGTCTTTCATCCTCGACTCCTGCTGCCCGTGACGACCTGACTCAGCCTGCTGCAACGACGTGGACAATGCTCACTATTATTTTCATGTGTAACAGTGTGAAGCCTTGAATATATATGTCAGTAACCATTTGTGCGTGTGCATATGTGTGTGTTTGCTGGCTCTCTGCTGCTGCGAGGTATCCCCGGTTGGCATCGCACCATATGTCTGTCCGTGAGGCTGTGCTGACATGTGCCACCGCTGGAGGCCGAGCCGGCACAATGACAGCTTTATGCCTGCATGCCATGCATTGCAGCACTCCGGCAAACACTCGTATCCTGCAGCTCTGCAGGCGCTGAACACTACTCTTACACACGGGTAATAGTTTCTCTCCTGCAAGTTGGTAACTTAAGAAACTAGAAATGTGTGGTGCCCGTCTCTACAGTGAGAAAGTTGGTTTTTGAATATTGAAGATAAGAATCGAACAGGCTAGAGAGGGTTCTCTTTAGCCTGTTTTGTGTTTTTGTTTTAACTTTCATCTGTGCTAACGTAAGCTAACGGTTGTTACCATAGTTTCATGTGCTTATCTGGTACTGGCCGCGACTCAGTACATGCTCTCATGACAGAAAGCCATCTCAACACTAGAGTCTAGTCCTCTGACTCTTCAAACTTGGAGCTAATTGTTTCAGCAGAACTTCAAATTGTTCAGCGGACATCCGAAAAAAGGTTTTGAAGCGACCGTGGTCCAGTTTCAGCTCCTGAACCAAGCAGCTTAAGCGCATGATGACGTTTCCAGCTTTTCTAGCCAATTAGAGGCGACGGAGGCGGGACTTTCCACGGAAAAGTCCTCTCCGGGATACGTCTTTTTCACCCTGTGTATAGTCAGGCGCGTCAAAATTCGCCTCCGAATATTTCGCGATTTCGTGTTCTATATTTGTGTCGGCCCCGGTGTGTAAGGACCTTGAAGCAGATAAAATACAGGTTTAAATAAGTGTGCCCCCCTGAAAAAATGTAATGCCCCTCCTCTCATTTGTTTCTGCAGCCGGCACTGAGTGAAACATCTGCAAAAGCACAAAAAAAACAGCAAAAATGCTAAATAAATGAACAGTTACAGACGTAAACTAACCAAAAGGAGAGGCAAAATAAACACAAGGTGCAACAAAGTGCCCAAAATTCAAAATAAACAACCTCAAAGTTGTGAGGTGGCATAAATGTGGCCAAAAGAGACAGAGGAGCACACAAAGAGATGTAAAACATCTGCAAAAGCACAGAAAACTAACAAAAAATGAAATAAATGAACAGTTACAGACGTAAAGCAACCAAAAGGAGAGGCAAAAGTGCCCAAAATTCATATTAAACAACCACAAAGTTGCGTTCAACATCCATAGAGATGCAAAGAGAGAAAAAACCTCACAGACCTGGAATAGAAAACTGCATTTTAAGAGATTCAAAACTATTAATCAGGTCAAAACTGCAGAAAAATATGAAATAAAGTGATGCAGAACGACTACTGAGACACACAAAACGACCATCATGTGACACAAACACAAAGACAGAACAGACACTAAGAGCTGTTATTGGTTTATAATATTTTCTCTGTTACTCATCTAGCACTTTTTTGTCACGCTGAATAAATAAAGCAGCGGTAAATAATTTAGTATCCAGGGCAGCGCTTCTTTAAAACTGTGTCAACCCCCTCCGATCCAAAAGTATGCTCAACAACATCTGCATGTGGAGTAAATCTGCTCCTCGGGCTCTTGTGTTGCTCTGACACATCTGTGCCAACACATTCCTCCAACAAAACCCCAGATTTAATGAAGTGAATGAGTCAGTGATTGAACCCGAGCGAGGAGGAGACCTGTTGGACAAACAAAGTCAGAACACAATACGACGCTGAAGCATTTGTAAGTCATTATGTTTGTTATTTTCAAGGTTGGAGTAAGACATTCAACTGTTTTTGTGTGAGGGTAACTTCATGCCAGTGTATCTGAGGAAGGTGCATCACTGTGGGCTGAGGAGATCCTCCACTAGTGCCTGTTTTCAAACTCTCTCCATGTCAAGTCAAACAACCCTGACATTACAGGCCAAAGTCAGGACCCACACCGTTATTATCACTATCATCATAATTCCTATTTTTACACCCTCAGACTAAACAGGCACATGTCTCCTGACTGTCAGTGCAGGAACAGCCTCAAGTCCAGCCTTTCTGATCAATCCTACCTTGGTTCTCCTCGTCCATGATTGCAGCTTATTGATCCGGATCCCCCCCCTCCAAAATAAGACGATGACAGCAGCAAACTCGCGAGAAAAAGAGGGGGTCTGAATTTCAGCAAAAAAAAAAAAAACGCGTCTTAATTTCCAGGACGCATCTGGTGCACAGGTTGTCTCGCGGGTAAGCGTCTTCTTCTTTTGGAGGATGTTGTGGCCATTTACGCCTCACAGTCGCGAGGACAGTCCCTCCGGTTCAAGCAGTCGGTGTGTGTGTCTGTGTGTTACTGCGTGTGTGTGTCCGTGGCAACAGCAGTAACAGCAGCAGCAGCAGCGGTGTCTTTTCTCCCACACTGGCCGAGCGTGTTATCGTTATCCCTCCAAATACGCCTTCACTCCACTAGTATCGGGAGAGTAGTTGACACGGCTGCGTCAAATTCGAGCACACACACCCGGAACTATACCGGAAGTGGAAGTTATGAGACCTTCAAAATAAAAAACAGTAGACAAAACGTTAGCGGAATTATTTTACTCTGAAAATAATAAACAGAAAATAGTCTCTATGCCTTGATTTTAGTTTGATCCCAACCCAGCCTCACATTTTCATCAGCGCTCACGTGACCTCTGTCAATACTGATGCTATAGAACTATCTATATCATTATTATCGATTATCGGCATGTTCCGATCAATTCCTAAAGAGTTGATGAATCATTCTTAGATAGATATTTCAAGAACGTTTTATTTATAGGCCCATTTAAGAGAAAAAAACGAATAAAAACAGATTTGATGGTTTTATTCATTTCAAATACTGCAAAAAAAAAAAACATGTTTAAAGTTGAAACAAAAAAGTGTCTTGAATCAAAAAGTATGTCCATTTATTTTTTTAAAGCCTGTAAAAAAAAATGGAAAAAGTGACATAGGGACAACAAAACTGAAAAAAAGTTGTGTAATGCTAAAAAAAGAAAAAAAATTACATTGGTTAAAAAATTGTTTCTCAGTAGTTTTTTCAGTTGTACAAAAGGGAAGAAATTCACTTCTCTATGAGAGACTGTGAGCAAATCATTCAACAATCTCAAAATAATGTTCCTGAGCACAAAACTGCAAAGAATTTTAATCAATCAATCAGTCAATTAGACTTTATCTTTAAAGCACTTCTGAAAAGTGCTGTCCATTCGCCCATGATATATAAAAAAAACAATGACATAAAATAAATACAAATACCAAACCCCACCCAGCCTCCCAACCCCCATTAAACACACACAGATGCGTACATAAAAGACCAGGTGAGGACTATTCAACTTGCCACAGATGACTGAGGAAACACTATCTTGAGTTAAAAAAGATGAGAAAACTCTGGATCTCGGACTAAAACGATAAAACCATGATAAAATATAATGAAGGTGATAAAACGTTAAAAGTTAATTGAATAAAAGTCTTAAAATCGAACAATAAAAGAGAGTAAATTAAAAAAGAGGTAATAAAACACAAAATAATTACTCTAGGACTAAAATAGCCTAAAACCGAATAATGCAGATTAAAAGATTAAAAGAAAATTCAACTAAAAGCCAGAATAAAAAGGTAGGTCTTTAGTTTACTTTTAAAAATATGAACAGTAGGTGTCGCTCTCAGGTCTGTAGGTAGATTGTTCCACAAATGGGGACTGTAATATTGGAATGATGATTTTATTAACAATTATACATAATATCATTGAATGATTTGAGTGAAATCTCTGGATTTACGGGGTAATACTAAAAACCAAATGATAAATGGATGTGGTAGAGCTTTCATTTTTCTGCATCAAATCCTATTTTCAGGAATATACTTGAACCAATATACTCTTTTTTGGGTGTGATTTGCTTCCACAGATTTTCTCTCGCTTCCGTCTGTCAGTGTTTCATGTTGTTGTCAGCCGCCCTTTGAAGAGCAGGAGCAGTATCACAAAGGCAACACATTTCAAGAAAAGACAGACATGTTTGTGATGATGTTTGCACAAGCGGCACTTCTCTGTCGAACTAATCCGAAAGCACTTCACACTAACCTGAAATTCTTTAAAATAATATATTGCATCATTACACTCAAAATAGCCGCAAATCTAAGGTATAAAAGACTGTCCCCAAATCAGAAAAACTGCAGACTTAAGGCTCTTACATAAGGAGGGGGAGCCTTCAGGTTACACACACACACACACAGACAGAGACAGAGTGAGGGCGAGAGCTTGTTTCTACAACACACATGGTCTCAATTAAAGCATTCCTGCCTCCGCAGAGAAGGAGGGGGTCTCACTTCCTGTGTGCATTACTCCAATGGTCAAGCATGAGCAGATGTTTTAATGTATTCAGTCATTTGTTTGGTCGTAGGTGTCTCTTTTTGGACAAATGTCGAATTCTCAGCACTCTGTCCTAAACAACGTGACATTCTGCAGACATAACACAAACAGCTCGGCTTAAACTGTTTCCCACAGGAGCGAGTTAGAGGCTTGACCCCAATAACATAGATTTATTTAAGTAGCAGAGAAAGCAAATAATTTCACTCATTTTTCCTACACGTATATTCGACTGCAAACTCCTGCTGCAAACATCTGAGGAAAAATAATCTGTGATGTCTTTGTACTGAGATTGCATGTTTGATTGATTTTCCAAAAATTTTAAACTAAGAGAGGATTTGCAGACACTCAGAGACTGCAACGACTCATTTCTGGAAGTTCACATCAGCAGGATTATCACACTGAACCCTCTTCTAACCGGCACAATCCAGTTTAGAGTGAGAGAAACTGAAGTCCTGCAGCAAGATCCTGATGTGACACCTGAACAAACTGGCCAAGATGAGAGTGATCTGAATGTCAGCTATCCAGGAATGACTGAAGATTTGGGTTCATGCATCCAGACTGTGTTTATTTTCTTTGCACTCTGGCACCAAGCGTGGGCTGTGAGGACCTAACCATGTGTTTTTAAAGGGAACTTAATTCCCAAAGCTGTTTGCTAAAAAGCAAATGGGGAAAAGTTAAAGCAGAGAGGAAAAATAGGAAAACCTATTTAAGCAGTCCACAAGGACCCAAACAAAAGGTCTTATTTTCAATGTGAGCTGCAAAAAAAGTCCTGGCAAAAATTTCCATCCTGATTTATTGTGGGCTGTTTCCTGCCCACACTAAGTAAATTTGTTCACTTGCTTCAAACTGTGACCTGCAGGCTGTAGGCGAGCTACAAGCTACAACCTACAAGCGACATGCTGCAAACTGGGCTTTTTAAGATGCAAACTGTTACTTGTGAGCTCCAACCTGCAAACTACAAGCTACAGGCAGCAAACTTAAAGCTGCAAGAGTCAAGCTACATTCTGCAAAGTGATGGTACAAGATGCAAGCTACACCTTGCAACCTGCAACCTGCAATCTAGGGATACAAGATGCAAGCTACGTAAAATTAACCAACACTACTCCCAGTGACATAGTCGTGTGATTTGGTATAACAGAGATGAGGTGAAATTGATTATGCCCTTAAAGGGATATTCCGTCTTAAAATTAATTTAGGGTCAGACACACCATAACACTGAGTTAAACACCCCCTCGAGAGATGAATGTTGCCGACCGCTTGCTTCTCTAGTTATACCAACTTTAGTAACGGCCGCACAATAGCAATATACAGCAGTCTGAGGAGCCATAAACGAACCTCAACCAAGACGCCACTCTATAGCCACAAATAATGCTCAGAACAGCACCTAACTTCATCAACAGGACATATAGGGTCACAGACATAGTACTAGCCACCAAACATCTTTTTAACTTTGACTCATTTCTTTAGAAAAGACTCTAAACACAACTCACCTACTCTCTTCCAGCAGCCACTTGTATGTAGCGAGACCTCAGGCCAGTCCATTACTGCAGCGGGGTGACACAGCTCAAGGAAGAACATTTATGATCATTTCTTTATCATTTCCTTAAAGTAATAATCATCATATTAATCATTTTCACTTCAGACACGGTAGTTCTTCTGCCTAAGCGTTTCGGTCTGATTGCATTTCCATGAAGAAATTATCATAAATGTTCTTCCTTGAGCTGTGTCACCCCGCTGTAGTCTGTAATGGACTGGCCTGAGGTCTTGCTACAAACAAGTCACCAACCCTGTAACCAAGAAATGTCCAACACCAGCGCTGATCCACAGCCATCCCAAAACTTCACATTGTTAGGGACACGTGTGAACAAGTGCAAACTTTTAGGACACACTATCATAGAAATTTTCAGAACGTTTTCAGGAGTGCATGTGTAAAGAAGCTGCAGACTCCCTCACTCCAGTCCCAACAGTTATGAGGTTTTACACCGTGCGCAGATTGATGCAAAATATTTATTGAAATATTTATCACAGTGCAAGCCCTGATTTGAATATTCTCTGTGCTACAAGTAGAAAATAGGTCATATGCATAATGTCGGTGATAGCTTTGGGAATATGGTTCGACAAATTAAGTGTTACTGTCCGTTTATGTCAGCGCTGGACCTGATCGGGCAGAGCAACCTCGTGGAAAGTCTGAGTAGCTCATATTTAGAGCAGTTAGATTCCTGAATCCGTCTCTCTGGCACACAGACAGAGTCAGTGCGCTCTACTCCACATAAATGTCATGCTAATGTGTTTATGAGTCATAAGAGAGTCCTCCCGGTGTGGCCCAGATATCCTCAGTGCAGAGAGGGGAATTTGAGCATGGAGAATTTAACACTTTCAAATCTACAAAATGTCACGTTTGTGCTGTTGTTTTAGACCAAACTGGGCTCTTTGCCATAAAGAAGAAAAAAAAGCACTAAACAAAAACCACAAAGTGATCGCTGAGTAAAAGTCTTTGGCTTGAAGTGAACATGTGCGGGATTTTCGGGTTGTCTGACTCCCAGAATCTCGTGCCGCAGAGGGTGCTCACCCTCAGGGAGGCGTATGTCTGGCAGATTAGGCCGACCACCATGGGAAACGTCTGCGGTTCTCCTCCTGACCGACTTCACGTGACCTGATTGAGCAGTCAAACCACTTTTTATGCTCCAGTCACCACAGCAAAGCCCAGAGGGAGATCACCTCATCTCTGTTACACCGCTGACCCCCAACAATTAGACACACACAGACAGACACCCTTCATTTCTCTACCTCTGTGTTCACAACATCCCCCAATCTGTTGTCTTTTTCACCCAACACAGCCAAACACATACCTAGTTGTGGTTTGTGGTAACTTGGTCTGCTTTCTTCAATTTGTTAGATGTCTCTTTCACTCTGCAGCTCCTTCTGTGTCTCAGCAGCATCCCTGTCTGATTTTTTCTTTATCTGAAATCAATATTTTTTGCCACATTGTCAACAGAAAGAGGTCAAATCATGCACTCTAAAATGTGATAAACAAACCTCAACCAAAAAGCCACTCTATAGCCACAAATAATGCTCAGAACAGAACAAAAAGAGACACAGCTCACCTACTCTCTTCCAGCAGCCGCTTGTTTGTAGCGAGACCTCAGGCCAGTCCATTACTGCAGCGGGGTGACGAAGCTAAAGAAAGAACATTTATGATCATTTCTTTATCATTTCCTTGAAGTAATAATCATCATATTAATTCACTTTTCACTGCAGACGCGGTAGTTCTTCTGCCTCAGCGTCTCGGTCTGATTGAATTTCCATGAAGAAATGATCGTAAATGTTCTTCCTTGTGCTGTGAAACTCCGCCTCAGTAGATGGTGGATTGGTCGAGGTCTCGCTACGAACAAGCAGCTGCTGGAAGAGAGTAGGTTGAGTTGTGTTTAGTCTCTTTGCTAAAGAAATTAGGCAAAGTTAAAAAGATGTTTGGTGTCTAGTACTATGTCTGTGACCCTATATGTACTGTTGATGAAGTTAGGTGCTGTTCTGAGCATTATTTGTGGCTATAGAGTGGCGTTTCGGTTGAGGTTTGTTTATGGTTACTCAGACAGCTGTGTATTGCTATCGTGCGGCCATTACTAGAGTTGGTATAACTTTAGAGAAGCAAGCGGTCGGCAACATTCACCTCTCAACGGGGTGCCTAACTTGGTGTTATGGTGTGCTTGACCTTAAATCAATTTTACACTGGAATATCCCTTTAATGACCTTTTTATGGAGTTTTGACCAATAATATCCAAGTATTTAACATTAGCAGGTTATTGGTTATGAAGCTGGAAATAACGTTGAATAAAACTGCATCACAGAGCTGCGAGCTCAGCAGCAGCCTGCATCATTTTTGTTGGGAGTTTCCCGTCCGTCTTTGTCCTTGCTCCAAATCAGTGCCTGATCTGTCCCAAACTGAGGGACGTGAGAGACTGTTTATGTCTGTCCTTGTTGTGAAAGGTGAAGGGTCAACCTGATGGTGTGTTTGTGTGTGACAGGAGGTCACAGGAAGCAGAGGGGCAGCAGGATTTCCTCCTTCCTCCACATCGGTTTAATATGCAGCTCTGCATTTTCTCCGCTTCTTTCCTGCCACCATCTAATCGAAGGGCAAGGTTGGGCTAATTTAGTGGATCCAAGGACACGTATGAGTGGAGTCTTTATTTGGACTCCGTCTGCCGAGCACAAAGGCTGCAGTGTATACCCCGAGAACTTGTGTGTGACCTTATGGGTGTGTGTCCCAACATTTCAAGTACAATCCTCCTGGACCTGGACTTGCTGCGGTTACATAACAAGCGGTAAAGGTTAAGAATTTTGATCCTCACAAAGGCTTTTACATCCCAAACGCTCCAACGTGAGGTGAACCCGAGTTCATGACCAGAAAGATTGGACAGGATATAATAAAGGCACAAAGAGGGGTCTCACGTGGTGGTGCAGCACGCTGGATACCACTGTAACGTGATATAAAGACATAAAGCATCAATAGCTGACCTTTGACCTGCTTAGCTCTCTTCTTAACATGAGATAAGCTGCTCAGCCGACAGTTTAAGCAAAATAAATGACTCCACTATGAAATTACTAGTATAACATCACCTTTGAAGAAACATTTTTCAGGTTTGTGAGTCAAAAATGACATTTTTCACCCATTTTTTTCAAAATTTAATAAAACAGGGGAATGATGTGTATTTTTGATTCAAAGCTGCACTCATCTGACAAATTCAAAGCAAGGATTTACACTTAAAATCCACGTTATGAAACGGGAAAACATCCCACTAACACCTCCTGCAGACTGGTGCGTATTTGCATGCTCTTTTGCTTGTATGACCTATTTAAGCACCACAATACGACTAACAGCAACTACAACACTACACTTCTCCCTCCTCCACATTTCCCCCTCCCTCCCTTCCTCTTTCTCCTCTTCACCTCCTCCCCCACTCACTCACCCACTCACTCACTCTCTTTGCATCAGTTTTGAGGTCATCTCAGCACCTGATCTCGTCCTTTCTGGTGTTTTGCATACGCGTCCCGTCCCCTGTTAACAGTATGCAAAAAGACGCCGTTTTTGAATAACCACAAAGAGCATGTTAGACGCCGTAACGCTCTGGGCGCCAAAGCTCTCGTCCAACAAAACCTTACATGTCGGATCCATATAATTCACAGTTTAAAGACTAATGCATCAGAGCTGAAATCATGTGGATTAATGTTTGATTACATTTAGCATCAGTAATCCATTCATTACTCGAGGATGATGATTTTCCAGACTGTATACACGGTATATTCACCCTATATTAATATTGATAATGTGAAAGCAGGATGATCAATTTATGTCTGAAACGACTACTGGGTGTACAGAAAAAAAGTGGTAACACTTTAAAATAACCATAATTTATAAATAGTAAATAGATAGTTTATCAATGTGAGCTAATAGTTACTTTACCATTAAGAAGCAATAAAATTATGATTAATAATTTTCATTAATTATTAATGGACTATTTATAAAAGGTTTATATAGGGTTTAGATAATAATTGTAAAACATCTAGATTAAAATGTGTGTCAGTAGCACTTTGTAAATGGTTAATATTTGGTTTTTAAACCATCTATAAACATTACTTAGATGTTTATTGTAAAGTTGAAAATAATGTTTGTAATATTTTGTAAATGATTGATAAGTGGTTTAGAAACCACCTTTAAACTAAATAAACATAATAAACTATCTGCTTACCATTTATAAGTTACAGATATTGTTAAGTGTTACAAAAAAACTTTTAATTTGTCCACCATGGGGCGCCAAAATCAACCCAAATAGAAAGTTCCTCATTGGAGCTTTAAAAAGACAAGATATTTCAAAGTAATTTAGGTAAAAACATTAACCTTAAACTGATAAACACTCATTTGTAGCCCTGTGATGTGAAACTTAAAGAACAAACTCTACACCTCTCACATTAACAAATAGGCTGAAGTTTATAAATAACGTTTATGGAAGTGGGTCGTACATTAAGCACACTGCATTGCGGCTTTAATTGAATCAGTGCCATTTCTACTTACAGTATTATCAGTATTTCACACTCACTCACATAAAACACATGTGAGCTGCTGTGGCTGCCAAAGGCTAAAGCTCTATCATCTTTACTCCACTCCTTCACCCTCTCCCCCTCTTTCTTTGGTATAAATGGCGGTTTGGCAAAAACAGAGCAAAGATAGCTCGACTTATCCTTCATCTATAGATCTCTCTCAGCCTCTTTCCCTGCCAGTCCTTTATGATAACCCTATTAAAATATTTCCCCTGGCAAATCCTTCAGAAATAAATCCTCTTTTACCACAAAAAAAAAAAGAAGGACGGGTGGGGGGGACCAGGAAGGTTTGTCTGTCACATGGAGAAATACAGTTTCCTTGGCAACCCCTGATGGTTTCAGACTGCAGCCTGGCATCAGAGTGACTGGTGAGGACATAAGTTTTCTGGGGACATTTTGCGCTGAGCGAGGGTGTCAGCAGTTTGAAAAATCAATTTTCAAAAGGTGCACATCAGAGGGAAGGAGGGGCCAAATGGGTCTCCTGGCTGGTATTCATTTATGCTTTCTCCTTAAACGCAAATATGGATCACACACACACACACACACACACTCACACACACACACACACACACACACTGAGGTAGATCAAAGAAGACAGCAGATAGACAAACCTCATGGTGCAAGCTGATTATTACCCCTGCAGAGATAGATCTATGAGTGAGACGCCTGAATCCAACACTCTGAAACAGGAAAAATCAAAGAACAGGGTAAACTGAACACTTAAAAAGGTGACTAATAGAGGTCTCTCTGTCATACAGAGTCATTACCTGTGTTAGTTTTACCTGTCTGAACTGCACAGCATCTCTGTTTTATCCATGAGTGAGACCTGGATCCACTTCTGTGATCTGCTGCCGCCCTCCTGTGGACAAACTCAGCTCTACAACACAGACAATCTGAAATAATGGAGAACATTGAGGTCTGTCAAATTTAAGGAGACACTTTTCTTCTCATTGGCTGGAAATAAATCAAACATTTTCACCTTTCATATCCTGTTCTTTCTGTGAATTCATTGACATTTCTTCAACATAATCCACTTATGCTTCACTTGAGCTTTAAATAAATGCTGCATAAATTAATCAAACAAAATCTACGTGTTATTTTTATTTTTCATTTTTTTTTATCAATGTCAACTAGTTAACTAAGAAGATATGAACGCAAGAGTCCTAGAATTGCAGTCCTGAAGTTGCAGCATTCAGCCCTACAGACACATAACATCAGACTGTGAAGCCATAACACTGAGAGCTCCCCCTGCTGACTGTCTGCTGTACATGTTTTAAACCCTTCCTCCTCAGTGTGAAAACTAATAAAAGTACACGTTGAATAAACTTTGGTGGTCCTTTAAGACAAGCAGGTACAAGAGTAAGGTTACAGCAAACAGATATTTATCAATGAAATAAAATACTTATATCATGTTAAAAACAAGCTTAATGGTCATACTGAGTTCACAATGGTGGTCCTTTGAGAAGTTATGGGGATATTAGCCGACTGTTAGCAAGCTAGCTGTGAGATGAATCAGCACTTTTAAAACCTCTGTTCAAGATAAACTGTGAATCCAAAAACAACATTAGAGTTTATGTCTCTTCTGGTTACTCATCTGCTGAACATTTATACTTTCTAACCACTCTTTTGACCGTTTTTATTAAGCCCCGTTACTAACGTTTCTTCCTTCAAAATAAAAGCAAAATCCGACTGTGAAAGTGATAAAGCAAAGCAGAATATCAAAATAAAAGCACAACAAACCATCATCTATGATTGTCTTCTTTCCTCGAGAGAAATTTTGGCCACAGAAAAAAATATCTTAGGTGGATAAATCATAAATTTGAACATTACTATAAATAGATGACATGTTAGGTAAACATACTTATTTGAAAAGCTTATAAAATATTGTGTTGCTCCACCTGCTTCAATTTTGACTGATTGTGTTGTTTTATTCATTATTGTGATATTTTATAGCCACAATACTCATGAGGTGAAAATCTAGTATCATGACAGCTCTGGTACAACATCTGAGAGGCTGATAATTTTCACTCTTGAGTTCCATTTGGAGAGGAGTTCTAGTTTTTGTTATTTTACAATTCTAACCGCGGTCAAACAAAGTTAAAACTGAAATAATTTTTGTACCTGGTGGCGAAATATTTTTCCAAAGATCCTTGAGTAAACTCTGCAAATTAATGAATGTGAATAATAATAACAAAAAAGACTGGAAATGGTGATTTCATAGATTTAATACTTCCAAAAATTCATCCAGACCCTCATTTCTGTGACTTTAGTACCCCCTCACAGACATTTTCACATAAGAAAGATGCAGCTACAAATTTGAGGGATGTATTTCTTTTTTTTTTTAAACCAATAAAGCCTTTCCCACTGCCACTGAAACACAACAATGAGCATGAAGACCTGCGTGTACCAGAGACAAATGTATACATGCAGTGATTCCCTGTGAGACTGAAAATAATAACGGACTTAATTTCCAGGAGAAGAGCTGTGGTATCTGTTTTTCTACAACAACCTCCTACTGCAAGATGATGTACCACCTCCAAAGCAAATCCCAACTTCAAGTAGAGTGTCCATGCCACAGAGGACAGAAAACATGCCTGTGTGTGTCATGCGGTTCAAAGGTTTACCAGTTAAATTAAAGTGAGATGTTAACACTGAGAGCTTAAGAAACATACAGGTCACAATGAAGAAAAGCTACAAAGCTACACAGTGACAATCATCTGTTTCCAGAATCACAACCATGCCACAGTCCTTTAAATCCAGACAGAGGAAATATCAAAACCATCCTTCGTCCGGCACAGTCCCCCTGGTTAGGACAGGTGGCTCTTGAATCTCAGGCGGCAATCCACACAGGTGAGCGTGAGGCGTTTCCTCACCCATCACTGCTCACCGTGGCTCATTTTTTTTTGCAGACACCTCTGCCGTCCTTCCTTCCACAAAGGCACTGGGCTCGAGTGACGAGACAGACCGAGACAGCCAGCCTTGTCACTTCATTGCACAGAAACAGGCTTCTTCTTCCTCCACATCGCCGTGCGGTGTCAGACAGAGGTCTGAAACGTGGCAGTGCTCTCCGTTTATCAAATCCAAGTCCAAATACAGGCACTGACGATTCAATGTATTTCTATGTGGACCTACGAACACATGAGGAGACTGTTAAAAACACACTACTGCAAAATAAACAGATGACGACATTGTTATTTATCGTCAGATCTGTCTGTATAAAATGTGTAAGGTTTGTATAAGAGGCTGCAGGTTGTGACGACAGTTATTGAACAGAAATCTGAAACATTTCTTTAGTTTAATAGATGAGTGAACTGGCATAATCTAACTGGACTGTCCTTTGAAAGTTATTTATTCTGGCTGGATGCAAATTGAACTGAAAAAAGGGCCGAAAGCAGCGGAAATGTCAAGTAATGAATGGTCTTTTAAAGCAGTTGAAGTGTCTGCCTAATTGGAAATAATACAAGCAAATTAAATATCAACTGAAGGCAGAGCACTGTGGTTAATGAGTCGTTTTATTGCTATTTAATTTTCATCAAAAATACACTCAGAAAATCCCTCCATGTGTCCTTTGATAAAAATGATTCAGTTAGTCTAATTCTATCTCACTGTGTTTACTTAAATTCTGAAATATTGAGACATTTTAGGGTTTAAGAGTTATTTCTTATTTTGTCTTTGCTTTTTTGTATTTGATTGAATATTTTTCTACATTTAGTATTCTTTTTTTATAATTTTGTGTTTTATGAATCACTGTTTTTCAAGATTATTAAGGGGCTGTTGTTGTTTTTATTTAAGAGGACAGCCTGAGAGGGACTGGAAATGTGGGGAGAGAAAAGGGGGAAACACTCGCTCCAGATCCTGCTGGGATTGAGATTGAGGAATGTACTCTCTGTATACAGAGCGTGCACTTGAACCACTATGTCAACAGTGCCTCCATACTTTATGATTTTATTCAGCATTTGCTGAATATTTTTGCGTTTAATTAAATTCTTGTTAAAGTAAGCTATTCAGATATCTGTGCAGGTGACAAAACAGAGCATGGACAAGTATTATTTTTAACCTGAAATGTCATGCTGTGAATGAACAGGTCACTGTGATGATGATAAATAAGGAAAAAAATTGAAACAGTGCATAGGTTTAAAAAAAGTCCTTGTTTCCTCCTGATATGTCTAATTAGATAATAATCTCTAAACTGAAGTTCAGCAGGCTGTAAATTCCTTTTTGACATAATATAGACAAGGAAGCATTTGGCAGAGTAAGACTTGGTAATAAGATAACTAGTTGCTGCCCTAATTGGGTTAGAGAAAGAACTCGGTCTAACACTTATTTAACTAACCTTTATTTAGGGGTAAATAACATACTTTGCCTCCATACTTTGTGATTTTATTCAGCATTTGCTAAATATTTTTGTGTCTTATTAAATTCTTGTTAAAGTGAGCTATTAAGATATCTGTGCAGTTGACATTTTGGGGCCACCATGACAAAACTGTGTATTTTTTAACCTGAAATATCATGCTTTGCACCAACAGGTCCCCATAATGATAAATAAGTAAATAAATCGAAACAATTCATTGGCATAAAGTCCTTGTTTCCTCCTGATATGTGTAATTGGTTGATAATCTGTAAACTGAAGTTCAGCAGGCTGTAAAATCCTTTTTTGTGTGTCATTTTTATAGACATGGAAGCATTTGGCAGAGTAATACTTGGTAATAAGATAACAAGTTGCTGCCCTAATTGGCTTCGATAAAGAACTCGGTCTAACACTTAATTAACTAACCTTCATTTAGGGGTAGATAACAAACACACCCTTTAGTATAGCACCTAAAGATACACAGATAAATCAATAGATGGATAGATACAAACAAAAAATGCGTCAGGGTGTTGTTTCAATCATGAGGGATGGATTGGTATCTTAAATTTGAAGTGATAAAAGCTTAAAAAATGAGCAGTGCTTCATACTAACTCCAGATGATAGATGGCCCTTTGTCACACATATCAACGTGGGAACTTAGTAAGTAAACAAGGTAGCGACCAGCTAACAGATGACTTACCTGTAATCTGACATTAAACATCATCGACGCAACAAGATAAATGTAGGGGAACCTGATTCGTAGCCGCCATGCAAGATCAAAAAATATCAACAAAGTCCTCGTCAAGCCTTTTGAGAACACTCCGTAAGTCCGACCAGCGGAGCCCGAAAATCGGAGCACCAAATAAGACAGACTCGCCATCCAGGCGGAGGCTGCCCAGTCGGTTTCTACGGTCACTTCTTGGGGTAAAGGGGCGAACCAGAGAGGGAAGTGAGGGCTGATATGTCACGGTTCATGTCTCTAACGCTCTGAGCTCCATTTTTGCTTCTGCTCGATGTGTTGGCGACGCTGCTCCACCCCAAAAACCTGCTCTACCGACTCCTGTTATGGTCATCGGGGGGACGCATTTGGGTGTGACACACGCAGACGTTCAAAGATTAACGACATAGATATAAAACGCTAGATGGCTTATGCACGCTGTTAGCCAATGGAGACCAACATTTTGCTACGGGAAGCGTGCCCCCCCATAACCATAGACATATAAAAGAAGGGCTAGAATGAATCGAGGCGGAGTCACCGGCGTCCGTTCTCGGCGGCCATCTTACTTCAGTATAAGATTCTGGTACATTGTACTTAACTAGCTGAAATCTTGACAGAGTTACAAACGGTTTTGTTTATTATAGGTATTACTCTACCTAGCTGCCTAATGTATATTTTTAAAAAGTTCAGGGTTAAAATTATTCTTGAGTACGCAGGAATGTAACTAAAACTCTGAGGTTTATTACAAACCAAACTGTTTGAACATCGGTTAAAAAAATTAAGCAATTTATGGTTATTTAAATGGTACATGCACCATTGACTGTAATGTTATAAGTGGACGGGCTTATATACATATATATATATATATATATATATATATATATATATATATATATATATATATATTTCGCTTCGTAAACTTTTCAATGTGTCATTTGGTTAGGCCATGTAGCGCCTGAGTCAATAGTCGTTGTAGTGTAGCTTTAGTTCGACTTCATATCAACTCAGGCGCTACATGGCCCAACCAAATGACACACTTCAGTTGTGGCTTTTTTTATTTGCATCCTTTTATTTTCGCAGTAAGTAACTTTTCTTCTCTTCCCCACTTTTTTTTTGCGTCTTTAAGATGTGCCTTCCTCATTTTTCTGCAACATTTATTTTTCATTTGCTTCGGTTTCTTTTCTTGCATCAGTAACTTCTGTTCTGACATTTTTTTTTTGCATTCTTTTTTATTTGCAGCAGTGGCGGTTCTCGGCCACCGTACTTCTTTACATATTTATTTCTATGAATGATGAACATAATACAAAAAGTTTGTTTGATGAAAAATTTCTGTAATAAAATCTAAAAATATAGATAAAAACGTTAACATCAAAGTTCATGTTGAAATATGTTACAGAGATGACGTTGTTTCCTTGGCTGGTGTCACACTCTAAACAGTCCGGTTTTCTTATAATTGTCTATTTGCTTATTCTAGTTTTATCCCCAAAGGGTCAAGCTTAACAGAATATTTATTACTATAACAGACTAAGAATTTCTGATGAAACAAATTATTTTTTTGTCTTTCACGGACGTCTAAGAGTCTGTGGGCGTATGTTAGCAGTCTTACCGGATGCTCCGTCAGCCGGTGGAGGCCAGCTTCGGTTTTTTCCGTAGGGGTGGTGGCCGCCGCTGCTGTTTTGCTTCAGAGCTCTCAGATCAGCCCACGAAAGCATGGGAATGTTGCGAGGGAATTTCTAAGTAAACTCGCGTGTAAGTCCCGGATAAGTTACTGTAAGTGTCTCTCAGGCTTTCACCGACACAGACGAGCCCCCCTGGTCCGTTTGGAGGATTTTATCGCGCCGCTGTTGGGACGTTTCAACAGCGAGTAATCCCGGACAAAGAGACCCGAGCTAACGTTAGCGGCTCCCGGGCTAACTTAGCATTCCTCTAGCTGCGGCGCAATGCAGGCCATAAAGTGTGTCGTTGTCGGAGACGGGTAAGTTCACGAAACGGGCTCTTTGGGTGTGTTTCCCGGCGTGTTGTGTGACTCAAAAGTGGATGTGGAGTGAAAACGCCCCGGTAGGAACAGCTAACGTTACAGCTCCAGATTTTTCCTGCCGGGTAAACTTAGCTGTTTGTAACTTCAACAACCTGTTTCCGGAACATGAGTCATTTAACTCAACCATTTTTTTAAATTTAAGTTGTATTAATTTTACATTTTAATGGGGGTTAATATCTTAAAATAGTATAAAATATGGTATTACACCCTGGTTTGATTCATGGGCGTCGTATAGGGGTGGTGGGGGGTGGACTGACCACCCAGAAAGGGCCTGAAATATGAGTAAATTATTGTCTTATTGAGTCAAATTCACATTTTGACCTTATTCCTGGATATTTTATTCAATAAAAGTGACCTTTTTCCCCTGAAGGACCTCTTAAACCCACTTTAATGGCTCACTCACATGTCAAGATTGACCTGAAAGTGCTGAGGTCACTTAAATGACTCGGACAAAAACTGTCTGTTTATTACAGGGTGTATAATAATCTGTATTCCTGTATGTATTTTAACAAGCTTAAAGGAAGGTGTGTGATCAATATGACTGCAGATGTTATCCAAGAAGGACAACACCCTTCTCTATATATTGAAGACCTCTGGCACAGTTTAGGATTTTTTTATTTATTTTTTAAATCAAGAAAAAAAAAAACCTAGTTAGTTCGATCTGAATATGACTGGTAGAGGACAGCATTACGTCGGGTTCTGTACATCCTGCCAAAGAAGAAGAAGACGCATCAGCGAATAGCAAATTTCAAATGATGGATGCCAATGGCGATATTGGAAGCTTGGCTTGGGCGGAAGAGGCTGGAAAAGATGGAAAGCCTCACGGTAGCTGGTGCCGAACACTGAAAGAGTCAGTAGCCCCGTTTACATGGGTCCAAAAATCCTATTTACAATCAGATTGAAAGGTCAATCAGATTCAAAATGTCTCAAATAAACACCTTAGCTAATCTGATTCACCCGGATCTGATTGTATTTCTGGTCGGATTGTAAGAGGTAGTCTAAGATGATTGATAATCTGCTCCATGCTCCATATACGGCTGAGTGGAGCGGATTGGGTTTACAGAGAGGCTTGTTCGGTTTAGGCAGGCGCTCCATAGTATGTAAGAAGCACGTAATGACGTACGCAGAGCGTGCCCAAACGAAAACAAACATGGCGAACAAACAAAATAACTGGACTGTGGAGGAAACAAACTTGTACCACAAATAAATGTAACCACAACACGATGAGCGTGGAAAGATATTCACCGATTCGGATTCTTGGATCAATAACGCTGAGACGAAACGTTGTCTAAACACAAATGATGCCTCTATCATGTTGCAATAGCACAGATTACTAGCTTTTCTTCGAGCTGGATGAATTATACTGATCTCTATCGTCTGCAAATTACGATACAAGAGCAAGACGTTGCAAACAAAAATTAAGAACTCCGCTGTTATACAGTAGAAACCCTAAAATCACCACACACACCAAGGGACTCTTCATACTACAACAGCTGTTTTAGGAAAATGTGCCTTTTTATAATTTTGGTGAATTTTTATTGTTATGACTCATGAATATTTGCCCTGTTAATGGATGGTTGTAGGGGCACTGGGGTCCAGTTTGATGTCTTTCTACAGGGTCCAGAATTCCTCGCCTGTATACGAGTGATTTGCTAATCTCTAACACTAACATTGTTTCCCTCTTTCTTGAGTGACTCAGACATCCCTGGCCTACTTAACCACAGTTTCAATTCAAGTTTGGCAACAGTTACTAATCGACTAAAATGTGTCAGTCCTTTAAATGCGGTCGGTGCGTTTTTCCGTCATCAAACCGGTGTCAGCTCCTGCGGATTACATTGCTATTCTGCTCATGTGGCGTGGTCAAAACGAAGAGTATAAATCATTTATACGGCTCTGTCAGCTTCAGCTAGAGATTGGTAAATGATTACAGTAATTTTAGCGAGGACCCGGCGTTCAGAAGTGTAACAGCATGTGGGAGGTAAACACAGTCATAACTCCATGTTCAGGGTGTGGTGGATACCACAGAAGCACAGTCACTGATGTTGCTTATGCTGTGTTTGATTTATTATTAATTTAGTGTTACTAATGCTCATCCGCTAATGCTCTTACAGTAAAGATGTTTCTCTCCACAAAGAGCAGAAGTAGTGTTCTGGTATCACTTCCTTTTGTGTTATTTTTATCGTGTGAATAAATACAGGAAATCTTATAAATGTAATGTGTGTTTTATGTACTTCTTACATCATGTTACCAGCAATTCTGACAATAGGCCTGCATAGTATTAAAGATAGGTGGTAAGCAGAAACATTGTTCAATCATTTAATATAATAAGATTTATTGTGAGACTTTGATCTTAAATAACCCAGTTTATGTCGTGTATCTGCTGTACCTCATGTTTTACACACTGCCTGTCTTTGCAACATATTTCTTCTGAGTCCAAATGCAGTTTATTTCATCGCGAAGTAATCTGAGTTGAGCTGACAGCAGGCCAAAACACACATCTCAGTATAAATTCTGAGATGTGTGTTTTTAGTGCAAGTGTTCGTACCATCAGGACAATATATTTGGATTTTTGTTATCTAACCAACTGAATGGCTGAACTTCAGAAAACTACGACATATCTGAGATTTAAATGTCATATTATTTTACCTTTTACGTCCTCATACCAGAAATTCTCACACTCTTGTTTCTCTAATCTGTACGTTAACTGTCTTTGTTTTGTTTTGCGATAAAAGTAAGCTTGTGCTTGTAATTCATAAGATTATGGGCTGGGCAGAGTTTGGATTTTAACACTTTCAAACTTCACTTTTAAAGAAAATAAGATTCAAAATTAAGTAGAAATATTATAGAGAGAAAACAGCCTTAGTTGTAAAGTTACTGTTGATTTGCTCTGTGCTTTAAAAGAGTGAGCCATAATTCTTTTATTCCTTCTCTCCTCCTCCAGTGCTGTGGGTAAGACCTGCCTGCTCATCAGCTACACCACCAATGCCTTTCCTGGAGAGTACATCCCCACAGTGTGAGTATCTCTGACTGTAGCGTTGTAGATGAGAATCAGTCAACTCCTCTGTCTCTTCTACAGCTCCAGCATAAATTAAAACTCTTAGATTAATTTCAACTTGAAAGTTTGGTCAGAAGTGCTTGTAACCCTCGATTTAATAGTGAATGAAGCAGGGAGTGATGTTGTCATGGTTACATGAATCGGCTAAACTAGATTTTAGAGACGTTTGATAAAAAAGCGATGAGTCATTTCAAAAGAAAACAAAAGCACCGACAGATAAATTAATCTCCGACGTCACTGATGTTTATCTCACTGGTTGGATGATCTCCTCCTTCAGGTTTGATAACTACTCTGCCAATGTTATGGTGGATGGGAAACCCGTGAACCTGGGCCTTTGGGATACAGCAGGACAAGAAGATTATGACAGACTCCGCCCACTTTCCTACCCACAGACGGTACGATTAAAAACGATGCTGCATTTTCTTTCCCTATTGTTATTCTTTTAACGATGATGGCGCTCGTAGACAATCACTTGGGGGGAATTCTGGTGCCTTCAAACAACGAGGAAGTGAAGCTGAAAGAAAAACACCACACCTCATGCTCGTCATAAACGCAGGGTTTAATGTCTCTGACTGGAAGTGATAGTAATGAGCTCTGGTTCCTTTTGTTTTCTTTCTCTCACCAGGATGTGTTTCTCATCTGCTTTTCGCTCGTGAGTCCTGCCTCCTTTGAAAACGTCCGTGCCAAGGTGAGTTCAAGCGGATCGTGTTGATGAACTGGTTTAAAAGCATGAAGCAGTTTCATAAGAGAGGCTGAGTGGGTTTTCCCTGAAGGGTTTTCCCTAAAGATGATTTTGACTTGCTGTGTTTCATACCCGGGAAGTATTTAGTCAACTTTTTAGGATTTTGAGCAGTGCTGGTCTGCTTACTCATGACATCCGGATAAATAACTCCATTAAAACACACATTCAGCTCTAAATATCTGGTTTCTGTTGCTTTCAGAAATGTGCAGTTTTTGTGCAGATGTGAAGCTCCTTTTAGGATTTTTTTTTGCAAGAACTCGGCTTTCTGTGGCACTGACAGTTATGAGGTACAAATAGACACCACTACCTGTGCCACATTTGACAGGACTCCTGCTTAAATCAAGGAGTCTTTCTCAATCTGAACAGACCTCTTTGTTTACTTAAAGCTCCTGCGTGGAACTTTGAGTTTGTTTAAAATTTGGCGCCCTCTGTGGTCAAAGCTGTCTTTGTTTATCTTGTCCTCTGCATGCTCAAGAAGTGACTTTTGAAGTTCATTTATTGTGAGTAATTTATGCGGGAATACTGAACAGTGCTGTTTCTGGGAATTCTAGGAATGGGAATTGATCAGATTTTATCTATAGCGATGATCAAACGACAAACTATTTGTACAGCATTTCAGTGTTTCCCCCAGAACTTTTTGTTGTCGTTGTTACCCCCACTCTCTTGCCGCTCCAGGAGCTACGCTGTTAAATTCACGTCACTTTACCTGTGCTACTCGCTATACAGACCGTGTATAATCTTAAAGGTTACCCTTCACATCAGTGGAAGAGGGTCCGACAGGATTTGATGCGAAAACAAGTCGAAAATAACGTCTTGTGTTGCTGTGCTCACACAGTGCGAGTAGAAATCATTTAGCCGTGGCAGTGCACCACGATCAATTGCATGTTGGGGAAACCCTGTATTTACTTTGGCTGGTTTTAAGTCAAATACATAATATGACTCGACAAACGTTGAACGTCGTGCTGTTGTCGTCTTTCTTAGTAAAATGAAGCCACGCTTTCGATCGTTTCTGCTGACTTTTCGTACCTTCTGCCAAGAATCGTTGAAGGAATCGTTAAGATAAAATGTCTACAATGTCGATGGATTCAACCATTTGGAACCAGTTCTCAACATGAACCGGTTCTCGATTCCCATCCCTACTGCTAATGGTCTTGTTGCATTAATTTCAGTCCATTTCTCAAACATCAAAACAGCAAAGATTCATGTGTTGATACACATGAACCTCTTACTCCTGTGAACCTCAGACCTCTTTTTGGAAAAAGTCTGGACCTGACCCTAAAAGGCCAAAACCTGCAGCACAGTACACCCTAACAAAAACAGGTTTGGAAATCGATCCCCTCCTAACATCTCTGAGTTGTGGTCTCTGCAGTGGTACCCTGAGGTGAGACACCATTGTCCCAACACTCCCATCATCCTGGTGGGCACTAAGCTGGATTTAAGAGATGACAAGGACACAACGGAGAAGCTGAGGGAGAAGAAACTCTCTCCTATCACATATCCACAAGGACTAGCGATGGCGAAAGAAATCGGTAAGGACGCCTCCAAACCTACCGAGCTCTTCCTGTTGTTTCTTTAAAGCCTGTTGAACCCTAAACAAAGTGACATTTTCTGTTTGCTGTTCTCAGGTTCTGTCAAGTATCTAGAGTGCTCAGCCCTGACTCAGCGTGGCCTTAAAACTGTGTTCGACGAGGCCATCCGGGCCGTCCTCTGCCCTCAGCCCGTCAAGAAGAATCGCAAGAAGTGCGCTCTCCTCTAAGACTTCCTCCTCTGGCGCGGTGACAGGGGGAGCGCGAGCGGTAACGGTGAGGGTGGCGAAAGACACAGGAGAAACACACCAGTATACACAAGAAAACAATGTACTACAGATTCTTTCCTTCCATTAGTGTAGCTACAGCTGATCATTTCCATTCAAGACGTCATGGGCGCAGATTTAGGAGAGTCCTTTACCAACTTCATATACTGTATAGACGAGGAAAATGCAACTCTTGAGGCCTTCTTAAATATAGATTGGATGTTTTTGTAAAAAAAAAAAAAAAAAAATGACCGTGGAATGTTTTCAATTTGTTCTTCCACTGGTTGTCCACTTCCTCTTCTCCTTCTTTATTTTTGTTTACAGTCTTGTGTTTGTTTTTTAATGGAAGAAATATTGCCAAATGCTTTCTGCATACGTGCTGTAATTACGCAGAAAAAGACAAGTTTTGTTTCCACCGTCTCGAACCTTTAAACCTTCAGAACATAGCTGACATTTCGCTGTTGTGTGTCGCTTTTGCGTTCCGCTCATAGTTCACCGCGATTTTAATCATTCTCGGTTTTCATTTCTCGAGGGCTGTCATGAGTCACCAATCACTAAGGAACTCATAGCAACCACCCATGAGGTTCATTCCTTCTCTTCACTACTGCTAGTCTTTATGAAGCCAGGTTGTGCTGGTAAAGTCATCTACACTCGTGGATTGAACGACACCTGAATCATACTGGAAACGCAGAACGGGAACAGATCTTTGGACACCAACAGTGCTATTAACTAACCTCCCCCTAAAAATCGACACGACCCAGTATTTTACGTGTTTAGCTTCGACCTGTCAGGATAACCGTATTTTTCTGTCCCTCTAAGTGTCTCGACTGTGTAGCTGCCCGGGTGTGCTAAAGCTGAAAGTTTTATTTTATATCAGGCTAGAACTGTTTAGGTGGTGGGGAACAAGAGCACCTTTAAAGCTCTGTGGGCATTTATCAAAAAAAAAAAAGAAATTGTGCAGCACATTTTTGATTTCTAACAGCATCACTACTGGCTAAGCAATGTCTCTAAAAGGAGCATCTATGCCTGCTAATAACAGAGCTACTGTTGGTTATGGTGTAGTATACAGTGTACTCATCTTTTTGTTATAATCATGTGATTTGACTATTTTGTATTTTTCTTCACAGAAGTTCCACTTCGCTCACTGTATTGTTAAACTAACACTATGAATATCCTTTGTTTATTACCTCTACAGTTAACGCTACCTTAATCTCCATACAAGCCTAGCTTTTTGTAATTAATGCTGATAGCATGTATGTGCAACATATACTGAAAACTAAGATTAGAAATGCTACAGTTATATTTTTTGCCTATTTACAAAATGTATTTGAACTACTAGATCAGGGGGTTAAGTACATGTTGCTCATCTGTAATGTATTCAGACATCAAGCTGTGCTTTAATTCAAGCCAATGTTGTGACTCCTTAGTTTTATGGATAAAAAGCTGTTGTCACTTTTTGAAAAAGCCAATAAATCAAGTAAAAACACTACTCTGCATGTTTGTTGGATTTCTGTGCACGAAAAGGTCACTTTTTACCGGATACCTCATATTTCACAACACATTGAGTACGTTAAAGGGAAAACTTCAAAATCTCTTGCAATCCTGTACAAATCAAGAAAAGTATTGTAAACGCTTTCTTTTACGGTACACTTGTTACCAGGTAATTAACAGGTAATTAACAGGTAACAATATGAAGTTATCTGGTAATTATATGATAACTACTAAGTCAGTACTGTCTAGCTTCTAGGTAGGTAACCTTCCATCATCATACAAATTTGAAGCCGAATTGCTCTGGTATTTCCGGGATTTTCGCCGCTTCCTCGAACCATCACTTGCGCAGTAGCATTGTACTCATTTGGCGGGTGAGTCGCTGTGATGACACTCGGCTCAAACAGCGTATCGCTACACAATCTTCGCACACCCACAGGCTGTATCAATCATAGAAAATAAGAACCCCAAATAGCTTTTGAAAATGGAGCTGCACAGAAAAAAGAAAAACTCAACAGTATTGACTTTGTAGTTATCATGTAATTACCAGATAATTTCATGTTGTTACTAGGTAATTACCTGGTAATAAGTGTAACGTAAAAGAAAGGGTTACCAAAGTATTGAATTCCAAGGCGTTGCATTTGATCTACCACTCATTGATTGTTCCTTATATATCTTAAAATATTCTAAAGTAAATAAAACCATCAGCAACCACACTGAGACTTTTCTATTGTCATTTTAACATCTGAAACTTGTGCAGGATGGTGTTTTCAAAATGCATCTTCAAAATGCACCTGTATTTGTTAATATGAAGCAATACATTCACGAATAAAAAATGACAATACTAAAAATATTCCAGTCATACCTCTTACAGGTAAAAAATATTTATTTCAAGACAAACAAAAACATGACAAAGACATGTCAACATATTAGACAATTCATAAACCCACAAGGTTTTATACGTTTGGCACAGAATCAGATTCTGTAAACTTAAATTTAAATGATGACACAAATCCTCTTTTCTACATTTAATGCATTTTTCATCCTCAGTCTTTCACTGCGGTGCAGTGAGCTCTGATCAGTCTGTCCTGCTGTGGTGACTCAGGAATCAACAAATCTCAACAACGGCCCCGATGTTGTCGGTATGCTGGGAAGAAAACAAACAAGGAAAATTAAAACGCCGACTCGCATTACCTGCAGGTGAAATTTCAGGTTCAAGATAGTGGCTGAAAAACAGCACTAAGATTTGATTTTAAACAATCACAGCTGCGGATTAATGCACATTTTCTGACAGAGAAAGACCAACTTTATTATGTTTTTAAGGGTTTTAGTAATCCAGAGCAGATATTAAGTCTAATGCTGTTTAAGAAGCACAAAACCCTTTCAGATTTAATACCACCGAGCGTTACCTTTCTACCAGCTCTGCACCAACAATATCATGGATGAGGTATTTCATGGGGAATTTCACTTGAACATTCGTTCGCCGCTCCTCAAGTTCTGCTTTTAAGACCTCGCTATATTTGGACTTCTTCACCATGCCGAGCACAGCTTTACGACCTACCCGGAAAGACAGAAAGACAGAGTTGGAAACAAACACTCCTGTCATTGGGGAAGAAATGTGAAATAACTAGATGTTTTTACTAAAATGGTGCCTTGAAAACTCTAATAAAGGGTGGTGTGTGTCTTCCTGAACACCCACCTTGTATAAAGTACTTGGTGAATTTGCCAGAGTTGGGAATGGAGAGCCACCAGCTGCCTGCGTCCCTCACAGTCAGGACCCCTGACTTGACAAGCTGCCTGGATTGTTAGAAAGTAAAGTGAGTGCTTCTGCTTCAAGAACACTTGAAAAACGGCTAAAAAATGACATGACTGATTATTAAAAGGTACACTAGAATTTAAATATTGTCTTAAGTTACGTTATTTCCGTGTCTGTGAAGAGGAACTGTCTCAGCATCTTGTCCTTGCTGAAGCTCAGGTCGGTGCAAGAAGACACCACCTTTTCCAAGAACCTCTCCACTGTCGCTCTCGTCTCTCGGCCTTCCTCTCCAGCCAGCACTTTGGTCTTGTAATCCGAGGCAAAAATCAGCCCGAAAGCTTCGGTGTCGAACCCCAGCTGGAACATCAGCAGCTCTCCCTGTTCTCTGAGTTTATTCTGTGGGCCAAAACAAGAGGTGTGTGTTACATTTTCATATTTACAGTGAAACAAATTAACTTTCTAAAAGTGAAGGATCACTTTACCAGCTCCTTGTCCACCAAAGTCTTGTCATGATGTACGCTGTAGAGCTGGTGCTTCAGGACAATTAGTGGTAAAGAGTCATTGAAGAGCTTCCTGGGGAACAGCGTCATGAGATACTCAAGGGTGGATCTGATATCAGTTGGTCCTTTATGGGGGAGAAAAGGACATAATGAATCCTAGATCCTTGTGAGGTTTTACAGATTTTTCAGCGGTCACACATACCGTCTTCTTTACAGTCAACCCCAAACTGTTCTGTGCCATTTCTTCTTCTCTTGATCTTAAAAGTGTCTGAAATCAGAGCCCGTTTACGGTTCATACCTGTAAGACAATATAAACAATAATGAATATATATATAGGGGAGAGTGGGGTAAGATGAGCCATTTTTCATATTTCGGATCACTACATCAAGGCAATCATAGTTTTTTTTCTGCTTTTTACAGAAGTATCAACCTACCCCACTCTCCCCTATTCACTAATATATCTGTTCAGCTCTCTCTTAAACTCTCTTTCATCATGACTGACAAATTTAACCACATGGGGACGAAAATAAACGAATATTTTCTTCTTAAGCTTGTTATTTAACGTCACACCTCTAATAAACAACAAACACTGACAAACGTGAGCACAGCTGACGAGTTCATTCATCAGCTTTTTGCAGTTGTTGACAAAGCTAACGCAGCTAGCTAGCTCGCTAACACAGATTCTGTGTACGCTAAACACGCCGAACGATGTAAACAGTTTTAATGACTTAATTTGAGTCACTCTTACTTTTTTCTGATGACAATAGCGGCAGGACTTTATTTACATAGCTTTAACTCCGTTCAGAAACAAACTTCCGTGACACAACAGCTGAAACAGCTAACGTCAATAATCTCCTTCGTGGTCTCTGTCTGTTCACGGCGCCTCTACTGCCACCAACCGAAGTGGATGAGGAACTGCACCCGGAAGTAGAATTCCTGCTACTGTTAGCCTTTGCTGAGGGTTATCGTGTTTACAATTGGGACTTTACTTGCAGTGGCAGAAACGCAACATTGACTGATTTTCCTGCGCATGCTGACCGTGGTAGGTTTTCACTTTACTCGGCTTTTCAGTTTATAATTTGCAGAAAAGCCGTTTAATAACGGGGATAATATAACATTTAAACAGGCGTGTACATTGTTTTCACGCACACATGTAGGACCTCAGCACAGCTATCAACACAAATTAAACACAACTTCACTTTATGAAGACGTTTCCATTCATACAAACACGAAACAGACAGTCTTTTACTGCATGATGCAAGGAAAATTTCCTTTGAACAGGCAGAAACCTGGGTAGGACCAGACTCATGTTAGACAGCCTCAACTTACCCGCTCTTTTTATGCAGATACACTAGTTAGAGACAAAACTATGATTGCCTTGATGTAATGATGCGAAATATGAAAAATGGCTCATCTTACCCCACTCTCCCCCACTATGTATGGTGTTTACTGGATAATAGTGTTGTGCCGTTCGCAAACAATTCATTCAAAAGAACTGAATCTTTTAAGTGAACAGACTGCAACTTTTCCACCAGGTTGCAATGGACCAGCATAAATATCACCATCCCAACTCCAGCCACCACAAAAAACGCCAGTCAGCATACCAGAGAGAGGGGGATGACGGTGAAAGAGGTCATTATAAGAGCAAACACTTTAAACCAAGCCACCACCAGCAGTACCACTCCGGGTCAAACCCAGTCAGCTCCCGGGGTCTGAGCACCAGGAGAGAACTGTATGAGAGAGACTTCCCTGTGTACAAACAGCCTGTGGAAGTAGGAAGTTTCTCTCTCGACTCAAGGCGTAGATTCTTCAATGACGCCCGGCAGCTGAGATATTACGTGGAGCCAGACAAGGAGCCTAACTTTGACTTAAGGGACGGATACAAGGATCGCTTCATAAAGAGAGACGACAGTGTGAAGGAGAAGCTCGACCACATCCTGCGATGGATTTTGGCCAATAGATCGAAGCTTAGCTCCAAGTCAGCTGAGAACAAATCATGGTGAGTGTCTCTTTACCATTCGCCCCTTCATCAGGTAATCATACTCTCTAAACAAATGATAAATCTCCTCTCTCCACCCAGTGCTTTAGATGTGGATTTTGTGACGTGGCGTGGCCATCTGACCAAACTTCTGACCACCCCCTATGAAGCCAGAGAGGGCTGGCTGCTGGCGGTCACACGATTCAGGGACACGTTATACATCAGCGAAGTGGAAACAGAAGCTGCTCGGCGGGAACGAGAGAACCGCACCGGCAGGCATGAAGAGATGATGTACTGGGGGTACAAGTTTGAGCAGTACACATGTGCAGGTTGGTAGGTGTGCTCGCTTTCAGACTTTCATTACGGACATGTTGTATTCATGAATTGCCTCACATACAAATTTTTTATGATGCATACTGGAAGTCCCCTATAGGAGCTTTAATGATGTCAAAGTAAATCAAAGCTTTAATTGATTTTTCCATTTTTAGTGTCAGTTTCAGATTTTGGTGAGGATATTTATCAGGGGTCAGACCTGAAATACATGATAAAATGATCAGATTTCATCTCTGTCTATTCCTGTAGACACCGTCCACAGTTCCCCTGACCCTGGTGGGGTGGTGAACACTAATGAGGCCTTCTGCACCGTGGTGCAAACTCGACTTGCAGACCACAGACTTCTATTCTCAGGCGAGGTGGACTGCAGGGATAAAGACCCCAACGCTCCAGGTCCTCCTGCGTGCTACATCGAACTAAAGACCTCTGCAGAGATCTGCACTCCAAAACAGCGCAGCAACTTCCACAGGTACATGCAGAAATGGCCAAACATCATGTCTTTATGTCCTGATATTTCATCTGTTTTTCAGCGATTTTTGCTTTTTTTTTAAACCTGGATTTGGTCTTTAGGTTCAAACTGCTTAAGTGGTGGGCCCAGTCTTTTCTCCCTGGAGTCCCTCGGGTGGTGGCGGGCTTCAGGGATCATGATGGAGTGGTTGTTAGCGTGGAGACTTTTCCCATCTCAAAGATTTCACATCTCATCAAGGTGCAGTAGCAGTGACAAAAAAATGGTTATCTATACGTGCTTAAGCTGTAAAAACAAGAAAATTGATGATGAAACGTTACATTGAGTTATTAAAACTGTACAGGATTTAATATAAAATTTTACACTTCTTTTTTCTCTAGAATGAACAAAACTGCTGGAAGCCGACAGTGTGTATGAACTTCTGCTGTGATTTTCTGTCTTTTGTGAAACAAACAGTGACTGAAGACGACCCCAGGTGAGTTTCTTGGATTTATTTTATTCTCTGTGCTGTTAAAGCTTCAGTGAAGAGTTTTCAGATCTCTCCAGTGTTTCCTCGGTTCATCAGCTTCTGTTTTGTTAAGTAGTGTTATAATATATCTTATCTTATTTTAAATTATGTAAAGCATTTTGTGTTACATTATTGTTGCATTCAAGGGTTTTACAAATGAAGTCTGATTGATGGAAGAGTGAACAGAGATGAGTTTATCCACAGAGGTGCTCTAAAATCTACACAAAGCCAAAGAGCTTTACTGGAGCGTGCATTAATCCTTCCTGTCTCTCTGTCAGCGTGGTGTACCTGTTCTCCTACGAGCCCCACAGAGATGTGACCTACTCCCTCCACAGGGATTCCCAGTACTCCTTCCTGCCTCAGTGGTACATGGAGGAAATCACAAGGAGTCAAGACTCACACTCTCAGTCCTGATTTATACAGCAAAGACATGCTGGACTGGGACTGTAAAATCAGACCTCCAATGGAGGATTATTTATCAAACTGAGACAGGATTTGCTGTAAATTTACTGTCCTGATCTTTAGCTTAGGATCCTCTGGTGTCATTTGTCATCTTTTATTTGTGCATCTTTAAAAAAAAAAAAAAACTGGCATGTGGTGAATTTTAATAAAACACTAGTTGCAGTTCAAGTGTTTTTGTCACACTTTATTAATATTTTGTTATAACAATAATTTAAACCCCAAACAGGGCTTTAATCGATCAAACAAAATAAGAAAATGTTAAAAAAAGAAAAAAAAGGATGTCAATACATGATGATAACTTCAAGTACAAGTTTGATCAGCAGTTACAAAATATTTCCAGGTAAACTTTCAACAAATCTTTCCGAATCTAGACTAGTGACTTCTACAAATATGCCATTGTCTTTGCAACCCTCGGCGTTGAGCTTCATAAATAAAGATCGTTTGGTCTTCATCTGTTACCCTTACATTTTGACATTTTCTTTAACAGACTCGATTTGCCTTATCACTTTTCAATCTAGAGTGCCTTTATCTAAAAGACTTTTTAAGACTTTTATACAGTTATTTAGAGCATCTGACAGGTAAAAGCTAAAGTAATCTCACTGGCGATCCTTTAAGTTATGTCATGCCATGTTTCTGTAAAGTGAAAGTGAACTTTAACTTTCAGGAGGGCTGCTGATACAATGAACAGTCACAAAGTCTCCAGTGAAGACTGCTAAAACTGTGAGTCATGATTAAAATTCACACGTTTTACAAACATTTTAACAGAAACAAAAAGGAATGAATCAACTCACAACTTGGTTATAAGGCATTTAACAAATGAGAGAAATATTGCTGTCATAAACAAATACTGTAAATCAATAAAAAGCCCTTACTGCTCTATACAAAGTAAGATAAAGAGGTATGTATTGGAAGACACCAAAGTGTTTGCACAGGCCAATACAAGAGTGAGGAGAGCACACATAAGTGCAGCACTGTCCGTGTAAATCATCAACAGTCACTATACAGCAGATCAGAGTACAGGTTTTTATGATAGTTCAGAGGCACTTGGTACCAGCAGAAGTATTTGTACACCCAAACTGTGTGGGGTTAAGTACTCATTTGCTTTTGTATTCACTTGAATTCATTTTTACACCACATAGCGAACTGCTAAAAATCACACCACCCTAAGGCGTTAAAAGTATCGGCTGATTTTACTCGTAGACTGGTGTGAGAGCCCACTGTCCAGCACTTTTAACCATTAAGAGGTATGACTTAAAATGTCAATCTGGCAGGATTTCATGAGGTTTCCATCCACCTCTCATTGTTCACAGTAAATACATAAAACAGAGTGTGGAGAATGGTCCAGGAGTTTAAAGTCAAGACAGACTAATGCAAGAAGGAGTCATATTAGTCTTAACATCTGCATGATAAATCATCTTTAACAGTAGAGACATGGATGAAGAAACAGCTATCTGTTGGTTGGGACAAGATTATTTTTTTCACTTTGACATGAAAATTCTAAATTTATTAAAAACAATGAGGCTCATAACTCTCCTTTTCTCTTTTTGAATGAATCTAACTCATATAACTCTGGCCCTTATAAAACACAGATAGTTTGGATGATTTCTTTATATGAATTATTTGTTTGAAAAACTTGGGCTCACAACCACCCTTTCCTCAATTTTTGACTGAATACATCCCATTTGATCACTGCGGCCCTTAAAAATATTAAGCTAACACCTGATGTTATCTTTTTGGAGAATTATGTATTCATTAGTGGATATATTTTATGTAAATATTTCTCTAACTGCACTTTTTTAACTGCATCAATTCACAATTTCTTGTTGTATTTTGATCAGTGTTTATCTTTATTTTTTTATTTAAACTTTGATTCAACGTTATTGAATACAATTCTGTCAATAAATATCTGATTTAAAGGTTTCTATGTCCGTTATCATTACGCGTTGCCTAGCAACAGAGTTGAACACGGGAACCCGACGAATTTCGACTTTTAATTCGATTAAAATATGCCAAACTGTACAAAACACGAAAGCTGTTAACTTCTTAAAGGAAGCTTGAGGGAAAAATTCCGTTATCTTCACCAAGGCAGGAAAATATTAGGCCTTGAAATATTATTTACAGTCTTTATGTAAAGCCAAAGTTAGCTTAAAGCAACCGTTAGTTTTAAGCTAACTTTGGCTCAAAGCAACCGTTAGCTCCTTAGTTTAGAGGTATCGACAGGAGAAGGTTGGCCCAAGTTTTGTCTAAATGTTCATATTTACGGGAAAAATAACTTTATTTTCTCCCACTGTCCAGCTTTTCACAGATAAAGTTATGTGGGAGTTGAATCCTGTATTTTTCATAAATTTCACGAGTTTAAAGTAATGATACTGCATGAAGTCACTCTTTGTAATATATTTATCTGTCTCTATGTCACTTACAGTGGAGCGCCTTCAGCTCTGCATTCAGACTAATCATGAAGGATTTTGAGATTATAGCACAGGCTTCAGTGAGGGATAAATATATCTCTATTACAAACATGAGCTGTGAAACACATTTGCTTCTCTTTACCCCCCAAATTAAAACTAAATTTAAAAGGAGCTCTTCTGAGTTGCCTGGACCACTTTAACAGAGAATTACCCGTGGGAAAATATTAAGGTCAATCTGCACACAAAGAACCAGCGAAAGGTTACGAAAAAGAGGGTATTGAAAGGTATTACACCCTGACCTGGTTAATCTGCATGTTTCAGGTGAGTGTATGAAACTGGCTATTTAAAAGCACCAATTTCATCTTCTATTACATTGTTTTGAGTCATTCTCTTCAATTTTAGGCAATGATTAAAACTGCTAAAGACAAAAGTATTAAGACAGTACTGTATTCAAGGTAGCGTGTACATTCAGTGCTTCAGTTTCTTATTCAGACCCATGACTTTGAAGGTAACAGCGGTGATCTTCTCATACACGACAAACATGAGAGCAGCCGTCAGCACTGTCTGCAGGAGCTTTGCCTCCAGACCTTTATACAAACCTAAAACGCCATACTTCCTGTAATATAAAAGGGGGAAAAGTGTTCAGCAATCAAAACAAAATAAAAGACAGTGCTGTATGTGTATGTTTGAAACTGCACTCACTTGATTCTGTCCATGAGCAGAGAGAAAATGTTTGAGATGCTTCCGATCACACCACCTTTGCCATCACCTTTGTATTGTCCAAACTAAAAAGAAAAAATACAACAGGTGAGTCTTAGTTTACTGATGATCATTTACGCAAAAGAAAAGCTGCAATAAAACTCTGAAAATATCCTGCACAGGCACCGTTATCATCTAGGTCTTAAAAAATCCCATGAAAAAAAGACTACAGCCAATAATGTGGCAATGTAGCATATGGTTTTATTCATCAAAAGTTTGTGCTTTGGCTAAAAATAATGTAGTGTGAAGTAAATCAGTCACAAAAATGAGGCTCTATGGCACAGAAGAAAGTGTGTCAGGGTGTTTTCAGTTTTTAACGTGATTTTAATACTCTTGGTATCACAATTCTGGTGCTTTGAAAGTGACATTTTAAACAGTTTTTTACCCTCAGAATGGCCTGGACCGTCTGAAGCGGATATGTAGCTGTAGTTGCAACAGCTTTTGCGATGGCTCCAATGACAAAAATCTCTGCGGAGGAAATCTGTAACAGGAGATAAAGATCAAACAAACTGCAAAAAGAAAAATATTTAAAAAGTTTATTTATTTATAGGAATGTATTTGAAAAACAGTTATATAAATGAGTAATGGTTTCATTTAGTCTGAATGAGACACAAGGCTAAAAGTTTGTCTTATCTCTCACCCTCTTCCCTCCTTTCCCCGCCCTCCTCTTCATGCCCTCATAAAACATGAACTGTATGGCCGGGTTAAGGACAAGGATGAGAGAGGGCAGAGTGCCGTTCCACAGAGTTGCTGGTCCCTCATTGGTGATGATCTGTGAGAAAGCATCTGAGAGGAGAAGAACCCCAAACAGAGCAAGGTGAAATGACTGTGCAGCAATAAGACAAATACACCGTGCAAAGAAGTACATCCCATACCAAAAATGCCCCTGTAGTGGGTCTGCTGGAGGTCCTCGTTCCTGAACTTGACTCCCTGCAGCTTCAGTCGAGTGTTGACCACCCACATGGGCGTGGTAAGAAGCACATTCACCACCCCTGCGGCAACAACAGACCATCAGATTTCTTTGAATATTGCTTTATGTTTACAAAAATGTTGTTAATTACATGATTCTGATTGGTCGATCCTCAATAGCACTGGTCTGTTATATGTCAAGAGCACACTGTTGCCATGGACTGAGTGTGATGAGGCAGAAATTCAAGTGCAGCAGTGGTGACCCCTCCTCCTCTTGATGGTCAGAGAGACAGAGATATCGCCTGGTCTCTTCATGTTTCCTGTTGGTTCTGACCTGTTGACTGTTGACGAGTAGCTTCACCTAAGGATTTATTTTGCCTTTCATTGCTATTAAGTGTAGTTTGTGCTCAGAGACTTCTTCTGCACCAGCACTGTGCACGAGTCAAAACCAAACACAACAAAATTAACACAGGAGTCCAATTTTTTGTTGCCATGGCATCAACTTTTTATTTTTTTAAGTGGTCTCCGATTAAAATGAAAAGTCTGGTATCATGAAAACCCTGCTCAGTTGTTAGGTCATTGATGATTGTTAACTCTACATTAACTTACCCGCTGCGATGCCCATGAGCAGGTCCCTGCTGAGTTTGGACTTGCCTGGTCCAGCTATTGTAAGCCTCTTCAGTGTGTTAAAGGTGTAGAAGTAGACAAAGTTGGAGCAGCAGAGGCTGGAGATGACTGGTAACCAGCCTCTGTACAGAGACAGGCTGGAAGAAATGGTGGAGGAGAGTCATGTTACATCGAATAAAGAGTTTAGACTGCAGCTACCAATTTTTACAATCTAATCAGCTGGAAATTTATCATTTTTTAATCATTTATTCACTTGGTCTCCAAAATGTCCAAATATATGGCACTGCATTTGTGCTGCATCAAGCTGTTTGACTCCGATCTGAAAGTTTCTGTTCAGCAACAAAACAAGTCATGACTGGATATAACTGTAACCCCGCAGCACAAAACTGTACTTACAGTCCTTCTTCCTTCGCTATTTCTGCCAACATGAGCGGGGTAGACTTCGCCTTTCGCTTCTCATCCACTGAGAAAACAAAAGGGGGAAAAATCAGTAAAGAAATCTTTCTGCAAACTCAACTAGGATGAATGAATCAAGTCATCTATACTTTAAAGCTCATGTGAGGGTTTCTTAAGTTATAAAACAAACAAAAATTAGTACTTGTGCTACTATGTGACCTACAAGACCATCAGCAACTAGATTCGTAACTTTTATATTGTCAGTTTAAGCCTCATCACTTTGTTGTGAATCAGGACGTTAAACTTGAGACTATCAGGGTGTCAGGACTGAGCCCCGTCCTTGTATTTGTGGGCACCTGCTGGGCAACCAGGTCTGATCCACAGATCACTACAGGACCAAAAGGATCTGCTGCTAACGTTTTAGTGCCAAATACCATAGCACACTTTTAGGAGACTGGTGACATGTCAGGGTAGGCTTGTTTTGGCTCTGATCTGACAAGGGAGGGCCAACTCAACATTAAAGGGATATTCTGGGGTAAATTAAGTTAGGGTCAAACACACCGTAACACCAAGTTAGACACTCCCTCGAGAGATGTTTGGTGGCTAGTGCTGTGGCTGTGACCCTATATGTCCTGTTGATGAAGTTAGGTGCTGTTCTGAGCATTATTTGAGGCTATAGAGTGACGTTTTGGTTGAGCACGTGGCTCTCTGTATTGCTATCTGTGGTAGTTACTCAAATTGGTATAACTAGAGGAGCAAGCTGTTGGCAACATTCATCTCTCAAGAGGGTGTCAAACTCTGTGTTACGGTGTGTTTGACCCTATACTTAATTTTACACCGGAATGTCCCTTTAAGCATGTTTTCATAATGAGTATGTATTTGATTCACTCCTAAAACTTCTCACTGGAGCTTTAAACACACTCAGAAACAGATACGTTTTTTACATCTCAGGGGTGAAGTAATACTTAATCCATAATGCACTAAACCTTAACACATCAAAGTTAACTAACGATGTTTAGAGCTGCTGCTATCAGGTAACCTCTGCCCAAGATGATAAGACCTCCAGCTCACCCTGTAGTCTGCTTTTAGCTGTGTCCAAAGGGAAGAAGACGGTCATGGCTGTCACACTCCCCTGAAAGAAAGTGCAGCAAAATCACAGACTGTTCCTGACAACCATGAAAGTTGAGTAAATGTCAAAGAGCTCTGTCACTCCCCCTTTTTTCAGGGGAGCTGTTTCATCGATACTATCATGTCTAGTTGGACACGATCAGACACGAATTCATAATTAAATCAAACTTAAATTGATCTTAGATCAGCTCACCATAGCACCTGCCACCGCATGAACCAGCGTCTCGTAAGACAGAAGGCCGACAGCCGTGCCTCCATTGTCGGACATCCTCGCAGAGTCTCCCGCCGGTCAGAGCAAACAAACCAACCAAACGCCCGAGAGTAACCGAGGGGAGAGAGCCGAGGGGGGGTTCGATGATGGTCGGTCTGGTTTTTCAAGCTGTGGAGGTGATAGGAGAACACCAAGAGCCGTCACTCCATGGTATTTACAAACCCAGAGGGGAAGATCGCTGTAGTCAGGGTTCCTCCCAGTCTTCATTCATTGGTTAAACCGGGTTGACAGTTTCTTCTTCTTCTACCAAATTCCTGTTCTCGTTCTTCCTTATGTGTTCACACCATGATAGATTCACTAACGCCCCCTGCTGGGCCAGAAGTGCAGAGCAGTGGTTGTAACTGTTAAAGGGATATTCCAGCGTAAATTGAATTGCGGGTCAAACACATCGTAACACCGAGTTTAGACGCCCCCTCCAGAGATGAATGTTGCCGACCGCTGGCTTCTTAGGAGCCATAAACAAAACTTAACTAAACGCCACTCTATAGCCACAAATAATGCTCAGAACAGCACCTAACTTCATCAACAAGACATATCGGGTCCCAGCCATAGTACTAGCCACCAAACATCTTCTTATCTTTGCCTAATTTCTTTAGCAAAGACACTAAACAAAACTCACCTACTCTCTTCCAGCAGCCACTTGTTTAGCAAGACCTCAGCAGTGTTGTTTTCGTTGATGATGACGTCAAGAAATGATCATAAATGTTCTTCCTTGAGCTGCGTCACCCTGCTGCAGTCGGTGATGGACTAGTCTGAGGTCTCTCTACAAACAAGCGGCTGCTGGAAGAGATGTACTGTTACTGTTACAGTGTGTTTGACCCTAAATTAATTTTACACCGGAATATCCCTTTAACGCACCGATCAAAACAAGAAATTATTCATATCTAGTGACTTTTAAGGTGATCTTTGACACCGAAATATCCGTGAAGAGATGCATTTGTTTCCAAAATGTAATGTGCATTTATAGATCTATATTATTTATTTATTTGTAAAAAAAATAGATAGCAACATACAATTTCACACCTTTTCAAGTTTAACAGAGTTTATTTAGTTCATCTCAACAGGATTATGTGGTTAAGGTCTATTATTAACATGTTTAGAGCCAGGGGTAGAGAGTACCAAATGAATTCAATATAAATATCTGTAGATTCTGTGATCCTGTGTTAACAAAGTATGACAGATAAATCACCACAGCGGTGAAAAAAGTAAAGATTTGTAACTTCAAAATGCTTTGAATATAGTTTTGTATACCTGTAAAAAATAATCTGCTCTGTAGGAAAAGAGCAGAATTTCATTGAAATGGTAAAAACTACCTTAGATGTGTTAATAAATGAATGACGTCAGAGCAGATATGAGGTTGTGATGATGAGAGAGGAAATGTGCAGCTGACCTGGACTTTGCTTTTGTTTTATGGCCCTGAGCTGCTGAAATGTTGCCGCCCAATGATCACTTTGTTTGCTCAGAGTTTGCAGTCTGCGTCTGACGGAGGACGAGGAGAAAAGTGCGAGAAAGTGACAGATTTCTTTAGACTTTTTCTACTTTTTCTTGAACAAGATGACTCGGTACCACAAAGCGGCGATCGATGGATACTTGGACCTCTTGAAGGAGGCCACAAGGAAAGACCTGAACACTGCGGATGAGGATGGCATGACTCCCACTTTACTGGCTGCTTTCCATGGACATGTTGATGCTCTTCAGCTCATATGCAGCAGAGAGTAAGTGTATTAGACCCTTTATGTCATTCGCTGTCTCTAAAGTAACCTATAGTGAGGTCTGTCTCCATCTTATCTCACTGCTCTGGGGTTATATGAAATGGTTTCATTTCCTTTCAGCTTGGCTGTGGCACTCATAGACACTAAATACACATATAAACAATAATTCAAGAGTAATATTTGAGGTCTAACACCTTTAAACTGATCTTGTGCTCCATAGAAACAGGTATTTATTTACTGATTGCGGTTTTGTTGTTTTTTTTTAGTTGCGTTTATGATGTGACATTTAACTTTACACTGCTTTCTCTGGTAAACTGGGTCAAATATTCAATCAGCAGCAACTATCCTGTAAAACAAAGAGCCCTTCATTTGTCCCCATAAGCCCCCACCTTCGCCCTTCATTCAGCACAACAAAAGACAGGCTAAACTGTGGCTCCACGGCCTCACTGGAAAATCAGATCTGGGAAATATGTTTGGTTGGGTGTAGCTCCTACATGGCTGGGATTATCTGAAACATTTCTGCTACGCTCATCACCGACATGGGTTGAAGTTTTATGACAAGTTGTCACAGGAATACGGCAATCAAGACTTTTATGGCTGCGGCAATGAGGCACAGCCCTGGAGGACTTTAAATCTTAATAAATTACCAATTATCCTCAGTTATGTCAGCTAACGCATAGAAAGGAAAACGATTTTATTCTTCAAACTAGATTTATTTACCTGCTGCAAAGAGTCAGACTGTTCATTTATGTGTTTAACATGACCAGTGTAGAAGCAGCAGATAGTTGCTTTAGCACATAATAAAAGTTTAAGTCATAAACCTGCTAATCTGACTCTAGATTAAACAAAATCCACCAGATTACACCTTCAAAATAAGGAAGTGAATGGAAAAGCTTGAGTCTATTACATTAAAGCTACTGTGTGGAGACCTTAGCCTGTCATAAAACAGACTATAATGAATGTTGCTGCTTCTTTATGACCACTTTAAGCAAACTGGACCATCAGAAACAGGAGCGAATGTTTCTGTACAAGTGTTTTAGGAGTCCAAAACCTCAGGCGGACTGGAAGCTAAAAAAGCTGTTTCAAAATCTTACATGTAAAAGTTTTCAGTGAGTGTTACTATAAAGCAGGGTGAGTTTATGTATGGGATAAAAACAGTTAAGAGAGATGAGGTACCTCTTTGTCTACAGGGGGCGCCAAAATCACCACAAACCAAAAATCCCTCACAGGAGCTTTAATATGAGATCGATTTAAAGAGAAAAGTCACATTTCTACTGGAGTTTTGCTTTCATAAACTGCCATTTTGTTTATTTCTGTAGAATAACTTGAATGTTAGATTTCTATTTAGTGCATGATTGTTTGAACTGAGTGAATTAGCATTTTAAGATTCGAATATGAAATGATTTTCTGTAGATTCACTGTCACAGGCCGACTGAAGTGTCTTCGCTAGTTTGACTCGATGCTCTCGAAGCTAAGAAAGACATCATAAAAACCCAGAATAATTTACATGAACCCTAAACAAACCCAGGCAAAACTAAACTACTCTGCACCCCTCTTATGAAAAAGTATCAGTCCAGTGATGGTACAGAGTTTCAGATGTTAACTTCAAGCTTTCTCTTCTGTTTCCCAGAGGAGACCCCAACAGGAGTGACATCTGGGGGAACACACCTTTGCACCTCGCTGCGGCGAATGGCCACATGCACATCCTCAGCTTCCTCGTCAACTTCGGTGCCAATCTCTTCGCTCTTGACAACGATTTCCACACGGCGATGGATGTGGCTGCCTCTCGGGACCGCATGGACTGTGTTCGCTTCCTAGACGCCGCTGCTTCAGCGCAGACAAACAAAAACCCAAAGAAGGTCGCCAATGTGAAGAAGGAGGCGGTCAAAGAAGCAGAGAAGAGAGTGAAACTCTGCGATAAGGTGAAGAAGAAGCACCAGAGTAAGATGGATAAAATGCAGCGGGGAGCGGGGAGTACTGGGTCAGTATCAGAGGCTAGCATGGCGTCTGGATCCTTCGATGGTGGCACCATTAACAGCGTCAACGAGCAGTACTCTAAGCTCATTGCTGTTGAAAAGTCCGGCTCTCTGACAGCCAGGATGAAAGGCACACTGCAGAGGCTCGGGAAGAAAGACAAAGGCACACTGCAGGGATCAGGAAGGAACGGAAATGTTGTTTTCCTCAAACCGGAGGGCGGAGCCTCTGAACAACCAGAGTTTCTCGATGTCTTTAATGAGCAAGAGGAGGGCATGCTAGACGATGATGATGAAGAACCAGGCCAGGTCAAACAGTCTATCTTCAACCGGCCCGGCCTTGGTGGTCTGATTTTCATGAATCACATGGGCCTGGAGTCAGATGACGTCCCTGGTGGGGGTAATGAGAGTCTGGGCTTCCTCGTTCAGAATGAGTCATTTGGAGATGAGGAGGATGCAGGCGACCTGGAGGGGAATGATGACGCTGATCTGCCCTGGGACCAAGAAGATATAGGACTGGATGATGATGAAGATGAGGAAACCTCTCCTTTGGATGCATTCTTGTCCTCCATCTCCTTGCCAGAGTTTTCCCTTGCATTCAGCAGAGAGCACCTGGACCTGGAGGCGCTGATGCTCTGCTCTGACGAAGACCTGAAAGGCATTCGCATCCAGCTGGGACCCAGGAAGAAGATCTTGGAGGCCGCTGCTCGAAGAAAAGCCGCCCTGGAGGACCCTGGCATCATGAAGGACAGCAGCTTGTGATCTGATGAACATGGACAGAGATTAATAAACCTGCTTAGAACTTAATAATGAGTCTTTGACTTTTGCAATGGCAAATAAATCAATGTTTTTCTCCGCTAACAAGTACCACAATTCAAAATTAAAGTGTGTGTTAAAAGCAAAGATGTACTGAACTGCTGGCTGTATTTCACCATAATCGAGTTAACAGGATCATATGATGATGTTTTGCTGCATGTTTATTTAAAATTATACCACAGAATTTAAAATAAATGATAAAAACAACAATGTAAAAGCATCTATGTGTGTTTATGTGTATTTATGAAATTGTTGGGACATCAGCCTGAAAATAGTCACAATACAGAGACTTGACCTCTTAATCATATTACCCTATATGTTTGATGGGGAGAACATTAAAGGGATATTCTGGCATAAAATTAATTTAGGGTCAAACACACCATAACACAGAGTTAGACACCCCCTCGAGAGATGATGTTACCACAATTGATGTATAAAACAAATTGAAATGATCTTTTTTGGTCTGAACACAATTTTAATAAAACTTATGACAGTTCACTTTCAAGAGTGAAAAAGGGTTTTTTTGGTGAATAAATGTCTAACCCCTTCACTCATGTGTTTCTAACCTTCACAGACTCCATGAATTGATGCCCATCTAAATATTTGGTCACATGATCAATTTCTTTTACTATTTCCAAGCAACAGGGTTTGGCTCAACTTACCCTTTGGCTCAACTTACCCCAGTCTCCCCTATTTTTGGCAGGGAAAACATACACTGAGAGAACATTAACCTGGATTCAGCACGTAAAAGTTGATTTAAAAAATTCCTACACCACCAACTCGTTAGATTTGAGATTATAAATCAATAAAAAAGTGTTGTCTTTAGTTGCAATAGCCCACAATCTCTCCCTCTCACCATAGTAACGACAACACGAATCCGGAAGTACTCAGCGGAGACGTCTCCCAATCTGTGCCTCAGAGGTGGGCGGGGCTTCCGGTGAGGGGCGTCAATAAGTGCTGCTCGTTATCGTTTGACGCTAAACTGTATGTGGGGGAGCGTGTGGTGCGCGGTGTTGGTCACGATTATGTCAAGCAGGTAATTATGAGTCACTAGAGCGAGTCTTGAGCGCTTAATCTCGCCTGTCTTCGGGGGTTCACCTGAAACGGCCGGTCGGTGTTTGTCGACGGGGAGCAGCCGAGCCGTTACTCCGGAGGTAAGCCTCATTAGTGCTAATGGACAATCTCAGACCGTCTCTCCGCCTTGTTGCTCCTCTTACGAGTGTTTACAAATGTCACTCTTGACTTATGAGCCTGTAGGAGCTCACTTATCAAAGCTGATTGACTGTGTTGCATTTAAACGGTTATTGTCACCTGTAGTGAGGAAGCATGTCCACTGAACGTCCTCCTTCTCCTTCAGGTTTTCCTAATTGAGTGAATCATGGCTGAAATAATCGCCGTCAACGCCGGGTTACCCTCACCATCCACCATCAACGTCACGTTCCAGGTCCCGGAGGACTCCAGCACCGCCGCCGCCCCTCCTGCAGCACCCATCGGCAGCGACGACTATCTGTTCGTGGAGTCCAGACACCCCAACACGGTCCTGCAGGGCCTGAACAGCCTGCGGCTCAACAACGCCTTCTGTGATGTGACCCTGTGCTGTGGAGGACAGGAGTTTCCCTGTCATCGCATTGTGCTGGCTTCCTTCAGCTCCTACTTCCAGGTAGACACCACACATGAGGCTCAAAAGCTTAAAAAAGATCCACAGGGGCAGGTCTGAATTGTTTATTTTCTTCAGGCGATGTTTTCCACTGACCTAAAAGAGTCCAAACAAGAGCGGGTTGCCATTAATGGAGTCGAGCCTCAGATGATTGGCATGCTGGTGAGCTACGCCTACACATCGGAGGTCTACATCTCAAAAGCAAATGTGCAGGTAAGCTGTCACCTCTTCCTTTTCCTTCCTCTGCTGCCTCGCTTTCTTTTGACAGACCAGGAGAGCTAAATCACGCTTTGTCTTGGTGCAGGCTCTGCTGGCAGCTGCCAACCTGCTGGATGTGATGGCTGTGCGAGAAGCCTGCTGTCGTTTCATGGAGCATCAGATGGATGAGATGAACTGTGTGGGGATTCACTGCTTTGCAGAGGCTCATTCTTGTAGGAGGCTGGAGAACAGCAGCATGAGTTACATCCTGGAGCACTTCAGCAGTGTTTACCAGCAGGTGAGACACTGATGAAGCCTTGAATATGGTATCCAATATGGGACATTATTGATAGACGAGCTAATACAGGAGAGATACTGCAGTTTAAAGGGATATTCCGGCGTAGAATTAATTTAGGGTCAAACACACCGTAGCACCAAGTGAGACATGCTCTCGAGAGATGAATGTTGCCGACCGCTTGCTTCTCTACTTATACTTTAGTAACGACCACAGGATAGCAATACACAGCGGTCTGAGTAGCCATAAACAAACCTCAACCAAAAAGCCACAAATAATGCTCAGAACAGCACCTAACTTCATCAACAGGACATATAGGGTCCCAGCCATAGTACTAGCCACCAAACATCTTTTTAACTTTGTCTAATTTCTCTAGCAATCAGACTAAACATAACTCACCTACTCTCTTCCAGCAGCCCCTTGTCTGTAGCGAGACCTCGACCAATCCATTATGGACTACAGCGGGGTGACACAGCTCAAGGAAGAACATTTATGATCATTACTTTTATCATTTCTTTTGAAGTAATAATCACCATATTCATCATTTTGCACCGCAGACGCGGTAGTTCTTCTGCCTTAGAGTCTCGGTCTGATTGCATTTCAATGAAGTAATGATCATAAATGTTCTTCCTTGAGCTGTGTCACCCCGCTGTAGTCCCTAATAGACTGGCCTGAGGTCTCGCTACAAACAAGCGGCTGCTGGAAGAGAGTAGGTGAGTTGTGTTTTGTCTTTTTGCTAAAGAAATTAGGCAAAGTTAAAAAGATGTTTGGTGGCTGGGACCCTATATGTCCTGTTGATGAAGTTAGGTGCTGTTCTGAGCATTATTTGTGACTAAAGAGTGGCGTTTTGGTTGAGCGCATAGCTCCTCAGAGTGCTGTGTATTGCTATCCTGTGGTCGTTATCAATGTTGGTATAACTAGAGAAGCAAGCGGTCAGCAACATTCGTCTCTCGAGGGGGTGTCTTACTGGATGTTATGGTGTGTTTGACCCTAAATTAATTTTTTTTAGTGTTTTTCAGTATTTATCTGCTCAATAGAAAACCCCCTACAGTGTTTTTAAGTCTTCATCAGCATCATTAGCTCACTCAACATGACATGGAATTAACCGATCCAGAGGAGCTGCCGGGTGTCAACAAATGAACAACTTAATAAGTGGGGGGGAAGAAAACGTCATCTTTAACACAGTCGTCAAGTTCATCCAGTGTGCCTCTTCACGTGCCGCCTGTAAACACCTCCCCGGGAGAGCTCAAACAGCCAGTGGTGTTTCAGGCGTGAGACGGGAATTAACAAAGATAATCCACCAGCCTGTCAGCATTCATACCACTCATTACTCCTGTGGAGAAAACACTGTGTACACATCCCTCGAGAGACCCTGTCCAAACTGAGAAGTTGTTCTTTGCCAGTCAGAGTGTTTTGTAGAGTCTCACAAAGCTAGTGATGAGTTATGTTTGAAGCTGCATTGATTTATACGCTAAGAGTGACCTATGTGTCTATTTGTTTGAGACAACTATGCACACAATCATCAGAAACCCCTACTTTATAGAAACACAGATTTAACTTCAGTAAAGAAGCCTAATCGGTTAATTACTTGATTAAATTAGTGCTTCCATGTATTTTCTGCTAAAGAAATGCAACTTATACTGATATTTTATAGTACAGATGATCAGATGAAAAGTAAAAATTTTGCCTGATGCCAACAGGAGAAAGGAGAGGAGAGAGGCTAAAGGGTAAACAGATCATATTCATGACTCAAGGTTATGAGTTTAGAGATCTAGACAGCTTTGTGACTCTGAAAACTCTGAGTTCAGTCTCTACAGACCCAGCTTCTCCTCTAATCTCGCTTTGTGGTCTCCTCAAAGCCAACACCTTCATCCTTTCCTCTAATGTAAATAAACAAAACTACAAAATGAAATTAAAGGAATATAATAAGAAATAAAGAAGACTTTTAGATGCATTCAAAAATAAGTTCATAACCCTCCCTTTGTGCTCTGCCCAGCTGTTGCGTGATGTAACATCAGCGCCACATTTTTGGCATATTTTTGAAGGTGTTGTCCTGACATACTGCAGCAATTATGTCAAGTTTCCAGGAATCGTAGTCCTTTGGATCAGAAGGGTTGCTCATGTTGTCAATCTCCCCTCACTTTTCAATCTCTTTTGTTGTTGATCTTTTTTCTTTTCCCCAGGAGGAGTTTCTCTCTCTGTGTGTGGATAAGCTGACTGAAATCCTCGCCAGTGACCATCTCAGTGTGCTCAAAGAGGAGGTGGTGTTCGAGGCAGCCATGCTGTGGCTGAATAAATGTCCCTCTCGAAAACAGAACTTTGAAAAGGTGAGATTTACACAGATTTGAAACGTCGGCTACTTTTCTTTCTGTTGCTCGCAGTCACATAAGAGAGGCCACAGTTCTCTCTCTCTCTCTCTCTCTCTCTCTCTCTCTCTCTCTTTCTCTGGGTTGTAAATATTATACCCCAAACACACCCCAGAGATGTGCATGTGTTTGGGGTTGACAGTGCAGCGTAAAAGAGCCCTCTACTCAGCAGCTGTTAGTGTTTATGACTTTCATAAATCACAGCCTACATGCCAACGCTGTCAGCCAGTGCTACAGACTCTAATGTGATAGTGGGCCTCCATGAAACGGGATCCCTCTTTTTCTGTTTTTAAGATACTTTGCATGCTGATACCAACTTCTCCTCTTGGTTAAAACCGTTTTGTTGCTTCTGTAAAACCAAGACTGTAGAAATAAAACTTACAATCACTTAGTTCAGTTACAGATTTTCAGATCTGCCTTCTTTCTGTTCCTCGAAGGTCCTCGAGCATATCCGGCTGCCTCTGATCAGTCCGTACTACCTCCATGATGTGATCGAGTCTCTGGATGTGGTGAAAGAGAGTCCGGGCTGCCAGAGGCTCATCTCTGAGGCGAAGGACTATCTGCTGCTGAAGGACCGACGCGGGGAGCTGTACTGCCCGAGAGCGAGGCCCCGCAGATCCACAGGTGAACACAGTCGCGAACACCTTTACATTTATCCTAACTGCGGGTCTTAAACTGTGATAAACCAGGACAGCTACGGGCTAAAATGTGATGTATACGGTTTAATACGTCTGCTGACCTCTCACCGGTGTTCGCCGTTTGTGTTTGTGATCGAAAAATATCACAATTCACAGCTGCATCGTATCTGTCACGTCCAGTACGCTTTGGCTCACATCTCCTCTGCTTTTCCTCCTCTTGTTTCCATGGCAACAGGGACAGCTGAAGTGATTGTGACGGTCGGCGGAGAGGACGACAAGGTGGTGCTGCGCAGCGTCGAGAGCTTCGATCCTGTGACAAATCAGTGGAAGAATCTTGCGTGCCTTCCTTTCGCAGTGAGCAAACACGGGCTGGTGGTGTCGGGTGAGGAGACGCTGACTCTCGAGTAAAAAGCAACAATTAAAACTGATACTCTGTGTCTTAATTATCCTGTAATACTACTTTTACCTCCATCCATCGTCTGTGTAGACTCCACTCTGTACCTGGCAGGAGGGGAGTTTCCTGACGGCTCAGCCAGCAGGGAGATGTGGCGCTACGACCCGTGCTTCGACTCCTGGTTCGAGATGGCGCCGATGAATGTAGCTCGCTCTGAGTTAGGTGAGTATAAGAGAGGTCAAGGGGGGCTGCTGACTAAACGACTAAACGTTTTTCTGCCAGAGTCTCTGGTATTATGTTTGTTTTCTTGCTCGTGTTGGCAGTCGTGGCCAAAGGAGGATTCAGACAATTTTCTGAACTTTCTGGTTTCTGGAGAAAAGTCCATCAACATGGCAGACGTTATCACTTCCTGTAGCAGCAGGGGCTATGCTGGCCCTTCAAAATAATAGCCTTTTATGCAGTGAGGCTGTCTGCGAGAGAAACATGCAGTCGATCTGTAGAAGTTAAAAACCAGCAAAGAACCAGTAAATTAACACAGTTTGTACTCCGAATTGGTCTCTCACTATCGCTGTAACCTCTTAATGAGGACTATGTGGTGATTAATGAGCCTCTTTTGCAGTTAATTATTGACATTCCTGTGCCATGCATATGTGCTGAGGGCACTTTTTTTTAGCTTATTACTGATTTATGTATGTGGTGGTACCTCACCTTCTCCCCTTCACCCTCTCCTCAGGGCTGGTGATACTGGACGGTTTTGTGTACGCGGTCGGCGGGTGGGAGGGCCGCTCTCGCCTGGACACAGTGGAGTGCTACAACCCTCACACCAACTCCTGGCAGTTCACCAAATCTGTGAAGATGGCCGTCACAAGTCCCGCCGTGGTCGCCCTTGATGGGCTGCTCTATGTCACAGGTAGGAAACACAGACGACACGCATGCAGGGTGGGCTTTTACAGTAAAAATGTACGATTTAACAAAGTTATATCTTGTGCAGGTGGTGCAGTTTTAGAGGACGGCGACGGCACAGACCTCGCTCAGGTGTATAACCCTAAAACAAGTGTGTGGACTGAAATCGCCCCCATGCAGATTGCTCGCTCCGGTTCAGCCGCCTGTACACTCAAAGGAAAGCTTTATGTCATCGGTACGTAACAAAACGCTGTTCGCTCTTACGGACAAGCGCCGCAGCAGCTCTAAAACTGCTGACTCTCTTTTTTTTTAATCATTTCCAGGTGGATGGCATGCCTCAACAGAGAACACCGATAAAGTCGAATGTTACAATCCCAAGACCAACCAGTGGACCATGTGTGCCCCAATGAAGGAGCGACGTTATCGGCCCGGTGCTGCTGTGGTGGACGGAAAGATCTACGTCCTGGGGGGAGAAGAAGGCTGGGACAGGTGAGAGACTTAACATGTCTTAAGTTGATGGCAGACTCTTAAAGGGATATTCTGATGTAAAATTATATTATATTATATACAATATTGTGCTAGTATTGACAACAAAGTGAGATTGTGCTTAAAATTAACCTGCAGTGATACAGTGATGACTGGTTTAATGCAGGTATCACGACACGATAGAGAGGTACTGCGATGAGACAGACACGTGGGAGATCGTAGGTGAGATGCCGACCAGTCGCAGCTGGCTCAGCTGTGTGTCTCTTCAGCTGAGGAAGGACATCTGTATGAGCAGCTGCCCCGACACGTCGAATGACAACTGAGCCAGGACGACAGCGGTCCGATCTTTACGGTTATTTGCTTCCTCACTGGGAGAAAAGCGCACTTCAACGCTCAGCGCTGTGGAGAACAGCGAGCTGCAGAAGGAAGTCTGGATTTGGCACAGCATTGTTTGAGCTCAAGCCGGTGATGAAGAGGAGACGAACTGCTCATGGAGGCTTCCTCGCTCCCTCCTCCACATGGTGTCAAAGTAATCTCAAGCGGCAGATTTACTGACAGGCTGATGGAGGACTCAGTCTAAACTCTCTCTCTCTGTAAGATGTGAACATGTTTCATTCTGTTTTAATGTCCGAGCGCCTCAAGTCTGTGAAGAGCTCCCCGCCATTATAATGTTTTTTTTGTATCATTTATCATATTGTATATTTATCGGGGTGTGACCACCTGTGAGTGAGATTTTAATAAAGATTAGAAACATTTCACTTTCTTAAAAGATGCTCTGTGGGCCAAAGAATCTCATGGTGAATATTTCAAAGGTTACCTGTGAAAAAGAGATGTCTTACACGTGCAGTGTTTATTTTGTATTTAAACTTTGTAGGTCCTGAATGATTGTCTCTACCTGTAATATGTTGATTATATTTTTGTAACGTAGTGTGCATTATACTTTTTAGTGATTTTTAAATGGAGTTAGATTCAAATAAAGATGTTTAATTCTTTAAAGTGTTAAGTTGCATCTGATTTAAAAAGCTACAACACAAAACAACTAAAACTTGAGTCATCAGGAAAAAAACGTGAGAGCCTTGCAGCTTGTATTCAGTTAATTGTTACAAAATATTTTTTTGTACATTGAGAAGAAACAAAAAATATGGTTTTATACTAAATATACTTGATTGCATATAAGTAAAATTAATTCTAAATAGTATAACACAGATTTTTATTATTATATGCAAATAATTATAAGTAACCTATGTAGTGTTGAGCAGATATCTTGTGTATAATATGTAGGTATTTATACAGATCTTCGTAATTTATACAAATAGATTTTTTAAAAATTCTAATTTGCGAGGAAGGGGCCGGACTAGATCAGCTCTTTGCTTCATTCTGTTCCTTCTTAAACTGTTTATTTTGACAAAACATATGTTGTGTAAATTTATCTTTGACATGTACAGTTGTTGTTGTTCTTAAAGTTTGAGACATAGACTGTACATACTATGGACAACTTGGTCCCGCCTTCCACCAGTTTACCAGTGTGATGATGCTCGGCTCAAACAGCGTATCCCCCGGGTGAGCTATGCAATCTTCTTACACCCATTGGCTGTATCAAGTGCCAATCATAGAAAACATAAACCCACTAATAACTTTTAAAAACGAAGCTGGACAGAAAAAAAGGACTTGAGCACAAACTAGTCTTACTGTAACTACATGTCAACATCGCAAGCGGGGGGAGAAAAAATTCTATTCTGTGTAATAAATTTCTAAAGTTTGTCCACAGCTCCATAGGGATTGCTGGAGGAGGCGGGATTTATTACCTATACTGTAGCCCATCAACAGAGGGTGCCATGGCGTCCATTCTATATACAGTCTATGGTTTGAGATAAATGAAAATAAAGATGATAACATGAACTCTAGCAGTCACAAAGAGTAAAAGGCAGTAGAATAAGGAAATAAGACGGCTACTTCACATAAAAGAGGGTCTTAAAAAGAGATTAAAACAACACTCTTTGTACCTTTTTTCTGTCCTGTTAGCTAAATCTGACGGTTATCTGGTTGTGTACGGAACTGCAGCGTTAGTAGAAGCTTATCTTGACCTCCGTGCATCATCTTTGATCGTCCTGTACGCCGAGGTGCATTGTGGGGGAAACGTCAGCCAGCCGCCATATCGGTCTGAAGGAGAGAGTCTGGAGGAGTCATGAGGGGAATCCGCTCTCTGAACAACCTCTCTGTGAGTCTCTGTCCTCTTTGTCGTCTTGTAACCAACACGAGCTGAACCGGTCTGGTTGTTCGTTTTTTGGAAAAACCTCCGAATTAAAGGCGCAGTCGGCTCCGGCTAGTTAGCATGCTAGGTGGCTAGCTAATGCAGGTTTTTGATACGTTAGTGTTGAGGCTCTCCGGGGTTTCACCTCAATCATCTGCATTTCTTCTTTAATTTAATAAAATGCGGTTATAAAGACGTCCTCCTCGTTTTCTTTACCGCTTGTGTAGCTCTGTGTGTGTTTTTCTCCAGCTGGATGAAACCTGAAGGTCATCTCCGGACTAGAGTTTCTCGAATATTTGGCTCGACTTCACTCAAAAAAGACGCTCCTCTTATTTATATTAATGATAAAATGACATCCAGATATTATCTAATATTCTGTCATAATGTCTTAGAGTTGAATAGTCAGGGCACAGGTCGTATATTTGTGGTTTTTATGGGCTGATATTGATCGGGTCATTTGGGGACACAGTAGCCTTTCCTCACTGTCCTGCTCCTTTAACACGGTGTGAGTGTCGGCACTTTGATTTTCCATATATGGGCATGGGTACGTGACACATACAACTACATTAAGTTTAACCTGAATCAAAGAAAATCAATTTACTTTCATTTTCAGGTAATTTAGTCCTTCACTGTCTCTGTTGTCAGTTGTCTAATGGTGAATAATTTCGCATTTATTACTTTAAATCGAGTTGATATTGTCAAGTTTATAAGCTGCATGTTTACTGTCAGTTATAAGACTTTTGGCTGTAGATGTTTTTAGTTATTAACATACATGTACTTTCAGAGTTTTGATGTTAACTGTTATTGTAACAAAATAGTGTGTTTTAGGGATGCAACTAGGGCCCGACTGATATGGATTTTTTGGGGCAGATGCCGATACCGATTATTGTCCCAGATTTAAGCGTTTCATGAATGAGAACAAAAATGTTGCATGTGGGCTCGAACAACGGTTATTACAGTAGCCCAATGGGTAGGATGCACAAGTAAGCAGTCCTGAACAACAGTTTTTACGGGGGTCATTACAAAGGGCGTGCGTTGCTACTAAATAGTACCGAGATGTTGTCTGTGATTGATATCCTGTTTGCCATCAGAGGACTCCTCATGTTCATCTGTTGGTTGTCATTTGTGTGAGATCCTCAGAAGACAGCAGGTGTTATAAATCAGAGGTGACGTCCGTCTTTGTGAGGTTACACTTAGTCCCAGCTGACCCGCAGGTCTACTGAGGACAGTTTATTCTCCATCTGGCTCTTTAAAGGTGACAATAAAGTTTGTACCTCTTGATGCCGGGCCACTTTTACTCCATTAGGTTAGGTCAGGTGAAGCTTGAATACTTCAGATGAGCAGCTGCTCGAGAGGTCACATGACTAACACTTGGTGTCACCACTTCCAACAGAAACGTTGCTATGCGGCTGCCAGGAGGAGTGATGCTCTGACTGAACCGCTCCCAGTCCCCAAACCCAAAGTTGCAGCGGCACCCCTCCCTCCTCAAAATGTCCAGGTATGCACCACTCTCTCTCTCTCACTCTCTCTCTCTCTCTCTCTCTCACTCTCTCTCTCTCTCTCTCTCTTCCTCTGATTAAAATGGTCCAGGGTGTCCACAGATCAATCACACACATTTTCCTCTTCAGGTGTCCAAGCTTCCGAACGGACTGGTCATCGCTTCGCTGGAGAATTACTCCCCCATGTCCAGTGTCGGCGTGTTTGTGAGGGCTGGGAGTCGCTTTGAGACTGTGGAAAACCAGGGCGTCTCTCATGTGTTGCGACTGGCAGCTAACCTGGTAATTTACAGATGATTTGTAAAGGTGTAATTCTGCTTTCAAACACCTTGAACCTTTAGTTATAAGTTTAGAGATTTGGTACAATTTGAGTGTTTTTTTGTTTTGCAGACCAACAAGGGTGCGTCCGGCTTCAAGCTCTGCCGCAGTGTGGAGGCAGTGGGAGGCAGCCTGAGGTCAGTGAGGGGAAACTCTTCCTCTCTCTCTCTCAAATACATGCAGATAGACTTGAATGTAAATAATGTGGCTGATATCTCAGTGAAATAAATTCATTGTTTATCTGCAGTGTGACATCATCCAGAGAGACCATGGTCTACAGCGCAGAGTGCCTAAGAGATCACCTGTAAGTGCTGCCCTCTGCTGCCCTCTGTATTCTGTTGAGTCCTGGTACGATCATGTTTGACTCCACTGTCTCTTTTGGATGTGTGTTTATTTTCATGTGTTTGTTTGTGTTCGCAGAGATTCATTAATGGAGTATCTGGTCAATGTAACGTCAGCTCAGGATTTTCGACCATGGGAGGTGAATGACCTGACACCTCGTGTGAAGATCGACAAGGCTCTGGCTCAGCAGTGTCCTCAGATAGGTGAGTCCCGAAGAAGCTGTGGCGAACGTCAATGTCGCTCATGGAAATCTGTGATGGTCGACACAACATCAAAATTCCTCACGGTTTATTTTCTGTTTCTCTTTCGCAGGTGTAATCGAGGCGCTGCACCAAGCGGCGTACAAAAACGCCTTGTCCAACTCTCTGTACTGCCCTGACCACATGGTCGGACATATCTCCTCTAACCAGGTATGACGCGTGTTTTTGTTGTGAAGAAAATTCCCCCCTCTCTGAGTCATTCTGTGCTAGTTTACAGACCTGAACTCTTGCGTATCCTCTCCTTGTAGCTGCAGTCGTTTGTTGAAAACAATTTCACCACTGGCAGAATGGCCCTTGTAGGACTAGGTGAGTGTTTTCTAGCGCTGCTTTGTGTCACTGCATCATTGTGTCACAGTTGCTCTGCTGTCTCGGCTTGACTTTTACTAAAGACACTTTCTTTGATGCTAAAAAAATTGTGCACTTGTGGAAATGTGTTGTGCTTGACTGCAGCAGGACATTAATGTCAGTGTTTTCTGGTTTATGCATCCAGGTGTAAAGCACTCAGTCCTGAGGCAGGTGGGCGAGGGGCTCCTGAGCTCTCGCAGTGGGGCTGGAGCTCCTGTGGCTAAGGCTGTGTACCGTGGAGGTAAAACTCAAACTCTGAAGCAGAATTACATTCTTAGATATTTACCACTGCCTTAGAGTCTTGATGTTAATGTTTGCATGTGCTTACGTGAAGGTGAGCTGAGAGTGCAGAACAACGACGATCTGGTCCACACCCTGATCGCCAGCCAGGGTGGTGTCTCAGGGAGTGCAGAAGCTAATGCCTTTAGCGTGCTGCAAAGGGTCCTGGGAGCTGGGCCGCATGTGAAGAGAGGTGCCAACATCACCAGCAAACTGAGCCAGGGTATTGCTAAAGCTACCACACAGCCTTTTGATGTAAGTCTGAAACAAAGAAGAGCCAAAAAAAGAACCCTGACGTGTTGCGTTTGTTGTAAAAGCTGAATTTTTGTGTCCTCTAATCGTCTTTTCAGGCCACAGCTTTCAATGCCTCGTACTGTGACTCCGGCCTCTTCGGCGTCTATACCATTGCACAAGCTGACTCTGCAGGAGAGGTAAATGCAAAAACAAATCCATCTAAAGTGTGAAAACACGACAGAATCTCCTCTTTACTGAGGATCATGCTTGTTTCTGTGCTCTGCAGGTGATCAAAGCTGCCCTCGCTCAAGTTCAAACTGTGGCTGAGGGAAATGTTTCAGAGGCCGACATCACCAGAGCAAAGTGAGTACAGTGAGGAAATGCTGGACCACAGATGTGAAGTAGTTTGAGACGCATCTTTAAATCAGTTTTTTCTGTGTAGGAACCAGGTGAAAACAGAGTACCTGATGTCTATAGAGAGCTCTGAGAGTTTGTTGGAAGAGATTGGAGCTCAGGCTCTCACCACTGCAGCGTACCAAGCCCCCGACGCTGTTCTCCAAGCTCTAGATGCCGTCACCCATGAAGATGTGGTCAAGGTCAGTATCTTTCTTTGTGCAGTTTGATTGTCACAGTTGAGAGAGTTGAGGCTGGTTTCAAACACACTGGGACGATCTGCCCACTCCTCGGTTCTTCCTTATTCTGGTGTTTTTCAGCTCATTGATTATACTTCACTGTTTTGATTAACTCTCATTGATCCCATTAAGCTCATTTTCAGCAGCAGGCAGCTGTTTCCAGTAAAACAGCAGGCTGCTCATTCGAGATAAAACAAGCTTAAATTTAAAACATACTCCTCCTGTACATGGTGGGATTATATTAAGCAGCACTTGTGTTTAAAATCATCAAACTGAATGACAAATTAGTCTAAACCGAGGCTTATGAATTAAAAATCACAAAAATGGGATTGAGCGGATCATGGTCCCAAAAAATGTCATGATGTAAATGAAGGAAATTACAGTATGACTCCCTTGATATTGTTTTAATGCATGATAACATTTTTAAAAAGGTGCAAATCAGGTAATATAGGCTTCTGTGTAGATTCAGGGCTACATAAACTATGGAATATGTGGTTTATGTTAACCTGGAAAAGAATCAATTATTGGCAAAGAGTTGATGTTTTTATTTTAAAATATTGAATACTTGTTACAGTTTTTTTTTTTGCTAAATCAAGCTGCAACCTCCTGCACTGAAAACTTACACCCACTAGACTGTATTGGGTGTCTCACTCAGTGTTACGATGTGTTTGACCCAAAATTAATTTACACTGGAATATCCCTTTAAGTCGCCGCCAAAGTACAAATATCTACTGCTCTTTAAGTGTCCGCCTGCACTTGCTGCAAAAGCTAAAGAAACTTCATCAGATTTCATATTAAAATGAGCATTTTTACTCCAAATTGAACATGTCTGCAGCCCAATATAGAGAAGTGTTTGTTATGTATCGCACACAAATTTTATGAATTCTATCCTACATTTGCATGAGTTGAGACTGAAACATTGATTTATTCTGTCTACTTACATATTCCTGCATGTGTCCTACTTTTTACCTCAAACCACTTTGACCTGCATTTACAGCTTTTTACAACAGATGCAGACACAGAGAACAAAACTGTTCTTTCACAACAATGCATCAGGTGGTTACATACAGGCTTCCCTTTAAACAGGAGATGCTGCGTAATATGTGAACTGGTGTGATTTAGTGCTCCTGTGATGTACGAACCTCTGCGGTTCCAGTGTCAAACCACAGCTGAGTCATTGTAGAAAGTCACGGTAGCATAAACATCATTCAAGCAGATTCCTGAATGATAGTTTTTAAAAAAGCATGAGCGTATAGATTTGTAATTAACAACCCTGTCATTTTCCTCACAGGCCGCAACAAAATTTGTGGATGGCAAGAAGACCATGGCAGCTAGCGGACACCTCATTAATACACCGTTTGTGGACGAATTATGAGAGAAATACTAAGAAAAAAAAAAGTGATTTTAACGTGGGCATGCTGCTGTGTCCGGCTGCTTTAAAAAGGAAGAGGACCTCAAAGCCACAGCTTCCTGCGACAATGCGTTTAATGTCACCAATCATTTGTAGTCTGTCCTGCAATACTTGTAAGCACCAACATGGAGCTGGAAAACCACAATGCAATTTCTTTTGTCCATTTAACTGTATATCTATGTAAATTAAAGACATGACAGTAATAACAGCTGGTTATGGCTTGAATTTGTATGTCTGGTACTGTATTGGAGGGCTGTGGGGTGAAAAAGTGGTTAAAAGTCGTCTCAGGCTGCAGATATTTTTAGCTCGGGAAAGATTCATTTCCATGTGAAACCCAACAGGGGGAGCCAAAAACACATCTCAATATACCTTCTAATTTGAGAGTGGGTGCTAAATTTAGACTACAGCCACCTTGTTTTTGCCTGTGAAAGAAGCAGAGAGATTTTGATCTTGAGTCAAGGTGGCAATTTCAGCAAAATGCTCATGAGGAATCTGAAAAAATAACCCATATTTGTTACTTTTTATCTATGTGACTATAAGGGTAGAGTTTTGTATTGAGAAGCATCTAATTGTTTTAACTTCTGTTCATCATTATGCATCAGAATTCACTGGAGAAGCATTTGTTTGCATGTTTTCTATTAATCTTGTAATGACATCTGTTGGATTAATACAGTGGAGTAATAAAACCATGTTTTTCATGTGTATACATATATAGTACAAATACCTCATAGCTCAACTTAGACACAGAAGGTGGGTTTGTGGGTTAATCAGTAGCAATATTTGTGGATCCATTATCCAAATGGTCTGGAAATGCTGGTAATTTAAATTTATTTTGTCAGTACTCATTTTCTAAACATTTTAATGATAATAGGAAATTTTAGAAGTAGGATTACGGCACAACACATACCATTGTTTGTTTTTCAGTCCCCTACTGGACGAGCTAACACAGCTGACCTTATATGAAAGCAGAAATATGGTGATATTTCCAATTATATTCACTCCTGTTGCGAGTTATAAATCAAACCCGCACAAAGGTCATTACCATAAAAGTAATACTTCAACAGCAGTTTTTAAGAATTTAGTTATAAGAGTATTCTTTCAGGGGAAAGAATAAGACGTGTGTGGAAAATATTAATATCGCTGATAATTCCCATATTTGATTTTTGTTGAGGAGCTCCAAATAGATATGCATAGGGGAGAGTGGGGTAAGATGAGCCATTTTTCATATTTCAGATCACTGCATCAAGACAATCATAGTTTTGTCTCTAACTAGTGTATCTACATATATTACAAGATGTTCATCCCTGCAAACCAACAGAATGAAAACATAACTGTCTTGATAATATAGCATGCCAAAAAAAGTGGTCTCCTGTGGTCAACTTACCCCGTGTATGGGGTAAGTTGAGCCGTATCCCAGCCCTCCCTCACCTTCTCTCTCCCTTAATAACAGCCACTTCTTCACATTCATGTGTGTTTTTATCTATAATACACTATTCAACTGGTACAATATTTTTTTTATTATTACGTGAATCAGACGTCGCAACAAAGCGAAATCTGATTGGTCAGAAGTGGACACACAGTATGCAAAACTTTAGAGAAATCGACCGTGATCTGAAAAAATAAATGCTGCAATATCGCAGGACGGGAGAACGTCGCTGATGTGAACGCTTGTATTGACAGGATACGGGTTCGAAAATAAATATTGACGTCCGAAATTATCGCATGACAAAAACGGTCCCGGTTTGAAAGGACCTTAAGACAAAAAGAAGCCATTCTACTAACATTTACAAAAAGAGGTACGATCAGTGCAGGTTAACTGTCCACAAGATTTAAGCATTAAGTACTATTCTGGTCATCTGGTGAAAATTCCTTTATTTTTTTAATATCGCAATACACATCGCAGAATTGAAAAAAATTGCAATGTTATTTTTTTTCCTAATATCGGGCAGCCCTAGTAGTTTCGACATTCAGACTCGAAATCTTAAAAGACGAACTGAAATCACATCAACGGCTCGCAACTCTGATTAATCCGAGCAGCCATTGAACGCAACACTGATTTGTGTGAGTGTGTGCGACGACGCCGCGAGGAGGGGGTGTTCGCTTGATGTCATTTGGCAGAAGGGGAGGCTGAGCTAACGGTGGGCACACGGGTGGAAAGCATAACAATAACCGTTACCGTTTCTCCGGCCACATTTCGAGCACTTTTAGCCTGTTTTTAGGTATAAATACACGCTGTGAAAACAAACTAAAACAGGCAGCACTCTGAAGATAAGAAGGAAAACGGAGCGGAGGAGAGGTGAAGCTGGACTGAAGGAGTACCAGATGCTGTTCCAGCGGAGAGAAGGGGATCGGGCTCGGAGAAGCAGAAGCAGACGGTGATGGGTTGTCGTTTTCCTGACGGTTAGCCGCCAGCTAAGCGTTGGACCTTTGTTTAGAAAATTGGAGTGTGTTTTGAGAAGGAAAAGGAGCCCGTTTGACGTCTTTTCCTCACTTTAGTCTGACTGACATTGCGTCTGAAATGCGGTCTCGGCCGTCGAGCAGCCTTTGGGCCGCAGCTCGGCACACCGAGCCCGAATCTGTGAAATAGCTAGCTAGCTCCCTGCTAGCCGCAAGCTGTACCCGATGCTGCTGTTGCTGCTAAACGGATCAAGGAGACAACACAAGGGCCGTGGCGCTGAGTGAGCTTTTGTTTTACCCAGCTGGACTACATCGGGCTTTTGAGATGTGATGCTTTTGTTCGTCGTTTTTGAGCCTTTTGAAGCTGGAGGCTCGGACTTGTTTGAGACGAAGGAGAAGCTAACGTTGCTGTGAAATGAGCAGCAGAACCACAACAGCTGAAGGGGGGCGAGGTTAGACTGATAACAGCCCACCTTGTTGGATCTCCCCGGGGTCGTATTTGGACTACAACCGCTTCTTTCTCTCCGTGTCACCCCCGCTTTCTCTCTGTCAGCTGGCGATATGGATAAACTCACCATCATTTCAGGATGTCTGTTTCTGGCAGCAGATATATTTGCAATAGCCAGCATTGCAAACCCAGACTGGATCAACACTGGTGAATCAGCAGGTAAACGAAGCGGGCCATTCAAAAAACCTCCACGGCTTTGTGTCCCCACATCACAGGATCACAGCCGATCGGATAATCTCCACTACAATGATTTGTTTCATTGTGTGGATGATTTCATCTGCAGTTGCATCTTTTGTCCTCCACAGCTGTGCTTGTAGGCAGCTTCTTATACAGGGTTGGGTATCGTTTGATTTTGAACGATAACGGTTTTGATTCCGATCCCTCGTTCCGATTCCGAACGATTCTCTATTCCGATTCTTTTAAAAGGCAGAATATTTAAAAAATGCATGGTTTTAAAGAGGGTGCTAACCAGAGTTCTTCTTTTTGGATGTAATTTCTGAACTTCTCTGAATTTTTTAATTATATTAACTTTTTAAGAACTTAACTATGAATTTCTTACAGGGTTATTTTCATGTACAAGGTAAGTACAAGGGCTAACGTTAGTTGGACATTTAAATTGACCCACCGTACACAGTACAATTTGTTTGCCGCTTCAATGTTAGCAGAGGACAGAAGTAATTTATTGTTTCACTTATCTGATTCTGGCTGGTTAGCGGAAGACTGGTGTTGTGCCGTAGAATGCGCCCCCTGTTGTAGAATACATCCCCTCCACTCATTAGCTTCTTAAAGTGGAAGAAAATGATCTCATAGATTCCATCCAACGGCAAGAAAAACTTGGATTATTTCGCCTTGTTATGTGCTTTCAACTGTGCTCCTGTCAGGGGTTCATTCTACAACACTGGGATTGTAGAATGAGCTGGGATGATATGCTTTTCTACCGATTCAATTCCTCTCCAGTTTTTGGATGCCAATTTGAGTTAAATTGGGATTCTACGATATTGTTAATTTTCTCGATTTTTAGTCTGCATTTTTAACACCAGTGAAACAGATACAGTCACATCAAAAATGGCAATAAATACTCTTGAAGGTATGAGGTAGAGACGGAAGTAATTAGTAATGCCCCATGATCAGATTTTAGATTAAAATGCTCCCTTGCTTACCCCTTACCTTCACTTAGGTGATGGTGGCCCTCTTGGACAAAAAAGCCCAGCTGATGCATGATAAGTATGCGCCTCCATATGTCAAGTTTTAACCATCAGAAACGTCTTTCAAACAAATGGTGCATCTCAAATTATCTTTTATAAAATGCAAAAGCAAATGCTTCTTGTTTGTCCATTCAGTGCCGCTGTAGAAACATGGCGGTGCAAGAAGCAGCCTCTGTGTAAGGGGACCTGACCCAAACACCCATTATTTTTCAATCTATAATGATTTTTTTCAGTATTTTCTCTGTTGACTAACCAATTGATTAAGCAGCTGAGCTTTTCTCCACTAAAATTAGGCAATTGAGCTTTACTGGTGACTTGACATTTTCAGCGACCTCTCCATGATCGTTCTGATCAATCACTGTAAAAGCCAAATCAGTTGCTTGTTATCGGTGCATCTGCGGTATTTGAACAAAGACACATGCAGTAAATCCTGTGATTTATTTGTGTCAGCCCTTAAAACACACTCAGGCTATTGATAGACAGCTGCTCCTCTTTGTTCGCTCTGCAGAATGACAGCTTAGTAACTGGGTCAGGGAGGGTCTGCCATCCACCAATACACATTGAGGCAGTATTAGCAGAATAAACAGCCCATGCAAGAGTAATGATAGGTTGCAAATGGAACAGGGCCAGCATTTACAGTACATTACAGTTGGGTTTACTGAAGGGCAAATAATTGACTTTAGTATTTGGATGAGTTCATATGTAAAAGGAGCGTGCTGCAGCTCAAAAAAGGCATATTGACTTCCCACCAAGATCAGTTCAGCTCTGCTGTACCTGCACGGACAGAGAGAGCAGAGCTATATTTATGCTGCAGTGTTGTTACAGTGTGGGTGTTGTTGTAGCGTGGGTGTCAAACAGCAGCTAACTTCCACCTCTCTTCTCACTTCCCTTTTCTTTCAATGCTCCCTTTGATCGCTGTGATGTGACTTTTCTTGGATGGTGTTGTAGGACGAGAGCCCCCACTCCACTCCCTCCTGCCTCCTTACACCAATTTGCCTCTCATTGTTCTGGAAACATGAGAGCCGCTGTCTCGAAGTATATAATGCAGTTTTTCATTCTGGTCTCCCTTTGTAGAACCACAATTAGTTAGCTCGCACAAAAGGTTTCCAGCTTGCACGGCAGGTTGATACGGAAGTCCTTAGTATTCATGCATCCACTTTACTGCAACAGCAAATAAGCTCAATTGTTTTCTTAAGAGCTTGAACTGTAACTGAAAAAAACTGTAGACGTCTTGAGCCATCAAACAACTCCTTTTGATCATCAAGGCTACCTCAAAACTGCAAATTTTAAAGGGATATTTCGGCATAAAATTATTTAGGGTCAAACACACCGTAACACCGAGTTCGACGCCCTTCTAGTTAAATCAACTTTAGTAATGACCGCAGGACAGCATTACAGAGAGCCACACTCAACCAAAAAGCCACTTTATAGCCACATATAATGCTCAGAACAGCACCTAACTTCATCAACAGTACATATAGGGTCACAGCCATAGTACTAGTCACCAAATTTCTTTAGCAAAGAGACTAAACACAACTCATCTACTCTCTTCCAGCAGCCGCTTGCTTGTACGGAGACCTCCGGGCGAGTCCATCAACTGCAGCAAGGTGACGCAGCTCAAGGAAGAACATTTATGATCATTTCCTTGAAGTAATAATCATCATATTCATCATTTTGCACAGCAGACGCGGTAGTTCTTCTGCCTTAGCATCTCAGTCTGATTGCATTTCCATGAAGAAATGATCATAAATGTTCTTCCTTGAGCTGCGTCACCCCGCTGCAGTTGATGGACTCGCCCGGAGGTCTCTGTACAAACAAGCAACTGCTGGAAGAGAGTAGGTGAGTTGTGTTTTGTCTCTTTGCTAAAGAAATTTAAAAAGATGTTTGGTGGCTAGGACCCTATCTGTCCTGTTGATGAAGTTAGGTGCTGTTCTGAGCATTATTTGAGGCTATAGAGTGGCGTTTTGGTTGCTCTCTGTATTGCTATCCTGCGGTTGTTACTAAAGTTGGTATAACTAGAGAAGCAAGCGGTCGGCATCTCTCGATGGGGTGTCTATGGGGTTCTATCCAGACTAGAGTTTTAGTATGATTTCAGAGTATACATACCAGGTAGAAAAGTTAAAGGCAGAATTTGACATTACAACGGCTAGTGTGAGCAACAAGATGTTCAGCACCAGTTATATGTGATTTATGTTTAATAAGAACTGCAAGTTGGTTTTTTTTTTTGATAAGGGCATGACTCATCAGGGAAGGACCCTTTTTGACTGATAAGACCACACAGTGAGTAGTGTCTATTATCATTCAGAGGAAGTGTCTTTGCACACACAAAAAAAACCACCCCCTGTTTTAGTCCAGTTCTGTCTGGATCTGAGATTTGTCTGATTTATAATTTTACAGTTTCTGTTTGTCTTTTGTCAGACTGAACTTTTTAGATGTCAGGTTAGATCTCAAATCCAGCTGAATGGGACTCAGTGTAGTTATTGTTTGCATCAGGTAGGAGCCTCTAAAGAATTTTCTCATTGTGTTGCGTCCAGTCAGCTGATCTCTGGTCCTGCTTTGTTGTCATTTTAGGGGTTTGGGCTTGACAGCCTTCACTTGTAGGAGCTCAGCATGTTGTCTTTATACTCAAAGCGTGGAGAAACAGGCATGTTCCTCAGGGCAGCGGATAAAAGCAAACCTCTCACACACAGTGTTGATGTTTGCCTCCCGCTTTAGTCAAGTGATTAAATCAAAGCTCCTTTTGTGAGGTAATCAAACTTCCACACAGAGATTCTGCACATTTGAGGAAAGAGAAGTCACAGAGACGCCGAAAAAAGCACAACATGGATTCATGACACTGTCCTCACGTCAGTGTGATATCCTCAGGCAATAACAGCTGAAGCTGATTTCCTGTGCTGAGCTTCAAGACAAAGCCTTGGTCTCTGCCGAGTCAGACACAAACTGATTCCTCCCTCCCACAGCTACTTGTCACCGCTGTGGATGGCCTGAATAACCTCGAGAAGCCACTCTGTATCTGCACACACACTCTCACACACTGAATGTGTCACCATATCCAGGTACAGACGAGTTTCTAAACAAGCTGCTGCCTTCATGACCAGAATGGTGAGAGATTTTCACACAGAAGCTCATTTGAGTTTTTCTTGAGATCCTGCAGTTTTGGTGATTGGATCCAGGTGTTAAACCTTTCACATTTACTTCAGGGTTCATATCATAGTGGCCAGTTTTACACTTGTCAACAGTGCTAAGTGGAATATAAAGAGATATTCCAGCGTTAAATTAATTTAGGGTCAAACACACCGTAACACCGAGTTAGACGCCCCCTTGAGAGATGAATGTTGCCGACCGCTTGCTTCTTTAGTTATACTTTAGTAACGACCACAGGAAAGCAATACACAGCGGTCTGAGGAGCCATAAACAAATCTCAACCAAAACGCCACAAATAATGCTCAGAACAGCACCTAACTTCATCAACAGGACATACAGGGTCCCAGCCATAGTACTAGCCACCAAACATTTTTTTAACTTTGCCTAATTTCTTTATCAAAGAGACTAAACACAACTCACCTAATCTCCTCCAGTGGCTGCTTGTTTGTAACTCGGTGTTATGGTGAGTTTAACCCTAAATTAATTTTATGCCGGAATATCCCTTTAACAATAAAGTTATACCATACTGAATTACTGGCTTAAATCTACTTTTCAGTGTTTTCTGTACGCAGAAAGTGAAGATGAAAGACTGTTACTGTTTGAATGACACAAAGAGGCAGCGCTGATGGCAAGCCTTTAAGTTAGAGATGACAAAATACATTTAGCATTTTTATCATCTTGATTTCATCACCTTATCATCATGGTTATAAATAATCTCCTCTCCTCAGACATTCTCCCCCTGCGGCAGAATACATTTATTACCTCAAACACGAGCGATTCAGTATCACTTCTGTGATGATAAACTGACAAATTTGTTTTCCACTCAGTAGGAAGAGGATGCATTTGCATATGAAGTCAGTTTTTGTTTCTAGGATGTTTATCATTCCATTTTTTGAAGCTTTTGTCAAGTTCAAGGGAAAATGTAGGATACAGATGTGCATAGATAGGCAGAATTTGTTAATAATGCCGTGAAAGATCACTACTCTTTGTTTGTTGCTCAGTTTGGCACAATCTGGTGAAGATGAACTAACAGAATATCAAGTGTAGTATCACTTTACAGAGCACAAGGACACACACGGTCATTGATTTTAAGTAACTGAAACCAGCATCATCATCACGGTGCAGAGCTGCAAAGATGCAAAGCCAGCAGTTCAACCTGAACCAAGAGGCAAACACAAACTGTGAATGTGTCTTTTTAAGGTGGCGTTTGTATGAAAGGAAAAGGGCAGCCATGCTTGAAAGTACTTTCTCAGCTGAGAATGTTTAAAGGGATATTCCAGCATAAAATTAAGGGTGAAACACGCCGTAACACCGAGTAAGATGCCCCTTCTGGAGATGAATGTTGCCGACCGCTTGCTTCTCTAGTTAAACTAACTCAAGTGATAGCAATACACAGCGGTCTGAGGAGCCATAAACAAACCTCAACCAGAACGCCACAAATAATGCTCAGAACAGCACCTAACTTCATCAACAGTACATATAGGGTCACAGCCATAGGACTAGCCACCAAACATCATTTTAACTTTGACTAATTTCTTTAGCAAAGAGACAAAACACAACTCACCTACTCTCTTCCAGCAGCCGCTTGTTTGTATGTAGACCTCAGAGGGAGTCCATCAACCGATGTGGGGTGTCGCAGCTCAAGGAAGAACATTTATGATCATTTCTTCATGGAAATGCAATCAGACCGAGACGCTAAGGCAGAAGAACTACAGCGTCTTCAGTGAAAAATGATAAATATGGTGATTATTTATTCAAGGAAATGATATAGAAATGATCATAAATGTTCTTCCTTGAGCTGTGTCACCCCGCTGTTGTCTGTAATGGACTGGCCAGAGGTCTCGCTACAAACAAGCGGCTGCTGGCAGAGAGTAGGTTAGTTGTGTTGATGAAGTTAGGTGCCGTTCTGAGCGTTATTTGTGGCTATAGAGTGGCGTTTTGGTTGAGGTTTGTTTATGGCTCCTCAGACTGCTGTGTATTGCTATGGTGTGGTCGTTACTAAAGTTGGTATAACTAGGGAAACAAGCGGTCGGCAACATTCATCTCTCGAGGGGGGTGTCTAACTCGGTGTTACGGTGTTTGACCCTTGCTTAATTTTACGCCGGAATATCCCTTTAAGGCCAAGTAGAGGATAGGATAAGGAAAAAGTACACTCCCATTATCAAGATAAGAAACTCTGACTTATCTCGGTGATGGGACAGTGTTTAGTAAAAAAAATCTATTCAGAGCTCTGATATTTAACCGTGTTAAGCAGAAAGTGTCAGGTTTTTATTGATTAAGGGATAATTATGTCGTTAGATTAGAGAAACGGCTGGAAGTTTTAATTTAGAAAAAGTTATCTCATAATTCAGAGATAATTGTCTCATTAATTTAGAAAAACAGAGCAGGTTTCTGTTTTTGCAAGTAAATGCACCTCACTGCAGCTTTAATCAGCAGTTTTTACTCCCTATTAGAGAAGAACTTTCCCAGAATTCATCATGTCCACTTTTGAATTTGATTCGATTTGATTCCAGATGTTACTCATGATCGTAAAAGCGGCTGGATTTCCTGTTTGTCTTTATCTTTCTGGATGTTAGGTGAGAAAATGTTGCATCTGTTTCAGTGTGTGTGTGTGTTACTCATCCTCTTGAGTTCGTCTGCAGTGTTTTGTTTTCAACTTTGAGCCGTCCACAGCAGCTGTATCCCACTACCTCTACGCTGTAAGTGGGCGCCGCCAACACCTCCGGCATCAGCGGCAGAATAAGCATCGTTGTTAGCCGCCTTAGCCTGCCTACTTGACGCCCACTACGGTTCAGAGGCCTGTTTGACTCATCCCCCCCAGAGCTTTAAAACTGCTGCCCCCCCCGTGCTCCACTAATGACAACATCATCATGCTGAGGATGAGCAGACACAGACCTCATTTCCTCTCATTTGGGCTGAGACATGGTGAGAGGAGTATTTTGATCACAGGGCGCGCAGAGGAGGCTGCAGGGAAACAGAATGATGGGATGATGTGGAAAATTAGCCTTTGTGAGGGACAAAGGATGTTGTGATCTCCTTCAGTCTGTCTTAAAATGAGTCAAATCATTGTTTACTAGTGTGAGAGACACAGAGAGGTCATGATTCCAGTCACACGCATTCACCTCAAGTGATATCACTCGTCCAGACTGCGAACTGCTGCATCACTCTCACACTCAGTTTGACCTCTCCGCTCAATATTTATCCACGACCCACAGCTGAACCATCACAGCACGTCCTTTTTCAGTGCTAAAGGGCAGATTTGTTGAACTGCCTTTACTTCTCCACAGGTTTTTATTTTGAAGGGGCTGGGGGCACAACTCATTCGGATGTACTTTTCAGTATCCTCCTCATATTTGAGAACAAGTCTGGTATTTCAGGAGCTAAAGGCAGTGTGGGAATTGTCTCCCTGATAGACAGCAGCACTCTTCTTTCTGTCTGAATGTGGAGCTGGTTGGTAAAGTTTGAGCTGCACATGAATATTAAAAACCGAAGGGGGACATCTAGCTTGGTCTTGTCTTAGATGGAGTAGACTATCTTTCTATCACCATCTCTAAATCTCACCACTGACAGCAGGTTTTATTGTCTGATGAGTTTATTAGGACTGGGACCGTATGCTTTTCTCCCAATTTGATTCTACTACGATTTTTTAGATGCCCATCGATTTAAATTGCGATTCTATGATATTGTCGATTTTCTCGATATTTAGTCTGCATTTTCAACAACAGTGAAACAGTTGAATGATTACAATTGTCTACTAAATATAACCATATTTCCCCAAAAAGTACATACCATATATGTCAGTTTTTAAGATTTATTCTTAAATTTGAAAAAAAAAAGATTTTTGAATGAAAAATTTGATTTAAAAATTGTAGAACAAAAAATTGCAATACTTATGTCAGTAGTATAGTCCATACAAATGGCAGATTATGACTGAATTGTACACTTAATTTTGTATTTTGTGTTAAGCTACTTTAACAGGACCTCTGACACTGGAGTGAAGAACTTCAAGGGATAGGAATCTAGGGTCAAACACACCGTAACACTGACTTAGACACCCCGTAGAGAGATGAATGTTGCCGACTGCTTGCTTCTCTAGTTATACCAACTTAAGTAACGACAGCAGGATAGCAATACAAAGCGGCCTGAGGAGCCATAAACAAACCGCAAGCAAAACGCCACTCTATAGCCACAAATAATGCTCAGAACAGCAACTTCATCAACAGGACATATAGGGTCCCAGCGTTAGAACTAGCCACCAAACATCTTTCAACTTTGCTTAATTTCTTTATCAAAGAGACTAAACACAACTCACCTACCCTCTTCCAGCAGCTGCTTGTTTGTAGCGAGACCTCTGGCCAGTCCATTACAAACTACAGCGGGGTGTCACAGCTCAAGGAAGAACATTTATGATCATTTCCTTGAAGTAATAATCACCATATTAATAATTTTGCACTGCAGACTAGGTAGTTCTTCTTACATAAAGAAAGTGTATTTTTTTAGATGTTCTATCTGCGTTTGATTCTCACATTCGTCCAAAAATCCATGTTCCTCTCTGGAGTGCTCTCAGGGTGTCTACGGCTGCTGCAGTGTTGCGTTCATGTCAACATTTTGACACTCTGCATGCTCAACACTCCCTTTTCCCTGTGTTCAAATGCGGCTGCATTTCGATGATTTCAGATCTAATCCATTAAAACAAGAACATAGTGATCGCACAATGTCGTGCAGGACTGATGACTGGCACTGCACATCCTGCAATGTGGCACATGCCCACGTCACAATTGTGATGTTCTATCAACATACTGTTCAGCGTTGGCGGCGTGGTGTGATGCTCCACGAGCCAGATGGCTTTGCGCATGCCTTGGTTGCATCAGTGGAGGCGTGTTGTTCATATACATACTATATTGTACACTCAGTCTGTAGTTTTGCCTGGTTGAGTCTGTCTTTTGAACAGAGAGATCCTTCCCATAATGTCAGGTTGTGTGTGACAAGCCAAGACTGTCAAAGTGGAATTGATCGCTCCAGAGTGGAAACTGTGTATCACGGACACATCGCTGTGTTTGTTTGTTTAGCCGGTTGTTGTGTTGTTTACCTGTGTCTGTGGACCATAGCGTGCCTGCCTGCTGTCAGGCAGGAATTCCACAGAGCTCTTGTGAAACAGCGGGAGGCCCGAGGATCTGGGGGAAACGGTTATAAAGAGGTGCCATTAACTGCAGCTTTTAAACTTTTGCCTCATGTTTCTCGTTCCCCGGCACCGGTCCTTGCTTTCTTTACCTCCTCCTCTGTTTTTCGCTCAAGGTTATTCTGTTTCACTGAGCTGACTTCAGGGAGAAAAAAAAGAGCTTACGAGTGAGCCTGTGAGATATTCAGGGACCGTTTTTGTCAGGAGCCATGACCTTAATATATTTCTTTTCAATGTCATCATTGCGTAAGTGTTCTGAATGCCCAGAACTGAATTGCTGTAGTAATAAGGCGGAGGATAAGATGAAAGTAGAGTACGGCCTATTCTGGTCGTCTTGTCTGCGATAAAACACGTCCTCTTATTGACAGAGTGGGTCTGGCCTTGAGGGTCTGTTTTTATACATGTAACACTAGATTCAGAGTCCTCAGATCTGACTTCAGTGGAGTTGGTGTGAACCGCTTTGGCATTGTTTGTTTGGGTTCCTGTACAATCAGTGTGTTTTAAAGGGGGGGGGGGCAGGATTTCCTCTGGACCCACCACACCTCACTGAAACCCTGTCCCTCCTCAGGTTTCTCTTTCCTGCTCAAACACCTCCGAGTCAGTGGGTTTGTTGTTAGCAGCATCATGCAGTACATGACTTATGTAAACATGCAAATCTTTAGCAGGTTATAAAACGTCCGGATACAGGTGCCAGACAGAGCAAGTAACATGCTTGACCTTCTGAAATCCCAGCTCGCACACTTTCCTCACGCACACGCCGCCCACCTGCTGAGCCTCTGTGGAGTTTTCATCATGTCGCCCACACAGGCCAGCTCTCTCGGGGAGCCGGTGGTTTTGTGGTCAGTGAAGCGGTGACTGTTTACCACCCATTAATTTTTTTTCTTTTCTCAGACTCTACTGCAGATAAATGTCAGATACATTATGCACTTGTTTGTCCTTTTGTGAGAAGACTTAATGCTGTTAAAGTCTATAGTTAGAATCAGCCAAAGCATCTGTTTTTATATCTGAGTCTTTTTTTTTTTTTTTGTGGGAAAAGTTTATTTTATACTTTCATTTCTCTCGTTTTTTTCTGCAGTAGAGCACTGAGACCAAAGTTTAGTTTATGCTCATGTACAAATGAACACCTGGGATACGATACTCAGTCTGACTTACTTACTCTTCCGGTGCTCACCCTCGATTGGGACTGTATTTCTTTCTTTTTGTGCGTTATAATAACTGATGTTAATGGTTTTTAAAGAATAAGAAAAAAAAAAGTGGTGTAGCCCATCTTGGCCGGCATGTCTTCAGCACAATTTACAGAGTATGCCGCTCTGTCAGACTAAGGACCGTCTGGCTGAAGTTGAGTGGTCTTTACAACATGATTGGCTGTTGGTCCTTTGTTTTTGTATTTTATTTTGTGTTATCTGTAAGAGAGGATAAAATTATGATGCTTGGCAACACTTAACCCTGAATTTCCACCGCATCCGAAACAGATTACTAATTGCGAGAACTCACAACGACCCGCGGATTCACGTGCAATCGTGCGATAACGGGTTGTCTCTATAAAGACAGACATTTAACCATTTAAGCAGTAGATTGTGTCCTTCCAGCGTAGGAAATCTACTTCTAGACTTTTAGAATCAGCATCTCCTCATTCATGGTGTCATCTGGATGAAATGCTGTCTAAAAACCTTTCACTTGTTCATCCCCGCCCGTTTGCATGGTGTGAAATACGATCCTCCTGAAACACATAGTCTTTTATTTAGATTTATGTTTTATTTTGTGTCTGTGCCCGACTTCCTTTCCAGCACGGGTTAATCTGCGCTGAATTTATCCGGCATGCTCCAGCGTCGGGAAAAAATAGAACTCTTGATCAACTGCGGAGTCCGGCGATCTACAGAGAAAAGGAAATTGACACGTTAACTTGTATGGTTACGATCAGCTGCGACTGGTGGATACGGCCTTTGCGTAGCTGTTCGGGATGTGGAGGAATTTTGGGGTTAATGCTTTTTGAACATCGACATGAGTGTGCACGATAAGACCTGGTGCATCTACAAACTGTGTTACTCAGTCTCAGTGCTCTTGCACGGACTAAAGGTACACAACTTCAGTTAAAATGAACACACTACACATCAGCCAAGTGTGCCCCACATGCTTATGGCCCCGCTTATTTTTCTGATGAGTCTTTTCACTCCCCACACTTTGCCTTTCTCTTGACCGAGACCTCTGATCAGCAGAGCTTTGAGTGGTTGGATGCTGTTCTGCTTACTCAGGTGGAAGCTCCCCTCGAGGACGGCCTCTAATTGAATGGCGTCCCTCAGGAGCCGCAGCACCAGCGGAGCATGTTCCTGCTCTGAGTACTGGCCTTCACACTTGGACACGAGCAGCGCTCCGCTCGTGCGTCAGAGCGAGGCATTAATCCATTAGTCTCTCTGTCTTCTCTCTCAGTGATGGATGGTTCTGTTCAATGTCAAATCCTGCTGTTTCATGTGAAATCTACACATTTAAAGATCCGAGGAGGCAGAGGACGGGGATCCCTCTTAGTCATGTTTTCATAGAGATTTTGAGCCCCTGCAGATTCGTCTGATATCTCTGCAGCCTTTCACAGACAGTGTCTGAGTTGAGCTCCATACCTGCGTGGGATAGATTCAGTAATTGGCAGGATTGATTCAGTCCTCTCCATCTCTCTCTCAGTATGAAGGCGGGAGAAAAAAAGTTTGCTGGCCAAATTGGGCCCACCGGTGTGGAGCGAGCACTCCCCAGCTCCTCGTCTACACCGACCGGTGACAAATTAGAGAAGCTCCTCTCGGTCCTCTCTGCTCCTTCACTCTTGTTGGGTCGCCATGCTTTTGTCTCCTCCTTCCTCGCACCTTCTCCAGAATTCGAGGCTCTAATTTGTCCCCTCCTCCTGGGTTATCTTCACTATATTTTGCTTTTTGATAAATTGGCATCACAACCCAAACTCAAGCTTCAGTTTCAGACCTCTGATCAGACCCTGTGTTGTGTAGATGTCTGATTGTTCTGTCTGGATGAATAAAGATTCACTTTGTCTCCACAGGTGCCCTCACAGTCGGTCTAGTCCGGCAATGCCAGACCATCCACGGACGGGACCGGACCTGCATCCCTCCACGGCTGCCCCCTGAGTGGGTCACCACACTTTTCTTCATCATCATGGGCATCATCTCCCTCACGGTCACCTGCGGACTGCTGGTGGCGTCGCACTGGCGCAGAGAAGCCACCAAATACGCTCGCTGGATCGCCTTCACCGGCAGTAAGTGGGAAAAAGAGACAAACAAACGCCGAATCGAAGAGTTGAAGCTCACAAGCGCGACTTCTCTCTCTCTTTCTGAATCTGTCCTGACATAACCTTTCGTAAATCATCCTCGCCACGTTTTCACGATCACACTGTGTCGTCCCTTTAGGGCAAGAAATATTAAAAGGAGGAGAGAGGAGCCTGAAATGGTGTGAAAATCGGTCTCAGCCTAGTTACGGCTCGCTAATTTGGATGATAAGATGAACTGTGACATAAATCATCGGAGGCTTTACACAGGAGCTTTTGTGTTGCTGTGAGTGACGTGAAGATCTGTGGGCGTGTTGTGTGTTTGGTTGCATAAATTTGCACAAATATGAGTGTTGTTTTTTGCCTGCTGGATGACGACAACGACGTCGACTCTTTGCTCCCTGGAGCTGATTTGTTGAGTAATGCTGCTCCTTTGGAACCCGAGTGGGTGGCTCGCGTTGCAGGCAGCGCCGTTTTCTCCCTCTTTACCTTCGACATCAACACTTTTTTTTCTCTTTTTTTTTTGTGTGCATGATTCCTGCATTGATGCACTTCTAGCACTGACAATAACTCAGCATCCATCTTGTGCAACTGCTGCTGTTGTGTGGGAGTTTGACAGGGAATTAGACGGCCTGAAGCGCTCTCTCTCTCTCTCTCTCTCTCTCTCTCTCTCTCTCTCTCTCTCGATGTGTTTTTAGAGGGAATAGCAGAGCGAGGTGTCAAACCACATTCCTCTGTAGAATTAGCTTTACATCAAGCTCAAACACGAGGCTTTGTTTATTCTCCTCCTCAGTGTTTTGCTCTTCATAATTAGAATTTGTCTCTTCTTCCTAATTGCTCGAAAATTTCCCGATGTTTTTCACTTCCTTCCCAGAAAGCCCAGAGCCCCCTCCGCAGACCGTCCATCCGATGAGCAAATCTCTGTCGCGAGCTAAATTGGAAGGCATCGAGTCATTGTTTAACGAGCTCACCCGGAGGAAAGTGAGGCGGTTTCCATGGCAACAGTGGGAATTTTTTTCACCCTCGTCCCCCTTGCTAAAGCTTCCGTTGGCCAAATTAGAGACGAGGTGTATTATTAGAACAGATGCTGATTTAGCTTTTTGAAGGGATTGAACTCTTAATGATGATTATCGCTTTAAATGAGGAGGTGAGGCCCGTGATGGGGCAGGTTTGTGATGATTCAAAGGTAGGAAGAAATTTCAGTTTAAATAAAGTTTTGGAAAACCCATTAGTCGACGCTTCAGCGCTCCTGAGATCCTCAGGTCTCACTAAAACCCGTACGAAGCGTCGGAGAGGCTTTTAATTCCGCCTGATTTTGCTGAACTTTTCTTCTCGCTCGGATGGAAGACACCTCTCTCCGCTTTCAGTCAAGTAGAAGAGAGGGTGAGAGGTTAAGTGAGGAAACGGGGCGGGGGCTCGAGAAGAGTCGAGTAAACAAGGCGAGCTGAGTGAATAATCATGTTTGCGGAGGTCAGGAGCGGAGAGGTGAGCGGCGCCAATGTAAAGACAGAAACGGACACGCTGGAGTAAAGTGGAGTCGGGGTGATTCATTCGGGGCAGGCAGGTGATGCAGGTTGAGAGGAGGTGGGCAGACTGCAGCGTAAATGGGTTCAGATCAACAGGACCTGAATAGGCGGCTTTGTGTGACCCGCATAGACCGGCCTCTGTGTCTTTATGCAAACTAGCGTACGCGTCTGAATACCATCAGCGTTTCCGTCAGGTATGACGATCATGTGTAGGTGCAGCAGAGGTGGACTGCTCATTAAAATACCTGTAACAATACGTCTGTGCTGAAATGGAAATAATAGAATGACAAGGTATCAGGTGCAACACTTGAGTGGGCGTTTCAGGAAGGCTGATCAAGATCCAGATCCAGGTCTCTCTACACAATTTTAGCCCGTTTGAGACTAATCGGTAATCGGCCAAAACTCGCCAATTTTCGCCGATATTTTCAGAAATAAAATGCAGAGAATAAGATTCGGTTTCACTTCGAAAATGTTCTGCCAAATTTGATTTTGGGTCCCTCTATTTCTGCCAATAATATTGATTATTGATCATTCACATACCTTCACAAATCTCTTTGATTAACATTCCCTGACATGCAAACATACCTTTATCTAAGCGTTTTTTTCTCTTCTTCCTCTTGCTCTTCTCTGCTCCTGAGGGATATGTCCTTTTTTGTGACATTGTTTTGCCCCACAACTACCTGAACTTTGGATGCTCAGTGCACATTTCACAGCAGGAGGAACATAACGGTAGCGGAGTCTTTGACATATCAGCAGTAAAGATCATAGGCCTACATCAGCTGCACCATCAGATTGTTTTTTACTTTATTTTATTTTTACAATAATATATATTTGATCATACTGAAAGCATCACTCATACATGCAAAAAATAAAAAAAATATATTTTTTTAGTAATGCTCTTGGGGGCCCCCTACTGGCTTCGGGCCCCTAAGCAGGTGCCTAGTTCGCTTATGCCTTGGGCCGGCTCTGCCTCAGGTACAAAGTCTACTTAATGTTTGAGTGAGCTGCTTTGTTTTGAGGACATGGTGTACAGTAGCTGCTTTGTACTCTTGTACCTGTTTGTGACGTATGTTGTTCCACTCTGTCTTATGTGAGGTATAGACCAGAGATGTCCAGACTTGATTATCTGGACATGGTCTGGTTCTGGAGTTGATTTTATTTCACCGAATGGACAGAGACAGGGATGTGTACCATCACAGGAGTGGTGCATTTTACAGCTGAGAACGGATCTGTATTAGAGAGGATGTTTTTGACTTTATCTGTAAAATGTTTGATCTCCAAAAACACCAAAAATAAGTGGAGTCAAAACTAAATTTTTAGGTTTCCTGTAGGTTGAAGTCACAATTTTTGAAAGTTTATCTACTCTGATCAGCAGATTTATCACTATAAAGGTGATGGAAAGCAGAAAATCCTCACTTTTGAGGGTCTGGTGTTAAAAAGTTATATTTTTTACTTGATCGTATATATGGACTTGTTGCAGGTCTGTTATTTAAATACAACTGAGTATTACTGAATTGAAGCGCAGTAACTTTGAGTCATTAGTTTCATCAGCCGCAGGTGAGCAGGGCGGCGTATGTCATCACTTTCAGCTCTGAAGAGAAGCAGCAGATCACGAGCTTCACTCCAGGAACCTCTCAGGTGAATCTTGCAGGATTAACACTCAGGAACATCTTCCTCCTGACGCCACCTTAGCGTACCTGTCACTACATCCTTTAACGGGAGGTAAACAGAGCAGGCGAGGAGACAAAATGACAGACGTAAACGTTTGCTCGTGAGCGCTCGGTGATGCAGGATTTATGCTCAGTGGGAGACGCTGAATCTGCACAGCATGCCTCCGGCAGCTCGTGAACACCTTCTCCTCTGGTTTGTGGTGTAGCTGTCATGTTGAACAAGAGTTTGACTGAAAGTACTGTGGGCAGCGCTGGTATCGTAAAGATTTCCCTCTCTTTTTAATCCTTTATAGAAATAAAACTTAAAGTAATGTTGCAGCTCCATCCTGGAAATAGTGCTGGTGTTGCGGAGGATGTAAATAAAGAGGCAGGACTGGTTGTTTGACTTGATTTTATGCATTATTAAAATGTGAAAACACTTTAAACCTTCGGATTTGTCTGGTAAGCACTTAAATTGTTGGTTTCGCAAAAACAGATACTCCTGTCTGCTCGTTTTATCCGACAACACGCTCATCTCACTGAGGGTTTTATCCACAGCGCCCACCCCTTTTGTTAAATATTTAAGCCACAAAATGTCTTTTAATCCCATTTATGCTACTACAGACTTCTCAAGCTGCACAAAATGACAAACTATTTAAGGAAACATCAGTGAGGTTTCTTTGAAAACCAGGAAAGGGCGTCCCTCAGGCACCAAGCGGCTCTGAAAATATGCCGGTTAGAAAGAAAAAGTGGAGGCTAAAAATGGTCTCACTCGCTGTCACAGAGGGGATTTAACACTATTGAGGTGACTGAAATAATTTAACACAGTGTCAGTTAACTCTGAAGAGCGGTTATCAACATGCTGCTAAAGATAACCGCTTCAGGAAGAGATGCTGATTGAAAGTTAGAGTCTGCGGAGTCACCGATCCATGCTTTATAACGTCCCACAGTTTTCTGTTCAACATCAGTTTGACTGAACGCTTTACCTTTAAATTCTTCGAATGTTAAAAAAAAAAGGAAGTAAAGGGAGCCGCTCTAATTAGCGACAGCTCACGCCTACTTCCTGCACAGCACAATAAGACTCGGTAAAGACGTCACCGCTGACCTCTGCAAGCAGGACACAAGCTGCGTTCAACATCACAACAAGCTCGCTCTTTGTCTGAGGGGAACTCTCCCTCTGGGAAGTTCTTTGAGGCCCGTGACGAAATGAAAAAGACCGACTGAAATGTGAGAGAATGACTCTGCAAAATTAACATCCTGATGGAGCTGAAATCTCACCAGTTTATTGTTAAAATCTTCACAGATCAGGTCCTTTAAAGGCTCGGTTGACGATTTTTTCCATTCTTTTTTTCTCTTCACTTTGTGGAGATCGCACTATAGGACCATAATCACCACCAAAACAAGGTTCGTAATAATTATCAATATCTCCAATCATCAACTATCCCTTTAAGCGTCCTATCTTAATCTCATGTAGATAAAGAAGTCACCTCTGCGCAGTCGGACAGTCCCGGTGAAGGAACCACAGAAATATAATGTGAACGTTTACTCCTCCTGTGTCTCAGCGTGGCAGCCGTAGAAACTATGACAACTTCATCAGCAGCAGTAAATGTGCGTCCTCCTAAACCCCCCGTGACGTTTGCCTCCTCTGAACTCTATTTCAGTTCTCGACTCTCTTCCAGAGCTGCATATAGCTGAATAGAAAGCTTGAAATCTGATTACAGATTTGCTCCTTCGAGCATGTAGAGAAATTTTAAACCGTGTTAATCAGCCGGAGGTGGTAGAAAGATTATTTACGGTTCATAGAGAGACATTTTGTGAAACTAGAAGTGTGTAAATAGTTTTGAAGTAATGTTAATCTGTGGGAACCCTCAGCTGACCCTCAGTAGAGGCTCAGATTTGATCAGAAGGCCGATGTTTGAAGGTTTTCTATCCAGAGAGTTTAGGTCGTACACTTCAGCTCCAAGATGGAAGAGTTACTGTAAAATATCGTACAGTCAAGTACCCTCACAGAATAATTCAGGCCTTTTGTCTCCTCTGAAGATGGTTTTTGTTAGAAAAGCAGCGAGTCTGTCTCTCCTGAGGGAACAGGATGATGAACTGCCCGGCTCTTGTTCTGCTGAGACGCTCTGATTATTTCAGCTTTCACTCTGACATTTACATTCATCAAGATAATGTATAAGATCCAACATTTCATCTTTTTTTATATATATATATCTGAAATGAGGAATCTTAAAGAGACATAAATACTCTGCTGATGAGGGCGTGTTTCATCAGTCTGATGTGAGTATCTCCTCCTCTGAGAGCTCTGCTGTAAGTCACTGACTGATCTGAGTTCAGCTCTCACTCTGACATTTGGTGTGAGTCAGTTTTTTGTTTCCTGAGGAGAAAATGAAAAATCTCTCACAGACTGAAATCTCGTTTTTGTGTCACATCATCTCGAAGGAATGCATTTATTCTCACACTCTTCCTCCTCTTCTTCCTTTTCTCTCAGTCCTCTTCATCTTTTCCCTTTTCCTCTCTTTCCTCATCTGTCCCCTCTTGCTCTTTCTCTTCTTTATCTTCCAATCTGTCTTCTCTTTCCTTTCCTTTCTTCCTTTGTCGCCTCTATTTGTTCATCCTCTTCCACTTGTCCTATCTTCACATCTTCATCATCTTCCCCTTCATTTTTTCCTCTTCTTCGTCTTCTCTAACTCCCTGCTCTGCATCTTCATCTTTTTCTCTTCGTCTTGCTCTTAATTTGTCCTCCTGGTCTTCTTCATCTTCCTCCACCATTCATTTATCCTCCTCTCCTTCCTCTTCCTATTTTATATTTATCATTCTATTGCTTCCTCATCTTCTTCAGCTTCTCACTTTTCATCTATGTCCTCTTCTTCTTCATCACCATCTCTCTCTTTCTCCTCTTACTCTACCTGCTTTTCTTCTTCATCTTCATTTTCATCTTGTCTTCCATGATCTTCATCTTCTTAGTTTTATCATTTTTAAAAACATTTTTTTTTTTCATGTTTTTACTCACCTTCATCACCTTTTTCTCTCCCATTTTCTCCCTCTTTTTCATATTGTCTCGTTTCTCCTCTTCCCTTTCTTCCTTCTCCTTTTCTTATTTTCCTTTTTCTTGTTCTTCTTTCTCTTCTTCTGCTTTTGTATAAACTTTTTTCTATCCTTTTTTTTGTCTTTTCCTGTTTTATTTATAATATTTCTGTGTTAAATATCAGCAGCAGAAGTTTAATTTCAGTTTAATTCTCTGGACCTCCAGAAGAATAAAAACATCCTGATTTAATGATTTTTTCTTGATCTAATTCTTCCTCTGATTCTTTTTAATGTTTTTATTCATTTACTTGAGTTGTGTATTTTGTCTCAGCTGCTCTTGAACACACCTGCAGTATTTACAAACATTTTCAAACAGTGTGAGTCTTTAATGTGACAACATTATCTTCTCTGTCCTCGCAGTGATCCTGTTCTGCATGGCGGCGCTCATCTTCCCCATAGGCTTCTATATCAACGAGGTGGGGGGCCAGCCGTACAAGCTGCCCAACAACACGGTGGTGGGCTCGTCGTACGTGCTCTTCGTCCTCTCCATCTTCTTCACCATAGTGGGACTTCTGTTTGCAGGCAAAGTTTGCCTCCCGGGCTGAGGACACGAGCGTGCCCGCCTCTGGACTGACGCAGGAGGCTCTGAAAGTTTTATGGGATTTACAAAAAAAAAAAAACACACACACTGACTGAAAATCAAAGACAACAAACTCTGAAACAGGGATGTCTTGGATTATTTGTCAAGGGACCGCAGCACCTCGGAGGACCTAAAGACAGCTGATGATAAAGAGGAAAGGAACACTAAAGGAGGGGGCGCAGAGAGAGGGGCCGCGGAGCGCGAGAGGGTGCAGCCGAGGTCGCCTCTGTCGATTTAAAATACGGCCGTCTCTGTTGTTGATCTGTTGGAAAAGGGTGCTTTATGTGCCGCTGTCATGGCAACTGCAACCACAATGCTGGCACACATTTCCTGAGGACCACTACAGCCACTCCTCAACTTGACCCCCCTCCCGCCCTCAGCACACATCTGCGCAGTCACAGCCGCTCCTGTTGCTATTTTTGGCTCCTCTTAGCTTTTTCAGTTGTGTGTTTTTCTGTTGTTGTACATTTTGTGTTTTCCTTTTTTTCTCCTGTTTTTGTTCGCTCTTTCTTCCACCTCTCACCGCCTTTCCACTGAAGTAGCTCGAGTGTAATTAAGGTTCACTGATCTGGATCCTTAAAAAGGGGGACCTTGGGAGGGTGGGAGTCTCTGCCAGTTTGGCCTCAGAGCAGGGTTTGCTCTCGTTTGTCACTTCACGAAACTCCAGGTGTGGGTCTGTGAAGAGCAGCTGTGGGACCATCTGTCTGAGGACGGTGCAGCAGCAGCAGGTGCGCTGCATCTCCATCTCCAACCAGGCGCAGCTGGGAAGCAGGTAGCAGCGACGGGGGAGGGGGTGGGCCTTCCTGTGCAGCTGGACAGGAGGTTCCATAAAGGAGAATGCCACTCAATGTAAGATGTTGCATTATGTTATTTATAACAGACATTAGTGAGCTACTTTGCTTAAGCTAAAGCCATGACACTGAGACACATCTTTGCCAATAACTATCAGACTGTGAATTTTAAAAACAAAACATGAAACACCTCGTGTATTTGTAGTAAGTTTAGAAACAGGCAGAGCGGCCTCTCCATGGTATTTCTCCGTGGTGTTACATTTCACTTAATATCTTTAGACAGCAAGACAGTATTAAATTTTATACATAGAAGCTGACATTATCTGAGGTTTAAAAAAAAATAACAAGTGAATGACAAATATTGGTGGTATTCTCCTTTAATGTTGGACAGGAAACAAGCCAGGAGCAACTTTTGACCTTTTGTAGGAACAGTGAAGGCACCAGGACTGCGGGTCAGGTCCATGCATGGGGCTGAGCCTCAGCGCGCTGCCCCTGAGGCCCGTGATTGACACACACACACACACACACACAGACAGACACAGACATTGACAGTCATCACACACACTGTACTGTAAAATCCAAACGTCAGCGCTGCATTGTTATAGTTGAATTTATCGTTCTTATTAACTCCGGCAAATATAAAAATACGACCCCGAGCCTGAGCTGGTGTCTTCAGATCTTCTGTTTGTATTTTACATTTTTTCTGGCACATCCTCTTCAGCACTTTCTCCTAGTCTAACTTTATTCTAAGGAGCTTGTGCTTAAGGATGAAAATTCATATAATTTTTTTTTTTAACTCATTAATTAAACTCACATTTATAAGACACTGATTCACCAATCTGGAAAATCTCTCTGCATTAACTTCCCATCAGTCTGAAGGCTCTCTAACCAAAAAAGTTCTCGACCTCCATGTCTGGAGTGACATCCCTCCAAGGCTGCAGCCTCCAATAAACTCCATCCTGACAGCTGAATGTTACATGAGATAAACATGTTGTTTATCCCCCCTGACAGAAAATTAGACTTAAAAAATGCATGTTGAATAGAACGTATCTGCATTTTAACCACAGACAGCCCTGACTAGATTTCTGTTAGAGTAAAAGAAACTCAGTGTGATGATCTTTGGTTAAGTTCTGCAGCTGAACAGACAAATTTGATCAACATTAAACTAGTTCAGTATCCAGATCTTTACGAATGAAGTTATTTGACAACCTGCTCCTCTCTCAGAAAAACCAAGTGTGTGTCCGTGTGTGTCGGGTCAATCACGGGGCTCAGCCGTCGAGTCTTTGAGTTTTCTTGTTTTTGTATTTCTGTTTCTGCTCGGCTTCTCTGACTCTCGGCCCGATGATGTAAACTGCTAACTATTCACTCTGCAGTGCCCTGTCTTGGTTGGTTAAGTATTGTGCCATGACCTGTTTTTGTTTAATAATGTACAGACACAAAAGGCAGGATTTCTGTATTAGAAAGCACTGTGCATTCAACAGTATAGGTAACAGAAATAGAAGCACCACAAATGTATAAAAAAAGAGAACTTCTTACCTCATTGTTTTTTGTTTCTGCTATTATTTTCTAATGGTGGCAATGTGTGCCCTCTAATTTGTCTCTTGCCTTGATCGGATGTCTTCACATAAAGCCTATGATCATAGGAAATTATTTATCACTGAATAAAACCAGAAAAAGTGGGTGTGTGTGTGACTCTGACACAGTCTGTACGAGTTATTGTGCTTATTTCAAAGGATCTGGAGTACAAATGTGTTTACAGCCGGCGTGATAGTTGAGAAAACAGCTGATGATTTTATCTCGTCAACATTTAAATCTGAAAATCAATTTGCTTTCTCCGCAGGATGGAGTCTAAATATCTTACCACTTCATCCAGTCTGAGAACGAAAGATTTAAGTGCGGTCCCTGAGGATGCATTAGTGAAAGGACTATTTTTGTTCGCAGAGTACATCTGTTAAACGCTGAGAACAAACCCTCTCCTACCTCGCAGTATTGACTGAGAATCAAGAGTTTCTCCACTCAGCAGTGACCTCAAGATCTATTTTTAGGCAACTAACGTCAGAGCTGAATTGATTGCTTGGCCCGGGATTTTAAGGTTTTTAATTTGCGCATTTAACATCCTGCGAAAGTAACTGTTTGATCGGAAAATCAGGACATGTACGAGCTGAACCCTTTACTAGATATTTGTGAGTTATCAGAGTTGTCTTACACTCTTTAAATGGACTTCAGGACTGTTTTCGAATGCTAAATAAAGGAATTTTAAACATAATTAAAACTACAAGTAAACAGGATTAACTGTTAATATTCAAAGATTGATTGTAATATAAAAAATAAAACCTTTTTCAGCCGTCTTAAAATCTCTTATTGAGGGAGATTCAGGCTTTTTCCACCGGCTAACTCTGCCATCGAATTATGTTTTTGGACAACTTCTGTGGTGAAAAGTTCAGGAGTTGAGTTTCTCAATATAAGCTTATAGACAAAAAAAAAATGAGCCTACAAGGATGAGGATGTCAGCAAATCAATACAGGAATTTTGAGTTGGTCTGTGTAGTTTGCAAATCCCAGAAACAGCAACTTAACTTACTGTCTGTGATCCCTGGAGGGTTTACTGTCATTTCTGTGTTTCTAATGAAAGTTTTGGTCGAAGGATTTCTTCTCTATCTACAGTCTTTGTGCCAAACTAAGCTAATAAACTTAATGTCTGCAGCTTTACGCAGTTAGATTCAAAACCTGCTTCATACTGTTATCAGAGCAGTTAAAAGTCACTTCTTGGCTGTTTTTCTGCAGCATTGTCACCTACTCTGGTTCCTTTAATGACCAGGTTAAACTATTACTGTCTGTCTCCACACACCAGGAGCGAGTAAAATCATTTGCGTGAATGTATTACATATTAAGTCAATGCAAAGACGCGATTAGACGCTACTACTACTCTGAAACGAATTGGGCAAGAGATGAAAATGTCTCAACTTGAGTGGACATTCATGTCGCGATAACTTTTTTCCCTCAACTTTAATGAAAGTTATAACAACAAACAATTCAGCATTTCTGGTTCAGGTTTCATACAAAATAGTAATGCAGCAAAGATATATATATGACAATGTGTAACAGTGATTAAGCAAAATAATCAGGCGACAGACAGCATCGCGATAACTAATGCTGCGTTTGCGTTACCTCGGAAGTCAGAAGTCCGAGCTGAAAATGACGTCAAACCCGAGTTCCCAGCGTTTTAGTTACCAAATCGGAAAAAAAGCCTCATGTTTGTTCAAGGCAAGCGCTAAAATAACGTTCGTAGATGTAACCATCTTGTTTCAGGACTCCAATTTTGCCTTTTTCCGACTTGGTAACTCGGGTGTGACGTCATTTTCAGCCCGGACTTCTGACGTAACTTGAACGCAGCACAATCGGCGCGAAGGTTGCCGGGTGACGTATGAAAATGGACGGTTGTTTACTGATATTTAAAATTTAAAATGGCGGACAAACCGACCGTGTCGGTGTGTGGGTGCCCCAGAATTATATGCTACCTTTTCTTTCAATTACCGAAACCGGAATAGAATGGAGCTTGCCTGGAGGAAAGTGAGTGAGGAGGTCGGATTACCTGGTAAGTTGTTAAAAACCTTTGTCTATCACTGTATTGGCAGGGATACCGTTGAAATTACCGTTGAATCGCGAATGTACCGAGTAAATACTATTCATTCAAGCGATTTTACTCCCAATTATTCTCTCATTTAAATGTCCAAACAGGTGCAACTGTTAGAGAGCACGGTTAAAAATCTACAATTAAACCGATTTCTCACACTTGTGATGTGAGTCAGGGTGTTCAGCTCTCAGCTCCAGCCATATTCATGCTTGTCACACATTCAGCTGGACGAGTCAGTTTAATTTATTTGTCATTTTCTTGCTGTCATTGTGCGCCGGAGATTGGACAGCTCGGCTCCTCTCTAAGGCCTGCACCTCCATTAGCCTCTGAGTGACCTGCACAGAGGAGTTTAGCATGAGCCGGTTCTGTGCAGATCTTCCAAGAGGGTTCAGGGATGGAGGATTAATTTTAGTGTCTGTTTTATGTTTTATACAGTTTGTACTTTACTGCCAAACTCTTTGGTGAGACTCTTACCTTCAGTCTATATCCGCAAACCTGCAGAAAAACCAACAAAATGAAAAATAAAGGTGGAGTAACACCTCATATACAGACTTTGGCAGTCATTTAAAATGTCTTAAATTGATGTATGAAAAAAAAATCAAACAGAGGAGTCATTTTGGAAAATTCGAGCCAAAGTGAGAGAGGCTTATGTTTGCTGTACCTTAAAGGGATATTCTGGCGTAGAATTACGTAAGGGTCAAACACACTGAAACACCAAGATAGACACCCCGTCAAGAGATGAATGTTGCCGACCGTTTGCTTCTCGAGTTATACCAACTTTAGTAACAACCGCAGATAGCAATACAATACAGAGAGCCACGCACTCAACCAAAATGCCAATCTACGGCCACAAATAATGCTCAGAACAGCACCTAATGTCATCACCTCCGGACGATTCCATCCATGATTGTTTCTTTATGGAAATGCAATCAGATCGAGACGTTAAGGCAGAAGAACTACTGCGTCTACAGTGCAAAATTATTAATATGCTAATTATTTCTTGAAGGAAATGATAAAGTAATGATCATAAATGTTCTTCCTTGAGCTGAGTCACCCCGCTGCAGTTGATGGACTCACCCGAAGGTCTCCGTACAAACAAGCGGCTGCTAGAACAGAGTAGGTGAGCTGTGTTTAGTCTCTTTGCTAAAGAAATCAGGCAAAGTTAAAAAGATGTTTGGTGGCTAGTACTATGGCTGGGACCCTATATTGTTGATGAAGTTAGGTGCTGTTCTGAGCATTATTTGTGGCTATAGAGTGGGGTTTTGGTTGAGCGCGTGGCTCTCTGCGGTCGTTACTAAAGTTGGTATAACTAGCGAAGCAAGCAGTCTGCAACATTCATCTCTCGACCGGGTGTCTTACTTGGTGTAACAGTGTGTTTGACCCGAACTTAATTTTACGCCGGAATATCCCTTTAATTTCCATATTCCTCCTTTTCATTCCAGCATTTGTGTTCGTGTGTGCGTGTCACCCTGCACGAAAGGGACAGACGACCGGATCGAGTCACCCCGCGAGGACTCGCAGATGAAGGTGCTAGACTTGATTTAGTCAGACCCCCCTGATCGGCAGCAGATGCTTAATGGTGACTTATTGGAGGAGAGATCAGCAGTGACAGATCTCAGAGTGGTTCTCACAGTCCAGATGGAGGTGAGACCTTTTCTCAGGTCAAACGTTCTCTGTTTAAACTCACCAGCCAGTTTGCCGAAGCAGTTATTTGTGCTGTGCTGTGTCATTGGAAACTTCCACACCATCTTTTTTCCATTATTATGATAAAAAACAAGCATTTGCGAGCCAGATTTGTGCCGCAATACACCAGATCGTAATAAACTGCACAAAGAAGCCGCTTTAATTAAGATAATTATCAGCTTTATGAGGATTGTAACTCCTCGAAAGTAGCTGCCGGCTCTGCGGTACTAAGAGATTATTTTTCTGCATCACAGCATCTATGAGCAGATTTTTTTCTCTCCCTGTGAAAATGTTACATATGTTAAATGAGACATCTCAAAGCAATGATCCTTTTCTAATTCTCTGAAAACGTCTGTCATTTAACAAGAGCCTGCCGTCTGCTGACCTGGTGTTTCCGTGCAGATTTCAGCCGTATCTGTTTCACGTTTAATTTGCTTTTATTACACCGAGTCTCGGCGAAGTGAGAGTTTGAATAATTTTATTTCACACTTGCAGGGAGAGTAAAATAGATTCTGCTGCTCTTGGGAATGAGATGCTGCTCTGGAGCTGTTTGTTTTCTGCACTATTTGGGATTTACAACCATGAATATCTTATTTTTTAAGCAGAAATATTCAAATAAGTCCTCCAGTAAAGGTCAGTTTGCCATTTTTCCACTCCAGATGTCTGCCTGCATGTTTCAACCCGACAGCAGTATCTTGACATAACACCTGAGCGTGCATCTTGAGTATTTCTCATGAATAATGTGCTGAAATCTGTCCAGGTGCGTTAACATGACATAATCTGAGTGGGTGAAAACAAACACAGAGAAGGTTTCCAGTGGAGATGCTGCAGCAGCATGTAAAGCTTTGTTTCATAATCACTGTTTTTTAACGCACAGCGCTCCTCTCCCTCTGAGTGTCGTGTCCATGTGTTGCAGAGAGGCGTCCCTTCGCACAGGGAGATAGATTATTTTGTCAGCACCCTGCCAAGCTCGCTTAGATGGAAGTATGGGCACCATCTGTTCACAAGAGGCTGATCCAGATCTCTGTAGTCCACCTTATCTATCTTTCTGTTTATCCACCTGATTGTCATGTTTTACCGTCATGGTACAGTGGGTAGCATTTAGCAGGAAAAATGGAAATCAGTGTGACTATGACAGTTAACTCAAATTATACCTTTATCATCGACATAGGAGAAGATCCATGTCCATTAAATCCACCATCTTGCACCACCATGTTTCTACAGTAGCACACACTGGACAAAATAGTGACAACCTGGCATTAAGGGTGGGGTAGGCAGGAATCCGTTAAAAAAAAGCATCTTTTTTTGTGGTTTATATTCAAAAAACTTCCAATATCAGTCAAAAGCTATTCGTTATTGATAAGATTTGGGAATATCATGATATCACTGTGTTTTCTTATGCCTGTTAAGTCAACATTTTAAAGTTTTGAGTGTCCCGTTCATTCTGACTGTAAACAAAGCTATCCTCCACCTCCCCCAATCTGGTTGGTTGTGAGGCACAAAAGCAGAACTCTTGTGACCAGTTCGGGGATCCGCAGCAGAACGGAAAGAAGCGTGTGGAAATTGACACATTAACTTGAATGGAAACGATCAGCTGCCATCGTTGGATACTAGGCCTGGACGATATTCAAAAAAAGCATATCGATAAAAAATAAATCATATTGATCGATATCGATAATTATCGATATAATTATTATAATTATTTAACATATATTTTAATTGCAGCCCTGGATGTTTTATGCTATTGCTTAATGACCTACTTTTAATAAAGAACACACAAGCACTGAAATCAAATTCAAACCTTTATTTAACCACCTTTTTTATTTTACCACAACTTAAAGTTTTTTAAAAAAGAAAGGGAAACTGTGTTTTTCTATTGAACTTTTTATCGACCCGTTTTTTTTCTATCGCACCACACGTCTATCGATCGATATATATTGTTATCGAATTATCGTCCAGCACTATTGGATACTGCCTTTTCATAGCCGATCCAGATGCGATGGAAATTGGGGATCAGCGTTACCTATATGATGACGAGCTTCAAAACTCCGATCAGAATTGAATCAGTGACATCACCGACACTACGACGATTATAATATTGTGTAATTTTCTCTGTGTGAATGCATCATGCAAGGGGCAGGAATACGATGAGATACAAGCTTCTTAAACTCAGTTTTAATTTAGAAAGGTGAATAAAATTATCCAAAAAGACTTTAAAAATCTCTCTGCTGCAGAAGACTTTTCTATAATTAGAGTCAGAGAAACACAGCTGTCAGTGGTACAGTTAATGCTGCTTTGGTTCTGTAATTTGATTATTAACAGCTGTGTGTTTCTGCAGAGACAGCTCAAGATGTCTGCTGTGATAAAGGTCTGAGTAAGCAGGAAAAGTGCGGCACACACACACACACACACACACTGTACACACTCAGCGCTCTGAGGCCTGCTAACTTTAGCTGCCTTCAGTATCGATCGGTCAGTGGGTGGGAGATAGAGGCCCTGCAGAAGATGCCGGGATGTTTCCTCTCAGACGGATGTCTGACTGCAGCTCGTCAGCGTCCATCACACGGCCGACCTGCTGCTGCTGCTGCTGAGGAGGAAAAACAACAGAGACGAGAGAGAAGAGGAGAGAGGCTGAGACTGAAAAAAACAACATTAGTAGAGAAATAAATGAAGCCTCATCTCATCCCCAATCACAGCAGAGTAACATTGAAGTGTCAACCAGCCTGTTTTGTTGTGTCATGAGTCTTCCACACGTGGATCTGAATAATGAGAGTGTTTTTATTTAGACGTCCAGATCAGCTCAGTGCGAGTGTTTGTTATCACGACAGTAGTTTTTCTGTGGTTATGAAACGGACTGAAAATAAAGTAGATGCCTCTTTATGACCTACAAAAGCAAATGAGACCATTGGCTACTAGATATTTTTATTCTGTCATTTGTCACGGCTGCAAACTGCTGCCTTTCCCTGCGGTAGGTGTCAGAGTGATTAAGTGCGCACCATCAAAACAGCCTTCTGACATTTTTTTGCAGCAGATATTCACAGCTTGAGTTGGTTTGACAGCTAAAAGACAGCAGGGTGAGATTTATTTATAAAAAAAAAAAAAAAACTTACACATGAAAAGACGGAAATCAGGATGATGTGAGACGCAGTACTTTGTCCACAGGGGGCGATAATACCTACACATGCATTTGTATAATTACGGAAGGCAGAACCAAGTTGTCCCTGGTATATACAGTCTATGTGCTTGACCTTCCGGAGAGGAGGTGTGCTCTCCCTTCCTCAGGCTTTGGTGTTCCACATATGCAGGTGGAAAGGCAGGGAGCTCTCAGAACAGAGCCATCCCCAGCTCCAACCTCATCGCTCCTTACGGATTTGCTTTAAATCCATCTCTACAAAACCTGCAGGTGGATGCTAGGTAGATTAGGATAGTAATGGTATGACTGAGCAGAAGGAGAAACTGTCACTCTTGCAGCTTGAAAGGTGGCCAAATTAGTAAGATATGTGTGTCAGGTGATGTGAGAATGACAAATAACGAGTAGGAAATCAGTGCAGCAGAGTTTGCAGCTCCTTCCACATCCCTTAAGTGCTCAGGAACTCCTCTCTCTTCCTGTGTGTGCTCTGCTGTCATGTTCAAGACCTTGTTTTTCCAATAATAGAAGTCTGCACATGTCGACAGCAGGCATCATCGCACTGGGAGTCAAAGGACATCAGCTGCCACTTAGGTGTTAAAGTACGTACAGTATACGAACATATACGACACATGCTGAAACACTGAAACACCAGAGTGGATGTTTCCTCGCTCTGATTATTCGTGGGAAGAAGTCAAAAAGTCAGATAATCTGTTTACTTTCCTGTTTGTGAGCAGTCAGAGTAGACGTTTCCCATCCTCATCGTTAACACTCTGAATCAGCCAGTTGGATTTGGAATTTTCAGGTTTTTGTCGGTGCCAGAAAAACAGAAATGACTCATAAACAACAACTCATGATGTTATATCATGTTTGGAGTGATGAGAGCTTCAACCGAGCCAGAAAACCCTCCAGAATGATAGTGGCCATGAATCAGATTATTACATTGAGGTAATGTTGCATAACATTGACATATCACTCCAGGTGATGTTTGAAAACAGACTGATTTAAAGCTCCTGTGCAGGACTTTGGCGGTCATAGTTATCTTATCTTATTGCCTCTGTTGTCCTGCACATGTGTAAGTTTTTTAACTTATGTTTTTGTGCATTTCGCCTTTATTATATATTGTTTTTTAAAGCTCTTGTGAGTAACTTTTAGTCTGGGTCAGTTTTGGCGCCCCCTGTGGACAAAGGAGTCTTTGCTAGTCTTGTCCTCTACATGCTTGAGTATTACTTTTAATAAAAACCCATCTAACTGACTTCCGATACTCAAACTCTAACTTCATCAACAGTACATATAGGGTCCCAGCCACAGCACTAGCCACCAAACATCTTTTTAGCTTTGCCTGATTTCTTTAGCAAAGAGGCTAAACACAACTCACCTACTCTCTTCCAGCACCCGCTTAGTAGTAGCGAGACCTCGGGCCAGTCCATTGCGGACTACAGTGGGGTGACGCAGCTCAAGGAAGAACATTTATGGTCATTTCTTTATCATTTCCTTGAAGTAATAATCATCATATTAATCATTTTGCACTGCAGTCGTGGTAGATCTGCCTTAGTGTCTCGGTCTGATTGCACTTCCATGAAGTAGTAATCATAAATGTTCTTCTTTGAGCTGCATCACCCCGATGCAGTCGATGGACTTGCCCAGGGGTCTTGCTGCAAACAAGCGGCTGCTGGAAGAGAGGGTGAGTTGTGTGAAACAAGAAATGTTTGGTGGCTAGTGCTATGGCTAAGACCCTATATGTACTGTTGACTCTCTGTATAGTTATCCTGCGGTCGTTACTAAAGTTACTAACTTAATTTTACGCCGGAATATCCCTTTAATATGAATTTCAGTCTATTCTATAAACATTTAATTTGACTTTTAACATTTGACTTTACTCTTTCTGAGGGGGGTTAACCTTTGACCTCTGTGGGCAGTCAGAATCCATGCCGTATAATACCATATAGAAGTGAACAGACAATATTCATCAGCACTGGTATCCAGAAAACTCCTCAGTCCCCTCATACTGAGCTCCCTGTGGTCGCCCATGTGTTTGGTTTGTTGTTGTAACAGCAGGACCTGGAGGAGAGGCTGCAGGCGCTGCAGTCTCACGGCCCACAGACCGGGCCCTCTGACCGGTATTTATTTCTGCCGGACCCAAACGTTTATTTTCACGCGGGTATTAGTGTCTATTTCGATATGCCTCTTGTGTTATTTTAGATGAGTCACTGGAGAGTGTGTGGGTACATGTGAGAACAGTCTGTGCCTGTGCGAGGATAAAGAGATACGTGCACGGTGGAGAGGACTCTGTGTGTGTGTGTGTGCGCGCGTGTAAGTGTGCACCTATTTGCCAGAAAACACACACTCATATGATAATGAAGTATCCTGTTGGGCAGTGGAGCTCGATTCTTTCTCTGTTGTCAACAACGTTACCAAGGGACCAGAATAGACGTGCACAGTTAAGTTGCTTTTGTAATTCATTTCAAACTGCTGAGCTTTGTAAACATTACATAATATTTCAATAAATGCATGACAGCAACAAATTGGTGCTTTTCAGTGTGAGGAAAGAAATAAAATAGGCATAAATTTTAAAGTTCAAGAGGGAAGTCATGTTTTACAGCTGCCAACAATCTGGTCCAGGCTGGAAACTGATCTACTAGTTATTACCTTCTGAGGAAACCACAAACCTCAGAGTCTAATCTGAAAGGGTGTACCACAGGGCTCTGTATCAGGTCCTCTATGCTTCACTTTTTGATACACCTCAATTGTCTTTATTCATTTTCTTGCGAATGAAACTCACTTCTCTGTGCTTTCTTAAGTTCTTACTTTTTGCTGCTGATTGTCTTCAAAGGGGAACTTCCAGTCCACCTCTCCTGGTTTAGCGACTCTTACAAAGAGGATTGTGGACAACGAACTTTTTTGTACCTTCTGAAAAGATTTGTCTTTCATACAGGAATTTGAATCCAACTTTCAACAGTAGCAACAAATGTGAGCATTGTTGGAAGTAATGCCACTTTCATCAGCTTATGACTTTAATTAGTTTAGCAGGTATTAATGAAAGAAAAAAAGTAACATTGGAGATATTATTGTTGTAATTTGATAATTTCAGACAAATATAAGTATGCCTAGTCACTTTTTACACCAGTGGAAAATCTCATCTTTACTTTTGGGGTGTTTTCTGGTCTATTTATTACATTACGTACCAAAACAATCAACAAACAAACTAGCAAGACGTTGGTTATATGTGTGTATTTTCTATTAATGAGATGCACGCTGTCTCTGCTGTTTGTGGTGATATCCAAAGGCAGACTCTAACATTAGAGTTCCCCTACAAATTTTACACTTTTTTTTTTGAGTCGCTATAGATTCTCAGATTTTTCAAATGTCTCTCTGTCGTGTTTCTTGTAGGTTAAACTTAATCAACAGTAATACTTATACTTTTATTCTGGTTGCATACAAAAAGAATAGATAATAGTATTTTATATAAATGTATGTGTGAAGAGAAACTCAAGGCCACCCCTGGAGAAGTTTGGGCACCCCACTCAAAAAGTCTGGCACCGCCCCTGGTTCTAATTCTTGCAGTGGCAGCCATCATGAATGGGCCTCTGTGTCCCAAACAATAACAAAAAGATCTTGTTTCTTTTCCAGTGAAAGTTCAAGATTATGTGTTCCTCTTTCGAGAACAGTGAGAGGTTTCATCATCTCTAGCTTTAGCCTACGAGAACATCTCAAACACATGAGATCTTTGTGCGTTTTTGTTGTGTGGTGGTAGCTAAGAACAGCGTTGCCAGTGTTTGATGAAGTGGGTCTGGACTGGCGGTCCTTGCTGAGGACGGCTGGAGGACATCGCACTCATTGTGATAATAAAAGAGGTGACTGTAATCCTTTTTCCGTCCTCTCCTTGTCTTTCCGTCCCGCAGTCGTAAAACGTGTCCACATGCATCTCCCTCTCCCTCCATCATTTATAATCCTGTTGTTTTTCAGCTGCAGATAAAAACAGAGTAAACAGGAAGATCTTACCCTCTCTCTGTCCTGAGCCATCAGGTGCATCAGGACGGCTGCTCGGCTGATTGGGCTCTGCCGGAGCGGTGGGTTGAGAGGTAGCTGCCAAATATCGATTTCCTGCGAGCCTCTGACCTTTACAAGAGCAGGCGTAGATTTAAAGCTGCTTGTCCAATCCATGTAATAATATTATCTGTGCTGCTGTTCAGCCTTCTGCCGGGTTTCTGCACAATATTGACTCAAGCTGATTATGAGAGGAGAGTATCTTGACTAAATCTCCTGCTGCACGCCAGAAGGAAGGCTGAAATAATAAATTGGAGGTAAAATTAGAAAGTCAGTGTTACTTTTGGAGGAAAAGTCACATTAGTTCATGCATGCTCTCATTATTGAGCCAGAGAGAGCAGGTGTTAGTTATGTCTGGACCTGCTCTTCATAAAACAGTCAGTCGATGGAGCTTTCCCCCTCCCTCATCCCTGTTTTTTATCTGTCCTTGAAGCAGGAGCATCACCATCATCTCCATCCCCGGCCTCCACTTTTGTCCTCGGAGGAATTATGGGCTTGTCTGTCACTTTCTCAGCTTCGGCTGCTTTATCTGTAATCTCTCTGAGCGAGACAGGGAGAAAACAAGCTCCAGACAATCAGCTGACAGCTTTTAAATAATCACCATCCCTGCTGATATTTCAACTTTTTATAGTCACGAGTTAAAATTAGATCTTCTCAGACATTAAAAACAACACTTCATTTTTTTGCAGAATTCCATTTTCGTCTTCATTAGAAATGTTTCCTACATTTCCCAGAATTCAACTTGGCCACAGGGACAACCTCTAGGACAACCAGTTTAACTTCTGACTGTTGACACTGTGGCAAAAAAAAAGTTTGTTTTCTGTTTCAGGCTGGTCTCAAGAATTAAAGATATTGATAATTATAGTGGGCACAGATTTGGGAGGGGCCTGAGGAGCTACTGGATTCCAACCACCCCTCATAAGGAGAAGTGGAGCTAGAATCCGTCCTGCAATCCGTGCAGTGGCAGCAGAGCTAATATAACAGTACTGATAAGTGCTGCAAGATTGAAAGCTGTGGCTGTTTTTGTTTAAAAGAGGAGATATAGCGCCGAAAGAGGACAGAAAATATCAACATGAATATCATGAATCGTATAATTTTTATTAGCATAAGTACCCAGTCATTGCTTTACCTTCAAACTCATAGTCTTAAGACCGTACATTTTATAAAACATAGACGTAATTAAGAGAGATGTCACAGTACAAGTGCGCTACTGACTGAATTTGCGCAAAGCATACCGAGTTTATCCAAACAATTTGTTTACCAGAGAACAAAGAAGAACCCAAACCTTACTTATTTTCCACTGAGCAATAGACGGCTATTAGACATTTAGTTTTTTTTAGACCTAATTTTAATGTCTAGATTCTGTTTATTTTTAGACGGAATTTAGATGTTGCACTTTAACCCATTATTCAATAACTATTGATTTCAAAAAGCAACTGTGAGTTGCATAACTGATCTCCAAGTACATAACCAAAATAGTTATGATAGCTGTTAAGCAATATATGGTGTAGTATAAATATAGCCCAGATTTAGACTTGGTCTAAACTTGGTCTAAATTTAGACGTCTAAAAATCTTTCATTTTTAGACCTGTGGTAGCCTGACTTTAGACCAGTCGTCCAGGCTTCATGTAGATGTCCATTAGACCTCTTTTAGACCAAAGATAAGATGGATCGCAGACATCATGAGCAAGAGTGTAAACCAAGTCTGTTTTGATTTAAAAACAGAAAAATCATAATCTGTTCACTGGGGACAATGTGCAGGACTGGTAGCACCTCATTGCTGTTGTCACAGTAGCTGCACCCCTGAAGTCCTTTTGCCCTAGACCAGGTCCATAAAGCAGACTTGTGAAATAACTCCAGTGCACATTGGCACTTATGAAATTTCTACATCTATTGTGACAGCAGCAGGGGATTCTGTGTTAAAACATAGGGTTCATTTTCCGCATTTTTGTGGGATCATGTCGGTTTTAGAAAACCTGTTATGACTCCTGGCCTTCCGCCCACAGTCGAGCGTCTGTTCGGTGGCTGATTCTAATTTCCTTCTCTGTGTTTTAAGTCGACTGAAGGTCACCGAGGAGGAACACTTCCCTTTCTCGTCCGCTGTCTCATTCCTGCAGTACAGACACCTCCTGAGCTGCTGCACTCTTCTACTCTTAATTTATTAAATGTGTAGGTCACGTAAGAGAGCAGAGCACCAAACTTTTTTAGGAGTTCAATTACTTTCACATCACTATCAATACGCCATAATGCCTCCTGTTCACTTTCCCTTTTGGGGGAGCTATCGTCACACCTGACATTTTAATCTCCTGGATGTCATAAACCCGTTTTTGTCTGCGTTAACTGCTCCTTCTTCACGCCTCTCCTGCGAGTCTTCTGTGGTCCGTGTGTGTGTGTAGCGCCGGATGAAGGCGAGCACAGGGAACAGTTAATGAGCTGAGTAAATGTGTAGATAAAACTGCAGGACTCCCACAGTTTCTACCACATCTGCCTCCAGTGTGTGAATGCTAATTGCTGCAGAGTAACACCAACACGAGCCTCTTACACACCGGTCGTATAGGTTATCCGATCTCCTCTCTTGCAATAATTACAGGGTCAATTACTCCGACATCATACGCTCAGGTTTTTTAGCGCAAACAGGCAGAGAGTGGCAGTAACTGCCCGTCCAGAAATATAGCATGGACACAACCGGACGCCCTCAGTGCGCCCTTCATAACAACGAAGTAGGATGCATTTGTATTGGGAATATCTGAAAAGGATGCTCCGCTGTGGGTTACTCAGACATAAAGAAGTATTTTTCTGACATCTATCTCGTGTTGAAACCTCCACCTGTTTTTCAAGTGTCAGCAAACTCATCAAATCAAAACCAGACTCCACATGAAGACCAGACACGACTCAAACAGGTGCACACTCTGCAGCTCACACACACACGCTGTCTAATTTTAGCTCCAATGAATCAGTTCAAACCTCATCTTCTGCGCTGATAAATGAAATTAATCTACTGTCCTGCCTGTCATCTCCTCTCACTGCGCAGCTCTCTCTCTCTCTCTCTCTCTCAGAGTCCGTCTTCATCACAGAAGTGATTGGAGTTTCTACATAAAGCCCGACTAATTGATTTAGCCCAGAATCCTCTCTGTGCGTTAGCTAGTCAGGCTGATTTTTTTTTCAGGCGTGTGACCTCGGAGCTGCTGCTTTCTAAAATGAGCATGAAATGAGATGACTAATCCTCTTCAATTACTCACTCCCGCCAAAAACTGTGATTTTTGTGAAGGAATTTACAGAGTGTTGAAGCGGGTTTTTGGAGTAATGGTCGTGTTTTATTTGAACACGCTGAGCAGGTTTAAATGACTGATTTATCAGCGATAAATTGATGATTGGATGACATTGAGGCCTGTCAAAAACAGCTGTGGAGTAAACTGAGGTGTGATCTTTTCACCATTAAACCGTCAAAAAAGAAGATGGAAACCTTCCTGCCATGTCAACCCTGTCTGTTTTTCACAGTTCTTCATTTCAGGTTCTTCCTCACTTTTTTCTTCAAGGCTTTTTGAATTGCACTCAGTTTTTATAAACCTACTTTAAGGATACTGTAGTATCTCAAAGCGTCAAAAAGTCCATTTGTTTTTGCTCCACTGGCAGTTTCTCATTAACAGGAGCTGACAGACTAATATCTACCACAGCTAAAACAATTCCTGATGACATCTAACTCATACAACTTGACCTCAAAAGCACTGAAACGTTCCTTTAATAGACCAGTCTGACCTTTTGAACCCCAGTTTTTACTTTTTTTATCTTAATGTGATTCTGTATCCAGTTTTTCTCGACTCTTACTTCCAAAATTAAGTAGAATTTGACGACTTTCATAGAATGATACTCTTGTTACGCCGATGATACTCTCGTATTTCTCTAAGAAAACTGAAAACCTGAATCAACTGTCTGCTCTTTGCTTTAATGTTATAAAAATTGCATATCCTCATCATTTCATACTGTTGATTGGTCCAGACACTGATAAGCCTTCAAGGATAAGAAGTTCTTGTGACTCACGATAAGTTTGATCCTCTATTTGTTGGTATTTTACCATCAAAAATGTCTACGAATGACCTTTACATGAAAAAGCCGCTCCTTCCTCTCCAGAGCCACCAATGTGTGTTAAACTGACTGAAATCATGCCGACGGTGTGATCCGGAAACATGAACAACATAACCATCTTTGACCTTTAAGGTAACCTGCAGTGTTTTGAGGCTCATGTTGTGTTCAAATGCTGTGGTCTGGCTCCCCCTGGTGCTCGCTGCGAACCTCTTTAGGACAACAGATCCTTGCTTATTAAAATATTCAGTAGTCACAGTTCGCCCCGCACATTTTCATGCCTCTCTTTGTATCCCTGATCATCGCCGTCGGCTCGGGTCGCCCTCCACGCCGCTCTGAGGCTTCAGGGAGTGGCCGGCTAATCACAGCGAGATGCCCATCCTATTTCCACTTTTCACACTCACTCAAGTTAGCTGCGGGGGAGGGCTTGGCAAGGTTGTAGACAAGGGAGGTCTGCAGTTTCCAACGCACTCCCTCGTCTCAGCGCTGCAGCAGGTCAGACAAGGTGACGGCTCCCTGCTGACTGTGATTCATGGGTGTGCTCGGCGGCATTTAATGAGAGAGTAACTCAAGCCTTTTATCACAGCGAGGGCTGAAATAACAAATGAGCAGCGGAGGGAAGACGGAGATGTGTTAGGACTGATCCGGTGTGCGCTCCACTGTTCATTTTATAATAGAGGTTAAATACGTCAGAGGAGACGCTGCTTTTTTAGACAAATAATGGAACTGAGAGCATCATCTGCAGCATATCATCTCATTTAAAGATCCAGGAACTACGGGGAAGTCTGTGCAAAAGGGACAAGGACAAAAATAAACATAGTTTGACATTTTTTTTGGACGCTGCATCAATCAGTCTAAAAAAAGAGAGGCGACACCTTCAAAAGCCAGTTTCCCTGACAGTGTGAGGATGCTTAAACATTTACCAAATATACAGGTTTTGGGGCTACTTATGCTGCCGATTTCAAGAGAGGCCTTTCACAATACAGGGATGGACACTGGCCTGGACAGAAAGTTCCTCACAGGAGCTTTAAATGACTTGCAAAACATCAAATAACAGAATCTAGACTTTTTGGAAATGATCAAACTCAGAAAAATTGGTAAAAAGACTTCTAAAATCTCATTGTAGAATATATGAAATTCCGATGCAGGATTTTCTGACGTGTCTTTCTTGTTGCTTGGAAACATATAAGGAGTTCGATTCCCAAAGGTCCTGCTCTCCCTCAGGTTTCCTTCCCCACCTCCAAGGGGTGTTGCAGATGTTCAGATGGACCATCAGTGGAGGTGGAGTGTTGGCACGCTCACATTCAGACATTAATCTTACTTATTCGGTGTAATTAAAGAGGACTTGAACATTACACTGACTCATATGTGTCTTTTTGTTGCTGGTCCTCTCCTCCTCACCAGCTTTGTTTTTGAGTCTGGGCGGAGCTGCAGCTTTATTGACAGAAACTGAGAGTGGTGCTCCAACCTCGTTAGTCATGTCAAGCAGTTCATGTAAAAAACACCAAGAAGCATCGTTGTTTTTACCAAAAAAGCTGCATGAGACTCGCACCTTCAACTGCGATAACATGCAGAGTCGCTCAACTTACAGATCAGGAGTTCAAGTTCTGTTTGCGCCGGCTGATACCTTGATACCTTCAGTCCGTCCTCTGCTCAGATTTCCATCTGACCTGGTTCAGGTTTAGCCAATCAAAATCAAATCTGACAGTTTTTTTCATGTGGAATCGACAAACTGAGCGCCTCATTTAACCTCAATAAACTTGGTCTTTAAAACAAAATCAACACATATTTATGATTGATTAAATAAAACTCAGCCTTTGGATGATGTGGTGTATCATATTAGCTCATGATAACAGGTAGGTGAAAAGCAGCAGCAGCAGCAGTAGTCACTTCCTGAGGACAGTGTTTTTGGAGAGGACCGAAATAGAAGCTTCATGTTTTATTTAGCAGACAGCAGACAGACGGCCAAACCTGAGCTGACAGTTAAATGCACCGCACGTAATTAAAGAGGGAGAGAAAAAAAAGTCTGAAACAGCTGCCAAATGACTGAAACCCTCCGGTATAAAAGCAATTTGTAGATTAACTGCAGGAAAGTGGATTAAAGTGCAGATGAAATAAGAGATTTTGACTTAAACGGCCATGTCTACTGTTGAACTGAAGGTTTCTGTAAAGTCCAGATAAAATGATGAGACGGATAATCACACAAACGGTTCGTACCTGCAAGATACTGGAGGTACAGCGACGGCATAAGAGAGGGGTGCACAGGCTGATATGTATTGATTTGATCCAGGCAATGAAATAATAAATAATAATAATAATACATTTTATCTGTAGTGCCCTTTACATCAAGAGATCTCAAAGAGCTACATCTTAAAAGCAAAGAAATATCACAATGAAGGAATATAAAAACAGGTTAGCAGTTAAAAACGAGATTAAAAGAGCAAGATAAGCAGGTTACAAATTACACAGTTTACACAAATGCTGCAAATGTCCATCTAATATTTACGCTACAAACAATTGGCTGCTGGAAGAGAGTAGGTGAGTTGTGTTTAGTCTCTTTGCTAAAGAAATTAGCAAAGCTAAAAAGATGTTTTGTGGCTAATACTATGGCTGCAACCATATATGTCCTGTTGATGAAGTTAGGTGCTGTTCTGAGCATTATTTGTGGCTATAGAGTGGCGTTTTGGTTGAGCGCATGGCTCTCTGTATTGCTATTGTGTGGTCGTTACTAAAGTTGGTATAACTGGAGAAGCAAGCGGTCGGCAACATTCATCTCGTGTTACGGTGTGTTTGACCCTAAATTATACGCCAGAATATCCCTTTAAGCATTTTGAGGACAAGATAATACAAGACTCCTTTGTCCGCAGAAACTAGCAGGAGCCAAAAGTTCCTCACAGGAGCTTTAATTAAGAGACAAGGAAAAGGTTACATAAAATACTTGCACATGGTTAAAAAATTGTTTAAAAATACAAAGGAAGTCCAAAAACTTTGGCTTTACTTTAAGTTTATATCATACTAAATCAATTCAATATACAGACAACCACTCAAAACAAAATCACACCTACAGGCAATTTAGGCACACCAATAAACAGGATAGGCATGTCTTTAGACTGCAGGAGGAACCAAGAGTATTTAAGGACAACCCTGGTATGTACCGCAAACTTCAGACTCCAAACACAGGCTGTTTTCTGTCATACCTGCTCCTTTACATCAGTTACAGGCATTGAAAATTACATTAAATAAATCTGTCAATCAATTCAAAAACCCCTCACTGGAGCTTTAATGTCAGGATAGTGAAAACATTATAAAAATAGTCAGTACAGTATTTTGTGTCAATCTTGATCTTTTTAATACACTGGATGACATCTAAATTAAACTAATCAAACATAATTCCCCTCGTGTTTCAGGTGTGGTGTGTCACAGAGAGGACGATAAGTTGAAACGCCCTCATGATGCTCCTGGAAATGGGATCGCTTCGTGTTGCGCGCTGCTTCCAGACATTACGGCAGCAGAGTCCTCAGGTAGAGATGCAGGTGAGTGACAGGTGAGAGACATGTGGCGTCGTGAGTGAAGGACCGCGATAGCAAAGGGGAAAGTAAAGAGTGGATTATTTCGTGAGCCGGCCGGCTCGGGAATGGATGTGAGGGTTCGAGGAGGATATTAGCCGAGCATAAGGTAAAATTTACGGTATTATCCTTACCAGTAAACTGCATGTACCGCGGTAATGTTAATAGATTTGTCATTTATTTAACAGTTTTAATGTAAAATTTTCAATTAGCTGATTCATTTTTGGGGATAAAAACGTTTTTTTTACTCTAAATTTATGCAGGTTTAAACTTTTAAAATGATGACATGAATGATGACAACCTGAGAAACTCGTTTGGTTAGCTAGGAAATATTTCTCAGACAATTCATATTCAAGACTACAGACAGGCCTCCTGAAAAACAAGTAGAATAAAATCATAATTCATCTACTGAAATGTAAGAATATCTCCAAGTTTGTTAAAAAAGTAGGCTACTTCATCTATTATGAATAAGTGAATATATTAAGCAAGGTAATATAGTTATGGCTGTTTGTGCAAATTATGTCCTTGACCACCAGGTGGATATCCTGAGGACTATTACTAATAAAATAAACTAATACCATTTACCTAAATATAGATCAAGAATGCAAAACAAATTTCTACATGAGTCCAAATTTGCCCAAAAAAATCAAGTTTATGTTGGTAAAATGTGCGTAAAATATTGTAAAACTGTTAAAAGTAACAACATTTAAAAGCAGTAGTGAGACATTTTTCTTATATTTCCTCTTCTGGTAATCTTCATCATCCATAAAATGCTGTTATTCTTGTAATTTATGCCCTTTTATTTTCTATGATGGATGATCTTTTTGTCCTCTGCTGTTATAATCCTTTTTTTTAAATTCTACTTTGTCTCACAAAACTGTCTGTAAAGTTTTTAAATTAGGTTTTTAATCCTGCAAAAGAAGTTTGGGAAACTTTTTAAATCAGGCAAACTTTGAAGCACATTAATTGATAGTCCAGATACATTACTGTGCAGTACTTTTTGTCCAAAATACAAGTACTATATACCCAAAAGAGAGGGCTGATACCACCTGCATAATGAAAGTTAAACATATAATCAAAATTAAACATCGTTCACATCTGCAGGAGTTCATTAGAAGTTCCATCCACTTGAAGTACGAGCTGATTCAGGCTTTTTCGTCAAAGTAACGTTAGTCAAGTCAATGTTTATTTATAAAGCACCTTTAAAAGACAGCAGTCAAACAAAGTGCTGTACATGGGATAAATAAAAGAAGTAAATAAATGGATAACAATGAAAATAAAATTAAAAACAGTAGAATAAAATACAGACAGTAAAAGAATAAAAGCTACAGAGCCTCGGATTCCTGTGTGCTCATGTATTCAAACCAAGGTGGGTCTTTCAAGATGATTTAAAAGACCCTAAGGTCTGAGAGGCTCTAATATGGCAGCAGGTAAACTTCCACAGTCTAGGGGCAAACGCTGAAAAAACCCCGTCACCTCTAGACTAGAGTCTGGTTTTCAGGCATCCAACAATAACTGGTCCCAGGACCTTCAGGCTCTGGCTGGGGGGTGGTGATACAGGAGCTCGGACAGGTAAGGAGGTGCGAGACCAGTGAGGACTTTAAAAACGATCAAAAACGGGAGCCAGTGAGGGGTCATTAAAATAGGAGTTATGTGGTCGCGCACGTTAAAGGTCATCCGTTAACAGTTCTTCTCTAAACCCCTTAGCACATATATGGAGCTGTGCGGTCCCAACATGAGCGAGGGTGGCGGCTCTCTGTGCCAGGTGAAGCAGCTCCCCCGCCACACCGTCCCCCTCTGTCGCCTGCAGGCCGGGGGACACCAAATGCACAACTCCCCTCACCTCACCCAACAGCCCTGGGTCAACCACCCGGCCCCGGCGATCGCCTCCAGCCCCCCTGTGACCGTCCGCCACAGGGTGAACGGCGCCATGGCGTCCAGCTGCAGCAGCCCGGAGTGTGCGGCCTCCAGAGTGGGAGAGGAGGCAGGTCTGGCTCAGGGGGGCTCAGCAGGGAAGGTGGTGGTGACGGGGGGAGGGGGGTACTTTGGTTTCAGGCTAGGGAGAGAGCTGGCCAGTCAGGGGATGACAGTGATCCTCCTGGACATGAGGAAGCCCCCCTGTGAAATTCCGGAAGGAGCTTTCTTCTACCAGGTATCTACTGCGTCTCCTCACCGCACCACTACAACCGAAAATTAAATAAAATGCAGAAATTACAGGAAGGCCTTTGGAGCGTGCAGGTTTGCAGGATTTTTGAGTTCAAACCCAACAGCTCTCCTTCTCCTCGCGCCGCTCCACACAGACTTGAAAACCGAGTCTAGTGTGTCAGAGCTTCAGTCGGTGTCAGTGGGTTTCCTCTGGTCAGTCTGCATGCTGGCTGGAAACAGACACAGGTGAGTGATCCACGTCTGAGCGCCAGCTGCTGACTGGGTCACAGAGGGTGGAGACATGATTCAGGTTTCACCTGCGGGCCTCGTGGCACACTTACCTTAATTATACGTGTCCTCTAATGGGATCTTTGTTGACTCACTTCGCCTCATAGACTCGGTCAGAAAACTTACATGTCTGGACATGAATAATTTGTAAATCTAAGAGATAAACCGTGAAACAGCTTTTCTATCATCTCATATTGACTGAGTGAGTGTTTTGAGTTTGTAAAATTAAAGCGAGGTCATTTTTATTTCTGTTTTTTTTTTAACAGAGTGACATTAGGGACTATCCTTCACTCAACAAAGTGTGTGAAGGTGTCGACTGTATATTCCACACGGCCTCTTACGGCATGTCCGGACCAGAACAGGTGACCCTCCTGCATTTCTTATTCAGCTGATTTTCAACACTGAATTATTGACAGAGACAGATAAACGAGGTGATGGACTGAGGTCAACACAGACGGTTTGTTTTAGTGGGAAAATAAAATAAAAAACAGTTAGTTTTATTATCAGATATTTACAGTCTCCAGGTCACCAGGTTAGGGCAGGGATGGCTGACAACAAAGAGCTACAGGTTGGATTTAATGATGACCTGCTGCTTAAATGCATGAAAAGATGTAAAGAAACGTCAGTATCTGAGTTTGTGGTGAAGAAGTGACATTTTTTCTTCTCGTCTTTCTTTGTTTCTGCCAGTTAGAGAAAGATCAAGTTGAGTCAGTCAATGTTGGAGGGACGATTAATGTCATAAATGGTAAGAGATGTATTAATGAGTTTTGAAATTTGATTTAATTTGACTTTTCATTTGATTTCTTAACATTTGATTTTTTAATAATCATTTACTCACTTTAAATTGAATAAAGCTCTCGTAAACATATTGTCATCAAGCAATCGTCCCTTTTCTGATAGTTTATGGTATGACCCATATTCATTCACATAAAATAAGAGTAAAACTGTTGGATGTTGAGTTGACTCTCCTGCTGGATCGTCTCTGTTTCAGTGTGTAAGGAGAGGAGCATCCCCAGGCTGGTCTACACCAGCACCATCAACGTGGTGTTTGCAGGGAAACCAATAGACGAGGGTGATGAGGCCTCCGTGCCGTACGTTCCTCCTGATGCAGTGAGTAAAAAAGTATAAATATAAATGAACTATATCAACTGAGATGCTCCACAGAGATATTCTGACAAGAGTCGCATCCACCTGTTAAAAGCTTTCACTCACTTTTAGTCCTGCAGAGAGTCTTATAACAAAACCATGTTCCTTTTTGTGTCGCAGCACATCGACCACTACTCAAGGACTAAATCGATGGCAGAGCAGATGGTCCTCTCTGCTAACGGCTGCATCCTGAAAGGTGAGAAACAAACAGACGTGCTCTCCTGACATTTTTCAGATCGTTTAAGGACATTCAGGTCCTGATATTTTGAAGAACTTTACTCAGATACTTATCAGCAGGAGATTTTCACTGTTAGGCGTGCTCTCAGGTTAAACAGGTGACCTGAATTTTTCCAGAATTTTACTTTTTAGGTCGTTTTGTGAACATGACCAAGAATTTACAAGAATAAAGAGATAAAATTGGAAGATTAAGTTCTATATTCATGAGAAAACAGTCATAATCATCGTCTACAGTGTGCCAACAGAGCAGCCATTTACAAAATGATGAACTTGGAGCATCTCGTGGCATCGTACTTTTGTTCAGGTTTCATAATCAACTGACTATCAAAGCTTTTAGTCTCTTTCTGAATCGATTTCACAAGAAGCTGAACTTATTCTGAGAAACAGGTGGTCAGAGGACACTTCTGCAAACACTGGTGGTCCTCAGCCGTTCAGTGCAAGCACCTCTGATATCACTGTGATACACATTAACCTTCAATTATGACTTCTGTCTCATAAAACAACCTACAATTTTAATCCTTTGAACTTGTAAATTTATAACTTTTTTCTTGTGCATTTACTCATAATTGTTGTATTTTCTTGAATCTTTAAGTGGTCCTAATCATTTCTTTGTGCATCGAGTCAGTCCTGACTTCTCGCACGAATTTTTCCACAAAGTTTGGGTAAATAATCCGTCCATTCGCAGCTTCTTGATTTACTATTTTTTATGCCTGATCAGTATTTTCTCAGAATTCTCATTTCAAAGTCAGACAAATCCATACCTATTAAAGAAGTTTTCAGCGTCCCTCGTGCTCTTCTGTGGATTTTCCATCAGTAGGAGATTACCACGATTGCTACTGCATCTGTGTAAAGCAAACAGAGGCATCGGTTGCCATAGAAACTAGAGCTGCAGTGATGCAAGTTTAAGTAAAGAGCGTGACAGACCAGTGTGAGTATGTTGTGCAGCAGTCCCATGCACTTTGATTCATACATAAAAGCGTTCGAACCATTTTCAATCACAAACGTGTTTTTAATTATTAGATTATATTTAAAAAATAAGGCGAGATAAGGCAGCTGAGACGAGAGGACTGGCGCTAACACACAACAACATATCGTACAGAAATAAGGACAAGAGAGTCTGGTGTGTGAGGGAGTGTAAGGGCACTTAAACAGAGCGGGGCACACCTCACACAGGCACTTTGAGGTCACTTATGAGCGACACAAAGATAACAGACACACATGAAAACATAACGGCACGAAGAAACAGCGTGAAAAAGTTTTCAGCTCTCCACATAGAGACACAAAGTTTCCCTGAGCCAGTGTAACCAAACTCCCTCCATCAGCAGCCGTCTACTTATACATTCAATTAAGCCTCCAGCTGGGACCTGTATCATTATATACTGCAGGTCTAAGTTCAGGTATCTGCTACACAAGGATGAGGTAGATGCCTGAGGATCCTGCCGCTGACGTAAAGTTCGTCTCATGATACGTTCTGTTAATTAAGTTTTTTGTGTTCCTGTTCCCCGGTAGTCTTGTCTTGTCACTTTTCAGTGTTTCCTGTTTTATTTTGTAGTAGTCCATCCTTGTGTGTATATTCTGGTTTTACTTCAAATGCTTCTAATCTGAATAAAACTTGGTGAATGTATACGCATGTCATGATCGGATTATTTGATTTTGCGCCCATGTAAACAGCGGATTCAGATTTTCTGATCCCTCAAATCTTTAATCGGATTAAGAAATTTTGCCCATGTAAACGAGGATTCTCTCAAAAAGAACCAACCAAAACACTTGGGAAAAAAACACACACAGAATATAAACTCAGTATAACAAAAACTGAAGGGAAAAGCTTAATTAATGGAACATATCATGACAGTTCGCTCCTGTATATGTTATGCTTTATGAATAATGTCATGTCCTGAAGGTGGCGGTCTACTTCGAACCTGCGTCCTGCGGCCTTGTGGGATCTACGGACCAGAAGAGAGGAGACACCTTCACAGAGTGATGGTGAGAGATAAACACACACGTATATAAATGTATAAAGAGTGAGTGAGTATGAGAGAGAGAGAGAGAGTCGTGGGCTATAGATAGACGTCTTTTGTGTCGGTGCTGGAAAAAGAAAAGTATACATCCTGCAGCGTCTGAATTGCAGAATGTGTATCTGCCTGCAGAGTTTACATTATTGATAAAGCTCTCCAGAGATCTAGTTTCAGGCACCTGTTCACCCAGTCTGCCCTTTATAGGCAGCAGAGCAGGCTGCTGACACGCTGTATGCTGTTGATATGTTCCGGGTTCACTGTCGGCCAAGTTGCCAACATGTATATTACATTTTTGAATAATGTATAACAGCTCACAGCCTGTAGTTTTATAGGAGTGTGCAGCAAATATGTTAAAGTTAGTGAGTGATTTCTAACTTTCCATTAACTGTAAAGTCCATTTTTGTCCTTCCTCTCTCCGTCCCTCAGGTGAACGTGGAGCAGCGGTTATTTACCTTCAGGTTTGGGGACCCCCGCGCCAGGATGAACTGGGTGCACGTGGATAACCTGGTGAAGGCCCACACGCTGGCAGCCGAGGCGCTCACGCTGCAGAGGAGCTGCGTCGCTGTGAGTCAGGACGAACGTCATCTAAACCAACTCGAAAACAAGATAATCGTCCAACACTTGCGTCCTCTATCGCCTTTATTTTCTGAATGAAGACAGTGAAGGGTGACGCGCTGTTTTGTTTTGCAGAGTGGACAAACTTATTTCATCAACGATGGCATTTCAGTCAATCTCTTTGAGTGGTTGACCCCACTGGTGAGTTTTATGAAGTCAGGGATTTTAAAGGCGTGATATAGTTTATTTTAGTGTTACTGATGAAAGACGATATGTGTCACAAATAAGTCACAGAGTTGCATTTGGGAATATATTTCAGGAACTTAGAGACGCTCTCACCTGCTTTGCTGTCATTGCACAGATTGCAGGACAGGATTTTGACCCTTAACTCTCATTATTTCCCGACTCTTGATAGAAATTCACATTTTTGCCACAGTGTCAACAGGCAAAGGTGAAATATGCCGCTTTTTTTTAATTTTAGTAAATTTAAGGAGCGTGAGCAGAGTTAGGTATCTAACATGGTGGGCTTTAATTGTAAAAAAAACAGCTATTGTTTGTTTTTGTTTTAAAAATACTCAGAAATACAGAGTGTGTGTTTATCTGCAGCTGTAAATACTCCACAACATGTACAGTTTTTAATATTTTTGTGCATTTCCCCCCTAAAATACAGGTATTTCCTGTTATTGATTCAAAAATGAAGTGTACACTAAAACATTTGTTTCTGTTTCATGTTATTTTTGCAGTTTGAAAAGCTAGGATACAGCAGACCCTCGATAAACCTGCCCGTATCACTCGTCTACTCAGCAGGTATCGTCATCTCCTTTCTTTAAAATCCCCACACCTCTGACGTATTCCTTTCATCGCGTTTCTTAACAAAACTTGTATTTTTCCCTCTTTATTCAGCGATCCTGGTGGAATATTTGCACATATTTCTGAGACCCGTTATCGAAGTGCCCCTCCTCTTTACCAGAAGTGAGGTAAGTGTGCCACCTCTGAATCCAAACTTGATATTTTCTCTCACCACAGGCCGCTGCTCCTGTCTGACCTGTCTGAACTAAGTGTGAGATGCATTATGGATTAGGTGTCTATAGTGTGGAGCTGTGTGTGAATGTATGCGTGCACATGTACCTGCCTAATTGAAAGTACGGGGATAAGTTACCTACTCTCAGATGAGCGGATTCTTGTTTAAGTCTCGACACTGAAGACAGACTTCATTAGGACAGGTATTTTCCTATCCTCCCTACCCCTCTCTCTCTCTCTCTCTCTCCTGATGTTATCTCTCATCCATTAATTATAGAAAATGAAAGTAAGCCTCAGGGAATTCAGAAATAGCTGTAAATTATAAAACCAGCAGAAGCACTACAGCATGTCTGCTCTGCCTTTGAAAAACAGAAAAAGTCTGATGTGTCAGATTCGAGGGCGGTTGGTTGTAATCCTGTCCGGGGGAGGCCTTCGTCGTACATCTTAAGGAGCCTCCGTCGTCCTGGCCGCTAAGGTCCTCATGAATGTGTGATGAGGCAGAAACCAAAGCTGAGCCCGTGGGCCTGCACCTGCAGCTCACTCTGTCAGACAGCTGCTGCTCGGGGGATCGATGAACGCCCCATGAATAAAACATCAACGGTGATGGGTCAGAACAGGAAGTTCAGGAGGAGTTTTGCAGGAAGTGAATTCAGTACAGTGGCTGTTGCCATGGTGAATATAAAACAACGAATCTACTTTTAATCAGCAGCTGGAAATCATCCTGAATAGATCAAGTATTTATTTCTGTTTGAATGAGATGAATGAATTCTTCTCAGAGGTCATAGTTTTACATTCTGATGCCTGTTCCTGCATTATCTTACCGCCTGGGTGTTCGGTGTCGGCATGTAGAGTACACATGAGGACAGGAGAGGGAGGAGATGAGTTCCTCGAAGCAGTTTTTCAGCTTTTCAGTTTCTCACGTTTCTCCTTCTACGTCAAACCGCTTCATTCGGCACACGCCTTTTATGAAACATCCCTGAAGCTCTGCGGTATGACTCATGACGAATCGCTGTACCAGTTTATCATCATAGTTGAGAAGCCTCACAATCACACACGGCTGAATCCTGCTCATCCTGTCTGACCTGAAGATTATCCTGATATAACTTTGCCTCTTTACCGTCCGGTTGTTGCACGCTTTCTTTTTGGATGTATGTTTATTAAATTTTTCCAGAAACAAAAAAGAACACATGATAAATAAAAAGCAAGAGATTCAGGGGTCATCTTATATGAATAAAATAGGTAAGTACAATAAAAGTGAAATAAATCAAGTGCATAATAGGTTCATATATTCAAAGAAAGGTACATAGAAGCAAGAGCATTAATGAAATAAGACGTCATTTTTTAAGGCGGCATGTTCAAAGCTATGATAGAAACCCTCTCGTGAAAATGGTAAAGATATTTAAACCAACATATGACAGAAAGAGCTCCCAAGTTTTACGGAACATGTCATCTTTGCTGTGTAGTTTACATGTCAGATAGTCCAATGCAACATATTTAAGAGTCACCCTTTGCCACTGAGCCTTGGATGGGACTATATCCACTATCCAGTTTAAGAGAATACACTTTCTAGAGCAGAACGCAAGTGTTCGATGGAGTTTCCTTCTAAATTTATCAGTGATGGACAGATCAAATATGCCAAGTAGCAGACATAAAGGATTATTATTTGTCTTAGTTGATAGAATCTTATTGATTTCTTGTTCAATGACTTGCCAGAACTGTTGTATTTTCCAGCAATACCACAAACAATTTCTATTTTACATTTGGGGCACAGTGGAGATGAATTAGAATTAAATTTATGACGCTAGGAAGGAGAAATATGAACACTCAGCGTTTTGTGCTCTTCCTTGCATACTTTCTGACTTTCCCTCTCTTTTGATGGCACTCAGATTTATATTCTGTCATTCCTACTGAGGATAACAGTCTTCAGATATATCTTGATGAAATAATTGGTGAAATAATTCCCTATAGAAGCCATATGCCTGCTTTAAACTGAACTTTTACTAACAAAAACTCTCCGTCTTTTATTACAGGTGAGGAACATAGCGGTGAACCACACCTTTAAGATTGATAAGGCCCGTCAAGAGCTGGGTTACTGTCCAAAGTCCTACGACCTAGCGGACTCCGTGGAGCAGTACCTGAAGTCCAGACAGCTGAGCGCTAACTCACCTCCACTCAGACCCTCCTGGATCTCCCAGCTCCCCCGGCACCTCATTCTGCTGCTGCTCGTGGTTTTCAGCCTAGTTTTACTGATGCTATCCTGCCTCCTCTGTCAGGACTGAACAGTTCTCAGTGGAAATTATTGACTAGATGGACATCAAAACTAATTTACTTGTTTTTTTTTTCTTTTTAAAGAAAACTGTCTGGCTGAGATGCATCAAAAAAGCCATGCATCATGTTGTTTTTGTCCAGTAGTCATGTTAAATTTCCTCACCTCAAATATAAAAATGTCCTGAGATGAACCAGAGTCAGCTGCTTTCTTTAAACTCTTCGATACTGGTGCATGTGTGATTTCAAGAAACTACAAAGCTGCTGGAAAGTATTAATTTTTAGTTGTGTAAATGTTGTGGAATTATCGATTATATTGCAGTTTGATTATGATTGTATTAAAAGACAAATACCCATGTCTGTATTTAAACATTAAAATTTTGATTGATTGTAAGTGTGCTTCCAGGTTCCAAGGTAGAAATATGAACTCATATTTAGAGTTTAGGTAGTATTTAAGTGGTAATTTTGTACACTTTTAGAAATAAAAATATTTACAATTGGTGCCATTGGCATTCTTCTATCTTTAAAATACAAATTATTATTTTAGCTCTGCGCTTCCTCCAGGAGGTCAATCCAAGGACTGTGTTGATATCCAGCTGAACTGTCATACTTCAGGACTGCACTGGTGTTACTGTGCAAGCTGCCACATGAGGGCGCACTTGCTCTTTTTATATCTCATGGCAGTAGAAAGCTGCGCCAAACAACGAGGCAAAGAAGCGGAAATGCATATTTTCAGTAACGCCTCAGTCTGTTGTGTGCTCATGTCAGAAGTGGGGGTTAAAAATGAAAATTCAAATAGTAATGGCAGCGGTGGGATTCGAACCCACGCCATCGAAATGACTGGAGCCTAAATCCAGCGCCTTAGACCACTCGGCCACGCTACCGTATTACATGTAGAAAGTGTACACCTTTAAATCTGTACAACAAAATTCGTATTTAAGCAGATATTTTAGATATGTTTGGGTTATTACATTCTAATTTTGATATTTTATTAAATAAAATGCCATATACAACGACGTCACTTCCTGCTGTTTTACGGCGACGACGTGGGGAACGCGTTTTTATGCTCATATACGGGCTGTCTGATTTCAGTGTGCATTAATTATGGTAAATACTTCTGTTAACTTCCTGAAAGTTGGTGAGGGTGTTATTAAAAGAAAAAAAGGCATCTCTTACATTTATTCCACGAATATCCATCATTGACACACAATTTAACTGCATTTTCTTGCAAATTTCTGTAGTTCACTTCTGCAAACACAATTCTAGATCACACAATCCACCAATGTCATTTTACTAAACTGAGTTTTCTATAAAGGCATGCATATAAAGCCAGATCATTGCTTAGGAGTTATTTTTTCCTTCTTAGTACAGTATCATGACAGAAAACACCACTTAGTTCGCAGAGACCAGCTGTGGATACCTACCTGTAGAGGACAAACCGCCAAGGAGGCGCCCCCCTCGAACACCTGGCGGTTCGTATCCCGCACGACCCAACCTATAGAAGTGTTTATCCGAGTTTGACCGTGTTGGTACCTCATATTCATTAAAGGTGGGAATCCGTTAAAGAAGCATCAATCAATAGCTATTAGTTATTGATGACATTTGGGAGTATAACGATATCGCTGTGTTCTCTTCTGCCTGTGAAGTCAACCGTTTGAAAAATTTAACGGTCCGCTTATTTTGAATTTAAACAAAGCTGTTCTCTGATTGGTTGTAAAGCAGACGTTCCTTCCTTATATTGTGAGGCACGCTCAACGTCCTCGACTAACGTGCGCGAGCCCAAACAAATTTAGCGTGCTACAATAACGAACAGTGGAAACTAACCAGAAAGTACGGAGAATTGTCTGAATCCTTCTTTGTCCACGACTGCCAACACAAGCAAGAAAACGAAGTAAACACCAGAGACTATGGCGGAACAACGGGAGGTAGACCACCAGGACAAGAGCTAAAACGCCGGGTCAACGTCAATGAAGCTAGCATAAACGATGGGGACGCTTTGGGATCTTATGGACCCTGTGATCTTTTTGCTGAACTGGTAAACCGCTTACACTAGGTAAGCCAAGTGTCTGTAACAGAAGTGTTTCTTTTCAAACGGGACCTGCTGCATGTTGTAGAGCCGCTAAGCTGATGTTTTTATATGTACGAACGCTAGATGGCTTACGCACGCTGTCAGCCAATGAAGACCAACGTCCGCGCATGGCGGCCATCTTGCTTCAGGTAACTTGCCCACTCATAACATTCCAGTCTACGGTGCATGTAGCATTTAAATGACCATAGATTGCTTAATTTTAAACCGATTTTCGAACGGTTTGGTTTGTAACAAACCTAAGAGTTTTAGTTATGTTTCTGCAGTTACTCAAGAATCATTTTAACCATAGATTTTCATAAATAAACATTAAACAGATAGGTAGAGCAATAGCTATAGGTTTACACACACAAGACAGTTATATTAAATCATTTAATCATTCGATGTATGTTACATTAGTTATATTTCTATTATAGGGATAACTACAATAACATAATGACATATATGCATTTATTTTCAATATAAATATCTGCCTAATGTTGCCATTTTAGATGTTTTTAACAAACCAAACAGCTTGGAAATCATGTGGAACTTAAGTTATGTTGAATCGAGAGAGTATTTCTGCCTCTCCAACTGATGTAAAATTGCTGGGTCAACTTTCTTGGTCTCACTCACAGTAAGTCTGTTAGCCAAGTTAGACAGCTGGTTAACACAAGCACGTCCACAAAGACTGTCACTTAGACAAAAAAAAAAGGCTGTCATACAAGAAATTAAAATCTTGATTGTGGTCTCAGCCTTGACAACTCGTGCAAAGCAACGCAAAAGTTAGCCCTTGCACACAAATAGCCGTGAAACAACTGTGCTGCACAATTGAGTCTTTTTTTTTTTGTCAAAGAAAAGCTGCCATTTCAATATGACCAAGCATCGCGACTCATAGCCCGGTTATTACGGTATGTAAAAAACAAAACCATTTGTAAATCTGTCAAGATTTCAGCGGGTTAAGAGTATTTTTGATCATGCAGATTACTCACCTCACGTCAGCTACTATAGAGCGTGTCAGAATGGTATACTGGTATGGTATAAAAATCAAAATTTACTGTAAGCTAGTAACTGTAAATTCAGTTTGGGGTTAATGTTTTGGATTGTTATTGTTCTATGATTGATTCCATACACATGATGAAATAGTACTACAACCTTTGTGGACTCACATTTTGTTAAATCTACGCACTAAAGCAGGCTTATGATTGTTTTGCTGATACTTCTGAGTTGTTTCTTCTTATGGTCCTGCCAAAACCTGCCCCATTAGGTAAGTGTGGTATGTAATCTCCTTGTTTGGAGATTTAACGGATTTGGAGCGAGTTGAAAGCTGAATGTAGAAATCTGAGTTATGTAAAACCTAATTATGAGAGGAGACAAAGCCCCATTAATCGTTTACTGGGCCACAGAGTACACTGAGGGATGGATGGGGTTTGCAGAAGAAATGCTGCACGGCAAATACCTTCAGTTTTGACATGATAGTTTCGACTACACCCTGCTGCAAATAAACCTTTTACAATTTTGCCGTGCGATTGAATTTTATGATCATGCCCACAAAGAGAGGACAAGTTGGAGCATCTCTGGAAACACAAACTATGCAGTGTTTATCTCTGCTTCACTACAATGTGTAGAAAACACTGGTGGTACTACACATTTGGACACAATACAGAACAGGATCCTGTATCAAGACTTAACTAGTTAATGGCAGAAACATTTAAAAGCAAAAAAAAAAGGATAACCAAAGAAGGAACATTTCTTTTTTTCATTTTATTTTCAATCATCTGTGTCAGACACAAACTCCACAACCATTAAAATTTAGCTCCTCAGTGTACAGTTTCCTTAAATCCTGCCCACTTACAGCTTCTTTTAATATTTAGCAACAAAGAAAATAAATATAACTTAATTTTCTCATCTTTCATGTCAATAAATAGAATAGAATTGTGATTCACCATAAAAAGTGCAGAGCTGTGTTGTGTCCCACAGGCACTGAGACACTCGTCTGAAGCTGACAGGAACACAAAAACAGTTATCAAAACTCTTATGAACAGTTTTCCAGTTTCCGCCTGATACTTCTCTAAAGACATGCTAATAACCCTCAACTATTTCAACTTACATAAACCAACTCACAGCAGCCATTTAGCGAATTACCATAAACTCTTTAGTTCCTGCATCGCCACCGTTTCTCATCCTATTACAACATTCCAACTTTTGCACCATAAGTCGTACACAACAGCTCCAACTTTTAGCAAAACTCATACAAAAATACAACATGTGCGTTTCGTTTTAAAGCACCTATGAGATCAAGTGTTTACAGGATTAATGTTGCATAAACACTGGGTGCTCTTTGAGAAACAAGCTACACACTGAAAGGTACTTTTTACAAGTCGAAGTCCTGCTGGAGCATTTTAGGATAAAATAAATATCTTCTTATATAAAAAAATCTGTAACATATATCTACATTTGCATGATTATGCTCATTTCACTTTGGAATACATTCTTAGTTTAATAAAAGCTGCAGGCAGAGATTTTATAACTCTTAATTTTTGATGAGGACAGAATAAAAAGAACAGTGTTGACTAACTTAAGCAAAGGTCTATGTGTTTAGGATGTGCAGGGCTGATTGGATTGGCTTGTTACATCTGCATCCCAGGATGTTGAAGAACACCGTTATTTGGCATTGCCCTGGTTGTCATTGTTCTTCTCCACACGTCTGTTCCCGCTGAGGTCCTCTTTGGTCTTATTGATGCGAGTGAAGATCTCGTTGAATAGAGCTTTGTACTCGGGCTGCTGGTCGTCCTCCATGACCAGCATCAGTTCGTCCGTGGTAGAAGAACTGGACAGGCTGCTGCAGGCTCTGCTGCTCACTGAGGGGCTGGTGGGCGTCTGGACGGCTTTATGGCTGAGCCCGTCTGTCGTTTGCTGGCACCTCCGCAGCAGCTCATCGTACTTCACCTGGATGATATACAGACATTTTATCTTCTTAAAACTTTCCACCTTCTTACAGAAATCTTCTTTTCTGTCCTGTGTTTAGGATGCTTTATTTACCACATGGAAAAACTATTTTGAAGTTCTGAACTACTTTTACATTACCTGCAGTGCGCTGTATTGCGCGTCCACCTCATTGAGCAGAGAGATGCCCCTCTGTTTCACCGCCTCCGTTCGCCTTATACACAGCTGCTCGTGACCGCGGCGGATCTCCTCGGGATTTGTCGCTCTCAAAGAGCCATCGCTGTTACATCTTTGTCTGTTTTGTCTCCCCTGCTTCTCGTCCTTCTCTGCCGTCTCCTCCATCTCATCCTGCCACGATCTCGGTCTATCATCTAAGTCGAAGAAAATCGTGTCAGGTAACAGAAGCTGCTCTGGTCTTCTGGCACTGGTGGGAGAAGAGAGGAAATGACAGAGGGTAGTTTCATCAGCAACAGGCCATAAAACTGGTCCCTGATTTAATGAATGTTGCGTATTAGAAGTCAGACCCACTTCTTAGCACAGTCAGCCTGCCACAGGAGCCTCAGCTGCTCCACTTCGGCCTCCAGCTCCTTCTGTCTGTCCCGGCAGCCGTTCAGCATGGCCAGCCGCTGCTCCAGACCTCTATTCTCAACCACCATCAGCTCGCTCTCCTGCTCTGCAGCCTCCCTGCGGCTCCGCTCTGCCGCTATCTGACTCTGGAGGGTCTGGATGGAGTGCTGGAGAGCTGCGTTCTCCTCTTCTGGGTCTTGGCGCCTTTCTCGGCCATAGAAAGAGCTCTGAGGTGACCAGAGTCTATCTTTCCACATACTGTCGTGGTTGAGATGCCTGAGCCAGGACAGGGTGAGACAAATATAAGTGTGAACAAAGACTGTAATAATCAGCAGTTGAATTTAAAATCAGTGTTCACGTTTGTGATTTTAACTCCTACTTAAGAACAAACTTAAAAGAGGAAATATTTTTCATAGGAAATTCAGCATGTGGTCTTTGCTGTATTCACAATGAAATACAGGATTGAAATGATTTGCAAACCATCAAACCCCAAACCATTGAGGTTGTATTTACAGTAAAAGATCTATCCTGTACACCTGAATTAAAACATTGACGATAATGAAGCTGAAGGATGAAGACATACGCGGTTATTTGTCATTGAGAATCAGCTTTGTATCATGGAAACTACACACGGTTGCGGCGTTAATGGATTAATGTTGCGGCGGGTTATTAAGTGCATTTGTACAAGTACACTGCTGACAATGGGGGAGGATTAGCCTCCTCCTCTTTGGATTATGTTTAAAGGATCAGGTCTGGTCTTTATCCAGGTGACCTCTATGTGCCCAGTCAGCACAGGGTGAGAGGGTGAGATTGCAGTGGCCGGGACTTAGCAGAATCCAGACTCTGCACAAACATCCTCCACCGTTTCTTTGTAAATATACTCCAATATGTCCTCTTTAAAATTCCCAAACTACAACAGCTCCCCTGTCACACTGTCAATCTGTTTTTGACACCGTTTTCAGAAACTACAGGATACCTGTCATGGTGTAAGTCATACAGCTCTTTGAGACAAGACACACTCTGTGCTCCGAGGCATCTCCTCTGCTCTGCCGCCTCTCTTTTCTTCCGCTCTGCCTGGGCCGTCTTTAGCTCCTCCACCTGAGTCTGCAGGTCCTCCATGTGGGTCTGCAGCCCCTCAACTGCCTCTGTCAGGCTGAAAAGGGACAGAAAGGAAACGAGAACTAGACATCAAGGTTCTGCGCTTCAACAAAATGTAAATATTTGAATTTTATCCTCCTGCTTTTTGTCTGATAGCTTTATTCATTCAAATCACATTCAAAGAGGGGAAACTCAGAGGTAATGAGTCCAAACCGACCTGTGGATCTTCTGCTGGGCGAGCCGGTTGTCCTGCATGAGTCTCTGATTGTCTTGCTCCAGATCTCTGGCTGCTGTGTCGAGCTGCTCGTACACTCTGGCATGCTGGTCGTTCATTTGGCGCAGCAGGTCCATCTGCTTGGTCAGGTACTGCTCGACGAAAACGGATGACAAAAATTTAGATTAATTTCTACTTTATAGGTTAATTTTACACAAGTCAAGTAGAACACTATTTTATCCGTCGCCTCCAGAATAAAAGCTGGCGACTTATTTCTGTGAAATGACCACACAGAGAAGAACGGACACATTAGCTCGGTCCCTGATCATTTTAATTCAAATTCAACAGACTGTGAATTTTGTGTCAGAATTTAAAGACAAACACGCCCAAAGCTCCTACAATAAGCTATCAGGCTGATTAAATATGTTCTTTTAACTACAGCGAGGAAACACAGGAGGCAGTTGGTAATTGGTTTATTTAATTAGTGTAGTTTATTTACAGGCAGACGCATTTTATTACAGGGAAGACAAAGCAAAGCCAATTACAGGTCCGTACGAGGAAACAGGAGACAAACCTGTGAGTAATATTGCATAATGAATAAGTCTGTACTCTCAGCTTTGTCCACATTTGTTTTTAAATGGGACCACCAACTTCACATCCACCTGAGGTATTTGCCTGTAATCAAACTTTTAGCTTCACAGTTGGACTTGAGGTCCAGTTTTCAAAACGATTCTCATACAGCTGAATGAAAATTGGCAGCAGCATCACAGAGATGGGAATTAACATATCAACCTTGTTAATCCTCAAGCTACAAGCCCTCTGACTGCCGTAAACAAACTAAGGCTCTTATCTAAGTTGACCTGCTGAATTTCGTTGAGGTAACACAGATCAGCGCTGTCTGCATGTGCTGATAATGAGCGTCTGATCGGGGATGTACCGATCAGCTTCTTCAGCCTGTAATTGAACGTACAGCAGTCTCATCATGTTTCAGATGACTTAACATGTCACAAACCTCGCTGTAGGGGTCGACTGATATCCGCTTTTCAAGGCCGATATTAATAATAATTAGTAGTTCATGAGGTAGATAATCAGCCGAGTCGTACTTTGCAGTACAGCTATGACACAGCAGTATATGGAATGTGGTGTCATGACAGCAGGACAAACTGTGGATCCATGAGGGGGTGACGCAGCTCAAGGAAGAACATTTATGATAAGTTCTTCATGGAAATGCAATCAGACCGAGACGCGAAGGCAGAAGAACTACCACGTCTGCAGAGCAAAATGATTAATATGGTGATTATTTCTTTAAGGAAATGATAAGAGATGATCATAAATGTTCTTCCTTGAGCTGCGTCACCCTGCTGTAGTCCATAATGGACTGGCCTGAGGTCTCACTACAAACAAGCGGCTGCTGGAAGAGAGTAGGTTGAGTTGTGTTTAGTCTCTTTGTTAAAGAAAGTAGGCAAAGTTAAAAAGATGTTTGGTGGCTAGTACTGAGGCTGGGACCCTATATGTCCTGTTGATGAAGTTAGGTGCTGTTCTGAGCATTATTTGTGGCTATAGAGTGGCGTTTTGGTTGAGGTTTGTTTATGGCTCCTCAGACCACTGTGTTTTGCTATCCTGCGGTCATGACAAAAGTTAGTATAACTAGAAAAGCAAGCGGTCTGCAACATTCATCTCTCAAGGGGGTGTCTAACTCGGTGTTACGTTGTGTTTGACCCTAAATTAATTTTACGCCAGAATATCCCTGTAAGGAAGTAGACAAAGATCTCGCCAAAAGGATGCACCGCGCCAAAGTCTCACCGGGACAGTCCGGTCCAGATTAGCTCCACATCTTTGTGACGTGGATGTCTCCTCCATGAATCACCTCTTTCATACAAAATCACCGCTCTCACACTAAAACAATGATTATTCCAGGAGTCTGCAGACAGCTGACTCCATAAACATGCGTTTAAACAGAGGGCTCATTGACACACTCTCTTGAAAAACAGTTCAGGAAAACTCTTTGTTTGTTTCTTTCCAAACATGTTTCACCTCGATCTCCTGCAGCTGATCTCGGTTGGTGGAGTACATCTGCTGCAGGGCCTGCTCCAGCTCATGGTTCCTGTCCAGGAGCGTTTTCCCCAACTCTGCTGCCAAATGGAGATCTGTGAAAACACAGAAAAACATGTAAACACTGGATCGAGGACAGTCTCAGTGCCCAAACAAAGGCATCTGATGTGGCTGGATGTGTGTAAGTGCACAAACACATTCACTCTTCATTGTCTCAGCCCATGAGTATCTGGCACGGGTGAATCACTGAGGAATCTGGGGCATGCCGTAGGACTTCCTTGTGACCTTCAAATAGAGTTCGAGTCTAGATCTGCTCCACTACATGCTCTCTGAATTGGGCTCAATCAAATCCAACTCCATCAATATCCAACTCTATCCATCTAACTCTACCATACAAGCAATCGAAAACAATGAAAGGAAACAAAACATGCTTCACATAATAGTCATTTCCCTCTTCTTTTTCAAACTACAGAGCTGACACAAACAACTCACCAGAGAAAGCTGCAGGAGAGGAATCCTTCACTAAGTCTTAATCATGAAAAGTCTTCAAACCCTTTTTATTTGCAGGTTTATTCAGCTGCTCCTCTGAGGAATGCTACAGGAAGTCTTTCCTGCCATCACTCTGTGGAGAGGACTGAGATTTCTATGCTGATATTATTGTCTCTTACTTCGAAGACTCACTGCTCAGTCAGGCAGAAAAATAACATCCAGTATATTTTGAACATGCTCTTGGATTTTTGGCGTTTTAGCTGAAACGGGCAGTTCAATAATGATTCTTTGATTCGATTGTCAGTATTTACAAAATGCTTTTCTTTACTCTCTTTTCAAACTCTTTTAAAGCTCTAGTATCTAACCCATATTGTGCAATAATACTTGTCAACCATAGTTTCAACAAGTTCACTTGGCTTCATGTTCCCTCCCCCGTCTTTTTCTGTTCAATTAACCAGTATGTCTTCCTATACCTCATGTAAATATTTATTACTTTTATTCCTTGTCTGCATTTTTCCAATGGGGGATTTTTCTTAAAACTTCCTTCAATGGGGCCTCAATAAAATCTTGATAACCATACAAACATATATCTATCTTCTTCTACTTTTATTTAATTTGCACATAAATTAAAACATAGAGTATATCTAACAAAGTCCAGGACATTGCCATGCAGCAAATCAATAACAAATTGAGTATTAAGCTGTATTGTATATTTTCTAAATACAGTTGTGCACCTCAAAAACTTAAAATAATGAGCAAAAAAAATATTTTTTATGATGACTCTAAATTAATCATAAAGTTTAGTTTAGCCAAATTGAGTCAACATCATATTACATTTTTATTCTTTTAAAACTACTACAAGAGGCTTTCTATCAAAGTGACACCTCTTATACAAGGCAGCTGCACACTTCTTAAATCAAATTGAGACATTTAAAGATCTTATTAATACAAAATACAAGGAGAAGGCATTGCACACCAGAATAATGGAAATAAAAGGTGGCGTCTATTTTGAATGTGTTTTTGGTTGCAGGAAGGCTGTCATTCATGCTCTATTTGCCTTGTGAACACACAAACCACAATAAGCAAAGATAGATTAAACACTCTGCATGACCTTACATTTTCAAAACACAACACAAGACTTCAGCTTCCTCCTGAATATTGGATTCGGGAAGAGTTACTTCAAAACTCTTTGCAGCAGTTGCAACAAATAAAACGACAATATAGGAATAGTCGGGCTTGTTATGATTGTCTACCTGTTCTTAACTATAAACCATGGAGAAGCGTTAAGTTCAGGCGAGTTCATAATCAGCTAAAAACAGCTGAAGATTGTAGATATTTAATTTTCTTATGGGACTTATTTATTTAGATGCACAAGTATATTTTTGGTAGATTCTCTCTGTGGTTTACCTCTATTTGATCTATGTGACTATCTACTGCATTTCAAACACAACTCCATCTATAAACTGTTCTCTGTCTCAAACACATCCCCAAACAAAAGCCTCAGGATATTTACTACCAGTGTTGTGACTCTGTATCACAAGAGCAGACTGGAAACCTTGATGGTATCAGTGTAGTGGACTATGATAACTTCTTCAGGGAAACAACAACAAAGCATCACAACAACAATAACTGAAGTTTTAAAATATCTCAAGTTTGTGGAGTATCCTAATTAAAGTCCACACAGTCTGAGAGAGTTTAGGGTGCGACCACAGAGCCCCGGACAGCCCTTACCGTGCTCGAGGTCCTGCGGTTGGTACCACAGCTCTCCGCTCCTGTCCAAATCCTCCTCCAAAATCATGTCAGTCAACATTTTCCGACCGCGGTGTTGAGAGGGAGGACTCCACCTGATAGAAACTTGACACACAGGTGTTCGTGTGTGTGTGTGTGTGTGTGTGCGAGTGTGTGTTTAAGCAGCTCCGAGTAGTGGTCCGCCCTTCACCGCCGAGAGTGTAGACGGGATGTGGACTACGTTACATCCCTGTTGCGTCGAGTGACTCTTGAGGACTGTTGTCTACGGCAACGTGGCAACACTTAAATACAGCCCAACGTCCGGTAGGTGGCAGTTAGAGAGCAACGACGAATAAAAAAAAAAAAGGTAAATAATAAAAAAAACTTTTAAAACGTACTTAATTTGTTTTTAAATTACAGTTGAACGTTTATTCAATGCCTAAATCCCGTATAAAAATCTTTTTGATGTTCTTAAAATCTATCCGTTTATTAAACCTCCTCTTATCGTTGACGAGCAGTTTTGCTGTCGAATCACGGAGCAGTAAGTTTGACAAGCCAGCCTTCTAAGCCAATCACAGGTTTGTTTGTCAACTTTAGCCCCGCCCAATGTGATAAGCGCTCACATCTGTGTAACAAAGTGTCATTCATACTAGTTTTGTTTAATATAGAAAGACAGGTTATGTGAGTCACTGTTAATAATCCTGTTACTGTTGGATCATCTGGAGCAGTTTGTGCACAACGGTTTTTTTAATCTTTAAACAAAATATTTTTGCTCTTCCAGTAGAATTAGTTTTAACACTCAGATTTGTCGATCAAAAGCGTATGATAACGTTGTTTACTGCGAGAGACCGCGATACTAAACCCAGCAGGTAACTGGGTTTTCAGTCACCTGAGCTTCTTTGGCGCTTGAGGAGACACCTGCTACAGAAGAAAAGATGAGTTCACTCCGACACCAGAGGTACTTTGGGATCAATCCTTCAGCTTTTGCTTATGCAATGACCACTATGGGGGCGAGCATGATCAACAGTATATTCGGCTTCTACTATGTCAAGCTGTTTGTTAACAAGTACAAGGTGTCAGAGGGAGATTTCCACATAGCCCAAGTGAGTATGATTTTTCAACTTGATGCTGTTCTTTGTTTGCATTCAGGTCAATCTCATAGAGCAAAAGAAATTAAAAACCTTTTGAAGTGTGATATTTGATAAGTCACTTTTCTCCTCAGGTGGTGTACATGGTGTGGAACGCAGTCAATGACCCGCTCTTTGGATACCTTCAGGATAACTCTCGGGTGCCCTGTTGCTCCCAGCGTCGTCTCTCCATCCTGTATGGTGCACCTCTCTACTCGCTCACATTCCTCCTGGCCTGGTTCCCATGGCGTGCCTACACTCCTGGCGACTGGTTGTGTGGTCTGCATCTGGCCGTGACACTGTGTGCTTTCGATTCCTTGTTGACTTTTGTGCTCCTCGCTCAATGTGCATTGTTTGCAGAGATTTCCAGCCAGCATCAGAACAGACTCAGACTTGTGAAGTACAGTCAGGTAACGACACTGTAACCTGATCACTTTCATTTTTCGTCCCTAACCCCCCCTGAATCATTCCTTTAATGCTCTCTTCCTTTTATTTCTCAGTTTGCTTCTCTTGCTGGCTGTTCAAATATCCTCTTCTGTGGTGTACTGACCAACAACATGGAGGACTTTAAAACGTTCCAAGCGTACACAGTAGTCATCGCCATCCTGAGCTGCACCTGCATGCTCTACACGGGCTTCCACAGCGAGAGCCGCTTTGATAACAAAGGATCCCAATCAGAAGAAACGCTGAGTTTGACCCAGGCTTCCAGCCAATCAGAACCCTCCTTCTCCAACTTAAGGACTCTAGTCTGGCAAATTCTGACCAACAGAGACTTTCAAATTTTTGTTACCATGAACTTCTTCCAGGTTTTCATGTTGACCTTCTTGCATAATTTTACAATAATTTTTACGGAGCACCTGATTCCCCAAGACGTGCTTCCATCGATGGCCAAGAGCATCATGTATGGAGCCGGATTCATCTGTCCACAGGTAATTCCTTCTGATGTCAAAACCCTTGTTGCTCTACAGTCTAATGTCCATTCATGTATATTTATATGTTGATTCTGCTCCCTTGTCTTCAGCTGTTAGTGCTGAGCTGTCAGGGTGTGCTCCACAGTCTGGGCTACTACAAAATCATGCTCTTCACCTTCTACACAGAGGTTGTAATGGCAGCTGTGATGCTAGTGCTTGGTCCTCAGCACTACTATATCCTGGCCTTTTTCCTGACTGTTAACAAGTAAGAACAGTTTTTGATGCAAAATAATAAGAACTAGTCCACCTCCATTGACTCTTATACACTACTCATGGGGTTTACATGCAGACTTCTTTTTTCATTCTGATTAGAGATCTCAGGTCATTTGTTTACATGTGACATGATCTATTTAGATCTGGTATTTACATGTGCCACTACATTTAATCAGAAAAGCTGTTTTACAGACGTGGGACGCGCCCAGATCTATGAAAACATCAGGTGATTTATCACAGGTGGAGGTCTATCGTCTGTTCAGCACAGTAGTAGCGATTGTTTTTACATTTTTATTCAAGCAACAGTAAAGCGCTCCTGCTGGAGGTACTGAAGAGGAGAAGACGTAGCCTACAGAAGAGGGTTTTTTTGTTGGTGCTTTGCGATGTTTGTCCATCTATCCCGGCTTCGCTGACATTTTCGTGGACTTTTTTCAATTGTTCAATACTTCTTGTTTTCCTACTGTCGGTGCATTTGATAAAAAACAACCTCTGCCAGATCTGTGTGCTCTGTTTCGAAGCCGGCATATCAATCAACTTTATTTCTATAGCACATTTAAAAGAACCACGGGGGTAGCCGAAGTGCTGTACATTGAGACATAAAAACAAACGAAACAAGCAAAGAACAAGATAAAGCAAACAAGAATACATAAATGCATAAATAAATAAATAAGCAGGCTCACGGCACGTGCTATGGTGACAACAAAGAAAATAACACTACAATGTGTTTAAAGCCAAGGAGTAAAAGTGCGTTTCAAGTAAGTAAACGTCACTGCGCATTTACGTCAAGACAGAGCATGCACAGTCAGAACGCAGCCTGACAACTTTCTGTTTCACATGACGAAACATCACTTTTGATAGGTTTGGGATAAGGAATATTCTACCCCTGTTAAACTGAATGTTTATCTTGATTGAGGTGTTTGTATAGAGCAGTTTATCGGTTTGGGCTTCTAAACTAATTCTAATCGGAATATTAGCAACCATGTAAACCCAGTGTTGTCCCCTCTGTGTTCTGTACAGGATTATTATCCAGGCAACCGTCAGTGTGTTAGGCTTGCCTTTATCTGACATCATCGACAAAGACCTTCAGAAGTACAAGCGAAGGTAAAAAAACTACAAAAGATTATTCATCCACTTTAACTCATACAATAATTTCATCCATGCAAAAACAGCACTAAAGTTGAAGTGACATGTTGCAGGATTTTATTTGAATATTTTGTGTATGTAAAGGAAACCCTTTTGCAGCCAGAGCCAAATCTTTCCAACATTTTTTTAACTTTCATCTGATAAATTCCTCTTATCGAAGTTGTGGAGTGATTTTTTTTTCCCCTTCTCCAAAGTTCCCCGCTGTCCTCCATGGTGTTCGGGACCAACGCCCTGTTCACTAAGCCTGCTCAGTCTCTGGCTCCCATGTTGGTGCTCAGTATCCTCAACCAGTTTGGATACGAACAGTTGAAGGAAGCAGGAAATGATGCAGATCCAAGGTACAGACAGTTTCTTGATTTTTCTTCCTTCAACAGCTCAGCTGAATCAACTGATGTAGGCGTGGTACTCAACCCCCAGCTTACACAAACACTTTAAATGCTAGGTGTCTTTAGCATATTTAAGACTGAACTAATGTCAATGATTAGGGAATGTCATAATAATATACTTAATATATACACTCTTTAAATTAAGAAATCTCAACGTGAAGCAGAGTAAATACAGCAGTGTACAAACCAGATGAACTAAGAGAGTGAAAAAGCATCAGATGAGAGCAGACAGATTGATCATCTCATTCACTAGAAGTCTGTAACTAAGTTCCTCCTTTTTCACAGCGCCTTGGAGAACCTCCACAGTGTCATGTTTTACCTGGTGTGTCTGGTGCCGATGTGCATCGGTGCCCTGCAGACCATAGCTTGGAGACCATTTTCAATACGCAGCAGTCACACAATGGAAACAAAGTACATCGATAACTGACTTTAGTGCTTCACAATCAAAGGAAGCAGGAGGATGTTTCTGTGGTAGTGATTTGGGACTGACAAGGTTTAAATTCAGAGACTATATTGAATGAATCAAGGGTTATAATGATGCAGTTTGTGATTCAACTGCAAATAAACAACTGTGAATTAGCTATCTTTAAGAGTTTGAGTCTAGATGTGCTCCACTACATGCTTTCTGAATTGGGCTTAATTCAGTCTTCCTGTATGTGGGAAAATATGTCTTCCTGTACCTCATGTAAATATGTATTACTTTTATTCCTTTTCTGCATTTTTCCATTTTTTTTTCTCTAAACTTCCTTCAATGGGGCCTTAATAAAATTTTGATATGCACACAATCATAAATCTATCTTCTTCTATTTATACTTAATTTGCACAGTATTGTATATTTTCTAAATACAGTTGTGTACCTCAGAATCTTTAAATGTTGAGCAAAAGCTCATTTTTCATGATGACTCCAAATTAGTTGATCATAAAGTTAAGTTTAGCCAAAATGAGTCAACATATATTACATTGTTATTCTTTTAAAGCTCCTACAAGGGGCTTCCTATCAATGTGATACCTCGCAAACCGCTGCAACGATAGGATACTGTAGAGTATCATTAACCCACACATTCTGACAGAGTTTAGGGTGCGACCACAGAGCCCCGGACAGCCCTTACCGTGTCGGAGGTCCTGCGGTTGGTACCACAGTTACCACCCTCTCCTCAGCCGCGGTGTGGAGAGGCAGGACTCCACCTGATAAAAACCTGACACACAGGTGTGAGTGTGTGTATGTGTGTGTGTGTATGTGTGTGTTTTAACAACTCCGAGTAGTGGTCCGCCCTTCGCCGCCGAGAGAGTAGACGGGATGTGGACTACATTACATCCCTGTTGTGTCGGGTGACTCTTGAGGACTGTTTTCTACGGCAACGTGGCAACAGTTAAATACAGCCCGACGTCCGGTAGGTGGCAGTTAGAGAGCAACGACGAATTAAAAAAAATAGATACATTAAAAAAACTATTAAAACGTACTTAATTTGTTATTAAATTACAGTTGAAAGTTTATGTAATGTGTAAATCCCGTATAAAAATCTTTTCCGTTTTTTTCTTGTTAAAATCTACCCGTTCATTAAACTCTCTTCTGTCGTTGACGAGCGGTTTTGTTGTCGAATCATGAAGCAGTAAATTTGACAAGCGCAGCCTCTTAGCCAATCACAGGTTTGTTTGTCAACTTTAGCCCCGCCCAACCCGGTAGACACGAAAATCGAGTTCAGCAGGGTGTCATACGAGTTTTGCTCAATATTTAAAGACTTCGGTCGTGTGATTCAGATGCGGCGCACTATTAATAATCTTGTACTCGAGGGACGTCAGCGTTTGGATATACAACAGCTGGAACAGTTTGTGCTCAACCTTTTTTCTCCTCTAAACCAAATATTTGTGCACTTGCAATAGAGTTAGCTTCTACATACAGAAATGTCGATCAAAAGCGTATGATAACGTTGTTTACATCGAGAAACCGCATTACCTCGCCCAGCAGGTAACTGGGTTTTCAGTCACCTGAGCACCTGAGCTTCTTTGGCCACAGAGGAGACACCTGCTGCAGAAGAAAAGATGAATTCACTCCGACACCAGAAGTACTTTGGGGTCAATCCTGCAGCTTTTGCTTATGCCATGACCACTCTGGGGGCGAGCATGATCAACAATATATTCAGCTTCTACTATGTCAAGCTGTTTATTAACAAGTACAAGGTGTCAGAGGGAGATTTCCACATAGCCCAAGTGAGTATGATATCTCAACTTGATGCTGTTACTTGTTTGCATATTTTGAGAGCACAGGTGCTGCCTAAAAGATAAGTGACTTGTCCCTTCATTCAAACCTGTCCGCACTCAGGTCAGTGTCATATTTGAAGTGTGATATTTGATAAGTCACCTTTCTCCTCAGGTGGTGTACATGGTGTGGAACGCAGTCAATGACCCGCTCTTTGGATACCTGCAGGATAACTCTCGGGTGCCCTGTTGCTCCCAGCGTCGTCTCTCCATCCTATATGGTGCACCTCTCTACTCGCTCACATTCCTCCTGGCCTGGTTCCCATGGCGTGCCTACACTCCCGGCGACTGGATGTGTGGCCTACATTTGGCACTGGCACTGTGTGCATTCGATGCCTTGTTGACTTTTGTGCTCCTCGCTCAATGTGCATTATTTGCAGAGATTTCCAGCCAGCATCAGAGCAGACTCAGACTTGTGAAGTACAGTCAGGTAAGGACACTGTAACCTGATCACTTTCATTTTTCGTCCCTAACCCTCCTGAATCATTCCTTTAACGCTCCCTTCCTTTTATTTCTCAGTTTGCTTCTCTTGCTGGCTGACACTGTAACCTGATCATTTTCATTCTTCGTTCACACACCCTGAAGTTGACACTGAAACTATCATTCCTGTTAGAGCCATGTGTGCACTACTGATAATTTGACAGATGATTAATAGTTTTTGTTAGTTTTCCTGATCAGAATTCTGAGAGACTGAACAGGTGTGTTGTTTTACTTTAAAGTTTGAATTGAAGCCGATTACTACTGCAGCTCTCCTATTGGAGGAGACATGTAATGTGAGACCTGTGGGTTTCTCTTTGGTAATCAGTGCAGCTGAGGGTCTTTGAGAGCACAATAGTTTTTGACTGTGTTTACGTCGGGTCTCGATTTCATCATTATTTTTTGTAAAAAGTATAATTTTGTTATGCAAAGTAAACGTCCAAATAAATTCAAGAAAGGAAAGATCGACAGCTGGTGTTTAACTATGGAAATATGTGTCAACTACATGCTCTGGTTCGTCACCTCAGAGGATCTTCAATCATTAGACGAAGCTGCGCTCACAATTCATTTAACGCTCTCTTCCTTTTATTTCTCAGGTTGCTTCACTTGTTGGCTCCTCAAGTGTCCTCTTCTGTGGTGTTGTGTCCAACAACATGGAGGACTTTACAACGTTCCAAGCGTACACAGTAGTCATCGCCATCCTGAGCTGCGCCTGCATGCTCTACACGGGCTTCCACAGCGAGAGCCGCTTTGATAACAAAGGATCCCAATCAGAAGAAATGCAGAGTTTGACCCAGGCTTCCAGCCAATCAGAACCCTCCTTCTCCAACTTAAGGACTCTAGTCTGGCAAATTCTGACCAACAGAGACTTTCAACTTTTTGTTACCATGAACTTCTTCCAGGTTTTCATGTTGGCTTTCTTCAATAACTTTACAATAATTTTTACGGAGCACCTGATTCCCCAGGACGTGCTTCCATCATTGGCCAAGAGCATCATGTATGGAGCCGGATTCATCTGTCCACAGGTAATTTCCTCTGGTGCTTCAGGCTTTTTTTTCTCCTGCAGATTATTAGATGTGAGGGGCAGAGAGAGAGAGATTGATAGATAGGAGCCTGACTCTTATCAGGATGGCGCTTTATTAGGAATAGATAAAGAAAAACGGTCAGTAGATTTACTTGTGCAGCTTGACTTGGTATCAGGACAGGAGTTTTAAGATCTCTGTACAATCATCAGTGATGCAATGACATCAAAACCCTTGTTGCTCTACAGTTTAATGTCCGTTCATGTATATTTATATGTTGATTCTGCTCCCTTGTCTTCAGCTGTTAGTGCTGAGCTGTCAGGGTGTGCTCCACAGTCTCGGCTACTACAAAATCATCCTCTTCACCTTCTACACAGAGGTGGTCATGGCAGCTGTGATGCTCGCGTTTGGTCCTCAGCACTACTATATGCTGGCCTTTTTCCTGACCGTGAACATGTAAGGACAATTTTTGATTCAAATAACAAAAAGTAGTCCATCTCAGTTGACGGTAATATGCACTGGCTCCTCTGTGTTCTGTACAGGGTTATTATCCAGGCAGCCTTCAGTCTGTTCGGCTTGCCTTTAGCTGACATCATCGATACAGACCTTCAGAAGTACAAGCGAAGGTAAAAAAATAAAAAATAACTTCAGCTTATGTAAACATTTGCTCTGTGCAAAAACAGCTCTATTATTGATGTGACATGTTTGAAGGATTTTATTTGAATATTTTGTGCATGTAAAGGAAACCTTTTTGCAGCCAGAGACAAATCTTTCCAACATCTTTTTTTTTTTTTTAAATCTTCATCTGATAAATTCCTCTTATCGAAGTTGTGGAGTAATTTTCTTTTTCCCTTCTCCAAAGTTCCCCGCTGTCCTCCATGGTGTTCGGGACCAACGCCCTGTTCACTAAGCCTGCTCAGTCTCTGGCTCCCATGCTGGTGCTCAGTATCCTCAACCAGTTTGGATACGAACAGTTAAAGGAAGCAGGAAATGATGCAGATCCAAGGTACAGACAGTTTCTTGATTTGTCTTCCTTCAACAGTTCAGATGAATTATTAAAGTCAAACAGGATTGATGTAGGCGTGGTACTCCACCGTCAACTTATGCAAACATTTTAAATGCTCAGTGTAGTACATTTGATATTTAATGTCAATAATTAGGAAATAGGGTTGTAGTTTTCCCCTTTCTGCACACTGTAGTTCAGCCACTTTGGCATATTCTACTTCTTTCTGTTGCTGTGATGGAAAATAGCTTTTGAACGGCATATTTCTTTTGAAAAAACCTCACGTGGCTCTACAGACAAAAGTAAATACGCATGTAGTGTCAAACTTGAGTCCTTTGAGTTTAGGCTACCAGCTGCTTCAGATGCAGCTGAGCGCTATACAGATGTGTGTGTGTGTGTGTGCGTCACCACAGACCTGCAGAGGAAACACTTTTAAGTCGTGGTTTCAGACTGAGCTGATGAAGCAGTGTTGCATATATTTGCAAATAAGTAAAGATCATGAAGTTTAGTTTGTTTCCAAATCAAGACAGCGGTAAGAACTGCTTCACTTTGTTAGTATGGAAACAGTAAACATGCAAATAAAAGTGGATTTAATGGTGATTAACCACAGAAATTCAGGGATTCATCTAGATGTAATAGACTCAGTATCTGACTTTGAGCTGCAGTTGTTTTTCTGGTGAAGTCTGAAAACACCTATGCAGACAATAAAGTAAAACAAATAATGAATATGTAAAAAAAGTGTTTTACACCTTTTAAAAAGTCATTGATTTCTGCTTAAAATGTTGAATCATTTTTATTCTAAGGGACAGTTATCATCAGAAAAATCAACTCTTACATGATCAGGGGTTATTCAAGGTACAGTTTGAAATTATTACAACACCAGCATGTTATGAGTCAAACGGGGCCGCCTTAAACACACCAGTTCTACCAGTAATAGTAATAATAATACACTTCATATATACAGTATACATTAAGAAATCTCAAAGTGCAGCAGAGTAAATACAGCAGTGTACAAACCAGAAGAACTAAGAAAGTAAACAAGGATCAAATGAGAGCAGACAGATTCATCATCTCAGTCACTAGAAGTCTGTAACAAAGTTCCTCCTCTTTCACAGCGCCTTGGAGAACCTCCACAGTGTCATGTTTTACCTGGTGTGTCTGGTGCCGATGTGCGTCACTGCCCTGCAGACCATAGCTTGGAGACCGTTTTCGATACGCAACAGTCACACAGTGGAAACAAAGTACATCGATAACTGACTTTAGTGCTTCACAATCAAAGGAAGCAGGGGGATATTTCTGTAGTAGTGATTTAGGACTGACAAGGTTTAAATTCAGAGACTATATTGAAGGAATCAAGGGTTATAATGATGCAGTTTGTGATTCAACTGCAAATAAACAACTGTATATCCGCTATCTCATCCCACTGGAAATCCGGACCAAACATAGCAAGGCTCAAGATACTTTAAGCTCCCTTGAAATCCTCTTCCTGCAACAAAATCCAATTCTCACAGTTTTTTTGGCATGTTGAATTTCCGGACGCGTAGTCCTCGCACTGACCTCAGCAGCTCATTGGCAGCACCGAGGACACACTCTGCAGTTAAAGGACCAGATCCTCAGGGTCCTCAAAGACACTGTTCAGCTCACAAAAGAGGAACTGTAATCCTAAAGTTGGCAGAAATTTGAAGTGATGCGTCCTCAGGAGCGGGATATCAGGCCTTTAATAGAAGTGCTCAGCCAAAGGAGGTGAACAGTGGCAGCAAGAAGAAGGAACACATTTTCAATTTTGTACAGAAAATTTTAAACAAAATATTACTTCAAAATTTTCCAGGTATGATAAGGGTTGAAGGATTTAAAGGAGTTGTATTTTTTTTACTCTCACTCAACATTAATTCTCATTTCTTTAACAGTTTCTGAGTGAAAAGGTTACTCATTTCTATCCATTGTGTGTTTGGGATAGGCTTTATTTCACCCCCTTTAACAATAGTAATGCACAACTACTGTTCATCAAAGTTTGTGAGTTTCAGATTGAGCTGTGCACGTGCATATGCATACTGTGACGGTTGCCCTCGATAAGTTTCTGAATAATGTTTTAAAAATGACTGATAGGAAATAAGCTTGTTCGCCTGTTACAGCTCATTTGAAACCAGCTGCAGGTTGTTTGAGTCGGCATTTAAAGAAACATCAGGTGATTATTTCAATGAAATTATGATTGACTTGACTTTGTTGCACTTTACCATCAGAGCCTTTCTCAGGCATCGCTGTCGCTTTCTGAGATATATTGTTTACTTTGTACAAGAGAAATTCAACAGGCATGTTATCTTTACTGTAGCTGCAAGAAAAATACTGAAGTGCAATTCAAACTTTAAACATGCTCATTAGTGCAGTAAATCAACAAGATGTCCTGATGTTCAACTGTACAACAGAACCAGCGCTTGAAAAGCAAGAAGGCTAAAATGTTAAGGGAGAACGTCATTCACTCTTTTATAAGCCTGTAAATATAAGTCTACAGTGGAGATTAAGGGCCTGTGTCCATCGGCAGCGGTTTTTGTGTCGGCAGTGACTGTTAGGCATTTTCAGTGTAAAAAACAATTAAGCAACGTCACTCCCTCAAGTGGGCGCTATGTCGTCACGCTGCAAAGAGGACCTCTGCTTACGCTCACCATACTCAGAAAACTTAATTGAAACTTCTTAAAGGCACTGTGGGGAGTTTTTCACCGACAAACAAACTAAAACTGGTACTGATGCCTCTTTGTGGCCTTTAAAATCAAACGAGACCATCAACAACAAGACTGACGATTTCTCTGTAACTGTTTTGGAGCATTCCTACTTCTCATTCGACTAACATTCATGATTAAGAAGAAAGGCAGGATTTTAGATATCAGCTTTGTCAATAATGATTTTTTAATAGCATTAATCAAAGTTTGAGTCTCTACATTATTAAGTTTTCGTCTTAAGAATTTCCTGAACTGGGGCATCATGAAACATACAGGTTCATTTCAAACTGACCTTACATCCAGGCTGCAGAGGTTAGTTTTGCAGCTTAGTATCAGGAAGAAAAAAACAGCTATAATGGACTCAGGTGGTTGAGTTTTGCCATAATCTATATGCATTTGAGATTTTGGGTACTTACTGGAGAAAAAGTCTCCAACACCAACAGCTCTGCCTTTCCACTCTTACGTGAACATTGTTCTATGTAGATAGTCCTTTTATTAAATGTGAAAATCATCAGTGCGGTGCCTTTTAGTCAACTTAAAGTCTATGTACTGTACATTTAAATGTAAATTTTTCACTTTGGTTACCAAAGTTTTTGATTAAAGGTGGATTTGTTCAACACCTAGAGTCTGATTTATTTTAACATTTACACAGAAGTCCGTTTTCGTAATCTGTGTCTCAAAAATGTCCACAAAGATTCCTGTTGTCTACTTTCTCTTCCTTAAAGAAGTATTTACACATCACTCATCCTTCAACAGGCTCTTAATCTAAACTCTGCTCTATTTTAAAAAGAAGCCAGTGATTGTGTTTGAGTATTAAAAACAAACAAGAAGACAGATCAAACTACAAATCCCATGAGCTACTGCTGCACATGTGTTGTGGCTGAAACTGAAAAACTGGAGAGGAGAAGCTGGTGACTCAGGACCTTCTGTTGTTGTGGTTGTTTCTGACTTCATGAGCACAAGACTCCTCTGTGACTGTTGTTGATTTCCTCAGTTCCTCCATCTTGTTTCATGACTTTTGTGTTTCCTCCCAGTCAGGATGACAGAGATCTAGATCTGATATTTCACATCCTCTAAAGACATCTCAGACATTCTGGTAGATTTCATCAGTCGTTGAGCTGTTGAAATCGGCACTTGGAGCCTGAAACACAAACAGATGTTACGTGAGAGCGACAGTAAATAGCGCATTTTAGCTCCGTGCCGTGACACAAGCTGAGCAGAAGTTCCATCTTTGCTCAATCTGACTGGAAGCGACAAAGTTTACCAAAAAAGAGTCTCTACTCACGGCCTGTTTCTTTCTCTCCAGGTTGTTTCTGCGGTGTATTTCTTGCAGCACGTCACGAAATTGTCTCGTTTTAGTTGAGTTAGTCTGTAAGGAAAGTTTGGGAGAAATCGATCGTAAAAAGACACATTTTAAGGTTCGTAGTTATTTGTAGTTTGTGGTTTTGTTTGTGGGTTCCTCTTTTTTAATGTCTTGACCTTCTCTCTTTCATTTAATGAATCATAGGAAATGATCAGGGCCATGTGTGAATACTCTTGAAAGACACAGTGTGTGATATTCACCCAACAAACTCGGTGGAAACAAAAGGTGGTTTTTAAGATTATATTTAAGTGAGTATGTAAAAAAAATAGTTGTTGATGTAGACTGAGCCTTTCACAGAGGCTGCCCTGTTTCTACAGTGAACCAGAAGGGACAAACCTGTAATAAAAACATTTTTGTATTTAGTTATTTTTAGTTTTAAGGGAAGAAGATGAAGTTTCCCAAAAGTGGGCTAGTGGGGTGAGCAAGGGGACAAATACATTTGAAAAGCTGTGAGATAGATATCTCCAAATATTTGACTGCACCTTTAAGGTTTAAGGCAGTTTAACCCAAGAATTCCGGCTTTACTTTTGCAAATATGAGCAACTCCTGACTTGAATCTCAAAAATACTGCCTTTGAAATCTAGATAATTCACTCTGAAAACGAATTTCAGCAACAAATAACTCTGAATTGGTCTCAGAATTTGATACTCTTTTCTTCAGGACTTATTTTTGTTTTGTTTTGGCCTTAATTGATGGAGCACCTCAGAATTGGATCATTTTCATAGTTTTTACTTTAAATTGATATTATTTAACTTTCCTAAACTAACTCAGACTTTCACAGTGACTTCTACACTCTTAAATAAAGTAAAAAGAATGAAACCAAAATCTTAAGTGCACTCTCTGACTTTAAAAGATTACAATATTGCACATGCCGTCTTTAAATTCTTCTTAAACCGATGACAGACATTAAAAAAAAACCTCTTATTAATAACCTTGTAGGTTTTGCGCATCCTTCCACAGATGCCCAAGCTGCAGCCGGACTAGAAAACAGAAAACAGACGATTTTCACAACTGGTGTCTACTTCATGTAATTCTATCACATCATACAGATTTAAATTTGTAAGGTCTATTTTTTTCTATTTACCTTTCTTACAATAAGCGTCACCAAAGCCAAGCTGTAGATGGCCAAGAGGGCAAATGATAACCACAGGAGAACATCCCTCACCATCAGGTTAACTTTATCTGAAAATAACAGCAACTGTACTTATTCTGTTCTACACTTCAAATATTTTTAAACCAGGTTTCTCTCAAAGACACTCTTACCCCTCACCACCAGAGTTGTACCCAGCGCCACATGCTGTTTGCCCTGTGCCGGTTCGCCTGTCGATTCTGCAGCACAGTGGTAGATCCCGCTGTCATTGGCGTGCAGTGACTTAATGTGTAAAGATGCTCCGTTCAGGTTGTACTTCGGAGAATCACTCTGCAGGACTAGAGGGTGATGTGTGTCTTCTTTAAAAGAGAACCACACATAGCGCATGTTGGAGGTTGAACAGTGTGAGTTTATGTTGCACGGGAGAACAACGCTCTGTCCTGATTTTCTCCAGATCACCTTGACCGGCTGAGACAAGCAGTTGTTTTCCCTCTCGTTGCTCTCTGTAATGAAATGACACGAGTTTTCTAGTCTTAATTATTTCAGAGAATCAGCTCACATATGTTAAAACAGAAGCTGTGATGTTTTTAAATACAGATTAATAAAGTCCCTCTGAGTATTTCCCCCCAAATACATCAGGAATGATAAAGATATCTCACCTCTTACTGGCAGGCTGAGGAGCAGGAGAGAAAACCAAAATGACCGGTCCATGTTTGGAGCTTGACAGCTTGTAAATGATCTCAGTTTTCCTCGTACGTGGGAAGTGAGTATGTTGCACTTCCTCAACTCTTAGTTCCTGCTTTTTCTTTTAAAAAAAAGACGAAGAAGAACTGTGACAAAGAGTAAAACAGGTTGAATTGAGACTTTTTAGGAATTAAGTGGATTGATTTTATAAAGTGATTCCTCTCCTACCAACAAAGGCATGCATCTTGGATCTGGTCAGATTTTCTGTAATAATCTCAGAATTATGAGAAACTTATGGATAAAAAAGTGGTCTATTATTTTTTTTCTAGATTAATGACATAAATATCTTATTTATGTCCAGAAAAAAGGGCAAAAAAAAGTTTATCTTCTAAAAAGTTGTGTCATAGTTCTCGTAATTGACAGCAGATTTTTTTCAGCTGAATTTTAATACACCTTACAAAAGAGGAGCTTTTGTTTTGATAAAAAAAAAGTTGCTTGCATAAAATATTCATTTTCTTACATAAAATAGTAATTTTGCAAGACGTAGTGCGTTTTGTGAAATGTTAAAATATTTATTTATTTTTGTTTTTGAAGGTGAAAAAAAGTTTTGCATCCAGTAAGCTTTCGCATTTTGTTTTCTTTTCTTTTTGTCATTTTAATTAGATCGTATTGCCCCTTTGCGATTTGTAGTCTTGTAGTTTTTTAATCCTTTAATTTCTTTTTTTTATTGGGTTTAGTGATAAATATTCATTTTGCAAGATGTATTGCGTTTTGTGAAATGTTACAATATTTATTTATTCATGACATGTTTCTGCATCCAGTAAGCTTTCCCATTTTGTCTCTTTTTGTCATCTTAATGAGATAGTCTCGCCCCTTATGCAATTATTTCCTTTTTTGTAGTCTTGCACTTTTTTTAATCCTTTAATTTTTTATATTAAATTCAGTGATAAATAATCATTTTGCAAGATGTTTTACTATTTTGTGAAATGTTAAATTTATTTATTTCGTTTTTGATATTCATGACATGTTTTTGCATCCATTTATTTTCTTTCTTTCTTTTTTTGTCATTTTGATGAGATAGTATCGCCTCTTATGCGATTATTTCCTTTTTTGTAGTCTTGTAGTTTTTTTAAATCCTGATTATTTTTTTTTAATTATTAAATTCAGTGATTTTTTTTTCTTAATATACAGTCTGTAGTTAAAATAATCCCAGCCCTGGTCCCACCCTGGATAATATGCGTCCACCACCGTGCTCGGACTCTGTAGGCGGGTCTTCTCCGCTGACGGTCAGGTTTATCCTCCAATCAAGAGCCGTTTTTCTGTTTTGCCCCGCCCCCTTCCACGTCGACCTGCACTCGCCATATTTTCAATCGTGGGAATCCCGCAGCGAGGTTTGCGACTAACTTGTGGAGGGGAAAGCGTTCACCTGAAGACTCAAAAACTTTGAAGAAGAAGAAGAAGAAAACACGAGACATCTGCGTGAGGTTGTTATCTGTGCGTGTCGACCTGCGGTGCAAACATGAACGTCTTCAGACTGACAGGAGACCTCTCTCACCTGGCTGCTATCATCATCCTGCTGCTCAAAATATGGAAGAGCAGGTCATGTGCAGGTGAGTCCCGGCTCTCATCTCTAAACACATGCTTTATCATCATTTTCCTGACGTTCCTGATGAATATGGTCCTTTTTTAACCGTTAGTGTTCTCGTTGTATCGTTATCCTTCTGGCAGCTAGCCGTTAGCCACATGCTAACCGCTCCCACTCATTCATTTAGGCTAGTAGATGGGCTAACCGAACGATCACATCCAAAAACTGCTTTCTTAAACGTTAATCTATTTGCAAAACAGGCGGCAGCTTTATATTCAGGAAAAATGCACATAGTTTTATGATATTTTAGTAGAATTAAAGCTCATATACGAGACAATGACCGTTAACTTTGCAAGTATTACCATAGAGAGTCAGAGAAAGCTGAACTACACGCTGAAGTAGAGTTGGATTGATTTGTTAAGTAGGATATATATATTGTTTGTTAAAATATTAACATTTTTAGGTGAGTTTTATGTTTCGTTTTAATCCCTTCTATTAATTTGTGGTTCGGTGATCGACTTTTTTGGTCTGGCATCTGACGTGGCGTTTTAGAGGGCGCTACGGAAGCCGCTAACCGGCTACAAGAGTCCAGAGATGTCTCTTTTTAACCTTTCTGCACTCATTAGTGTGATCGAGTTAAAACAAGCATTAAAAACACGTTCATTCCTGTACTTTCTTTAAGGTTATTTGAAGGTTTTTACTCTCATTTTAAAGGGGATTTGTCTCGTAGAGCTTGCGCATTGACCACAGGGTCAAAGATAAAGGAGGTTATCTCAGTTCACGCCTGAGTTTTGGTTTTGTTTTGTGTTTGCATGCTTTTTTTGGTACATATTTACATTTATACAGCTAATTAGATAAGTTTTAGTCAGAAATACCAAAAATCCAGAAACAAGTGGGATATAGGAGTAAAGCTTACAAAACGCATCTTAAAAGAGTGTTCCTAATAGATGTGTTATTGATAGAAATAACTAACTAACTTACATATTGGAAAAACAAAAGGCAAAATCAGGTTACTAAGTCAATCATTCAATGATATAGGAGGCAACTTAATTACTGAAGTCTAAGTCCAGATACTTCTGATCAAACTATGATTTTAGTATGAGTAACAAGTCTCAATCGAAACAGGACTAGAGCTAAAGTTTGGAGTACTATTTTCTAGGGGTAGGAGAAAAAACAGAAGTATTACGATTTTTTAAATTTTAAATTCATTTTTATATTGAAAAATCGATTTTTTTTTTGGTCAAATTTAAGAATAAATCTGAAAAACTGACTTACATATGGTGTGTATTTTTCGTGGAAATATGGTTCCTGGAATAGTCAGTAGACAATCATAATCAACTGTTTCACAAAATCAACAATATCGTAGGATCGCAGTTTAAATCGAATCAGAAGAATTGAATCAGGAGGAAAGTACATCGTCCCAGCCTTACTATTTTCACAATGCACAGGTGTAGTCAGTAGTATTTGGTACAAACTTCATTAAGAGGAAATTACCGATATTTTTAAACTCACATGCAACAGATAATCAGATTTTTAGCCCCAAAATAAAGGAACAATTAAAAGAAAACAAACCACAGAATAAAAACAGCAATTAAGTCCCTCCAAGCGCAGACAACTAGGTTTGAAATGATTATCTAGGATTGATCAGGTGTTCACATTCATGCCTTGACATGCTGTCACAGGTCGGGGGCACATTCTTACAGTAAATAAGCTATGGTGAATCATCATCCTGCTCCATTTTAGCCATCATAACCATCACTAAAGGACCTGTCTAATCCAAGTGATCTGTGGAGAGCAACTACGTGTGGATATTCAGAGTAAGGCATACAGTTTGTATCATAGAAATTATGATCACAGTGTATTGCCTTATTGATCCTTTTCCCAACCTTTGTGCACGCATGACTTAGATTATAAAGAGAAAACTTCAAGCAGCTGAAAACAGAGACGACAAGACCGTTGTTGCATCCAGGTCCTGCTTATCTTTTGACGAACTACTGGGGCCTGAAGTCTATCTGAGCATGAAACAAGGCGATAATTAGGGGTACGTTTTGGACAGGATCCCAGATTATCACATATGCAATCTGACCTGCATACCAGTTAGACCGAGGGCACAAACAGCCAACAAGTTCAAAGTAATTATCTGTTATAAATGCACCTGCTGCATATTCTAAATTTGCACAAATATGTTCGCACATCTATGAAGTAAAAGTGTGAACTACAAGCCATAGACATGTGAAGTTGTTTCTCAGTTCTAGCAACATTTGTCTGTACTATTTAGACCATTAAAAACAAGACTAAAGGAACATGTGTACTTTTGTGTACTGGGCTATGAGACTGCTTATTTTCTGGGGGAGAAACTACCCTGTTACCACCAGCAGATGTCACTCTTCAACAAAGAAAAACCAAATTCGTGTATCATCAGGAGATACTTGTGAAGCCACACTGAAGTCGCTTAACTTCGACATATCTTAAACTTAATGAGACCTCTGTTCCCCTGTCTCTTTAAGGTATCTCTGGGAAAAGCCAAATCCTGTTTGCCATAGTGTTCACCACGCGCTACTTGGATCTGCTGAGCTCCTTTATCTCCCTCTATAACACATGCATGAAGGTAAGACATCAGTCCAAACTCTGACCAGCAGCCTCCTCATACAGGTCCCATGTGTCTCCCCAGTGTCTCAGTGCAGAGTTTTCTTTACTGTTAACCAGGTGATCTACATCGGTTGTGCGTATGCCACAGTCTACTTGATCTACGTGAAGTTCAGGGCCACCTATGACGGCAACCACGACAGCTTCAGAGTGGAGTTCCTGGTTGTGCCTGTGGGGGGTCTCGCTGTTCTCATCAACCATGACTTTTCTTTCCTAGAGGTGAGTTCAACCCCTGTTTTGTTAAAGACTAGTCAGAGTCACTGTGTCATATTCCTGCATGTTTACCTGTAAATGCACCCTCTATCAGATCCTGTGGACGTTCTCCATCTACCTGGAGTCGGTGGCAATCCTGCCTCAGCTTTTCATGATCAGCAAGACCGGCGAAGCAGAGACAATCACCACCCATTACCTGTTCTGCCTGGGCTTGTACCGGGCCCTCTATCTCTTCAACTGGATTTGGCGTTTCTACTTCGAGGGCTTCTTTGACATGATCGCCATCGTGGCCGGTGTGGTTCAGACAGTCCTCTACTGCGACTTCTTCTACCTTTATATTACCAAAGGTGGGTTTTCTTCTGGCATCATTATGACTGAATCCTGATTATAGTGAAAAAAGATACGAAAGTAAGAGGTTAAAGCTCCAAGGAGGGATTTTTAGTCAGAATTGATAGTAATGCCTGTTAATGAGCTACAAAAGCGAACGAGACCATCAGTGAAAAAACTGATAAAAACTTTAGGGAAACTGATCGATCTCTCTGGTCAATGGCAGCGATCAATCCATACTTTGTAACTTTAAATCTAGCTGAATACTAAAAACAGACTGTACTAGAAATGGCTGCACATCTGCACAAAAACGCACATTGCTGAATGAAATGAAAGTCTTAAAAGTTTAGAAGCCCTTATTTATAGCTTTCAATTCTTATCTTAATATTAGGGCCCGACTGATAAAGATTTTGGGGCTGATGCCGATACTGATAATTTTTTACTAAGCTATAAAATATATATATACTGTAGATATCTACATCGGGAACATCATGAAGTGGGTTGAACTGAAACTTGTTGACTTATTGTGTATTTGTGTATCTTATTCTCCACGTTTTATTTCTGAAAATATCTGCAAAAATCTGCAAGTTTTGGCCGATTACCAATTAGTCTCAAACGGGCTAAAATTGGCCGATTTAATCAGCTCGCCGATAAATTGGTCCGGCCCTACTAAATATGGTGCTCACATGTTGAAATGTATTTAAGCGACTCATCGGCCGGTTGAATCCTTCCTAATATCCACACTGAAGAAACTGAAGAAATCCATTTTTAGTGAAACCTTGATGTAATATCCCGTCTTCTAAGGAAAACCTCACTCTAAAGTCCAGCTGTATCGAATGAGTCTTGTGCATTTTCAGTTACTCAAAAGTGGTAATTTTCCACAGTCATCGTCATTAAAGTACAAAACTGTCTTTATGTTTCACTAATGTCGTCCCTCCATAGTCATTGAGCGAGGAAACACGGCTTCTCTTGGTCTCACAAAGGAGAGTTTGTGCAAAAATGACTGCAGAGTTGGAAATACGCACTTGATTCGATTATCCCAGGCAGCTGAAACTTCGTATTAGCAGCGGCTGAACTTTAAAATCACTTTTTCTCACAACAGCGGGACTGCACCCTCTCTTCCAAAAATGTTGTAATATGTTCATAACACGATTTTGTTGGTTTTAATTGAAAGTAGCAGAAATACAAAAAATCTTTGGTGGCTGAAACTTCGGTTATGTAGATTCCCCCGAGCAGAGACAAGCTGCGTTCAGAGACAGTGTTGATTTTTGGGCCCATGTTGTGACTTCCACTCCAGAGTCATGTCTGTTTGAATACATAGCCGCCTGGAGTCTTGGAGATAATGGCCATTCAGTGTTGGTTTTCAGCCTCATCCTTTCTCTCCAGATTCTCTGAATGTTTAATGATATTCTGTACAGTAGACGATGAAACCTCCACTTTGCTGAGGGGCATCGTCGGGTTAAAAACTCATTGTGAAAGGACGGCTCCTCACATGGGTTTACATTTGACATAAACTCGCGCATTTCCCCTTAAAAGCTTCTCAGTTAAAGGAAAATACGTCTGGTAAAGATCTTCTGTACATGATCAATTTCTCTCTCCTCTTCGCAGTGCTGAAAGGCAAGAAGCTGAGCCTGCCAGCGTAAAGCGCACAGGAGACGGCGACTCCCAGCAGACTCAGGGGGTGCGGAGATGACTTCATGGAATCTCGTGACCTACAGCGACAGATGCCTGAGACAGAGAGACAACTATCGGGGGAGGAAAAACACTAGTCTTCTTCTTGATGATTGCAGATTGAACTGGTAAATGCCAACAAACACCAGAGCTGAACAAAGATCATCCCAGGTCAACATTCGGATTTCTGTGTTCAGCGTCTTGCCTTAAACTTCTTTTCATCGCTGTCGTAATAAGAGGAAAGGCTTTTTTTTCTACATGTGAGGTGTACACGCTTATTTTTTATTTTTTTATAATGTCACAAATAGGGTCTATCCTGAGAAGTACCTTGTTTGGCTCGGTAATGAAATGCACAAATGTACAGTCTTATTAAACAGTGAGATAAAGAGTAATGTATCTGAGTGCCTGATGAGGATTGTGTCCGGTTTCTCACAGTATTTTTTCCCATTTTTTTGTTTTTAATTTGATTTTTGTTGAGTTTAGATAACTGTATGCATAAACTGTAATCCATGTACCAAGTCTTTGACGCTTTTATAGAGGCCAACAGTGGGAGTTTTTCACCATCCACCATTTTGTAAAAACTCTGCTTTTTGAATCATTTTATTTTTCAAAACATCGACACTTATTTGTAATCAGAACACCCGAGAGGATTTGTAGGTTTTAAGAAATAAACTCTTAAATGAATCACTTGGATGCCACAAACCTTTTAGTAATAGATGTCAGTATTTTGGAATAGTGGCCATCTTACTTGGATTGAAACATTTCACGTGTTCACGGATGATTTTCTTTTGCTCAGCTTACTGTTTAAAGAGAAATGCATCAGCTTTAACATAGATGTCACGCAGTCTTCGAACGATGCTACGTCACATTCAGATGTAGATAGAGCACAAATCCGCACCTTCCATCAGTGACGTGTGAGCGATATCATAAAGGGGAAATCAGCAAAGTTGGAGCAAAGCAATAATGAACGACTGAAAAATGATCCTGGCTGATGAGGAAGTCATGAGAGTCCAGCACTTTGATGACATTTCGACGGTTTAACGTATGTCTTTGAGCGTGCATGAAACAGGTTTGGTGGCGATGATGATGATGATGTTCAATGGGTGCGTTTCTTTTAAATTCAAAGGCCTCTTATTAACTCCAACTTTATCAAACGAGTCATTCCCAAAGGATTATTTCAACTTTTTTTCTTTTTTTTGCATGATATCACCTCCATTAAAGATTTTATGAGAATCATTGTACAGTGTCTCTTTTTATTGACCCCGTGTTTGCTCAGATTACACAGCTGAGACAACAAACAAGTCGTTAGTGAAACTTCACAGGCAGATGAATGACTATGCTTCTAGTTTCATTACTGTTAATATTGTTATTCCTTCAAACTCACACCAATAGTCTATTCTCCCATGACCCTCAAAGTAAGAGTACTCAATGAATTGACGTCAGAGATCCAGCTGGTTTATCTCGATTAGAAAAAGTCAAGTACTCTTCAGGGATTTTGGTTTAAGTCGTCTTAATAACATGAAAATATTTCACACAATCACAAACTTCCATCAAACTCTCTAATTTTGAATTCCTGGACGTTTATTTCTTACACAGTTTGATTAGAAGTCACCCTGGAGGCTGCTTCCTCTTTTGTGGTGGGTACTAACGTAAACAAGAAATGACAAATGGCTGTTGCTAGGATACACTTAAATCACCTGAGTCTTGTCTAAGTAGTACTAATAAGTAGTATGGTCCTACCCTTTCTGCTTTCAAAGATGTTCTGCAGCAATTTTTTTAAAGCTACAGTGAGGAGCTTTTTGTTTGTGTTGATTTTGGCGCCCCCTGTTGACCAAGTTTGTTTGTATTTCCTGTTTATGTAGCATGCTTCCAAGCACCTGGACTGACACCTTCCCTCCTCGCAGCAGTTTCAGGCATCAAGAATGAAAATAGAGAAATTGTGATTTTGTTGCTAACAGTCATGATGAAGCATCGCTATTAATTTAAATCAAGCTCATAACCAGCCAAAAACTTCTTACAGGAGCTTTAAAAACATCTCTGTTGCAATGTTGACTTTTTAGACAACTCATTCATGATGTGCTGTGAGAAAACTTTTTCCTTTACATGTGAGGCATGTTTTGCAAATTGCAATTGTGTTACACTGACCTAGTTGAGCTTCCATACTTGGCATGTAACCTAAAATGCACCAGGTGACCGGAGCATTGTTGTTAAGTCCATGCAGAGTAATTGGAGTTTATACACGGTTGAGGAACAGCTGCCTCTCTGTATTTGCAGACTGCAGGCAGGCTGGTGACACTGAGTTACTATGGTAATGGGAACACTGTTATCTATTAAACTAACCTTGAGTTAACTTTGATTTTTCTGCAATATCTACAGAATGATTTGATGAAATTATGGAAGAGGCTTTAACTGACAGATCAGAATTTATTGCATGATGATCGAGCACCAAAAATACACTGAATTGCAGCCATGATACATTTTACTCTGATGAGCATTCATGAAAACTACATACAGCATCGTACAAAATACATGTCCTTATACTCTCTTATCAATATTTTATTCTGGTAAAAACTTTATAACCCTCACTTTATTGCTTTTGTTCAGGAGTGCCTTCTCTTACAAATTAAAGCATATTTACGGCTTCATTTCCTCCCAGTTTTAAACATCTGCTGCAGAGCTTGTAAAATATGTAACATGGACATTTATATCTCCTTATACGTTTCTAACAGGGTAACTATAACCTGTAACCCACAGCAATTCAAAAAACAACCCCCTTTACACAGCTTAAGGGGTTTGCGCTGTTGTAGTAACACATTCATAAACATGTAACAGTTGATTTGTAGTGCAATTTTCGCCTAATAGGCACCACACACCTGCACACATACACGACAATGCAGACTCATAATCCTCGTAATGGCTTTTTGCACCAACGTAAAGTCATTTCCACTTTCCTCTTCTACTCGATAAAGCCGACACGTCATCAACAAGCATTCAGACAAACACAGATACAGTAGTTTATCTGTTAAGGCGTTTCAATGATTAGTTATTTCATGCTAAATATAAAGACACTTTTTGTATTAAAGTGAGAGTTTACATACACGGTTACCATCAGTGTGTCTTTTTCTTGGAGTTGTGCCTGCAGATCCCAGAGTCCAGCCACCATACAGCACATCCACAGAGCCGTAACCTCTGAATCCTGATCCACCAAGTCTCTGTAGTGCTGATTTAAAGCCCCGGCTCGCTCCGATTTTCAAGCTTTTTTGTGTAAAAGTTGACTGAAAACTTGTCCACTTCTACATTTTCTTTAGTCCTTCACTCTGCCCCAATGACACGCCGCCCTGCAGGTTAAAAACATCAGACAAAAGCAGAAAGAAGAGAAATTATGCAAAGTGGAAACAATTTTTAATTCATCTTTTATCTTAACAGAGACGACTCACAAAGATGAGATGTCTTTATTAGTAAAAACACGCATAAAATAACTGCAGGCTGTTTTTACACAGCTCAGCGATACAGATGAGATAGATGTCTTACACTCAGAGACTCAAAGACCTCAGGCTCTAAAACTCAGCCTGTATGATCATATGTCTATAACTCACTTATGTAGACACTGACGTCATATGAACGTTGACTACAGACTTCCTCTCAGTCTGTACAGCTCCGGAAAAAATTCACAGACCACCACAAAATTGAGTTTCTCTCTGGTTCTTCTATTCAATCATGGGGGAAATTCAAAGACGCTCAAAATTGCAGCTTCATGCACACAGGACTTTTATGCAACGGATGCAACCAAATCTGGATCAGTTTCTTCCAGATGCTGGTGCAAAGAGAGAGATTTTGGAGTGGTCCCTTCATTTTTTTTATACTTTAATGGGCCGTCCTTCATAAAAACCACATCAGGACCCAAAAACACGCTCTGAATGAACCACCCTCGCCGTCCCCCACACTACAATACCTTCATGAGTTGTTGGTTATAGCGGTTGAGGATGCTGGCGATGGCGAAATAAAGCACATTAGCGATGAACGAGGCCACGGCAGAGAACAAGGCGATGCCCACGAGCACGCTCAGTAGAGTCACACCCCCAACAAACAACAGGAACACTGACGAGACACAGAAAGACACTGTTGGACTCTTTTATGTGTATTTATGGACAGATGTCTAGCAATATATAAAAATATGCACAAATTAGGCACAGTGAGTGAAGTTTCTTCTTGTTTTTCCAGGATATGAACAGATTTTGTGCCCAAATTTAAACATTTCTTCTATTTTTCCTCACTTTCTTTCCGCTCTGTGGATGACACCGTTGAAAAACAAAGCTGTTATTACACCCACCTTCAAAGAAAACAAAACCGACAGCCGACATCACGGCAGTCACGACAGCGAAAGTGATGAAAAGTCCAACAGGCAGAGCAGCCAGGGCGCTGAACAGCAACACTGTCAGGGCGAGAACAGGGTGACTGCTGAGGTACAGACCGAGTCTGGTGTTCATCAGCTTTGTTACCTGTTAGAGAAAAAAACAGACACAGTTTCAGTCTGGTTGGTTTTCTTCTTTCACATGGAGATGTTTTAGACACGTGGGGGTTTAGATTGCGCCCTGACCCTGGGGTCTTCGTAAAGCTGGTTCAGCTGGGTGGACAAACTCCCCCACAGCTCCTGAAGATCAGTCCCACTGCCACTGCTGCTCCTGCGCTGCACCTCCTCAGACATCTTTCCACTCTGAAGACACAAGATCTGAGTTGAATCCCACACTAACTTATAACATGTTAATCAGAGAAACTGAACTCTACTGACCTACGACACAGAGTGATTATTCAGAGGCTGAAACTGAGAAAACACTCCAGTTAAGAAGCTCCACTGAACCTGTGCTGTGAAATAAATCACTTCAAAACACTTCAAGTCAACAAGTACAAACCTGATCAAGACAGAGGACCTGGTTTGATCCTCAGCAGACGACAGCTCCAACTGTATGAAACTGTGTCCTCAAGTTACTTCAGACACGCCAACATGAAAACACACCCTTTCAAACACACACACACACACCTTCTTCTTCTTTTTCTCTCTCCTCCTCCTTCCTCTTCCTGATCACAGACTCTAAAGGCCTGCTAGTGTTGATGCTGCCATCTGCTGGCCAACTGAGGTGCTTTTATAAATCACAGCATGTGTTTCTGTGCCTCATGGCTGGTTTATCCTCTCTGTCAGAGGCACAAACTTTAACTTTATTTAGTCACCTGTAAAAACTTGTAACAACATAAGTGTGTGTTTGATGTGACACCACTGGGATCACACGTTAAAAACATGAGCTTTAAGCTGCTTCCTGTCCGTCCCTGAGGGTCATACGTACTCTTTTAAAGACGCTCTGCATGATGTTGTGACTGTTTGTCGAGCTGCCGCTGTGTTGTTGTTTGTCAGCTCTTGCTCCAGAGGTGCAGAAGGAGGGTTCCCACTTTACCTCACAGCTGTCACACTGAAACAGCTCCTCAAAAATAATGACTGCAGTGTCTTCTTTCTGCTCTGTGCTGCTGTTAGATAGTTACGGGCAGATTTCTCCTTGTAGACAGCCGACTGATGAGGCTATTAAATGACTGAACTGCCTCACTGATTACTTCTTCAGTCCAAGGCAGGAGCTGCAGCCCTCGCCGTCACCGCTCACACTTTTTAAGTTCAGCCCCTTGAGTTTTGAACTGCATTAAATACTATATTCGCACATTATTTTGGGAGGGGAACGGCAGCGTGACTCGTCCTGAACTCCACCGAAGAGCGACACCCTCGGGACCAGTGATGACAACTTATTTGGAGCCTCTATAGCTGCAGGCCATTCTTATTAATCACACTCTGCTGTATTGAGTACAGGGAGAAAGATTTGGTAGGAGAGACCGCCTCGGCTTCTCCAGACTGCTAAACACAATGAACTCAGTGAACCGAAGCAACGGAGGAGAGAGCTGAGTGAGAGTGCAGTTAGTTTCAAAGCTCAAAACGCTGTAATAATGTCCGACTGCTGTGTTCAGAGGTGCTGGTTGTGTTTAAAGTATTTCCCCATGATCATCATTTCACAGCATCTCATTTACGAGAAACTGGAGAGACCATAAAAGTGCTGGCTTTCCTGTGAGGGTTTTTCGTCATCCAGCGAAAAGACTAAAATTCATATTGATGCTTTTTATGATATTCTAACGCAAATGAGACCGTCAGCGACATGATTGTTGAGTATTAGATGGTGATTTTAATGTCTGAAAGCTGGTTGGCGGCCGAGCAGCTGAATAAACAACCCTGTTTTTATCATTTTCACTTAAAAAACTTACAATGAATGACACATTTGACTGTCAGGAGGAGACTGTTTGTCTGTTAATGCATGTAGAAGACTGCTTTCTCCACAGGAGGCGCTATAGTTGACACAAACCCAACGTCCTTAACAGGAGCTTTAAGTCAGGCCCATATTTAAAGCTAAAACAATCAACATGATCCGTCTCATCTGTAGCAACGTTTACATGGGCAAAACTTATTGATCCAATTAAAAATTTGAGGGGTCGGAAAATCTAGATTCACTGTTTATATGGGCGCAAAAATCAAATAATCTGATCATGCATCAAGCTTTATTGAGACTAGAAGCATTTGGAAATGCGCAGAGTTGTCTGATTTCGCTAACAAAACTGCAAAAAGAAGAGCTGTATTTAAAGGAACATTCCAGCGTAACATTAATCTAGGGTCAAACACACCATAACACTGAGTTAGATACCCTGTCGAGGGATGAATGTTTCTGACCATTTGCTTCTCCAGTTTTACCAACTTAAGTAACAACCGCAGGATAACAATACACAGCGGTCTGAGGAGCCATAAGCAAACCTCAACCAAAACGCCACTCTATAGACACAAATAATGCTCAGAACAGCACCTAACTTCATCAACAGTACATAAAGGGTCTCAGCCATAGTACCAGCCACCAAACATCTTTTTAACTTTGCAAAGAGACTAAACACAACTCACCTACTCTCTTCCAGCAGCCCCTTGACTGTAGCGAGACCTCGGGCCAGTTCATTACGGACTGCAGCGGGGTGACGCAGCTCAAGGAAGAACATTTATGAACATTTCTTTATCATTTCTTACAAGTAATAATCACCATATTGATCATTTTGCACTGCAGACGCCGTAGTTCTTCTGCCTTAGAGTCTTGGTCTGATTGCATTTCCAAAAAGGAATGATCATAAATGCTCTTTCTTGAGCTACGACACCCCGCTGTAGTCCGTAATGGACTGGCCCGAGGTCTCGCTACAAACGAGCTGCCGAAGAACTTAGGTGAGTTGTGTTTAGTCTCTTTGTTAAAGAAATCAGGCAAAGCTAAACAGATGTTTGGTGGTTAGTGCTGTGGCTGGGACCCTATATGTACTGTTGATGAAGTTAGGTGCTGTTCTGAGTATTATTTGTGGCTTTTTGGTTGAGGTTTGTTCATGGCTCCTCAGACTGCTGTGTATCGCTATCCTGCGGTCGTTACTAAAGTTGGTATAACTAGAGAAGCAAGCGGTCGGCAACATTCATCACTCGACGGGGTGTCCAACTCGGTGCTACAGTGTGTTTGACCCTAAATTAACTTTACGCCGGAATATCGCTTTGAGTCTGTCTTGCCTTGCTGTCAACAAACCAACTCACGGTTTTGGCTCACTTAATCCAATTCAGGAGTTTTCCACCTGTTGTCGTTAGATGGCGCCCTTGCGTACTTTTTTTTACTGTTCTGTCAGAGGTTGCACTGTGCGTGCAGATGTGACATCATTACGCTGTATGTACGCCTTGTTATGTTACTTGAAGTGCAAACACGTCACCTGCGGTTGTGTTTTATTCCAGAGTGTTAATAATGAATCCCCCTGTACTGGCCTCAGTAAATAAAGAGTGAAGATCGAGTCAGGTAAGACAGTCACGGTCAGAATAAGTGTTTACATGGACGCATTTCGGAATAACGATCGGCATAAACCACCCCTCTTGATCGGAATACAATTTCCTTCCGATTGAGCCGCACTGGATCACAATCTTCCGATCGACAAGTTTACATGACGCATTTTTATTCCGATCGGGTTTTTATTTCTATTTGCCTCACTACTTCTGTTGGAGCATATTCAACTAATCCTTTGGTTAGATTGAATTGAAATGCTCCCATGCTCACCCCTCCCTCCAATATCCTTCAATATGTCAAATTCGGCTTCCACATAGGGTTATTTTGTGTCTGTGGTTAAAATAAGACAGCTACATTGTCACGTTGTAGGGGTGAAAAATGACTGGCACTTTCATACAGGCAGCCGGCTCGCCTCCTTTTCATAGATGTAAATTGAAAGTTGGAAATGAGTCCAAAATACCTGTTGTGCTGTGACTTAAATCTGGGCGTCTCAGTGCAAATTGACTGTACAATATGTCAGCCAGCAGACGGCAAGCTGCTCACTCCACAAACTGCAGCCTGCGCATGATTGATGGGCTGTCAGGGACTTCTCATTTGCATATACTGATGGTAAAAGTGCAACAGCCAGAGGAGGAGCATGAAATAGTAGAAAGTCTCCCGTGGTGCTGGTGTTACCTGGTGCATGTCCACCTCCTGTGCAGCTCTGAAAATGATATCATGAGGTGTTATTGACGTCTGTTCCTTGCTGACAGGCTGCAGCCACAGCCTGCTGTGTCTAATGAGAAAATAGGAGGAACATGGTGCTTTTGTTTTCTCTTTTAAGCGTGTCACTCTCTATACACTCACCTCTCCATCACACTATCTGTTTGGTACAAACCTCGCCACTCTCCCGGCCCTGACTTTGTTCACCTCACTTTGAAGTGGCAGAGGAGTGTGAGGACAGCGGCTGTCCATGAAATGTCTTTGGAGCTCTGCCTCGTGTCAAATAGGATTGTCCTCATTGTCAGTGGTTGTTGTTTAGTCAGATGAAGGTGCCTGTTTTCTGTGTCTGTCCTCCAGCTGTGGGGAGTGTGAGGTTCAAAAGGAGCTCCCCAGAGGGTCACAAAGGGCAACGTGGCAACAGAGTGAGAGTTTGAATGAAAGGTCTAAAAGCTCATCAACACCAGCAGAAACATCGATGCACTCATTCACCTTTAGAGTTCGATTAGTGTGTAATATTTCATGGTATTTAGTATTTATTGATTATGGTGATCTAGGAAACAATGAGATAGGATAGACAGAAAGTTCCCGATGCAGCAGAAGAAACAGCCCTGTCATATGACATTCATAATAAATGATAAATTTGACTGTCAGCAGTCAGAAGACAATACTCAAGCATATAGGACAAGATTATTCACAGGGGCTGACCCCAAACTGAAGTTCCTTTTAAGAGCTTAAATTTTTCATCATCATTTAGATAACATTAGCTCCTCATAGTCTTCTCTATCTTCATCTCATCATTTCCCTATCAGCCCCTCAATGTGGTTAATTTTATTTTAATGTTTTAGTAATGTATTAATGGTGTGTCGCTGCTTAAGAATGCTGTTCATATCATATTGTATCGTACTGTATTGCATTGTATTGTGGTATATCATGATGCATTATATCGTATTGTGATATCGCGACATCACATTGTATCGTATCATAGCAGTATATATCGTATTGTGATATATTGTGATGTATCATTATATCATATCATATCATGATATCATGACATATTGTATTATATCATATATCGTATTGCATCATATCTTATCTTAAAGTCATGACATATGAAATCGTATCGCGTCCTATCGTGATATATCATGATATCGTCGAATTTTGGCAGGTGCATGCTGTATTATGATTCTGTATAGTGTTATTTCTTATATTGGAAAGTAGTCATAGATTTTGAGTATTTCTTTGAAGTTACATTTTTGGGCATTTTTGCCTTTATTGGATCAGACAGCTGAAGAGAGACAGGGGGAGACCTGCAGAAAAGGGTCAAGGCCGGACTCGAGCCAGTGATTCAAGCCTTGTAACCAGGGATACTTTAAGGCTAGGCTATAAGTGACCCACTTTTAAAATTTTTAATATTGCATTGATGATGTTACTGCGGGGGTACCTCATGCTGTTGCACAGTGAGTTTTTTCACCCATCCTTTGAGTCATCCTT